AACTGTAATTATAACGTTTTATGCATTTCCAGACCTACGTTTTCCTAATTTATTCCACTAAACGGGTGTTCTATTGTACTTTAAACTGATTTTTTTTTCTTTGAAACATTTATAAAAGCAAAGCAGACGTTTCCGTCTAGGTCTAGAGTCTAGATAGTCTAGCGCGTCGTCGAGTGAAATTTATGCAGTGCACGCGGGAAATATTTAATAATTGTATGGTAATTTGTGCATTTTACTTTCAACGACGGCAGGAATTAATTATGCCGACGCACCAGTTTCTCATAGCAAGCGCTTTGCCGCTGTTCTTATTTATCTGTTGGTCGTTTAGGCCATGAACCACAGCGATCGTCGATGGTATCCGATTTTTTTGGCATTTTACGTACGCAGTTAATTAAATTCGGACATGCAAGAACCGGCTGGATGGCCGCGGCACAAATAGGAAATGACGTTACGAAAAACGGATGTCACGAGAGCGGAGTCGACGACATATTCAGACAATGAAACATCACAAATTGGATAATAATGTCTTCAAGAGACGTGCACGCTGGGCTCTCTCACATTGTGCGCGTGCACACATCCTTCATTATACCGTCGCCGTGTTACATAACAATTCTGTATATTTTTCTGTGCGCTCGCACACTGAGTGTTTGACACAGGCAACGATTTTCGGATGCAATCATCGTTCGCTACCAATTATTTCTGCGGCGAGCAGAACGCTAGAAGTTATTCAGTGTAAATAAATCCATGTAGGCCAACTAATTGGTAATAAAAGCTCGCTGGTTTCTGCATTTTCTGGCCGAAGCATGGCATTATGTTGAGAATCAACAGGTGCTTTTACGAGTGTCTCCCAGCCGATATAATCGCGACAGACGCACGCTGAAAAGGTAAAAACGGAAAGCCCAACGAGCAACGCACGCTGTGGTAATAAGGTGTGTGTGTATGTGAGTGTGTGCGTTGAGTGTGTTGAGTGCGGGTAATTGCCGTTATGGACGACGGAAGGAAGGACACGTGCCCAGAATCGAACGCGTCTCGTGCCATCGTTAACGATTCTTAAACACCGCTAACGACGCGCACGTCGCCGCTTGCGCCGCGAAGAGTGGTCAGCTGCGGATGCTTCAAAATCTTTACATTTTGCAATTGATTTTATACGAGCGCACCTTAAAAGCATTGCAGGCATATGCGCAGCAATTTTCGATGATTAATTTTGACATATAATAACGATCTAAAAATATACTGCGTTTTTATTAGATACCTGCCTACCGATGTGCTTCGACAACGGTAATTATGAATCGTAATTTTCAGTAAAATTTACTAGATTTTTGCATCAAAATATTTTATTCAACGTGTCTGATCAAATGATTGTCGTTTTCTGTATGCCGTGTATTCTATTCACTGACTAAGTACAGTAATAAATTACTGAACAACGAGTTGCTAAACTAATAGCTGGGTTTCACACGATAGTCGACGCGCGTTGGCCCGGTAAAAACATGAAAAAATAAAATGAAATTTGCAATAATCGCTTTGCTTTTGTGTCGGCTGTTTTCGCCGTTAACCGCGCTTACAACGTGCAGGTTTTTTTTTGTTTTTTGTTCCGCGGTAGTTGTGAACTGGTGTGATACGCTAGTGCTCAGGACAATTCCAATTGTTACTATGCAGGCGACTGGGAGTCGCGTATACGATGTGCATCGTGTGCAATGTGCATCGTCGCGCGACTTGTTGTAGATGATGTGTGATGTGATACTCGCGCATAGGTCGAGACGTGCAAATTGCACACTGCATTGATGTCCTGCCTCCGTTCGGTATTTATGTTTGTGCGATTGGTGCGTTCCCGCGATGTGGGCAGCACGACCAGCGCTGCTCAGCGATGTGTGAGATGAAAAATCGCATCGAATTCGCCTGCGCAAAATGTTACTCAATCGATATCAACAAATTAAAATAGCAGACGGAAATGTGTGCACTTCGTGATTTGTTCATCATTTTTTGTATGTGTGCGTTGGTTAGCGCGGACATGGACGATGAATAGGATGACTTAACCGTCTGCGAGTTTCTTGCGTTGCTTGTCTCCCGCGTCGAAAACTAACCGTAAACCACGGCGAAGAACTGCAGACGAAGGAAAAGGTTTACGCTCCACGTTATGTTTAATTAGTTTAAATTGTGTTATGCGTGGCTTAATTGCTAATTGCTTTAATCTTAATTACTAATTGACCCAAACTATATGTACGCGCACGATGCTCGTTTGCTTTAATACGCTCTTGAATTATTGCCGAAGTGGGTCTTAATTTTACTTCGGCGGCGCGTTTCGTACGCGTTTTGAGAACTTCATTTCTGGGTGATGATTTTATGTTTTACGTGCAATTTTATGCCTGTGCGTCCAGGTAATTCGTAATCCGTGCAATTAAAACGGCTTTGACGCTTGGCGCGCATTCAACGAGCCTCCAAACTTTATAATTGTTCAATTAAGTTTTTTTTCCTTATCTTACACACTTAAATTGATTTTTACTACACAAGTGGAAAATCCTAAAATTACGAATTGTAAAAAACGTTTCTTTTCATTTTGAATAAATTCTGCCTAAGTGATTTTAATTTTCGCGACCCTAAATTAGCGCGCGTCTTATGATTTATCGCAATTAATTATGATTTATTAGTGACATATTGAGACTAATTAACTTAATGGCATTTAAGTACATTTATTACATTTTATTAGCGCTAAACGTCTTTCACGAGAGCGACGAAGCGCGCCGAGAGTAAGTGGCGAATTGATTAGTATCTCACCCACACTCCGTTCGCGCGATTCTCTAAAAGCCTCGCGCCCTGGAAGCGCCTTCCTTCGCGCACGCCGCACTTTGAAAAAGTTGACGAAGTCGGTGTTCGGCAGTGCGAGCGCGGGCTGCCAAAGCTGTGTGTGACCGTGGGACAGGCGCCGCAGAAAAAGTCGCACGGTCGAGGCGCAGGCGCATCATCCGCATCGCCAAATATCTTTTAGGACCGTCGACGCGCTTTTTTGAATGCGCGCTACACATTCGCCGCGGCCGCGACACGATACCGGAACCAGCGCGCGAAGATGCAAAACGCTTCGACAAAACACGCAGAAACAAGAGATCTCTGGAATACAATCGCGCACCGACGCAGCAAGATCGTTTACGCATCGCATTCCTCGGCGTCAGGTTTGTTTTTTAGTCGCGCTACCTCTCTACCATTCTCGACACTGTCAGCACGGCAGCGTTTCGAAAAAAATAGCGCCACGCACAGCCAGCAAACCAGACCGAATGCCGCGGCATTCTAGAGCTTTCTTCGTCTCTTTTACTTGCGTGCGTACTTCGGCTGGTGCTGTGGCCGCCGCGTGCATTTGTTTTGTATCGCCGATGTGCAAGCGTATAAATAACGGGTATCGCATACCAACCATTCCGTCTCGCGTCTCTTCGACTCATTCATAATGATTACGACAATGCGCGCTTTGGCATGGCGGCACACAACAAGAAGAAAGAATCGATATTATGCAAAATACGCAATAAATATTCATAGGATTCTGTTTCGCTGTGGAATTGAGCTGCTTCGTGTTGCTATTACGCCTCGTTTGAATAGTGTCTAACAGCAACGAAATTCAAACAGTTTGAAGGCGTTCTCGATGGCACCGTGCTGCCCCCCGAAGGTGATTAGTCCATGGCAGACACGCAAAATGCATATGATTGCGTCGATTGCGCTCTGGTTCACAACAATTAATTGAAAAAAATTACTCACGACGCGCAATCGTCTATTGCTCGACCGGCAGCGCGCATAGCCAATGGTGTGTGTGGTCTTCACGGCACTTTCTAGCGCGTGAATATTTAAAATTGATAGTTTGCTTTAGGAACATTCCGAGATCGCGCGGCGAGACCACCCGGATGGATATTCCTCTCATCTTGCGCGCTCTCATTGCACGCAAAACGCATACCCCGCGCCGGCGCGATTAATCGCCATCGATAAGATGATTTTCGCCGACAACACCGCGGCCAGGCCGCGTGTGACCATATACATTTCAATGGGAGGATAGACGCGCACCGGCAACGAAAATGAATTGCGATTTAATAAGCACCATCGATGATGCGTTAAAAGTCAAGCTAAATGTTTAAATATTCGAGCCGAAGACGCGCGACGCAATTGACTTGCGGCCTACCATCGAGCAGAGAGCGAGCTTCTAACGAGCGGTTCAATGAAATCGATGCACGTTGTTCGACATGAAGCGCTTGAGCGAGCTTGCGGAGTCGCACATTCCTTCCATCGGCGGCCGTTGTCGTGCAAAAGTTCAATCGGATTTTCAGGTTGAAAAAAATCTGCAATCTGTAAGGAGTGAGGAGTATGATTTGTGTCATTGACTTCGTTTACTTGAAGATGCGGAACAATCGATGATCCAATTACAAAATATTGAAAAGAAAGGCTAAGCAATGGCAAATTCAAGCGAACGAACATAGTTCCTGCCCCGGAAATGTTGGAATGCAAGTCTTGTACCAGGTCTTTGTCGTGTATTCTGAAGATGAAGCTGGGGAGAAGGACACCAGTCCTTTATCTGAGAATCGGACGAAACTGGTATTTGCTGGCGCTTTGTGCATTCACAAAACCCAAGGAACGCTTCTGATCTTCACCGGCGATTCATTCAAAATGTGCGGACACAACCCGCGACGTGCATACAAGCTCGACACGGAATGTCATCGCAGTCGCGAGCTGATTATATTATATTTCGCACGTCATTAGAGAGCGGATTTCGATTATACTGTTCGATTTGTTTTGTGATTCTGACCTTCCTGTTTGCTAGCAACTCATTTTTCGAAACAGCGGCGGATGCACTGAAACAACAAATATTTATCTAAAAGATTTATTTTGATTATGTAAATAAAGTTTCCTGTATTGCGATGGCCTGGGAATTACATATTTTATGCAGTAATAAATTAAAAGATGTTTGTTATGTTCAAAGATTTTACATATTTCCACACAAAAAATTAATGTTTAATATTTTATGCTTTCAGAATACAAGATGACATCGTGATTTGTCTAGCAATATTCCTACACAACTAAGGCATTCCACGCAGTAAAATATGCAACAATTAGGTATGTTCAATAAGTCTTTTAAAAATATCAACACTCCACGTGTATTACACCGACACATCAAATAATAGAAAACTTCCTAATTTAATGTCCGGGATGAGTTGTTTAAATTTTAGAGCGCAATTGCGCATGCGACTGGAATTTCAAATTGTTATTAAAATCACTCGTTCCTGCATTGTATGAGCAATGAAGATATTTCGAACAGTTGGAAGCACGCACGTAGAACTGTACACATGTTGTGCGTTCGAGCGGGTTTTAAAATCTCGCGCAACTCTCTGGACGGCTCCAGAAAACTCGTTTCTCTACATACGTACGTGAAAAGATAAAAGTATGAAGAATCCGAAGAATGCCGTGCATATAGACAAATATTTATCTTGGCTTAGCTATTATATATCATCATAAACGCATACACGAAACTGCTTGGATTGGGATGCACAAATACGCACCACTGTACGTATACGTATACATGACATGCCTACATACATTTCTTGCATTAAAGCAACAAATTTTAAGTACGGGCGTACCCGCAATCAGTAATCCATAGCGGCATAAACTTGCCGCGTGATGTGCGAGTGAAAATCGAAGGAAGGAATGTCGTGATAATATTACATAATGCTATTTAAATTTGTGTAGAATTTCCAAATCATGCCGGCTCAGTTTTCCCCGGACGTATGTTTGAACATTCGTTAGTCATTGTTTGTAATTAAATCCCTAAACAATTATTTGCAATAAATAATGCTAGACTAGATTCCTTTTCGCAAATACGAGTCTATTTTAGATGTTTTTATTGTCAGAATTTCACCTAGGTACATAATTTCGAGAGAGAAAAAGAAAATTCATGTTAAGTCGTGAAAACTTCGTCCAAAAATTTACCAATTTCGTTTACGCGCTTATCTACTTTCTCTCTTTTGTTTTCCTCGGCCGGGTTTTCCGCTATTACTACTGACGTCGAAACTCGTTAAGGTATATATGACTTGCAAATTACACACTGGAGTTAATCAGTTAAACAATTTGTTCTACACATTTTCTGAATATTTGTTTGTGTGTGATTTTCAGTATTACTAATATTTCTTTATGTTTTAGGGTATAATGGATTTTATGGCAAGAAAATTCTTTAAATCATCCACTGACGTAATATGGATGATAAATCAAACATGACTTGAAATTCTGAATGGAAATCTACAGAAGCAGTTTTAAACTTCGCTGCAGACACACAGATGGAGCTGGGAGTATTAAAAAGTTTTAAACTTATTAAATATTTACAACGCGTTATTTTTATTTGCTGAGACAACTTCCTAACGTTACAAATTGTCGCCGACCATTGATAAATGTGTGTGCTGTCCGGGTCAAAGGTTGTAGTGAACTTGAAACACTACGCAGCCGTGTACAAATACCGTAATGTGTTTCGTTTTTTTTTTGTTTATTGCAAACAATGCATGCTTCGTGTTGCTGCGGAAAACTACCAATGTTGTACTTTTCCGCCGCCGTGCCAATCGGTGACCACGCAGTTAATTCGCACGACGCATTCCGTTGTGCTTATCGAATTTCAGTGGGTAACACGAGCTGCGTTTGTTTTCGCGGACGTTCTCGTTTGCGTACAGAAACAATTAATCGTATTGATGAAATTAGATGCGGCCCCGCCGCTACAAGAAGGCACAATGCATGCGTATTAACGCAACACGACGCATGCTGCCAACATCTGCATCGTGCATTCCTTCACAGTTTAATGCCACCGTACCGTTCGCTGGCATGATCATTCACAATTCACACACAAGAGTAGGAAGTGTTTTAATCGAATGCTTGCGACATGAGTCAGTCGGCCAGCCGCCCTATCCCGCGGCATTTGCATGCATCAATCGACGCTGGTGTTCGGAAAAATATGTTAAACACGAATGCTGAAATCATTTGATGACCAATCATCATCGAATGATACACACGCGACTTTGTTCCCTGCTTCTCATCGAGTCATGTTTTCGATTCGAAAACCATAATCAGCTTAGTACACTGTTCGCTTTCGTTACCGCCTTTCACCAATTCGATTATTATTTTACATCGGCATTTTGTTACGAATAACAAGTTTAACCTTTGAATATGTGTTTGCGATAAAAGTTTCATTCATAAACTCGGCCGTACCCGACTCATTCAATTGCCTGCTATGTAACTTGCAAGTACCTCATTGCTGGTAAGACTTGTTAAATTATTAATCTATTTCAATTGGTAGGTGAAGACAGCTTCATATCCTGGGATGTTTACAGTGGACTAAGGAAGAAGGAGAAGGAGTTGGATTATAATAAAGAAAAATCACAGAAAAGTTCCAAGTCTTGTCATCCAAGATGAAGACAACAAGGATTTAATGAAGGCGAAACGGGTTTTCACAGTGATTTGACAGATGAATGTGATTCTGAGATCATTGTGAAAGCTTATTTTGTTCGAATTATACATTCACCGTCAATACAATCGAAGAAGTAAATTTTAAAAATATTGCGGATATTGTTTTTTGTACATTGGTAATTAAGGCCTAAACGCAAAGAAAATATAAATATAAATATTTCTGTTGTAACAATTCTTAATGTATAATTTAATGTACACCTATAATATTTAAAGCAAATGTTTTTTTTTGTATTAATTGATTGTAAATAAATACTGAATTAGATTAAATCTGTAGACTTTGAATAAAGCAGAACTGATCTATGTTTATTGAAGAATAAATTGTACTGCATGGTTGGTTGTTTGCATTTATATTATGGTATTTTTTCATGAAAATTACTTCCAAATTCTCTGCTACAAGTTAAGTTTCTTTAATGATTGTTATTGTTGCGAATTTTTCTCGTTTTATTGGCGCATCACGTATGAGAGTATCAATTTACGATTAAAGATGCTTTAAAATTGCCTATGTATGTCCTCTATATTAAAACACACAAGGAATAGTAAAATCAAACAATTAATTACTTATTTAGTTCATGCATGTATTGCATTATGCTAAGAGTTTTAAAAGTTTAATTCGTTTTAACTTATTGTGTATTGATGACTGCGGTAAGACCGTAGGCAATGCAATATACATCACTTTTACTGCTTCTTCATAGATGGCTCTCAATGTCAGATTCGAGATAAGTTGTTGTTTTGCAGGAACAGCATTGCACATTGTCTTACCTGCGATAGTAACACGCGACTCACAGTAAACAAAGGTTTTGTTTGGTGACCGTTTAATATAGATGTGAACATTAATTAGACTAGCCGGGTAAGATGCCATTACATTTATTGCAATTGTGATTGTCTTATCTTTAATTACATTCTTGAAGCAAACATAAATTTAATAAATACATTTTTAATTATCTATTTACTCCTGTATAATCTGGTATTGCATGGAGGCAGTCTAAATTAGGGATTTCTATTTTTAATTAATAAATAAAATTTGCACGCTTGCATTTTGTGTGTTTCTCTGTGCGAATTTGTGCGATTGCGATGTGCATGATTTATTGATAGCGGTCACCGCAACACAAACACACAACTTGTTTACCTCAGATAACAGGATTATTTTCGATACACTAAAAAACACAAATCAAGTTTTGTACCAGGTATATTACATCAAATAAATAAATACATTTCAATTATTTATTTAAGAAAATTATGTTTGCACGTTGTTGTTTTTAAACTTATAAAAATATTTGTGTATGAATACGTGTTTCCTTTGCAGCAAATTTCCTGGAACCCTTTCAATCTCCAATTAGAAGATTTAATAAGTTTGAAACAGCAGGAAGTGACATTGTTTATTTTTACAAATTTCGAAGAGGCGGCAATGGTAGATATTAAAAACGAAACAAAAATTATGCATATTAAAAAATATTGCTTTCATTTTACAGCAACGTGTGAAGTTCATATTTCACATTATTGGATGAACATCGGATTCATGGTCACACAAAAACACATCTCAACTTTGGCCACCGTGTCGTCCAAATTAGAGGAAACAGATGTTTACTATCTCACATGGTAGCACCCTATCGGTTTCGTGAAAGGATGTAACATGTAAGTTTTGGACATTTATGAAATCGTTATGATTATGCAGACCTCAACCGAATTTCTAAATACTTTCGGATTTAAATTTCAATGCTGTATCTTGCGAATCTCTAATGCGCCTAATCATCATTAGATTCTTTTATATTGAATTTCGTGGTATTATGACGCAATTAACAGATACGTTGTATATGCGGCACGCAATCATCGTTAGCTCGACCACCTTTCACGCATCATGCGATTCAAAACTTCTAAAGTGGTTGATCACTGATCTCGCACGTCTCGAAATTTCAATAATACCAACCAAAGTAATCAAACACACAACAATCGATTGCGATTAAAAGTGACTACGATCGACATCGTGATTTCAACGCGTTAAATATCGCTTAGTAAATTACTCGCACACGAAAATAGTAACAAACCGTCACGGCCTGCGGTCAGGCCACCCCAACTCCCGACATTCAACACTTGCCGCCGTCAAATCGTCAAGTCTATCATTGATTAAGTATTCAACACACACGGATTGCCGATCGCTGATGAAGTGACATGCATGCACGAAACGCACACACACGCGCGCGGGTCAAGTGCTTATGGTTCACATTTCGAATTTCGAATTGTTTACCTTAGCATCTCGGGACGTCTCGGCCGCGCGGCACTTTTTCGTTTATCACTTCGCTTCGTTTGCGTCGCAACGTCGCAAGGGATCGTTGGGCCCACCACAATGAAGTAAGTAATGAAACAAACGTCGAAACGCGTTGATACGTTTCGGCCAGTGGTGGGTGACTTTGCATTTTGCCGCCCATAAAAACTCGGATCAAAAATGCGACCAAAATAAATTCTTTTCTACATTGTGACACGCAGTCAACCTCTAATCACATCTATTCAAGCCACTTGTTGTGAATGACTCGTGCAAGATGTATGGCTCACCTAATTAAATCGTGGTTCTTTCGGTTTACAAGCAAAAACGAAGCCACCACGAAACTAGCAGGCATTAAGTTTAAAGCACCCATAAGGTTTTTGTTTTTAATGTGTAATAATTAAGTTGAAAAGTTTCAGTAAACTATTAGATTTACGACTTTTTTAAGACGCTTGTACGGCCATTTGTGTTTTATTGTTATTACTCAAAGTTTTTACTGCATCAACCCCCAATCCGTGACGAAAATGAACGTTTCAAAAACACTTAACATTCAGGAACTGGTAAATATGTACTTTTAAGACGCGCTTATGCTGTACATATTATTTAATGGGTATGATACGTAAAGCATACAAATCGTTTGTTTACAAGTACATGGTTAATGAGCAAAGTTAATTTACAGCAAAGGTAACTAAGTTAATTTATTAGAAGAGAAGATCATAAACAAAAAAAAAATCATGTGTGCATTTCACACGCGGTAAAAATTTTAATTTTTAGCACTCTTAGTCACATTTTTCGCCCTTTTGCCCAACGATATTTAATTATTTTATTCTAATCTAATAGAGATTTTCCAATCTTTCATAAACTGCCATTCGTTGGATTCTAGCACTTTTAGTTTAGGAGATATTAATTATCAAAAATCGTCGATAAAAATTATCAAGCACCCCCCCTTGGCAATTTTTTCTTAAGACTTAAAATTTCATCTCTCAGATTTCCACTTTAAATAGCCTATCTGATAGAGATTGGTCTGTAGATTAAGACGCTGCGATCAGATCTTAATTATCTCTTTTAGTTTACGAGATATTCGCGATTGAATAAAATGGGCAAAAATTGCAAAATGTCACTTTTTAGCACTTTTAGTCGCGTTTTCGACCTTTTACTGTAGGAAATATAATTATTTTATATTTTTGTCTGATAGAGAATCTCCCAATCTTTCATAATCAACAATTCGTTAGTAGCTATCTCTTTTAGTTTAAAAGATATTAATTTTTGAAAATCGTCAAAAAAGTATCAAGCACCCCCTTGGCAATTTTTTCTTAAGACTTTCATCTCTCAGATTTCCACTTTAAATAGCCTATCTGATAGAGATTGGTCTGTAGATTAAGACGCTGCGATCAGATCTTAATTATCTCTTTTAGTTTACGAGATATTCGCGAATGAATAAAATGGACAAAAATTGTAAAATGTCACTTTTTAGCACTTTTAGTCGCGTTTTTCGACCTTTTACTCTTGGAAATATAATTATTTTATATTTTTGTCTGATAGAGAATCTTCCAGTCTTTCATAATCAACAATTCGTTAGTAGCTATCTCTTTTAGTTTAAAAGATATTAATTTTTGAAAATCGTCAAAAAAGTATCAAGCACCCCTTGGCAATTTTTTCTTAAGACTTTCATCTCTCAGATTTCCACTTTAAATAGCCTATCTGATAGAGATTGGTCTGTAGATTAAGACGCTGCGATCAGATCTTAATTATCTCTTTTAGTTTACGAGATATTCGCGAATGAATAAAATGGGCAAAAATTGCAAAATGTCACTTTTTAGCACTTTTAGTCGCGTTTTTCGACCTTTTACTGTAGGAAATATAATTATTTTATATTTTTGTCTGAGAGAGAATCTCCCAATCTTTCATCATCAACAATTCGTTAGTAGCTATCTCTTTTAGTTTAAGAGATATGAATTTTTGAAAATCGTCGAAAAAAAGTATCAAGCACCCCTTGGCAATTTTTTCTTAAGACTTAAAATTTCATCTCTCAGATTTCCACTTTAAATAGCCTATCTGATAGAGATTGGTCTGTAGATTAAGACGCTGCGATCAGATCTTAATTATCTCTTTTAGTTTACGAGATATTCGCGAATGAATAAAATGGGCAAAAATTGCAAAATGTCACTTTTAGCACTTTTAGTCGCGTTTTTCGACCTTTTACTGTAGGAAATATAATTATTTTATATTTTTGTCTGATAGAGAGTCTCCCAATCTTTCATAATCAACAATTCGTTAGTAGCTATCTCTTTTAGTTTAAGAGATATGAATTTTGAAAATCGTCGAAAAAAGTATCAAGCACCCCTTGGCAATTTTTTTCTTAAGATTTAAAATTTCATCTCTCAGATTTCCGTTTTAACAATCTTATATGATTTTCAAAAATTGAAAAATGTCACTTTTAGTACTTTTAGTGGCTTTTTGACCTTTTACTGTTGGAAATATAATTATTTTACATTTTTATCTGATAGAGAATTTTCTTATCTTTCATAATCCGCAATTCATTGGTTGCTGTGGCTTTTAGTTTAAGAGATATTAATTATCAAAAATCGTCGAAAAGATACTTTTGGGGCAAAAATTGAAAAATGTCACTTTTTAGTACTTTCAGTGGCTTTTCTTGACCTTTTACTGTTGGAAATATAATTGTTTTATATCTTTATTTAATAGAGAATTTTCCAATCTTTCATAATTTTTCGGAATTCACTAGAATTTCGTAGTAATTTTGTGCGTTATTAGATAAAAGTGATGTATTTTTAGCAAAATATTTTAAAAACCCAGTGATGATGTATGTTTACTGGAAGTTGACAACATAAATGAAAAATGTAACGTGTTTGCCGGTGGCACGTTCCAGCAGTGCGCTTAACACGCGCCCGAATCGACTGCCCGAGTCCGCGAGCAATTAGTAGAGTTATCATCAAAGAAGTGCAATTTGCATGGCGCATTGCGCGCGAACAAGCGCGGCGTTGTGCTCCTAAGCGTCGCCGACTCTCCAGTGTCGTCGCGTTTTTATAGACGTGTCATTTTTTACGTTCGCGTGTAATTTTTGCTTTTGTTTTCACATTTCTTGTCGGTTCATAAAAACTTGTTCACTTTTTTTGTTGTGATATAACGCCGGCAGAAAGCACTTGGCATCGAAAACATGTTCATTTGCCAAGGTGTCGAACACGTCCAAGTTGTCAAATACGTTTGATAAGAGGCGTTAAACTCATTATGCATGAATTTATCTAAGAAAATACGCGCGGCGCGTACAAAGTCCATGAATTTACAAGATATAATCGCCGTTTTCGAACTTGGAGCGCAACTCGTGATGCATAAGAGGCTGACTGCGTCGTGGATGGTCATGGATTCTAGCATCGACGTTCTTCGATCTCATGATCATCTGCGATCTCAATGAGTATGGAGCAGGGCACCGCCGTGCCACTCGAAATACTCAAGCCTCGAGAGCGAATCGAGTGAATTTCTCAAGAGACATGCGGTTGATGTACTTGTCCCAAACATTAATATTCGTCCACGTAACTTTGATACGTTTTTTATTAAAACATAAAATTATTACTCTTTGTAGTCAAGTTGGGGCTTAGATTTTTGTTTGCGTAATTTATAACACAAGTTGGTTTATTAGTTATGTGGTGGGGTGGGTGTTCTAAAATTAAACGTCCCCTATCATGTGTGTAAATAGTAAGGGGAGATCTTGGTAATAAAAGTGGTGCAGCAACTAACAAACTCTGAACTAAATACATACAAACTACTTTGGTTCTAAACATTTTTATAGCCGAACAATATATTTGATGATTGAAAGGGAAACGAGAGTAAAAAGTAAATATTTTTCACATAGACGATTATTGACGAAAGTGAAGGGTGTTTTTCTATCGTGCGACTTATATTGGTTTTTCTAGTAAATACCCACTGATAAATAATAAAGATTTGCGCCATATCACACGTCTTGTAACATAATTTCATAATAGTGTACTCACCAAACAAATGAAAAGCTGAACAAAGTAAGTCCGTCGAGATAAATCTGTTTGTTCTCCCGTTGTGCTTTATACTATCGCAGGTGGCACGCGCGTTTAATTTTTTTTGATAAGAAATTCATACTTAAAATTTGTCTTCCGGCCAACTTAACAACTTATCAAACATATGTTTTAAAATTAAAAATATGTACAATATATAAATTTTCATTTTTAACTTTAACTTATATTGTTACCCTTAGATTTACACTATTTATGTGCCAAACTTAAAAGATTTTAGTGTTTCCAAAAAAAAATCAGTCCCACTTGGAAATGAAATATGTCATTAAGTTTATAGTAATAGTTATACGAAATAACGGCCCACGTGTGTTTCAGACGAGATTCGTTTCACCTAAAAGTTTTCTTTTGCCCAAATCAAAGCATCATATTAGTCTGACGGCTTCGACGTGTCGTCAAATCAACGCGCTCGTGTTACACAATAAAATGTCAAATTTACGAGCAAATTAGAAACGGGAAACCGTGAGGAAACTCAAAACTTCACATTTCATATTTATTTTACGTCGGTATCAATAACTTTAAAATATAGTTTTCGTATAATAATTACTAAAACTTATTCAAGCGTTTCCATGTCTTAAATATTGGTTAAATGATACTACTTAAATACTTCAATTGGTAAAAAAACATAAACGAGGTAAACAAATGATAAAGAATTCCCAGGCATCGTGAAGAAAAATGCATTCGTGTGAACATGAGATGTTTTCTTTTCTTATTTGTCGTTGCTTTGAATCTATTTATCCATCGCAAATGTAAATTGAATATCACTATTTTTCTACAAGTGACAAGTGCAGAGTGAGAAAATGCACAAAATATCCGCTTACATCATTAGAATTGATTCAACGCAGAACCGTTTTGAAGAGTTCGAGTGTTCGTAGAAAGCGGACGAAAAAAGTTTTCATTGTGACACAATTTAACGCCCATGATTGACAAGTTGTCATTGCCCTAGTGCACTTAGGCGCTGCGTTTGCTCGCAGCAGGCGAGCTCAAGTCAAGCGAACGAAAGTGCTACGATGCCAATTAAGATTGCGCATGTAATTCAATCTATGGATGTTGGCTACATTTGCAATGGCAATATTCACGTTGAACGAACGAGCGAACGGCAGCGAGTTCCAAGAAGGCGTGCGGCACGGTTATCTTCAACGCACTTCCGGTCGCCGCCGGCAGAATTCGCTGACCGACCGATGGCCGCCGCTGCGCGATGGTTTTAATTACTTTTAATCAACAGCGACTCGCGCATGAGCGACGCAGATTGCAAATGACGAATCTCATCCTTACTTTGTGACGCATGCACATCTTCTGATCTCGTTGCGTTTGCAGCACTCCTACTAGAAAAGATTAAATGTTTTTCTGCCTTGCGAAGGAAAAAATGTTGAGCCTCGTCTTTTTTTACGTACTATGCTTCTGCTTCTCCGCTGCACTCTTAAGTGACTTTCTCAATGGCACTACTTAGTCAATATTTCAGTGTTTATTTAGATGTCTGCCAGATAGTTTTCTCGTGTTCTTCCACAAGTATGTACGTGTATGAATTAGGAATTGTGGCGAGATTGCCGCGGCTGTATCTTAGTCAATGGAAAGATGTGCGCGACAATAACAAAACAGCGGACGCAAACGAGCAATAAAACTGATTTTAATGATCGCTTTTAACGGCCTACAGTTGTTGCATCTCAAGTTTAAGTTATTAAATATTGGGCGAACCAGTGGCGTACGCGGCCGAATCGCACACGGTTAGATAAACATCGTAAAGTATATTGTAAACACATAAAAATTCGAAAACAGAAGTTATGCTCTTATCGGATCCTAGCTTGGTCAATGAATTTCTACTGAGGATGCTACTCGTTTTTGTCGAATATTGTGTAATCGGGGATGATTTATGATTTACGATGAAAGTTAACTTCTTTCCTGTTGAGGTTTTACAGAAAGTCTAAACTATTCACTTGCGTTGCTGTATCATTTTCGTTTGTAAATAATTATTAGTAAAATGCAGTATTTTTTTGTTGATTTTATTATTCGCAGATCTACTGTATAGAAGCACCAAAAGTGAATTCAGACTCATTCTAATTTAACAAATTCAATTTCATTTCCTTTTCAATGTGTGTGTGTGTGTGTAGGTGTATGTAGGGATTTACGAAAAAACGCAATTCGACGCAAGCTGTATCGTTCCACTTTCCCGACTATGTTTGTTGACTTCTGACAATGTTTACATCTAAAATTTATATAATATATTATCACCCTTTTATCAATCCCTTGAGGAGTGCCTCCTCCGACAAATTCTGCGAAAGTGTTATTTTTAATTAAAATTCTGCATCGTATTAGTATTCATTTAACTCGTTCCAGTGCATATAGAATTACAATGTGTTGATTCACGCTGTTAAAGTTTTGCGTTAATTATTATCTTAGGCGGTCACTTTAAACACACGAATGCATCGTAAACACAAATAAATCATAACAGACGCGCGCGCGCGCGCTCACACTCAGAAAGATTGGCGTGCGACGTCGACTTGCTTGGCGATTATTTAGATTTCAAATCTACCGACATTTCCTTCGTGCGATTGGGCGGACGCGTAATTGCTTAGCTCGGCTCGACTGACGAGACGAGGTTGGGCAAACATTAGTTATTTTAACTCAGCATTTTCTACATCCAATTGCACACATATGATATTTTATAGCGAGCGTTTCTTTAAGTCTAATTTTCTGAAAACTTCATCCTATACCTGCTTAAATTATATTTGCCAGGGTAAAAATAATAAACACATGCTTCAATGCTTGTAATAATATGTATATTCATCATAAAATAATAAAAATATAGTATTAAAAATTAAAAACGTTATCGAAAACGTTAAATAATATCAACTAATACTAAGAGATTCTTAACAATATCGAAGAATGATGCAGTGGAAATTGAAAATTATGAAGAGAAGTTATATGAAAGATGAAACAGGATAACTGCACTTAATAATTATTAAATTCAATCGTTTGCTGCTGCTCGGAGGTGTAAAATGGCAGCGTGTTACTTGCTTCCGGAAAATACTGATAGGGTGAATCGACCAAATACTGTTGCGACTGGTTGATAGGAGGCGAATATAAACTTGCTGAATTGTTCTGCACCAAGTAGCTCGTCGTCGTCGGGTAGCGCCCGATTTGTACTCCTGTTTGAGGTTTCGCTAATTGTTGTTCGTATCTCTGAGTGTAGTAGTCTGATACATGCGCGGCGCCAGCATCGAGGCACAGACGCTTCGGTTTGCAATTATTGTTCGCCTCGATGTCCGTATCTGTTTCCTGTCCAGGGTAATACGAAGTAGGGTACAACTCCGGGGAATAAGTAAAGTCATCATCTATAAAGTTATAGTCTGCGTGTTGATTAATCGGGGACAATTCTGAAGTGTTGGTTTGAAGTAAATTCGTTCGTAGCTTTTGCTCCGGAGAGATCATAGGTTGTGAGGGAGAAATTGTCGTAATTCCACATGAAATAGGACTCTGTCGGTCGCAGCTTGATGGTGATGTGGACTGACTGCGGGTACTGCATGGCGAGTCCTCTTGCTTCATGTAGCGCTGATAGGGCACATTGGTAGATATTTCTGGCGGGGTGGTCTTGTTCGGTTTGCGTCTTCGCGGCTGGTACTTGTAGTCCGGATGTTCGCGTTTGTGAATCACGCGTAGACGTTCGGCCTCCTCGATGAATGGTTTCTTGTCGACGTCACTCAAGTCCCTGCAACATTACGAGAAAAAAAGTGTTACACTTTAAACAATCAGAGTCAACATTGCGCAGATCAGTCGTATTACAACAGGACGCAATCGAATCGTAGTATCTCTCCTAGTAAATCTTTCCCCTTATTTTTGTATCTATTCCTTGGTGAAGCGAGATATACAAATATGTAATATAAACGTATGCAATTCTTCGTCTAGATTATGAGATCTGAAGCATATTTTATCACCTGTACAAATACAATTTCGTAAAAGAACAACTGTGTCATCAAGTAGTGCCGCCGGCAAGTCTCCTTACATTTTTATACGTACTATATACCTACAAGTTGTTTAATTTTAGGGATCATTCCCCTAGATCAAATAATAAAGTCGTTACAATTTCCAATTTTTGCATTATACGGATATGGAGATTATTATATTTATTTTTTTTGGGGTTCCAAGATGATTTGTTACGTCGAAACACGTTGAATTTTGTCTTTACGATTTTCTTTCTTGGTATTTGCTTTGTAAATTGTCGCAACTCTGTGATAAATGTGTGTACAGTAAACAAGCTGCGTACATACGTAATAATTTTATATACTTTTTATGATTTTCGACACATTCCTTCAGGTATTGTCAATTGGAACTAAAACAGCCGAGGCAGCACGTAGTTATTTACAAATAGGCAATGTTTTTTTAGTGGCATGTCGATAAAAGCCGTAAACAAATATTGCACAAATACGCCAGATTCTTTCTTCTCTCTATTTTGTGGCACGTTTTAGCTACCTTCTATAGGCATGTAATTTTTGGTTTATAACATTTTATTTGCCTGAATTTTTATTTAATTTTTTATTTCAAAATATATAGCACATATTGGAATGTTCGGAATGTGCAAGTGTGCGAATGACGGAAACATTTTGTAATTAAATCCCTATAGAAAATTACCGTTTAATTGAATGACAGATGTTGCATGCCCTGTTATTTTTTCATTCTTTCGTGAGCGTTGTGGTTTTTCAATCGTCATCGACGGGCTCGCTTCGGGTTGCCTTTGCGGCGCGGCGGGCGCGACTCTGCATATGACAAAAATCAAAACCCCCGCGAAGTTCGTGTGGCATGCAATCAACGTCGAAGTGCGCGCAGCAGGATGCCACGCTGAGTGCAGAGTATATCACCGCCGACGAAGAAGAAACGCCGTTCGATATTAAGTCAGCGAGCGCAGATTATTTAACAAAAACAATTTCGACTATCATTATCTCCTAATTTCGCCTTGTACATACTCTTATGCGTTCATTATTTATCATGACTGATCTGAATTTATCTTCTCAACCTCAGTGACAAGTAGTAAAATTACGCAAAATATTCTAATGAGTTTTAATTGCATCGAATTAGATTGAGACGAGAAAATATGTAACGAAAAATGGTCCCATATAAACATGAGAGAGTAAGTAAGAACTAAAATACACGCATGCACCACGCACAAGTAAATATGAATAATAAATATCGCTGAGATTTATTGAACTTGCCGTACAAGCAACCATACTGCCTTTGAGAACAGCAAACCGAAATGACGTTACCGATTATTTTATATCTCAATTTATGTATCCGGTATTATAAAATTATTGATATTAATGTTTTCCTAATACTAATACGTTATCAATATACGCTATACGCTGAACTTTTCTGCGTTAAACAAAAAGTAGGAGGTCCGAATGAATTGAAGTAGGTGTGCGCGTTTAATAAGCATAACATGTTTGCAATTTACATTAGTAGTACGCAAAACCTCGCTGTCTATTGGTTCCCACTTCATAGCTAATAAAGATGGTGGTCGAAATAAATTGTTTCTAACGTTGTCACAACCCACCACTTTGACGTAGATGCAATAAAATATTGACTCTACAATTATACATGTAGGTATTCTTTTCAATGCAAACATGAATAAAAGTTGTTTTACTTAGTAAATTTGAATGAAATTTAAAGTCAAAATTTCAGTCAATGACTTAAGGCCGTCTGCTACTATTGCTTATATGCAAAAGCGATAAAAGATGCAATGTTACACATCATTACCAAATCAAGTCACTGAATTTGTAAGCAAGTAGAGAAATGAATGAAGTTGCGTATCGTCATCGGGTCCGACGTCGCACATAAGCGGATAAAAATTTAATGCAACAACGGATATTGAAGCATGATAAAGCGGAGTTAAAAGTCACCGAGTCGATCGTTGACCGTTAAAAAGAGTTTAAAACGCATAACAAAACGACGCCAATTTGACCTTTTCATCGTAATGAATCGCTGATAACTGCGCGCGTTTTTACCGTGCGCTCGCGCTCTCGTCGCAGACTCCACGCTAGCGATAGCGGGCAAATCGGAATTCGATAATTTGAAAAGAAAAAAGTAATCAAATGTTATCATTATCGACACAAAAAGCAATGGAGGCCATCATAGCCGGAAAACTTCTGAATTCTGATAATAATGTAGGTGGTCTGCTAAAATATCAGGAGACAATTGAACAATTAGTAACTTACCGCCAAAGTTTTCCAAGTGTTTTCGACAGTTCAGCGTTGTGCAAATGTGGATGTTGGTCGGCAAGTTTTCTTCGAGCTGCTTGCGCCCACACCATGAATGCATTCATGGGACGCTTCACGTGAAGTTTTCGTTTGTCTGAAGTGGATCTGAAATACAACATCAAATTGCTGTTTAGTCATCTATTATTTACTTCGATTCGAAAAGATCCTCTTCGCGAGCACGTGCCAATAAATAGACAGTTTTTATAGTTAACACAACAATAATTAGAAGTGGCCGTGCGTGCCGCAAAATTATCCACGCTTTGACACTTCAATAAACCACTCGCGACGTTTTTTTTATTGCACATCCGAAGAATTTCACGCGTAATTAGGGGAACGCGACTTACTACATTAATACACAACTCGTCACTTTGCTAGCACCGTATTTGGTATTGTTACGAATTGTTATTTTTATTTTTATTGTCGCTTTTGTGGTCAGGACAGTCCATATCGGCAGTCACGAACTGTTACAAAAGGTGCGAAAATATATTGTTTCAATTTTACAACGTGCCGCGCGTATATTTCCATGTGCTTTTCGTTTTAAAAGCGCGATTTTCACGTAAAATTGCCTTTCGTAAAGGCAGCGAACACTCAAACTCATGCGAGTGAAAAAAATAATTTAAAGGAATGACGCGTTTTAAGTTAATTATCTCGGCACTGTTAATTAGAAAGACGATTTCGAGCGTTCGGCGAGCACAAACACGTGTTGCGATCTGTTGTTTCAGCAGCAGCACGTCTTAATTAGTTGGGATGACAAAAGTTTAGAGCGGCTAAGTGTTTTGCATTTTTTTACGCGCCTTTGCAAAATGTGTGCTTTTTATACAGGATTTTTGTTTTGGTTTTCACGCTTCTCCAAGCCTAACGGTTACCAAAAATACGTGATTCATGTTGACAGTTGAAAAGCAGTTAATTTTATTTTCTTCGCGTGTTTTAATTAAGCAATCGGCAATTATTTAAAGTCCCAGAAATTATTATTCATTAAACTTACTTAGTCGCAATAGGCATTAGTGTCCAGTCGTATCCTTTCAGGACTTTGGTCACTGCATCGTTGATGCCGTTCTTTTCAACCGACACGGGAGTATTGTCCATATTGGGGTTACTTTTCATAAGTAGGGAAAACGACGGTCCGTGACGACCCATCGGGGCGAGACCGGTAGAAGTCATTTCATCTTCTGTTTCAAAACTCATTTCGTGATATTTATTCACTATTATATCGGTTGTCCCTTTATTAATTACTTTTAATAAACTTGTACTTCACACACTTGATGCGCGCTGATAATCGTCGGAAAGCAAGTTCACGAAATCACAAGTTAAATGCGCTACGCCCGCTGAACTACTGAAGACGAAGCACGGCTTTTCGGGCATATTCATTCATCTCAGTAACTCGGTGCTGCGGACCGCGAGACGTACTTAAGTCTCAGCCAATCGCAGCGGTTTTGACGCCCAGCCACTTTTCGATTGGACGCGATTGGAAGCGAGGCAACGATAGCGCTTGTTCGGCTTAAAAGTTGCGCTTAATTACAAGCAGTTAGCAAATTCGTCTGTTCGCGCATCTCAGCGCGCTAGTTAATTATTGCAAAATTAAGTGCATGTGGATCAACTTAATAATCGGATCTCTCGGCAAACATAGCATTGAAGGTTATTATATAGTAATATTATTATATTTTAACAACAATATTGAATAAAGTTAACAATATTGATAAGTAATCATCATATAATGCATGTTAACAACACTCAAAGGAACGCCGCATTGGAAGCCTAATAATACCGATGATTTATAGTTTCTTGTGTCGGCATGCTCGTTGCACATTTCAGGAATATTTCTCTTCCGACGCCTTCGAATAATTTCGCCGGCCAAACGAAACACCCCATATGTCTGACATTCGGTTGCCGTATAGAATCATTAATAAACTAATTTGTCATCTTTTTCATTTATGGCCTTTCATGGTGTTCACCTACCGCGTTGATGAAACCAACGCACATTCACGTTTCATTAGGCTGGATTTGACTACAGATGAAAATTCATTCATGCGTAGGTACTTGTCGTGATATTCTCAACCCAAAAGCAAAGTGAAAAGTCAACTCCCTCGATCTCGGTGCAGTGGCACAGTATGTGTTTATTGCTGGTGTGCAGTTTCAGTTTTAGTAAACATCTTCACGACTTATTCTCGACTGCGGCGGCGGCGAGCAGAAAGGGTAAACGTAAATTTATCATAGCGCGCGTTTCCTTGGCACACGGCGGCCAAAATTGCGCTCTGTCGCGATGGCATCGGATAACGAACGTTTAGCCGTGCGCGCGGGGCGATCACGATTTGGATAGCATCGTTTCTATTTAAATGGTCATTAGTGTGCGCTAGATTCAGGTAGATAGCGGCGTGCAGAGCATCGACGACATGCGTCACGGCATCCGTCACGCCTCATAGATGACACATGCGTCGGCTCTAGTGATCCTGGCGCTCAAGGGAGCGCTGAGTACGACGGCTGCGCGCGTGATCTCCCTATTCTCTCACTGTGTGATGCGCACACATGAGGCAATTTTATGATTTGTGTGCATAGCGTCGGTAGGACCTATGGAGGAAATCCTGGTATGCTGCTTGCACTAGATTTATTTGTTAAAATACAAGTAACCGCTGCGTTATATGGCTTTTAAGTTACTCTAATTAATAATTTATTGTTAAAATTTATTAAGAAATAGAATGACTAGTCGTGTCGTAAAACTGGGAGATTTAAATTGTAAGATTTGCAACCAAACTTGCTTTTGATGTACTTAAGTTTATCAGCAATTTCATCTTTTCCTTACTTTATATTTGTGAATATAGAAGTCGACTGCTGTTCGACGAGCGCAAAGTAACGCGCAATTTCGGCGTGTGCCGTCGCAGCGTTCCCCTCCGCAAAAGTAAGCATCGGCTAGTACAACCTGTTTGTTTAAATCTCTTATCGTCAGTTGGTCCGCGTGCATGCTTCGTGGCTTGTCATGTTTCTGTAGTTTTGTTTCGTTAAATCGCGTTAAGTACGATTAATCAATTATAGGTAATTAAACTAGGTCCTGCCAGTTAGTGTGGTGTATCTGTATGTGCCATTACAATAGTCAAACGTGAGATAAAGCACATACATATTTACTATTGTACGGTGTGCGCGTGTTTCTTTATCTTCATCGCGACTAATTGCATTTCTGAAGATTTTAACTCGGTATAAGCATTAGAATCGTTTAGTTATCGATTGCCCTCAACTACTGACTAAATGATTTATCGTTAGTAGAGAGTGGACTCCAGAATTACGAGACCTCACCATGTGCGCGTGTGTATTCCGCCGGCCGATGAAATTTGTTGTTAAGCGCATCGCAATGGCAAAACCGCGTGACCGTGTGCAGTCGTACGCAGCTCCATTCCGGATACTAAATGAATCGTGAGCGTTCTTCGCGACTGGTTTGGTTTTAGCAGATCGAAATTGATCTATATTCAATAAACAATCGACTATAATACTAGGATTTATTGGAATTTTGCCAAATAATATGCGCATTTCCGTCGGCCGTCGGTGATTATTTTTCGCATATAAATAGAAGAATACACAGAAGAATATCATGGATTTGTATTTAATTCGAATAAATAGGCAACGTATGTACACAGTGAAGAAGTGTCCGAATTGAAGAGCCTTGCAGTTTGTAATATTCATTGCAGATGGTTTACAGTTGCGCATGTTTTAAGGTATATTTTCCATAGGATTTAATAGTCGCCAATGTTTTTCCTTAAAAAAATGTATGTATTTGTAAATGTTGCCAATAAAACCAATAATAATATTCTCATTCATATTTCTTTGTGGTATCCTCTTTGTTGTTTTCAGTTTTAAATAATATGACATATAAGTTTTATGTGTGTGCAGCGGTTATACCCGGTTATAACTAACTGTTTCTTGAATTGTGTTGTTGTTTTTAAAAACATGATTAAAGTAGAAACATAAATAGAAGAATCAAATAACAATAATAAAAACACTCGGTGGTCGAGTGGAGACGTGCACCTGCTGGCATGCTAGCAGACACGGATCGAATCCCAGGTATAGAAGGCATTTTTCTCAAATATAAAAATATCAGGTGAAATTTGGGTTGCATATATGAATTGCAACGAAATATAAGAGAAATTGAAATTCAAGTGGAGGCAATAAGAGAAGTAAGAAATTAAATGGAGAACGGGAGAACAGAGAAATAGAAGAATGAGAGTAGTAGAGAATAGGAGAAGATAGAAAGAAGAGAACAACAGAGGAGTAGAGTAGAGAAGAGGAGGAGATAGAAGAAAGAGAGAGAACAGGGAGGATCATATTTTTAAATTTTTTGGCACGTGTCGTTATAAGACAGTCTACAGTCGATCTCCCAGAGCGCCTCCGGCGCTCTGGTCGATCGCCCACTGCTTCGATGCGTCCATTGCTCCCGGCCCATCCTACAGCTACGATGTCTCTGCGCTTCATCCCCGAAATTATCAGGCATATCAACAATTTTTATGGTGGGGGATCACCCCCAGAGAGGGGGAACTCCTTATAAGGACAATCCTTATAAGGTCTTGTTCAAATATTTCTAAGTTTTAAGTCGCCTCAAGAGCGATGACACTTAAAAATATTCTTACAAGTTCTGACCTGTAGCTGAAATGAAAGAAGGAGTGCACAAATCATACAGGTTACCTTAACAATTTTTATAGAGGGGATCATCCCCTGAGAGAGGGAACTCTCTTAGAGACCTCTACCTGAAATGATAGAAGGGGTACATTCAAAGGATAAGACATAATATTTCTTAACATTTCTTTATTAATAAATACAATGTAAAATAATACAACTTTAGATTTCACAAGTCAACAGAATACGTGCCGCCATATTGAAACTGGACTTACGACCCGCATAGCCGCGCACATGCAAGTAAGCACTACTTTGCAAAGTTCTACCGGGTTAATGAAATTAACAAATAGCCAATTTTTTCAGGTGATTGAAAATGGAAACAAATATACAGGGTGTTACAAAAAGAAAATTTGAAGTGCAAACAGGAAAACATCTAAACACTACAAATATCACTCGTTTTTCACCCGATGACCTGGGGGGAAACTAATATACAGGGAGTTACAAAAAGAAAACCACTTCATTTTAGAATATACGTCAACGGCAAACTTTCAAACACTACAAATATTGCTATTTTCTCACGTGACATAAAGGAAAATTGATATACAGGTTTGTTGCAAAACAAAAATTCAAAGAGAAAGCGGGAAACATCTAAATACCACAAATATTGTTCGATTTTCACACGATATTACGGAAAACTAACATACAGGGTGCTACAAAAGGAAAATTTATGCAATAAAAAGCTAAAAACAACAATTGAATCAAAATTTTTCTGGCACAAAGAGAAACTAATATACAGGGTGTTGCAGAAAGAAAATCATGAAGAACTTGAATACATAATATGTACTTGCAAAATACATGCCGCCACGTTGAAAGAAGTCTTGCGGCCAGCAAACGCTAGCACATGCTACAGGTTCCTAAGGACCTCAGTGAAAACTAATATACTGGGTGTCACAAAAAATTAAATATTATTTTTAAGAACATCTGAAGCAAGAAAACATATCTTATCACTTTTTACATACGATAAAAAAAATTGGTATATAGGGTGTTACACAAAGGAAATAATAAAATTTAAAAAGAAAATACAAAGTTTTGGTAGGAGAACATTTAGCTTGACCACGTTTCACACGACATGACGGGAAACTAATATATAGGCAACAGCAAAAAGAAAAACCTAAATTCACACGGACACAGTAAAGTATTAGGTAGTTATTTTTTCAAGATTCTACAGGAGGGTATTTTATACAGGATGAGGTCAAAAGAAAAACTATGATTCAAGTATGAAAACGAACGGGCACAATAAACAGATTGATATAAAATGAAAACAATTTCATGTTCAAATTTATATTAAAATTTATCATTTAATATAAAACCTTTTTCGCCCCCGGATATCAAGGAAAAGTAATGGATTTTAATTACAAAAGAAAACACAAACATGAATTTTAATGTACATTATGTAGAACATAATGTCAGCATGCGACAATCTTGAAATATTGAAATATGTTTGTTCATTGAACGCGATTAAAGGCAATATTGATTAAACATTCGATTGAAAAATGCAAACATGCACATATACAACATCGTATCTCATATATAACAACAATTATTAGCAACTTGCCAATGCAAATGGATAATGCAATTCATAGATAAGTATTGAAACAGAGAACAGATGTATGACTACGCGGTTGAACCGAATAAGTTAGTATGTTATACAGCGGATTTGTTCCTCGTATGGTTGAATAAGTTCGAGAACATACCTTGATAGAAAATAAAATTTTCACTTTGGTGACATGCAGCGTATGATGTAGGAAGCACTTTAATTATTCACATAGTATAAGCGATGATAATTCCAAACTGAATAGGGGCAAGGCGATGTTGATATGGACTCATCCTATCCGACGGACGACTGTTCATCACTCCTGCACATGTAACTCTGTTTAGGTTCAATCCGCTTTTAACGAATTCCACACCTCCCTCACACTCAGTCGAACAGTGTAATGGCCACCCGCAATTAGGAATATTGCGTAACAAAACAAAGAAAAATTGAAAAACGTACGGTAAAATAAAAGCCCGTGCGAATCACCTGACTATAAAAATGAGACTAATAGCCAAACGCGTGAGTTGACAACGTGGAGGCTGCACACAAGTTGAACGAGATAAGAAAAACTTGTTTGTTTGTACGCACAGGCAAGACAGTGTAGTAACGTGGAAACGAAAACAATTCTAGTATGCATTAAATGTTTTGGTTATTATGTATTTACTGAACGATTATCAGAATCACAATTAAGAATTCTCGACTATTTCACTATTGTAAATTTCTAATTACTTCGTGAAAGTAATGCCGTTGCAGCGTATCCTGAAAACACCAGAAAGGATTTAACAAAAAATATGAACGAGAATAAAATCTTAATACGTTTTATTGATAAAATCATTTTTATAACTAATGCAATTCAGAAATGATAATACAAATAATATTAAAGAGCTGTCAGAAAACAGAAAACTAAAACATACTTGTTATCATGGAAACTACAGTTTAATTTACACTGATTACCGGAAACCATTTTCGCCATTTCAAAACTAGCAAAATGGTAAAAGATAAAAAAAATCAATCCAAAATCAAAAAACCGTCGATATCTGCAGGTTCAAAAGGGCAAAAAAACTTTTACTATGGCAAGGATTCATTCACCCTCCCTAATATGGATACTTACGTAGGTGAATATTGTGCACATCGCAATGGAATGATTTGGCGAGAAGGTCGGGGTTCCTACAAAACACAAGACGGACACATTTACGAGGGACTATGGCGTGATGATAAACTAGTCGATTTGAGACCAATCAAAATTTCTTACCCGAATGGCAACATATTTGAAGGAACATTAAGCAAAAACAAATACGAAGGCAACGGAAATGTTATTTTCCCTGGTGGCCTAAGATTATCCGCTAATTTTAAAGCTAATAAACCTGTCGGAATGTTTCATTTGATTGACTCAACGGGGCAACTCTGGAAGCAAATACCACAAGATGAAAAAACAAATTTGAAAGCCACAAAAATTATTTGTCGTCCAGAGCAAATCTTTTTTAATAACATACATCCACTGCGTGGCGTTAAAAAGCAAATATTGCGCGATATCGAACCGGCCTGGGCTACTGAAGGTACAAGTGATATGAGTGATACCGATGAGGCATCAGAAGAAACTGTAAACTTGACAGAAAAGGACTGGGAGAAAATCATATTTGCCAAAAAGCCTAAAGTTGACGATACAATGGATTGGGAGAATTTTCCGTGGTATCAAAGTTTCGCAACTTTTAAACATAGACGGCAAACAATTCTTTCTAAGGTTGAACATCATGAGACACTAACTGATGATGAGAAAAAGTGGTACGGTCGGTATGCAATGTCGCGAAGGCAAAAGCGTAACCAGCTAAACTACAACGAAACTGTTGATACGAATCAAACCGCCTTATTAGAAAAGTTCTACAGCGAAACTCATAGACAGAGTGCTAAGCCATACTCAACTTACTACCCTACATACTACTGGCATACTCCACAAGAAGAACAGGAAACTGACGAAAGTCTGCAAGAATATACCGAGAGTATTGAAGAACAACCAACAGAACATTTTGAGTACATATTTGAAGAACCAAGCAGTGAAGAGAATCAAGATTTAGAAGAATGTGTAACGCCAAATCCTTCCATTGCATGTGGAACTAGTTCATTGTTTGGTTTCGTCGAGACTGCAACAGGAATAACACTCAATAATCCTTGCAAATCACAGCTATAAAATTCAAAATGTTTATATAACATCACTTTAAACAATAAATAAAAATGAATGAGTAATTATTTCTTTTTGCGCTTTTTAGCGTTAACATCAGTTTCTTCTTCATCGGCGCTAGGCGTTGGGACGACAATTTCGGACATTTCTTCATTATCTTCAGTCATTAGTGAATCATCGTCCTCTTGTTGCCCCACGTGTTTCTCTAGTCCTTTAACCCGAAAACCGCGAACAATTCCAATGCCCAAATTGCCATATACTTCAACTTTAGTTTTTATTGACAACTGCAACACAGCTTTCTTCAAACTTTCGATTCCAAGAATCACGTTCGGTATTGAGCGAATGTGTTGAACTTCTGAGGATTCTTCTATGGATTGCATCAGCTGATAAACCGCTGGGACGAGTTTCTTCATTGTGTGACGCACCAACCCATCAAAACTTCGGAGAAAATAATTAAACAAATGTAACTTTTAATCAAAGCTTCACTTACTTTGCACCATGGAACGCTAAATTTGAAGGTGTTGAGGTGGAATGAAAATAATTCGCTAGAGTGGTCAAGAGTTTAAAAATAGAAATAGTTGTTTGAAGTATTTTTTCCGTCAGAGACCCAGGTTGTTTTTTGTGATCCAAATTATTAATATTTGTTAGCAAAGTAATAACTTCAATTAGTTTGCTGCACGTATTTCGCTCTTTCCGTTTTACTGCCAGATGATCTGTAGATACCATCAGATTAAAAACGTTGTAAAAAAATTATACAATATATGCTCTACCTGCTGTCGATGCATCTACATTTATAAGTACGAAGTAATCATATTCCAATTTAATACGTTTTATAATCCAATTGATGTCATCATGGTGATTTTTCAACTCATTGAGCACAGTTTGTAGCACAACAGTGGAATTACTATCATTTATCATTGCCATATCGGTACCTTCTGCGGTGGCTTCACCATTAATCCACCCGATTGTAGAACCTAATGCGGAAACAATCAGACGCAACACAACAGCCGATGAAGTAAATCTCATTGATGTGTTTATAAGACACGCAACAAAATTGTTCGCAGCCACTTTTGATGGTAACGTCTTTTCACGGCAAATCTTTTTCATCCAGTCAATTAACTACAAATTAAAATTCAGAAAAACGAGACACAAAATAAATCACACTTACCTTATTTGCAAAATTTCTATCTGTTTTAGGAATCTGATTTGCAAGCAAAGCAATAATGTTAACCATCACCACACTTATCCGATTACTATCGTTGTCATCGGTGACATCAAAAGTGTTAAACAGTTCCTGAAAGGTTTCTATATAACGCTTCAATTGTTGCGTATCCATAGACCTTGTTTCATCAGACTCAAAAATGGTTTGTGACAAAGTTTCCTGGGTTTTGTCACTAATATATTGTGATATGACTAGAACTTGATAAAATGCTTCTAGTGTTAAAGCAGCAGTTGTACAATCAAATTCGCGCAATTGTTCTTGCTTCAAAACACAGTAGGTAAATAAATTATTTTCGATGGATTGAAAATGTTTTTGGCAATAATGTTTTGCATCTAGTGGAAAGTTTTTGCATTGTTTCGTTGTTTGCGCTGTGTTAATGAACGACTCTAGAATATAATGATGGAATGATACCAACACTTTTAGAACATCTGCGCTTCCGGCCCACGATACAGAATCACTGTACAATAGCTCAATGGCTTTGTCTAGACAATGAAGCGGCATAATAGAATTTGGCAGTTTTATTTTTTTACCGCCAGTGCCAGATCTTGAAGAAATGGTAACGGAAGACCGGCTTACACTCGTGTCCTTCTTTTTGCTTTTCTGATACTGTCGTAGATAATCACCGAGACGTTTATGGGCTTTGAACAAATTTCTTATTACTTGCTCAGGATTCTCCGATTCGCGCGACCATGAAAGAATGTAATAAGTCATAAATGCGTCGTATGTGTTCAGAGCTTCATGAAAGACATAAATTTGCATCTGAGCTTCTGCGGAACCATCAGTCAGGACGATATCTTGGTCGTATGTAAAATGTTCAACGTCACAATTAATCATTTCGGAAACAATGCTATCAAAGTCTGTTCGGTAGTTCTCAATTGCATTTTCAGGTAAATGAATAAATAATTGGGCAAGTGCCATAACCATATGTGACACGGACCGAATCGGTAACCAATCGTTGCCATCCAGTTTGCTGATATTTTCGAAGTTGATCGGTGGTAACACCCCCGTAGTATTACGTAATTCAATAACCGCTTGCCATAAGAAATCCCAAATGCTGGTGTTAAGCTCGGGATTCTCTTCGACTGCTCCAGTTAGTCCTTTAAACATATGCACTTGCGCTTCTACTTGTAAACGGAAAACGCGTTGCAGATTTTCGATGACCTCTTTGCAAATTGCCTCATTGCTGAACGTGCACTGTGATGAGTTAAAAGTACGCGATAATGAAATTTGAGTCGAAATTGACACTTGTGAACTTTGGGAAGGTTGACTCAAAGAAGAACCCGAAGAAATCTTAAGATACTTTAACAACTTCAGGTATGTTGTTACCACATTCATTTGCGACTCAAGTTTACTGAAAATTCAATTGTGTTAAGATTTAAAAATAAATAAATTTAAACTTTTTACTTGGCATAGCATGACTTCTGAAGCATCACCATTGCATGTTCTTTGATGCTAGGGCGATGGCGCGCCATGTTCATCATTACTTCCAAAAAAGCATTGGCCTCATAGTTTGACATGTAATTAAAATAATTGAAAAACTCCATCACTAGCGGCATGTTTTGAATCATGAAATATTTAAACTTCGTCGCAATCTTGGCAAAACAATCTAAAACGTTTACACTTGAGATAAAATATTTAACTATTTAAACTAAATAACTTACCAATTATTAAAGAAGCATTGCGACCAATGTATAGAGCATCCTTCAAACCGGTAATAACACTTTTCACCATATCAGTTCTACTCTCAACAATGCGAATCAAAATAAACGTTGCGGTTCGACCTAACTTCGCGTACGCATCTTCACTCCCTATTTGAGGCATAGAAGTTAACAATACAAATGACACATTAACCAGGCCTGTGATAACAACATCACGATCATTTCTGCTGTTATCAATCGCCTGTTTTATTACGGTACTCAAATCGCAATGATGTGAAATAAGTTCATTGAAAAAGCATCTGTTCCGCATTTCTTCCTCAATATAATATCGAATCATTGCCGATTTGATAACATCAATCAATTCGGGAATCTCGTGTTCGGTGGCGATTATCACCAAAAGCGTAAAATTGAATGGATGCAAAATGATTTCATAAAGTTTAGCCGAGTTCTTCAAGAACTCAAGATAATTCTGCACACTTTTGCAGGAAACCAGCCTTGAGATGTGATAGAAAACATTGCCTTCGCTTTCAATCAACTTGTTGTGCAGTCGATCCGTATTTGACATATCCGTGTTATAAGATTCACTGTACACCGATCCGAGATAACTCCTGCGGTCGTATATAATACCCCCGTAGTGTTGTTGAAGGCTTAGCAGAAGTTGTGGCCCACTAGAGGAGGCTAGTTTCAAAAGATGGTACATGAGTGGTGGAATTGTATCAGGATCCAGACATTTAATACATCCCATAAACTTTGAAATTACTCTCCGGTTTTCCTCCGGTGTAAGTTCCACATTTCTATGATAAATAAAATAAACATATTTACATTATATTTTATGAGTTAGTTTGATATGAACTCACAAAAACATTTCTGCCAGCAAAACAATGTTATCCTTAGACCATTTCATCTCTAATAATTTTTTTATAACTTCAACATTGTAGTCGTTTCCAGCCATTAAATCATCTTGATATTCAAGTTTATCACACAGACTTATTTCATTCAATATTCCTGGTATTAAGTATTGCCAACTAAATACAAAAAATACATAATATTAAATTAAATGAATGACAAAATATGCAAGTACAACCTGTCGTTTTTATTGGGTTTTTCAACTCCTTCGAGTAAAATATTGCATATTTTAATCAAATGCTGAGGCTTGAGCATGCCTCCATTTATTTGATCACTAATCTGATTAAGAATTTGTCGATGTTTGTCATCGTCAATTTGTACTTGCTGCAGAAGCTTTAAACACTTTACAATGACCTTAGTTTTCTTTGTCACTGTCCACTCAGCATCACAATCAAATGCGAGAAATAAATATTCCAAGAATTTGTTAAATTTTTCAGTTTGAATCAACTTCTCTAACTCTAGATGGATCTATAATTTTATATTGATTATCAGGCGTACAAGAATAATAATTATTGAGTCAAAGACACTCACCGTTTCTGTTCTCGTTTCTTGAACTATCTCTTGAAGAGCTTCAATGTTGCCCGCCTTGGCTAGTTGGAAAACTGTTGCACGGAACGCCATAGTTGTTTATACAGTCTTTAAAAAGATTGCCACTGTTTTGAAATTGTTACTTTTTTCTTTTTTATGATTAACGATTCAAATTTCCCTGAGCGGCTAACCTCAAAATGTGACCAACTGCACTTGTTGAATTAGAGCGGGCTTCATGTAGGTACGCGTTGGACTCCAATCCTAACGGACATTTTAAGATAGGCAATTTTATTAACATCAGAAACTGCATCTCTCAATTAACAAAAGGCGAGTCACCAGCAGTTAAGATGTGGTCCAAAAAATGAAATGGTATTTTCCAAAAACTTTCTTGTGTACTTTCACTGATTTACAATTACAAAGTCTAACAATTTCCAATCTCATTAATAAATTACAACATAGCCAAGAAGTCTTGTCCAGCTTCCTTATTAGTAATGTTTTCATTTATTATAGTTTACGTCTTTCTAGCCACATATCATTTTCATATTTATCTAATTTTTTACATTGTCTTATTTGATCGGCGTCCAGTATCAGACACAAACAGAACAATCGATGCCAATTATTTGCAATTATTCGAGAAATTTTTTTAAATTCACGTTTATTTTAACATATGTAATTTAATTATTCGATTGGATTCTTTGATGACAGCAGAGCAGGATTGACAGAAATTCCATTCGATATTATCCACATGGAAAAAATCAATTGTATCAATCGTCATTCCATTTACATAAAGGTTATAGGTTTTATTTTAATTAATGTCTATGTTTTCTTTGTTTTGTGTTTGTATTAAAAAGTCAAATAAACATTTGAAACGAAATGATGCTCGTAACCAATACGCTATGATTGGAATCATGATGTAAATTTCATTTAGAACTGAAATTCGATTTTTAAGTTACATAAAAAGAAAAAATAATGAACAAATGTGCAAACTGAATTTTAACACTCATGTCTCATGAACTCTACCGCCACGATCACTCTCGTTTCACCATGAATATGTTGATCGTCCACACCAGCAAATAACCGTGCAGCAAAACATTATTTAATTATGACCATTCTCATATTCGATATTTCAATACTCCATTTTCTGATACAGTAATCTATATATAAAGTATAAAAATTAAAATTACATTCTTAAATACTGGCAGTGTGCCCGCCACATTTTTTGTATTATTTTTTTCATATTAAAATAAAATATTTTATCACTTAAGGTACATATTTCTTTCCTCCTTTTCAATTTGTGTTTATTGCGTTTTGCCGTTTGAGTGTCGACTTTTGCAAATTCAACAAAAATCGCGACGGAATCTTCGTTTGCATCATTGTTGTATTTAGCTGGTTTCCGAAATCTGTAAGTTTTAATACTGACACCGAATTGTCGCAATTGCTTAATGTTTCAAGTGTGAAAAGCTATTCGGCAACTCATTCACACATCTCATCATTTCGTTCGTTTCGTTACAGACACACACACTCAGTATACGTTTTGGGATTCGTAATGAAAATAAGAAAATTGGCCGCAGCGCGCCTACCGTTTCAAGTTCACCTCGGTTATCCTCCTAATTGAAATAATAATAAATAACGAAAAACTTGCCAATTCAATCAATAACCTAACCGTGAAATCACAGTCTCATAAAATAATAAACTAAAGGTCCACCTAAGGATGATACCCTCCGGTGTCAGTATGTCGCGTGCGTTCGCTTGAATGTTAACATCTAGATGAGTTTAGTTCGCGGCGGGTGCAGTCTTTGTAACTGGCGCTACAACCACCGGTGTCATGTTCGACTCAGCGGCAGTCACCGATGGGCTAGTTACCGTTTCGCTGGCGGCGTTGGTCCTCGTTGCAGTCTCACCGGGCGCTTCGTGACTCTTGTTGCCAGTGTGTTGTTGATTATTCCTGTATCCGCCACGGTAACCTCCTCGGAAACCCCCTCGGTATCCGCCACGGCCACGATAACTTAAGAGAAAATTGAATTATTCCATGCTTAAAAAATGATTTTAAAGACGTACCTTCCACGTCGTGCTGACGCTACGCCGAATGTTTCAGAGTTCAATTTACGCTCCGTGCGCCAATCAGTCCTTTGCGATCTGCCTTTCGATCGCTCCACCGCCTCGCAAGATATGTTGTCGAAGAACGACTTGGTCTTATCGTAGAACGTTCCATCAACGTCCTCCTCCAGCTCGTTCTCACCGGCACCAGTCTCATTGCCAGAGTCATCCTTCTTGTCAATGTCTGGCGGCGCGCCACCGCCATTCAACTCTGGCTTAGGGGTGTCCTCAAGCTTGGTTTTCGCTAGTTTACCGCACATTTCTTCAAACTGAGTGTTCGCCTGCTCGAAATCATACTCCTTGTCGAATGTAATTTTTGGCTTTCCGCCTTGTCCCTGGCCTTGCTGTCGGTTTGTGGGCTTGAAGCCGTTGCTACCTTGAGGTCCACCAAAGTTGCCGCCGCCACCTCGTGGCCTGCCACGAGCACGTTGCCGCATTGGACCACGTGGCACCCAGTTGCCCTGTCGCTGCTGCTGTTGCATTTGGTGATGATGTTGTTGCTGATGTTGGCCACCCTGATGATACGAATGATGATTACGATGTTTGTTATGATTTTTGCGATCCTAATTAATTTTAATAATTTTAAACATTCTCAACGCTTCTAATTCGATTGAACACACAACACGGAACCTTAGTACGAATTATCATTTAGTTTGTTACGAAAATCGAATACAGCACAAAGTTAATATTTTTTTAAATCAGAAGCGCATTATATCCAATCCAGTTGTATCGGTCTACACCGAGGGACAACCGAACTGCCGCAATACATCTTGTACGGCTTCAGGACCCCTGCGCGTCTCATCATTTTCAATTGTTAATATTGTGAATTAATCCAACAACACCTGTTGCTATTACACGTTGCATGATTGATAGAAAAAAAAAAACGACGACTCACCTGAGATTCTCCGCGTGAATCACGACGGTCCTTTCCTCCGCGTGGTGGTTGAATGGGTCTGATAACTTTCTTTTCATCCTTCTTGCCGCCCGCTTGAGTTCCCTGCTCGGTTGTCGAAGACTTTCGCGAGCCCACGCTGGCAGGCGTCGTGCTCCTCGACCCGCCTCCTATTAAATCTAGAAATGCTGAATACTGAGTTATCTCATTTACGCAAAACGTGCAAAGCAAACAATAAAGCTTACAAAAAGCAGACACAGGCAAGATGTACAAAACAGCAATCGGGAATGTGAAAAGGATTTAATGATTGCACATTTGGAACCGACAAAATGCTTGATTCTTTTTACCGAATATTCCTCAATGACATCATGGTTGCAAGAATTTCGAGTGTTTAAAAAATGTTCAATGCAAAATACCTAAATAATTTATACCCATTTTTTTTTTACCTAATCATGCTGTTCTCAATTTCGATACTATGTACAAACATCCAGCCACTAAAGCCACATCGAGCGCTACGCAAACATTTTCCAAACTCAAAGAAATAAATATCGTGATCGCTTTACCGTTTTCGTTAGGTCGTGGCGGTTCCATAACAGCAGGGGACAGATGTGGAGGGGGCACAGGCCCAGGCATATTTAACTCACTTGGCTTGTTGTTACCCATGGGGCCGCGCATTCCCGGCGCTAGGGCTTCCATGGCACTGTAACCTCCAGCAAATTGGCCCATCTGACCCATACCTGGATGCGGAAAACCTTGTGCCTGGAATGGTTTGTTGCTGAGCGGATTTGGCACAGACAGTTGCATAATTGCGGGATCATTAGGCATTGATGTGACATTGTTCACCACACGAATATCTTTGATATCAGACCCACGGAACAAAATGTAGTCATAGACTTGATTTTGCGGCGGAACAGGATAATTAGTTTCCCGCTCCTCCGTGCCGAACGAACGCACTGTGAAAGACAAAGAACCATTAAAAAAGTAAAACCACTATGTACACAATTGCTTTGTTTATGATCAAATGCAATTATACAGGTAAATTGATAAAAACGCAGCAAAGTACGACCACTCGCGTTATTTCACGCAGTTACGCACTTAGCATAAAAAACAACCGCGCGAATATGACTCGCAAGAGAATGACGCACAAAAAAAAAAGCGCTTACCGGCAGCCAAAGCGATTGTACATTGTTGTGGATCAACAGTAAATAAATGGCCCTCGTATCTAATATCGGCTTTCGATATTAGGCTGATTTTGGAGCCCAGCTCCGGCATTCCCGTACTCATGATGAAGTTTTCTCGATGATGGCAGGATGCACCAGATTCAGGCGGATTCCGATCGGGAACTAAAGAATTTCTCAAACGAAGAATACACAAATGGCGTTCTCAAACAGCTGGAAGAAGTGACGTATAGAAGCGTTTTAGAGGGCGCTGTCAGGCTTGTATTCTGCACTACCAACTGAAATATTTATTTTTACTGAAGAACTTTAAATTTCATTTATAATTTAGTTATAATTATATTATAAATATATATTATGAGTGCGCTACTAACTTTTTCTATTTAATTACTTTTAACTTTATTCTTTTCTTTATTACACAATAATTAATTTTAAGTACATTTTTCATATTATTTTAGTACTCATATTTGAATAAAATTATTAAACTTTTATTTATTAAATTGTTCATAGGAAAAGAAGAAAAGTTTAAAACTTATGATTTTCCAATTGGATTCTCAACGTAATCTGTCATATGAACTAAAAATCCCTAACACGGCGATTACGTAAACTGTCAAAATATTACAACTTTTATTCCTTTCCGATTACGAGCCACGGGGATTCGCATTCGGTGTTGCAGGAATCCCTTTACAAAAGCAACCGTGGATGTAAAATAATTCCGGTTGTGAAGGAGAGATAGTTTGTAAGAGCAAATTACAACACCGGTGTCAAGTCTAGTGTCGACCAGTCAGAGGTCATCATGGCAGCCGTTGGAAGGATATGTGCTGGTGCAGGCCTTTTAAAGAACAATAGTCTTTTAGCAAATCAAGTACGTGAGTTAATGGCACCCCAAGACACATCAGTTACCCTGTATAAACGAATTAAATCGATGCCCGCTCCATTGCAATGGTTCTATCATTGAAACTTTGTACCCACAAAGTGGACCAGTTTATGTAACCACACTTAAAATCATACATCTCTCATAACACTTTGGCATCTCATGTGAGCCGAATAATTACTATGAAACCAATTTCAATTATTGCAATCGTTTTCAGATTAGTGCATATTCCACGACTAGGGAATGGACGAAAGGACGTAAGGCCGTAAGTTAATATTTGCACTTTTCTTGGTTAGAAAAGTAATTAAATACACACCAATGTATACACATTCACACATATGTTGGTATTGCAGATCTTGGCCACTATTGGCGCAATCGCTGGAGGCGCTGGTGCGCTTGCATTGGCTCTGGATCAATCCGTGAAGGCGTCCGATTTGGAATTGCATCCCCCAAAGAACCCCTGGAGTCATCAAGGCATCTTCTCGTCGCTGGACCATGCCAGCGTACGCCGCGGTTACGAAGTGTACAAGCAGGTGTGCTCGGCTTGCCACTCGTTGCGCTTCATTGCCTACCGCAACTTGGTTGGTGTGACTCACACTGAAGATGAAGCCAAGGCCGAAGCCGAGGAGGTAATGGTGACCGACGGACCGGATGATACCGGCGCCATGTTCCAAAGACCTGGCAAACTGTCAGATTACATCCCAGGACCTTATCCCAATGAGGAAGCCGCGCGTGCTGCCAACAACGGTGCTTACCCACCCGATCTTAGCTACATTGTATCTGCCAGACACGGAGGTAACAATGCATACACCCATCACCCACCGAACACAGTTTAACTAATTTTCTTTGCATCACAGGCGAGGACTACATTTTCTCCCTGTTGACTGGTTATTGCGATGCGCCTGCCGGCGTCGTTCTGCGTGAAGGTCAGAACTACAACCCATACTTCCCTGGCGGCGCCATTTCCATGGCACAGGTGCTTTACAATGAGGTGATTGAGTACAGCGACGGCACACCAGCCACTGCCAGCCAATTGGCAAAGGACATCGGTACGTTCTTGAAGTGGACCGCTGAACCAGAGCACGACGATCGCAAGTTGATGACAGTGAAGGCGATCGGCATCTTCACGTTCCTTGCGGCCGCTTCATACTACATGAAGCGTCACAAGTGGTCAGCGCTCAAATCGCGCAAGATCGAATTCTATCCGAAACGAAAATAAGGAACTAAATTTTAAACGATATTTGGTGACGACGTGGGCGCGAACCGCACCGAGCGTGGTTCGTTCCGACGGTGGTCCCGCATCCCTAGATCAATATCTTTAGCATGGCCCGTTTCAGACTACCATTGAAATAGTGTAATTGTGGATAATCGCTTTCCCCTTTTACGGGGGCTGCGAATATCGTCCTCATTCATTTTAAGTATGTTACCACACGAACAGTGTACGACTCTATTTTGTTCTCTTTATACATCTGTTATCAGTACGTTTGGCTCTTAACTTATAAATTATTAATTAATTATGTACATACAATTAGGTGAGATTATAATAAAAGCCACGCAAAACACAACCGCTGCGGATTGCACTCGATAGAATACTAATACTAATACCAAGACTTTTGTTTCGCTATAATTTATGAAAAGTATGTGCATTGCAATCCAACTTAACCGAAGGGGTCTGTTATAACACACTATAAAGGCCAAGGACGAAATGGCTGCCATGTAATTTGTTACGATAATAAAACGTAGCATCTACCTGGAGTGATATCGATTTTTTTACATCCGTATCGATTCATTTTACAAATCTCCCAAAACAACCTCCTTTCTCTCTTAAAAATGGCTCACATTTATATACGAGTAAATAAAACGATAAACAGGATTAAAAGTACTCCCCGCGTGTGAAAGGTGCGGAAAAAACACAGGATATTTGTTACATAAAATTAATAATTATTTGTTGTAGTGTTTCTTATCTGCAGACGATATTAATTAGTACAGCAAGTAATTTTTCAAGAATAAAAACGGAGCAATCGTTACTAAGTAAATTCATTCCATGGTAAAAGTGACAGTATGCCTAAACATAGCATGAATAACAATTATCTTGAAAATGTAATGTGATAGGTGTATAATCGACTGGCGGCGTTCATCCGTCGTAATATTCAATCGAGAAATAAAACACTCGGTTTCGTCGACTCTCGCAAAGTTAATTCACTTCAACATCTACATAATAACTTGTAAAATTAATGCGCGGGGTGTTCAATGCGATAATTCTGAACTTGTAACAGAACAACGCATTGCATCAAATGGTATGCTATATTTGTAATTATTCTATTGCCGAACAAGTGTTACAATAAAATGTCTAAACGCGGTGAGAACGGTCGGCGTGTTTTGCAGACGTACTTATAATAAACACGTACAACCACAACGAAAACGTAGACCCAACAAAAAAGATACTTCGATAGCGGTGACGATATCGCGAGCGCGCATGAAACTACGCCCGATTATAACAATTTATTGTTCTTAGCCATATAATAGTGATTTGTTTAGTGTCCTACTCAAAAACAAAGCGAAACATTTAGCTTATTTATAAAATATGTATGTTATATGTAAATCAAGAGATGCAGCATGTCGCCTAATGGTAACTTCTGCGTCTTAAAGTGTTACCGTGTTAACTGCATCGTGCGTAATATGGGTTGGCCCACTAAAGAGCGGATGAACGCCGCGCGGTCGTCACTTTTAGCAAGAATCTAGGCGCGAATGCGTCACGACGCCCGATAGTGGCTTGCGGTGTTGTTGTTGTGATGGTAGTTAAATGCTGTACACTTATTCGAAGCAATGGACACGGTTGTCGTGCATTGCGGTAGGTATTAGATTGGTGGTTGACGTTGTAATAAGATTTGCCAAGTCGGGAGGCTAGCTAAAAACAGCTGCCCTCCGGTGGCTGCGTCAACTTCATGTTCTCTTTGACGGTCATCAGACGACGCAGCTCTTGCAAGACAGTCTTGATTGTGAAATCACGTTGCCACCGTGCCAGCACGGGTACCTGCCTATTATCAACCTAAATTACAAAGCACCATTAATATCATTCAAATTGACTCAACAGCAAATTTAAATTTGTGTCAAAAATGAAAATCTAATAAGATTCCAATCTAATCCAACTACAATCAAAACAAAATTCATATTGCTTAGAACAAATTGAGTTTTATCAGTAAAAATATAGCAAAGTGATCATAAAATAGTAAAATATTAATATAGAAACAGCTCTGGAAAAAAGTAAAGATTAAAGTATACTTACAACACCAGTCTGAGAATTTATACAGTTCATGTTAATTCTAGAAACAAATTTAGCAGACGGAGCATCATCAGGATATCTTTGGCCACATTCAATCTTGACAGAATACATTCGATTCTCGTAGGGGGTGCGTGGCGGGCCGATAATCATGCCATTCCAGTGTGTCAATGTCATGTCATCATCATTCTCCAGGCCCCAACTGATGGTGCCATCTCCAACACCTTTCTGACCAGCCTCAAGCTCCTCCAGCAAGCGGAAGTTTCTCGGGACCACTAAAATGCCGAATACAATTAGAACATTAGAACATGGCTAACACATGCCGGCGCGGGCGCTCGCCACACGCGTGATTGATAGTCGATGTACGAACATAAAAAAAAATATTGTTGACCTACCCACACCGGTTGATGGAGCCGCCATTATATACGGTAAATGCCTGTGTCACCCAGACACCGATTCCTCGCTAGCAACTCGTGCGAATCGCTCGTTGGATGCTGGGATGTTTGCCGATCCGACTTTAGCTGGCGTATTTTACGATGGAAATGCGGTAACAATTTCTGGATTTCAACTCGAAGCGCTCGTTCTTGAGCCCCCAGCACTTTTACCTGTCACTGGACAGAAAATGTTACTAAACTTGTGCAGGGTGTCAGTACCAATAGCTGCTAAATTCCCCATGCTTAGCGGCAAAAGTTTTAAATTTGTAGTAATGCCAAAGTATTCTATGTATTTATTATATAATTGCTGCCCTCGTTCAATTGCGTTGAAATTATTTTTAAATATTAATTTAAATAATTCGATTTTATACTTATAGTTTTGTGGAAAGTTCTTGTTTTAGTGAAATTTGATTATTCTGCAATTCCCTCGAATTATCGTTGAGTAATACTTGATATAATTAGTAATGACATCATACCAACATGCATTTGAAACATTATTTAGAAGCTGCGGTCGTCGCTGCTATATAATTTATGTTATTTGACTCGGCTGTTTTTTTATGCGTTTGGTTGTGATCAGGTTGCTAGTTGCGATGGGCGATCTGCAACGCAACATTTGTGAGCATAACCTTTAAAATGCACATTGACGTTTTGTTTTGGTTAACTCTGAAGTTTGCAACATTTTGAAAAATTAGTCCACTTTATTCACTCTTTATTCATAGTTAATATTAATAATGTCCGCTGCCCTAGTTCGTAAAAGTTTAGCATTGGTAGACGCGGAATTCTCAGATAAAGGTATGCCACGCACATATTAACGTATTAATGTATCCCTAAATCATTACCTATTCAATTTCAGGAAAACAAAACAAATGTGATAATGTTCTGAGTCAATTAATGCCAGAAAGTCAGAAACTGAAGAGACAACTGCTTCATAAAGGTCGAAAAGGTAAAAGATTTTATAGATATTAACTGTATTGAAAACGTCTGAAAACATTTTATTGTTGGATTTGTTAGGCTTATGTACCAATCAAGGCTATTGGTAATTTATTATACTTATTGATTCTTTCATAGAACAAATTGTTTTCTCCAAGAAGAGAAAACATATCAGTTTGCTGCAATAGTTTCTCCACCTAGTTTATCACATGTCAAATAATCGAACGAGCGTACTTGACTCTAATTTCACTCACGTTTGTTATAATTTTATAATAGTAAACAACTATAAATACGTAATATTGTCGAAATTTAGAAATAAGAACCCTATAATTATAATTATTATAATAATAAATTAAAAACACTTGGTTGATTTGCGCGGTGAATGCCTGGTTGAAAGGGGCGGAGCCAATACACTCGAATCGCGGCGACTTTATGTCCAGGAAACGGCTCGTGTTTAAGCAAATATCCTGTTAAAATGTTTACTATTATACTAGTCAATTAGAATCTTCAATACATTTTTAGAATAACAATGTCATTGATCATTTGTTGAAAGTGAGATAAGCTAATGCACAAAAATCTGGAGTATGTGATAAGCAGTTTAAACTTGTTTATTAAACAATAAGTTTCCACCTATTCTTATTATTTTAAAGTACCTAGCATAATATTCATGATTATTGCAGGACAAAAGGTTAATCTACTGCAGACAGAAAAAAAGTTCACAGTATCTGAAGCTAAAAAAACTCAAAAATCCAAAGACGCAATATTGAAGGCAAATCTTGAACGGCTGAAATTAATACGGGCAGCTTGCAAAATAGACTTGGAAGAAGAAATAACACAAAAAGTAAGTGATTCAATTTACCTAAATTCCTTATAATAACAGAGTTATTTTCCCAAACTTATTACTTTAGTTAATTGAACGAGCAGTAACGAAGAAACCTATTAAAAAGAAGAGCAAAGTTAAAGTCGAACAGAAGACTGCATTCACTGAAGAAGACTTCAAGAAGTTCGAAGAAGAATACTTCGACGAAGATTAATTTGTTATCATTCAACATGAATGATAGGACTGTAGGAATTTACGGTCTTCTAGGCTCTTTTATCGTCATACTATTCCTTTTTGTACGAATGATAGTAATACCAAATCTTCCATTGGATCCAGAGTATGAAGAAATGTTGCTACCACCTACATATTTACTTTTATCACTAGGAACCTGCGGATTGATTTTTCTCGGCTCACTTATGATCTACACCACATACACATTATACACAATCAAAACCACTAATCATCGTTCATAGTTATTTAAGATTGAATTGTCTTAAGTTATATTCTTAATACAATAAATGTTCAAAGTGAATTCGAAATAGATTTCACCTTTAATTGTTAATAATGCATCCTTGGACCCCACCAAGACCTGTAATATATCGGCATAATATATTAATATTTGAATAATATATACAATGGGTACTTACATTTGCCTGTAAGGGCCGGAGCGTTCGGATGCTACAAAAGACCTGCCACGAGTGCTTCTTGTCATCCGACTTGTAGCCAGAAGTTCTCTGCTGATTTTATTGTATCCAGTAGGACCTGTAGGCTGTGCACCGCATGTTTCTAATGCTACGAAATCATCCACGTGCAAAGATGGCGGACGTGACGTATTTGGAGGACGGGAACGGAAGAGATCGGAACGTACTTGTATTGCACGTTGGAAGCCACGACCACGCATTGATGCAACTGCAACGTAAAATAGTATATTTTATTAAATATTTAAAAGATTTAGCAAATAACTACATACCAAATGGTCGTTTCATCTTGTCATTCTGAGTGTTTCTCTTCTCTTTTTCAACTAATCCAGCACTCGATTCAGTCACGCACACCCTGCACAATTTCTCCACCTGCTTTATTAAATTCACATCGCTGGACAAGTCTTGCCTACATATGTCTATCAGATCGCAAGTGACATGTTCAGAATCACCAGTTTCGTTTTCATCAACTACTGCGGTAAGCCAGAACGCTGCAGTTAGTCTCTCATCCACTACATCACTTGATGTGAACACCGAACGACTGGCAAACTGCGTAACCAATGATTCAGGAGCAGGCAGAAGTGGTTCTGCGATTTCTTCGCTTTTCACACTCGTACCTTGAAGCATTGTTATCATTTGCTGCACACTTTCCAGCAGTCTATCAAATGAATTATCATCGACCTGAAATTCTTTGAGTTTCTCCACGACTTTGACAAATAAATGTTCATCGTTGGTGTTGTCCTCCTGCCAGCCGATTGTGCTCTGTATTTCGGCAATTGTCATCTTCATTTTGCGCGGTGTGAATGGCAAATCCGTAGCATTTTCTTCTTCAGTACACACGCGTAAAAACTCGATCAATGTACTTAGAGTGGTGAGACAGTCAGCGTTATCTTTTGAAAAGTTTTGATCAAGTTTACTCAGCAATAACGCAAACGGCGCACTTTTACGTTCTTTCAGGAGGCACTCGCGCAAATGATAAAAACCGTAATCATGTTCAGTTAAAAATAACAATATCCGCAACACTGGCAAATAAGTCATAAACGAATTGTCCCCGTTGATATGATCTATAATTGTGTTCAAAAACACTCCGAGATATTCCTTAGTGGGCAAAGCATTAGCGAGATAAATATCACCACTAGTTGCACTGTCCGATGCATTTTGATACATTGTTATCTCCGTGTCGCAGAAACTTTGCACAATACTTAAAATACATTCCTGTGTCGATACGTGAGAGGTGATGTTACTAGTGCTTCTTAGAATTTGTGCAAACGCGTTTATAATAGCGCAGTATTTTTCATCACCCTTGGTGCCATTCGTATTAGCCAGAAGATGCAAAACAGTGGCTTTAAGACAGTTGTGCGTGACTAAACAAGCAAGGAAATTCATAAGTCGCGCTATATGGCCATTACACACAAGTTTCGGAACATCATCTCCGATTACAATCGCACTGTGTACATTGTCCAACACACCGCGGGCTATCATCAGCGCTGAATTCGATGCCAAGTCCGCAATTTGCGCGCACACTTTACGAAGTAAATTCAACAAAACCTGATGACTCGTTGTGCATAATTTTCCGACCAGGTCTTGTATAGTTGTCGAGTGGCAGTGCAAATGAGCCGACCAAAGTTTACGCAGATTAATAGCCCAAACAATTTCCTCTTCGCTTAGTTCTTCCAAGCTTTGCATAGGTAATGGAAGCGGCAGCAATTCAGAAAACACTGAAAGTCCCGCGATGAAGGTATACGGTGCCGATAATGTGTACTTGAAAATTTCCGCGCATAATAACGTCCACAAACCTTTGTTCAATGAATCTTTCTCGTTAATTTCATCAGAAACTGGCATAGTATATACAAGTAATGTCTCGATGATCTCCGTGCATATTTTTCTTGCTTGAGTAAATCCCAGAGCGGTGGCTGGATATGATTGACACAGATTAAAAGTTTGCAAGAGTATCGGCACTGCAGTTAAATCTTTAAATTGTGTATTTCTACACTGCACAACGTAAGTCAGCGTTTGTTTTATGAGCGCTACACAGGGTGCCATTATATTGACCAGTAACAATCCAGTACTCGATACAAACGCCGCCAAATGAAGTGATGGCTGCTCATAATAATAACAAATTTCTTGCAGTACTTGCCCCAGCATATTCACCGCATCCAATGTGAATAATTGAATAATCACATGTTTATATTTTAACTCTATGAAGTTATTCAGTGGATTATCCTGTTGCAGTCCTTTATTACGATGTTTTGAAATGCCTAAATATTCCAGAATTCTCAAATGAGATATAATATTAGCTGGAGCAGTAGTAATAGTACCGATACTTTTGTTTATATGCTCGACTAATTGAATCACATCAAAATTGCCATTGTATTGTTCAAAGGGCCTCATGTACACGCCAATTTCATTCATTCTTGATATCAAACGCTTGTCATTTGCTTCGTACATTATATCCTGCTGACTGAGAAGTTCCATCAACTGACGTCGGTGAATTTCCAACATTGGAATATTCGGCAATAAGACAATCGCCAATGCAAGCAGGTCGAGAATATAAGCAACTCCTGGACTCTTGCGCACTTTGGGCAAAATCTCCGGACGGACATAATGCAGACAAATTTGCAAATTACTTCCATAGCCCAAGACTTCCGCAACCGCCATCTTGCCTGCATTTGAAAATGTAAGACAAAACAGTGCGTGAAGATGATCGTTCACTTCAAAGTGATCACAATCGTGTTTTTTATCTGCCAAATGTGATAGAAGATATAAAGCTTGCAATTTGTATGCTAGCTTTATACCTAGATGATGGGAATTCAATGTGTCTGGGTGAAACTGTTCTTCTTCACCTTGTAGTAATATTTTCACTAATAAATTAACGCTTTGTGGATTGTCGTATAAATATTCCAGTCCAAACTGTGTGGAAACCAAGTGATCTATAATTTCGAATATATTGCCTTTAATGTTGTTATTCGCTGTTGTTCCCAAATTGGTCAATAGCACCAAGAGAATCTCAATAAAATTCTGCATTTTAAACAATTCAATTAAAGGATCTTTCATGTCAAACTCATCGCGAATTATCTCAAATTGCGCGATTACCGGTAAAAATCTCTTCGGCTGTTGCAAAAGAAACGATCCAGAATGAATAGTTTGTAAAATCAGTTCTAAAGAAGTGGCAATAAACATGACTTCTTCATCGGTTAAAACCTTTTCATTGCGACACAAACCCATTACTTCAATGCGTAACTTATGCAGCACGTCAAAAATGTTAAGCTTCTTTAAAATCGAATTCAGCGCAAACTTCGAACGCACTGGTGGATTCAATTGAATCATGTCAACTATTTTCCTGTAACCACTGCGCTCCTCCAATGGTAACAAATCATGATATCCATTCTGTTCATCTGGAGATTTAATTCCCATTACAAATGCTTCAATCATTGGCTTCTTCAGCAAATAATTATCAAGCGCTTTGAGAATCATCAACTTAATCGACAACGCCATATATTCACGTTCATAGAGAGAAAGGAGAACATCATGAATAAAATATTTACGCTGCCACAAGTGCCTTATGAATGATTCACTTTCGCAAGCCAGGTCAGCAAGTCGAACACCGCATTTGATGTGTCGTATCTTATAAGCAGGCTTTTCATGCACATTTGCCATATTGTAATCCAAAGCAATTTCTAGCCAATTGATAAACGTAGTTAAAATGTTTTCAATTTGATTTACCGTTTCCGTATCTATAGTATACTCGTCTTTCTTTTCGTAAACATCGAATATAGTGCAAAATACGCGAACATCTTCAAACATAGCCGTCACCTTTTCAGTTAAATGAATAAACTCTTCTTTAATACCCTCGTTGAGCTGCTCGAAGCAACCAGGCGCGTATTGTGTGATGCTAGATTTAAAGAAATCATCAACAATACCAATCACGTTCCGTAAATACTCGTTGCATATCAAATTATTGCCATCAATGAAGTAAAGTTGTCTTGGTTCATACTTTTGCAGCGGCGTGCTGCCCGGTGTAAATATTTTAATCAAATCATCATTGTTTGTATACGCACTGTAATCGTAGTCCTCTTGGAAAGTTTCCGGATCATCAACGATATCTTCATCACTAAGAATTGGCTCAAACTCTTCTACATCCATCGGTTCCTCTGGTGCTTTCTCTTCAATCCTTGCATGTTCAAGAACTTCTTTAGGTTCTCTAGGCTCGCGTGTTTCTCGGGGTTCACGTGAATCACGACTGTCACGCGATTCTCTGGTCTCGCGAGATTCACGAATTTCGCGCGTTTCGCGTTTTTCATCCAGCTCAGACAAAACTGGCGGTTTTTCGTCCTTTGCGGGTGATTCTTTTCTATCACTTTGCGGAGTGTGCGGTCTTTTTGGCGACTGAATCGGTGGCGTTCGTGGACGCTTCCGCGGTTCTTCTCTTGGTTCGCGATTGTCCCGAGAGTCCCTTGAATCACGTGAATCTCTAGATTCACGAGTGTCGCGAGCATCTCTATCGCTGTATCGCCTTTGTACAAATGCTCATTTAATTATCACGCCCCATTTAATGAACTAATAAATGATATACCTGTAATCCTGGTGTTTATAACGATCCTTATCACGATCCCAGTCCTTTCGGTCTGCATCCCGATCCCAATCTCTCGCATCTCTCGAGTCTTTGTCTCTACTTACCTCTCTGAAGTCGCGATTGCTGCGATCGCGGCTGTGTGATCTGGAGAAACGTCGCTCGCGATCGCGGTCTCGCTCACGGTCTCGTTCTCGATCCCTGTCTCTGTCACGATCGCGATCTCGGTCTCTATCGCGTTCACGATCACGATCCCGTTCACGTTCTCTTTCTCTGTCGCGATGTTCGGGATGAGCATCATGTTCCTCATTTTTCTACACACATTTTTTATATCAGAACAGGATTCTTATCAAATGGTTTAAATATTACCTGGAAGTTAGAATCTCTGCGATCTCTCGTGTCCCTGTCACGTTCTCGCTCCTTCTCCCCAGGTCTCTGATTCTTCCCATCCCATTCAGTTTCAGGTGTGTGATGATAACTCCTTGGATCTTTTGGAGGTGCTTCATAGAACTCATTATATTCCTGTGCTTGATTATATGTCTCATTGCCACTAAATTGGCGCGGATATTGCGTTGCCGGCTGTTGGCTATATTCAATAGGTACAATATTTTGTACTGGTTCCTGCCAATCAGCTTTTACATTGTTATGTGTTATAATAGACTGAATCTCATTTGTTTGTCCTGATTGTGATAAAGATTGAGAGGGAACTGGTGGTGTGGTAGGTTCAGGTATTTTGACTGTTAATGTTCCATAAACAGCCAAAGTAATAGTAGTGTACCATCCTAAAGCAATAAATATATTAAGATATGTTGAGATTATCTTAAAAATTCCTCACCTCTCAGAACTAAACCATCAGTAGGAATCTTTCGGATTGAATCATCTGCGGCAACATCCAAATTAATGCAATCATTCTGATTGTACTCAAAACCACCTAGTGTTTCAAAAGTGCTAGCTCCTGGTTTGCCCAAATCATTCACAAAGAATTCTATTTGAAACTGGCTGGGATTTGTTGCGCCTAATCGCACGCCACCCGGAAAATCGGCTTGCACACGGGCACCGAGTGGTATTATTCGTACTTCAGTCACATAAACGGGTTTCGGAAATTGCACCAAATCCAAGTTTAATTCCTAAAAATTATTGCTGTTAATCGAATCTGAGCGTTTATATCGTACTTACTTCGCTATTTTCGTGGGCAAATGTATCGAAAAACAGCAACTCCACAACCTCAGACATGTTTACTTGGATATTTACAGAATTTGTGTTTTCATTTTTAAGTTGGCAGCACTTAATTAACTGAAAACTACAGCTGTGGATGTTTATTTCAAATAAATATCTGTTTAGAATATGTTTTTCTCTTAATCACAGATCTTTCATCTTCTGCATCGCGAGCAATAACCATGAACAGCAGCACTTGCACAGCTGCACGGCATGTGTGAAGAGTTGTAAAAGCGTCATGTACATATATTGTACAAAATATTGTACAGTATAATGTGCAACATCAATATCAGATATAGAAATGAAAATAATTTTGTAGTAGCAATTAAAAAGTACCATAATTTAATATAACAGTTTATAAATTTATGTAAATTATTTACTACGTTATGTTTTGACAATAAATTATTGGGATAATTTAACAAATTTAAGAAAAATTTCAGCAGTCACGTATGAATGTTGCATGCACGCAGTGGTAGAGTGAATTAATAACATAACTAGTCAATTACTCCAAACGTTATGCGTTTAAAAATTGTTTATAAAATAATTATTAATGCGCAACAATTTTCTGTAGTAAAAATTTAAGTATTGTACATTACATATCTATGTGAATCTTCGCGTGATTGAGCACTTAACATGCATGCACCTCGATAGATGTCACTTCAACGCTTATTCCTCGAGGCCGTATCATTCCCTTCGGCTCCGAGCGAGCCAGCGAGCAGCGAAGCATCGCGACGCAGTGTGAGACGGCAAATGAGCGTATTTTGGATTCGCGTTTAGTCGCTAACTAACTCGCTACGTGTGGGGCGTTGTACGCACAGCACTGCTCCAAGTACTCCTATCATCGTTTCGCGTAATCTGCGAACCGCAATCGGCCGTAACGAGAAGTCGCATTAAAAAGCGATCGGCGCCGAAGTGGGCTGGCAGGGCAGGATCAGTGTGTGTGCGTCCGCTTTGGCAGGTCGGTCAGTGCATGGTGCGAGCAGGAGTTCATCGGGCAGAGTGTAATCGTGGCCTTCAACGCCGGACATCGCGCACAACAGACTGCCTTACACACCCAAGGCGGCCAAGGATCTCCACCACGAAACGGTCACACCTGGACACCGCAGCAGTGACCCATCGTTCTAAAGCTGCGCGGCCGTCATCCTAGCCGCCGCCGACGCTTCACAACACACCGAGCGCACAAATCCAATTAGCTTTAATAGTGTACTTGACAGGGGAGGATGCAGGCGATCAAATGCGTTGTCGTCGGCGATGGGTACGTAGCGCGTTCGCCTTATCAATTGCCGTTCGCATGCATGGGTGTCTATCGCCTTGCCCTTTCGAGCGCTCCGGAACGTGCCAGCGTTGGGCTCGCGCTTCCCGCGATCCACCGCCACCGCGAGTGACGTCGCTGTATGGATTGAGTCAGCTATATAGATAGCTGCAATATTTGAATCACACTTGTGGCTCTTGTTTGGGCATTGCCCCTGCGTGCGGTCCCGGCCGGTCCATTTAAATTTTATTCAGCCAATCAATTGCTTTGCTTTCTTTATGATAAGCGATTTGTTTGTAAATGTGCGTTTGTTTGCAGTGCCGTCGGTAAGACATGCTTACTGATAAGTTATACAACCAATGCCTTCCCGGGGGAATACATACCGACTGTGTTCGATAATTATTCGGCCAATGTTATGGTCGATGGGAAGCCTATAAATTTGGGACTGTGGGATACGGCGGGTCAGGAGGATTACGATCGTTTGCGTCCATTATCTTACCCACAGACTGATGTTTTTCTGATATGCTTTTCCCTTGTAAATCCGGCTTCGTTCGAGAATGTGAGAGCAAAGGTAACGTCGACTTTGAAATACCACATATGCAAGAAATTCTTATCTTTATTTTATTTTTAATTTTAGTGGTTTCCTGAAGTGAGACATCACTGTCCAAACACGCCAATTATTCTGGTCGGAACCAAGTTGGATTTACGCGATGATAGGGTGACAATTGAAAAACTAAAAGACAAAAAGTTGACGCCAATTACTTATCCACAGGTAATTACTATCATTGAAGTTATTTCTTGTGAGTCATGTCGTGACAGTCACCGAATTTAAATTACATGTTACGTTTTGAATTTGATATTTATAAATGGTTTTTCTTCCAAGGGGTTGGCCATGGCGAAAGAAATCAGCGCCGTGAAATACTTAGAGTGCTCAGCGCTCACACAAAAAGGCCTGAAGACAGTATTCGACGAAGCCATCCGGGCCGTCCTGTGTCCGGTGATGCCCGTGAAGCCAAAACGAAAATGCACAATTCTTTAAGACTTCACAACGCTAAGTCACGCATTAACTAATAACTAAATCAACAGAGCATTACAAAACATTTTACATGCGAAGCGCGATTCATTAACATTTTAACATGTACATTAACACACACTAAGAACACGTGTAATTTTAATCGAAACAAACACTATGGATTATATTCGATTCATCCATTTTCTTGTTCTAAAATACTTCATTGTTCATCGATTTCAAATAGCCGATAGAGAAAAACACAGCATTCTTCTACATCTGCATGCCAGTTGCTAAAAACGAACGCAAACTGCAACATTTTCGCAATTTTGCCAAATGTGGAGAAATGTGCAATTGATCGATAAGTAGGAACTAAATAAACGAGAGCACAATTTACAAATTTTACCGATACAGATGTAGTCGGAGAGAAACAGTATGTCAAGAGGGAACGGTGTATAAATGTGATTTAAGTATATAACTGCTAATTAATTACTGAAATTAATTAAGAGATATACATAGCAAGATGAATATTATTACTGATTATTAAGTGCATTGATTTATGTTTTGTATTATTTGCGCATTTAATTTTAGAGATATTTAGCTATCAATGCAAAGTGCAAATTTTTAAAACATCTAATGGATAGTCATTGAAATGAAATCAAAAGCAAACTGATACGAAATTATATTTTTTTATTAGATGGAAGCGAATCAGAACATTTGTAGCTGAAAGTAAATATTAGTGGATTACTTTTCATTTTCTTCTTTTCTTTGTTTATTGAAATATTGGATTGATGAAAATGAACCTGACCAGACATTTATAATCATTGACTAATGATGATAATGATGTTAATATATGTAATAAATAATTGTTATTAACGAGCGTTAACTTCACAATGGAGTGGAATCGATTCGCGGACGAGCACAACGGGCCGGAAGTGGGGGACGCAGCTATTGAGAGTTGTACGATATGTTTAAGCATAAATGTAGTTGTTGTAAGGAAATCAAAACGAACTCAAAGTCACATTTATCAAGCTGTAAATTGATGTTCTGGTCGCCGGAGAAGCATTGATAGGCGATAACAAACGAGAAATGTGTGAGTGTTGTTTCATGGAAATGGTCGTTATACGATTATCAGCAAACTGTTTGTCACATCCCGCCTACTGAAACAAGCGTTTTTACATTTCTTAATGCGGTTACTGAATTCCGAGATAATCCGTCACTACCACACGCTTGCGTCTGATAATAATCAGCAGACATTGTAAAAACTATCGCATTAATACTGTTTTGCTTGATGAAATAATGATATTGATAAATTAACGTGCAACTGCATGTTGTTGCGGTTCGTTGAGTATGAATAAGATGAAAATGTTTGAAATGATTATTTTTTGCTTTATAAAGATTTTATATTAATTAAGATATATTTTTGAATAATTAGGAATGCGCGCATCTGCATACAGATTACGTATTGAAAGGACGTTTGAATGAGTTATAGTACTATTTATGTTATGTTAATTGTAATTGCTATTCTTATTATTTGCAATGAATGCTTAGCGAAGTAATGCCAAAAGAAATAAGTACAGTTTCATCTCACACATGACTACATTGTGAACAAACGGTCCTGTCGGATCACTACTATCGCGAGAGAATTCGGTAACTTTTATTTTATTCGTCTCAAACACATCCGCTGAAAATGTGTATGGACAGTCTATTTGCTCATCTAATATTTTCTATAATAATTTGTCTTATGTTGCAGATTAATTAATTATTCGGCCTGCATTTAGAATAATCACAATCAGTTTAGTTAGAGAAATGAAATTTTTTGTTATGTTGTGCTAAGTTATTTTATCAATGCTAACGGGCATAAAAGAAAACTGGCGACATTCACGATATTAAAATATCAACTGGTGGACACTATGTTTGTTGACATGGAAATTTGTACGTGTGTGATTTGTCGTCGTTACAGCGACTGTGTGTATTTTTTGTAAATACTAAATATTTTATTGATTTATTCATATACATAACAATATAATGAAATAAAAGTTTATAGATTATTTTCCCCCGTGCATTTATCTACTAGGAAGCTTTTTCATGAATGTAAATCTTACCGCGAATATAAAATTGCCATAAATGAGAAGAGACACGAGTTAGATTTGAATGAATTTAATTCTTCAATTCATTAATTTGTCTAATGCATTGTGATCAAGAAAATATAAGTTCTGTTTGGGTTTTTGTAAAATAAGGTTGATTTTTGTATGAAGAATTAAATATTTGCCCATTTACATTTGTTCAGAAGGTGTTAATATTGTAAAATATTTATACCGATTAGCACAATTACAACTAATTACCTTAACAGAATTGTTATTCCCAAAGTCAAGAGAAAACATGGCCGATACTTGGACAATATTTTTGGAAATCATACAACCATTCATGCGCTCACAAAACCACCCTAATTTTCATCCAACTATAAGAACAAGACAACAAAATCCAAATCTACCCTTTAAATAAATGATATCTACTATGTTTTATCTCCTTTCAATTTTCTCTAAGATACAAAACAATTATTACCTGGAGAATACTTGTTTAATATCAAATATATCGCAAAATATTCTACTTTGAACTGAAGTGTTTCTCATGTTGTTTTGTAGCATCATATTTTAATATAATCACATTAACTTTCATTTAGATTCATTAATCATTAAACCAAGTACAGGCACACAAAGAATTCAATAAAAGTAAACTGAATATTAATGTTAATACAGTATTATAAATAATGGAAAATGATGTCGAAATCGAATGAGATACGGCTCACATTTGTGGTTTGACAGATCTGTCCAGATCATCAAAGTAAGGATCAAGTGCTATTTTCTTCGCTGTGATACGCAACGAAGGATTGTAGATCAACATCTTCTGCAACAGTTCCACGCCTTTCGGTTCCATGTTCTTCACTTGTGCAGGCAAATTATATGAATTCCAACCTGGGAATGTAGCTTTGTAATCAGGCATGCTAGAAATACCAGGCCAAATTTCTTCCGTCGGTGTTTTCAGCACCCGGAAAATACGGAAAAGTTGATCGATTTCAGAATCGCCCTGGAAGAGTGGGCGAGATGTTGCCATTTCGGCAAAAATGCATCCCAATGACCACATGTCAATGGGGCAAGAGTATCTTGCCGAACCAAGTAGGATTTCCGGGGCGCGGTACCACAACGTGACGACTTCGTGTGTATAAACACGTACCGGGACGCCAAATGCACGACCCAAACCAAAATCAGCTACCTAAAAGGTACATGTTATTAATTTATCATGTTTGTAATAATACTTGTTGTACCTTGATTGTTCCATCTGTTGTAATTAACAAGTTTTGTGGTTTTAAATCCCTGTGCAGCACTCTTCTCTGATGACAAAACAAAATTGCCTCATTTATTTGGTGCAAGTAACTCTTCACAAGCTTTGGATCCATAGCAGAACCATTCTTAAATTTATCAATGTACCTCTTGAGATCCATGTTTAAATATTCAAAAATTAGGTACAATCTAAAACACAAAAATATATAAGTTTGGTGTAATATTATGAATGTTATAATTACTTTTGTTCCTCCATAATCACGTCCTGCAATGAGACAATATTTGGGTGCTCTAATTCTTTTAACAATGATATTTCTCTGATGGCTGTTGATGGAACACCTTCATCCTCAGATTCCAAACGAATTTTTTTCATGGCTACCATTTTCCCCGTCTTCTTGTTCTTACCACGATAGACCACACCGTACGTACCTTCTCCGATTTTCTCGAGTTTCACAAAGTCTTCCATTGTCGCGAAAACGTGTGCGTAACTTCTTAAATAATACACTTCTCCGTGCGAGAGCAAAAGAACCGTTTAACCGGCGCCACACAGAGGTTATAAAAGTGACGGTTTAAAATCAAATTTCAAACAACTACGATCACAGCGACAAATGCAACGCCATTTATTCAAAAACAAGGATAATTGTTTAGTATAAAGCGTCATAATCACGCATATTATTTTAAAATACACCTCGAAACAAGTTTTTTAATTGCAATGACAACAGAAGTTGAACATTCAACAATTGTACTTTTTTGGATGTTTGAATCGACTTCAGTTGGTTATATATGAAGAGCACACACAAAAACATTCGAAACTCGTTTTACTTGATGCTGCTGATTGATTATTGTTTGATTGTCAACGAAAATTGAACAATAACAATAATATAATTGATCAGAATATTAATAAATGTAAACAACATTGTGTAATCAATCATGAAGAATTCAGCAGCTGTTAATCGTGGCGCCCTGGCTTCTGTTTGCTGCATTAGTATCATATGCTTATCAAAAATTGGTTTCCACTTAATAAATCTTCCCAAATTTTGTAATAAAATTGTTGTTGTCGTTGCATTTGCCTCATTAATTTTCTGACATTTGCATGCAATTATAACCACATGAGCCTAGAAACAAAACAAATATCCATTTCAAAAGAAAACACTTAAATAAACATTATCCTTACACTTAAATATATATTCCAAGCAATGTAAAACAAAGAGTACTCTAACTTCATTTTCAGAAGCACAACATGGTTGAACAAACCTAAGAGTTTAATAAGTACATATAGTATTGTTAGTAGGTAATGCCATTGAAACATTTTATTAATCTCATTCAAGGAGTCCACAATGATAATGTGCAATTTACTCATTACGTCAATCTTTACTGATACATTTTCATAATCTGAAAATTCTATGTAGGAGCTTCCAGAAAGGACTTTATTTTTACAGAGATTGAAAAACTGGCTTAACTGTTCATTATAGATTCGTTGGCGATGCAACATATCGTCAAGTAATAGATAATACAATGCAATAATTGTGCTCATTATAAAAAGATGAATAACTTCTGCCGTATGCCAAAACAGATACTCATACATTTCCTCTACTATGGAATCCACAGTATCATAAATTGTTACGATAAAAAATATCCCCATTGCTATAAAATACTTGAAACAGCCCACAAATGCTCTGCATCCAAACATTTTTCTTATTTCAGCGTCAACTTTTGTCTTGTCGTGTTTATTCTGTGATTGAACTAAAAGCTTATCAATAAGAAGCATATTTTTGAACAGCAAATTTAAATTGTTTCTTTTGATAGAAATGCTGAACAAAACATTCCCGAAAGGAATAGTGATTGATGGCAGCACATAGACAACGATTAATAAAACAACTGGACCACGACTTGTTCGCTCAATTAGAATAAAATAACTTATTGAAGCAAGCGAATAGAACGTATATGATATTAATATTATCATTGTTATTACTCGACAAAACATACTTTTATTAAATCGAAAATATGAATTTGAGCTTTTAGAAGTGCATGTCGGTAATATTCCCCAAACAATTAAACAGTTTAAAACTAATTTTAAATGCGCCATAATGCTCAACATGGTGAGAGAAATATGGGATAATAAAAGAGTATTTCGCTAAATTATATCAAACTGAGTACTTCACCTTAGTAAATATCGGTGCAAATATTTGTCATACTCGAGTATATGTTTTCAATAGGTTTTCTATAAATTTATTGAACGTGAATTTGGAAGACATATTTGATTAGTAAATGTGTTTGCATTTGCCAAGGCCCTTTATTTGTTTGATAAGATTTATTCTAGTAATTCTAGTAAAATCTATTTTATAATATTTTATAGTTTTGTAAAACGTGAATCAGATTAAAAATGCACAAGAAAAGTATTTTTATGGTTTTTTATGATAATGTTCCAAAATTTTAAAAACTATGCTTTCTATACAAAATTGGGAAACAAACCCAATTTTCATAAATAATTAAAATGCATAATTTAGAGTTATCAATGATAACATGTAAATTAACATACGATATGAGCGCACTCAACGAAGTTTTCCCAACTTTCCTGCTGCCCTGCTGTCCTGTTTTTGTGATTTTAAATGACAGTGACATGTCACCGGCTGACCTAACCTAAGTTTCTTCAACTGTTCAACATAAAATTGTAAACTAAACTTTAAACAAAATGAAATAAACAGCAATTAAGATTTTAAATTATTATCCATTTCCAATCCAACATAAAATAAAAAAGATGGCTTTCTTAGAAGACACCATTGTGTTGTTAATATCACAAGTAAGAAATGATTGATTGATTAAAAAATATTTTGTTAATAAATTTGTTGAATAATTTGCTTTCTAGGTGATATTTTTCGTTGGTGCTCGTACCTTTTTTATGAAACAATTATTTAAAGATTACGAGGTACGACATGTTTTAGTATATTTAATTTTCTCTATAACTCTCATGCTATCATGTACAATGTTTGAGTTAATTATTTTTGAAATCCTGAATTGGTTGGAAGCCAGGTAACAATACAAAGTTCTATGATAGTCATAATCTTCTACTAAAAATTGCTTTATAGTTCTAGGTCATTCTTTTGGTCTGTAATACTTTATTCACTGCTATTTGTTGTGATTGTGTTAAATCCAATATACATTTCATATTCATGTATAAGCAACATAAGTTTTGGTAAGTCATTTATAAAGTAACACATTTTACAATTACTTATTGTGTGAATTGTTTTCAGTGAGAGCTGATTATATTAAATCTCTCACAATATGTGTCTGGATAATATTTCTAACAATATTTTGGAAAATTGGAGATCCATTTCCAATTCTTAATCCTAAACAGGGAATCTTAAGCATTGAGCAATTGGTTTCACGAATTGGTGTTATTGGTGTGACTGTCATGGCGCTATTATCCGGTTTTGGTGCTGTTAATTATCCATACACAAATATGTCGTATTTTATCAGGGAAGTTTCTGCCGCGGATGTTATGACTGTTGAGAAACGATTGATGCAGACTATGGATATGATTGTTTTAAAAAAGAAGCGCATTGCTGTTTCGAAAAGACAAAATTTAGATAAAAGCACCGACACTGGCGTATATCGAAAAGGAATATGGAGCATGTTTAATTCAATTGGTTCCAATAGAGGACAAGAAAGTAAATGGTGAATTTCATGCATGTGTGGTATTCATTATTAATTTTGCAGACATTTCACAACTTAAACTTGAAATATCCGGATTGGAGGAACTAAGTCGTCAGTTATTTCTCGAAGCACATGAAAAACACAACATGCTCGAGAGGATAGAATGGTCGAAAACGTGGCAAGGAAAATACTTCAATTTTCTAGGGTACATTTTCTCCATGTACTGTATGTGGAAGATTTTCATTGTAAATAATTTAACATTAAGTTATTAATCAAATCTAATGCAATATTTTTTCTAGTGCACCATTAACATTGTTTTTGATCGCGTAGGGAAAAAGGACATTGTTACACGCGGCATAGAAATTGCTGTACACTGGATGGGTTTGAATATTGATGTCAATTTCTGGTCACAACATATTTCCTTTATACTTGTTGGGTGCATTGTCATAACATCAATACGAGGCTTATTGTTGACACTTACTAAGGCAAGCTATTCACAGAAAAAAAAAGATTCTTGACATTAATAACTTTTCTGCTTCCTTTTTTAGTTTTTCAACAAAATATCTTCAAGTAAAAGTTCAAATATCATCGTTTTGGTGCTGGCCCAACTCATGGGCATGTATTTCTTATCATCAGTGCTATTGCTCCGAATGAGTATGCCGCAGGAATATCGCACAATCATCACGCAAGTGCTCGGCGACTTGCAGTTTAACTTCTACCACAGGTGGTTTGACGTCATATTCCTGGTCAGTGCGTTGGCAAGTATTTTAACATTATATCTAGCGCACAAGGAACCCACGCAGGATTTAAACGACTTATAGTTGCCTAAAAATATATTTTGAATCGTTCGAAACGCTTCGGCCTTCTCTTAGCTCGCTATCAAACATTTCAGTTTGATTCGAATTTATAGAAGCCTAAATGATAATATTAACAAAGTGAAAATTCTATTTACCAGTCGGTGGACGACCACTGCTTATATGCATTTATGATGTAAAAGATTAATTTATGAGTACGTGTAACGTGTGACTGATCTTAATTAAAGCATTCGAATGCAACGATGCAATAATTCATGTTCCTTTATTCATTTTATTGGACAAAGTGTATAATTTTGTTTTACATTAGAAAATCTCTCTATCATAGTTGAAAATCAAAATATCACGTTTTCATCATTTGTTTACACATCATGCCAAATAGTGTTAATAAAATTGGCACCATATAAAGAATCGCAAGTTAGTTAAAAGAGTGTTCATAAATATTGTCATCAAAAATAAAGTACTTCTAATAATAATCTACTGTAATCAATGCACTTGACATAATAAAAAGACGCTTCATTTAAGCTCGTTTTTTTCGGTATTATTCTGGGGCAGTTAGGATCACGTTAGGACAACTCAAACCTGCACTTAGTTAATTAGTTATGAAAACAATTATTTCCAAGATTCACATCGAGCAAATAATATAGGATAGTGACTAGGAAGAAAGATTACCGGCGTATTACAAGTTCGGACCGTGCATATCAATAAACAATGCCAGCTTCTCTGGCACGATTCCTCGATAGACGATTTTCTTCATTTTTATTTCGCGGGCTGCCAGACATTTCAGGCATAATTTCGATTGGGTTTTCAGAATAATTTCAGCAACTCCTACAAAATAATTAGATTATTAAGGAAATAATAACCTATTTAATGTTACCTGTTGCGGAAGAATCCAATGGAGTCTCACCACGATTGTTTACACAATCGATGTGAGCACCAGCTTCAGTTAGCTTCATTATTATGGTGTGTAAAGTGGTGAAATCCGAAATGGGCTTGTGATAATTGACAATCAAGTGTAAGGGCGTGTTACGATCAACATCCATCGCGTTTACATCCGCGCCACATTCGATTAACAAACAAGCTGTACTTGCACACGGAAACCTAACAAATAATCATTAATAAGAAAACGAAAAATGTTGATATTTTGTCTGACATACTTGCAAATATCACTAATATGAAAATCGTCCACCGGTGTCTCAGCATTACAAGCCAAATGAAGCAAAGTCTGCCCATCGCGATTCCGTAACTGTATCGTATTTAATTTATAAACCATTTTATAGACATTGAATTCATCCTCATTGCTGACTTTCGACTTATTCAATATCATTGTCATGATAGTAATCAAATACAGTGTAGTCGTAATGTTACTCTCGATTTCTTCGAGCATAACGTCCGGTTCGTAATTGGGACCTGATTTCCCCATTTTCATTTTATTTCGTTGCAGTTCGAGAACAGTGCATTCGAGAACCGGCTCGATGTTCTTGAAAGTCACTTCGACGCCAACGTGCAGCATTTGTGAGAAAACCTGCGCAAATCGCAAAAGATCCTTGGCGACGTTGATGTTATTACCCTGCCTCAATTGAATTGCATGCAACCATAATTCAATACATCGATCAAAACGGGCGAGATCAGCAAACACAGCGCCTCGGAAAATAATTGGATGGGGTAGTTCGGGATTACTGGTACCCAAAATACGCTCGCGAATTGTAAGCGCTTCTATGTGGATGGCGTTGGCATTTCCTAACAGCCTTATTCTCAGGTCTTCTGGAGTTTGTGTTTCCACCCAATACTCGTAAGCGGGCACGGGCGGAAGTAATATTTTTGTTATCACATTGTTTGGGTCACTATATCTAAGAACACACGGTTTCAATTAATTCACTCTGTGATATTTAAACGCATTTGTTCTCACCTTAAATTCATACTTTGTTCTAAATAATGATATGCCAAATCTAATGAATAATTTTCTTTGTCATTAGCAAATGAGGCGCCGAGTAGTTCCAGCGCTTCGATTTTATCCTCTTTGCAAATCGGATACTTTGTATTTTCAATGAGACTCTCAACAACATCTTTACGCACCCGCTCAGCGGCCACTTTCAGTGGTGTCATGCCTGTGTCGTTGACGCAAAACAAGTCCGCATTGTACTCTAACAACTTTTGAACAATGCTTAAATGGCCGCATTCGGCTGCAAAATGCAGAGCTGTAGCACCACACAGTGCCTTTTCATTAGGATTTGCATGGTTTTCCAGAAGCATATTAACCTGTAGATAAACTGAACTTAATGCAATCAAATTCAATCAAACAAAAACACAATTTTTAAAAAATCTTGCAAAAAATATTAATATCTTACCACATCCAAGTGTCCTTTATAGGAAGCAATCATAAGACATGAATTATTATATTGGTTGGCAATATGTACATCAGCATTATGCTCAGCTAAATATTTGACTATGTCCAGTCTTCCATCAAAGCATGCAGCTCTTAAAGGTGTAGATTTAGTTCTTGTAGGATGATTAACATTGGCACCAGCTTTTACTAATGTTTTTACTATATTCAAGTGTCCTACAAATGAAATTGTTAGATAAAAGTGACACAAATAAGAATGTTATTTACCTCCCCCTGCAGCACACCATAATGCACTAGCACCCTCAATAACAAACCCATCAAACTTCACAGTTCCTTCCTTCTCCAAGTCTACATTGAATTTACTAACAATAATCTTGACCACTGCATGGCTGCCATGCCTGGCAGCAACAATTAAGGGGGTGCAATGTTGACCATCATCTTCAATGTAGCTCTGAAAATCATATCCATAAATAGAGTAAACAACACAATGATCATTGTTAATGAGAACAATGTGAATCAGCAACAACAGGTTATGTGAAATATGTTCGCGGCTGTTTCGTGCATGTGCTTAGTTAGCATTTGCTACCTCATTGAGCAATTCCTCGGCTTCGGCCTTTGTGATGTTGTCCGTTAGTAAAGTGTAGAGCACAATTCGATGGTCGTCCTTAGCGGCGTAGTAAATTTGGCTTTTGAGAAACTCACGTTGCTTGTTCATCTTGAGTAGAACGCCGCGCCGTCGAGCACAAACGCATTATTTTCACTGTTTCTATTTTCACCCGCTCGTGTTATCGTCTCGCTAACTCGTTCCTTAGTCGCGACGTGCGAATGTATGTACGTAGCAGGCGAATAAGATCAGGACACGCGGTAAACGACGTCCCGTGTGTGAATCTTGTTATTCCCGAAGCTTCCCTGACGCAAAAAATACGCGTACTCACGACCGCGAACACACCACGAAAACATCTGTGAAAACCGTGAAAACACCTGATTCCATGTCTACAAACACGCATCCAATGACCCAAGTTTTCCGTTGCGCAAACCTCTTTCGCTTTTTCACTCGTACTCTTTTGTGGAAATCAGTCTAAGTAACAGCAGACAGTGACAGAAATCTAGGAGTATTGTTCGATTCTTATTCCAGTGTGGCGGCAAATTTGAATGATTTCGAACAAAAACGAAATGATTTTATTTATAACATACTCAAATTTTTATGGCGGGCCGAATCATTGATCTATTTATAAAGTCCTGAGACATAGCAAACGTTTACATATATTTTATGCGTATTTCTAACAAAACTGTTCAGTTAAACGCACAAAATTTTCCAGAAATGAAATTCCAGAAAATTCCGCTAGTGGCTCTAAACGTTGTCATGACAACTGTTGACAAAACACACATAACAGACAATTAAAAACTTCTCATGTCGAACATTAACAAAATTAACAGTTGTTCAAGAGGTGTGGATTACAAAAATATTAAAGAGATTCAGCAATTACCCTCATATATCTAACAACTGCTTATAATTCAACAAACGGCAGACATTTCTTGATCATTTTGGTGGTAAATATTGGATTTAACCTACAATGTCGTTTGAATTGGCTATGGATGCAAATTCGGATCAATCGCAACCATCAATAATTTTAGCAGACGTAGACATAGAGCCTGCTAAACCTGGAAGCCATGAAACAATAATTCCACAAAGCTCCTATGTAATTAAACCGAGTTTAGAGGAAAGGTAGAGATAGTTTAATCTTTTTGAAGTCAGATTTCTATTAAGTTAATTTTTCAGATTTAAATCAAGTCCCATAAAAGAAATAATCCAAACAAACTTGTTTGAATCACTGGATGGCAAAGAATATGACAGTGAGAATGCCAAAAAGTGGACAATCAAAATTGCAAATTCAATTAATCAAGATATAAGAGGTAAAACAATAAAAATGCTTTATTTATGAATATAATCAATGATTTGAATGATTCAGAACTGAGAATGAAAAGGTACAAGCACATTGTTCAAGTTACCATTGGAGAACTGAAAGGAGCAGGTGTGAAATCTGGTCTGAGGTGTTTATGGGATTCTGAAACTGATGGCTATACAAGTGATGTTTTCATGAATGTAAGTATCTCAAAAAGCTTTGTTTAATAATTGTCCACTAACATATTTGATGCAATTTATTCCGTTTTTCAGAGTACAATTTTTGCAGTTGTCGTCGTTTTTGCAGTGTATCTTTATTAAATATCAATAAATACTAATTCAGTGGGTATATTTTTAGGTGCCCCATTTTATTATTAATGTGCATTGCACAATTATTTTCAAATGTTTTATTGTGCATATGAATGAAGTGCTTTGGTAAATTGATTTATAAATTTGTATAATGCACACAATCTAATTCATGACGCATGATTCGTAAGTGGGCAATAAGTATTTGATGTTAATAAAAGCATCTTCCCCACCATGAAGTTCAAGTTGTTCCAATGTTTCATTTATGATATCAGCAAGATTAATACCTTTTACTTGGCTGTAATCAATGTCGTCGCCTGAGTTAACGTTTTTTTCTTTAAAGAGATTCAACGGTGGCAACAGTTGGCGATAATAAGGCACAAGAGCTTCGCCGATCATGTCGAAAGATTTGACCAAGTGTTGAAGAATTTTTAATGCGCGCATCATTACTTCTTTGTTCCTAGTGTTTAAAGCTCCTGTGAACATGTGTTTATTACGGTGTTAATATTAACTACTAGAATTACTATGAATAATTACTTTTCATTGGTAGAATGAGTTGTGGAATACACGGAAATATCTTGTGTCCGCCATTATTGAGAAGATCAGAGATACCTTGTTGGGCAATAAATACGTACGGTTCTTCATTTTCGACTAAGCCTTCAAAGAAAACTGGGAGATAGTGGATGTAATCTATCTTATTCAAGTTTACCTAAAATATTGATTTATTTAGCAAATATAGAAATAATTTAATGACCTACTTACTTTCCAAATGACGCTGGTTTTGTTAGCGTCCGCCGAAATCGGCAATTCTCCACGATCGTACGAGGTTTTAAATATGCGCTTCTTAGTGTATGGTATCTCTTGATAAGGATTGCAGGTTGGAGGAGGTAGAGTGCATGTGCCACGTTGCAATGCTTGAACTGTAAACGCGGGAACCTGGCGACAACTTTTCTGGACTGGTGCATTCGGGAGCGGGCGATGGAGAGATTCACGGAATTGGCGACCACTCACCATTGTTATATTTAAGTTGTATGAAATGCTCACCAACTGAATTTCACACAAAAAGATTTGTAAGATGTGATTGAATATAGTCACTAAATGTAAGGGTAAAGAGGCGGAATGAAATCTACGAACGCGTTACCTCGCAGAATTAAACCGTACAAGATCCGAAAATATTCATATGAATTTTGTTTGATCAATGTCACGTATCATTGATATTATATCATTGATATTATATCATAGCAACTGAAGCGATTCGCATTTACTCTATTTATATGATTCCTACATTATATATTCATCATTAGATACATAAATCTTTGCAGTTTATAAAAGTATATATTATTGCTGAGGAGTAATATTGGTTGCCTATTTTTGTATCCAACCTTTTTCTGGCTGCAAAGCTAGCCTCAAATGTGTGCTACGTAAGAGTCTGAAGCACATCTTAGTTTGCGGACTAAACACTTTTGCTCCAGAACTACTATTAAAACAAAATATAGTATTCGGTACAGTACATAGTAAATATTCGCATCTTGAATTCAACATGTCGGCCAAATTTTGGGTGCATTGCAACAAGTGTTACGTACGTTCGAATAAGAAAACAAAATTTTCTATAGCAAAGTGCTCCCATATACTATGCTTCGATTGTGCTCAACTTGCAGGTAATTAAACATCTCTCAACATACTGATGTCCAACCGTCATTGATGCAAATATATTTCAGCTAAGAATAAAGCCTGCAGTGTTTGCAAGATCCCGACTTCATTAATCGTATTGGATAGTCAGATGCCATCTAATATATGTAACTATTTTCAATCCATTGATTCCTTATACAAGATGGCTAAGAAGGTACAGACCATAAAAATATATCACATTTATTATTATTTACTACATCACACTTACCAATCTGCAGACAATGAGCTTTCAAGCGGAACACCGAATGAGGCTGGATAAATTACTAGCAGCAAAATATGCAGCACTCAGAAAAGAATATTTTGGCCTGCTTGAGAAATTCAAGAAGTTTAAATCTGAAGGAGATCGTTTACAGCAAGAGATATCATATGTAAGAGGAAAATATATTTGATAAATCGAAAAATTAATTTAATTTAAATAATTTTTAAATTATGCCCTTACAGCGTTCGAGGAATAATCTAACATTTCAATCGGAGGACTCCCGTTACAAAGATGTAACAATGGGTGGACAGTTTACTGATTTTTCAATGAGTTCGAACAATACAATGCAGAGGCCTCATCGTATGTTCAACATGCATCAGGTAAAATTTAATTGGTAACGTATTTTCCACATCGAATTAAAACGAGCTAATTTACAGGCTAGTTTCGGTTCTTTAAGAAGCTGCAATGACAGGTCAAGATTTGACTTTAATTAATTATTAAATCACAAGAAGAATATGTAATAAGTCAATATTATCCATTTTTTCCCATATTTTCTTTTGCAAAAGAAGGCAAACTGAGTTTTAAAGCTCCTGGAATCTGCATTAAGTTAATTAAATTCACGATATTAGTAAATACTTTAAAATGTATCTTCTAAGAATAAAGATTTAATTTGCTAAAAATTTATTGAAGCAAATTATTCAACATGGTATCTTGATGTCAATTAAACAATCAAATGTACAGATCAAATTATAACATGCACATTTGTATGTTTTCCAGTTGTTCTAAATATGACTTAACTCGTTCTCACGTTTGTAACTTCTTTCAGTTGTTTGATGAATAATTTAAAAATTACCTGTACATACATTATTTATTTCACTATTAAAATTGATTTAACCAACAACCAGGGTGCTCTCATCTGGGAATACATGCACTGGAACTTCCAGATTAAGTGGAGCGGGTCCCTTGCGGATGCGGCCAGAAGCGTCATAATGGGAACCATGGCAAGGACAGTAGTATCCACCAAAATCACCAGCATTGGCAATTGGCACACAGCCCAAGTGAGTGCAGACACCCAAAACAACCAACCACTCTGGTTTGGTGACTCTCTCATGGTCATGTTGAGGATCTCTCAAGCTGCCTACTGGCACAGCCTGTTCAGCGGCGATTTCGGAACCAGTGCGATGCCTGATGAACAATGGTTTACCTAAAATTAAACATGTTAGTATGATGTATTATATTAAAAAACAAAATGTAAACCTCTCCATTTGAAGGTAACACTCTTGCCCTCAGGAATATCTCCCAGTTTGATTTCAATCTTTGCCAAAGCCAATACATCAGCAGTAGCACTCATGCTTGTGATGAATTGAGTAACCATTGCTTTGGCTGCATATGCACCACCAACAGCACCAGCACCCGCCAGCAAGTAGGTGAAGTTCTTGCGGCTCTCATCAGATTCTGCACTCTTTGCAGTGGGGCTTTTGACAGCATCACGACGGTAGTTGCTCCAGTCCGGAACGTGGATATCAGTGTGTGCGCATCTCACCTGGGTGCTGACTGCGGGTCCAGCGACCACGCTCATTTTGTTGACTGGTAAGCATTGATTGAGGCTGTAGCTGGTTAGCAAAACCCCCTTAACGTCGGTTTTTTCCTTCTTGGGAAGGACGACTGCAGGCGCTACTTTCAGTTGATTGCTCACCACCTGGCTGGCTGCCTTGATAAAGCTCGGGATGTTGGTGTTTTTAATCATTTTCCCGGATTCACAAGAACAACGTTCGATTTATTAACTATATTATGCAACAAAACGTTGCTTAGAACGAGTCGCACGAAGTTGGCAGAACCTGCGATGAGAACCAGTAAGTCCAATCGTGCGGAGTAGGGGTGGATTGAAGTGCACTTGAAAATGGTTTGCTACTTTGCTAACAAAAACTAGGTTGTATTATGTGTTGCATATGGTACGAAACAATAAAATGTAAAAGAAAGATAAGATAAGCAATTGAATCAAACGTTGCAGAAACAAAACTGCTTTACAAAAGTTATATAAAGCTCCTACCCTCCGTTTAGTAAGGGTGCAATAAGCAGGAAAAAATGCTCAATGTTTTTGTTCACGAAATAGTATTAGACAAATCCAACTTTTAAATAAAAAATATAATAGTTGTTTAAAGTATCAATTTGACTGTAGTCCATTATTGTTATATAGTATTTTCGTATTATAATTTTTTATTTCTTTCGTTAACACTATCCTTACATACTAATTACTTAAATTATTCTTGAACATAATTAAAAATCTCACAGAGTTTATCGGTTAAATAATCACATGCATGTGTTACATTTTTTTAACTATCAGATATTAATTTGTTTATACATATAGGTAAAACTCGAGCACGGCTCGCAAGCTTAATTTCTCTATTCTAAAAGGCACTGCTTCATTTGTTTGATGGATATTGTATCATTGTATGTACATGGTTTTTGGTTTTGATAAAAGTTAGGTAACTGAGAAAAACGCGGCTAAAATACTAGAATTACTCGTTAAGTCGTTGTAAAAGAATAAAGGGCGTCATTATTGTTTGTCTTAAAATGATTTGCTAGGTTCAACTTAAATATATTTGTCCGTTATTTCGTTAAGCCGAGAATAAATTAATACGATGAAGAGAATACTGCGGTAAATAGCAAATGGGTATCATATCACAGCGTGTTTAAATTTGTGCGTTTGTTCTTTTTGCAATGTTTATGATGTTACCGCAACGCCACACAATTAGTTAGACATTATACGCTTTGACGTGGGGTTTCAATTATCCTCCTGGAAGGCTTTTACAATGGCTGCTATACTTTCATATGTGCCGGTTATGCAACCAATCACACCGATTATAATAATAAATATATTCTTCATTATTTTAAAAGCAGATTTATCTGATGTGGTGATTTCCAATAGCGGGGGGATAAGAAGCGCTAAAGCCGTACTGCTGATGGCACCAATCAAAGAAATGAAAAGATTCAAATACGGGATGGCTTCAGCCAAAACAACTGAAAAGAATGCATAAACAATTAATTTCTGTCTTGAAACATTAAATTAAAATCGTGGCACTTACAAGTGATTAAAACAAAAAGAGTCCTGAATGCTAACTCATAGAAAATTGGATGTTTCATAGCCGGGTGCGTTTTTTCAACTTGGCCCCACATAATTTCGATGGCGATATAGAATTGCAATGCATAAGACATCAAAATTGCAAGGGCGATGAGAATCTTTACAGACTGACCCAAACTGCAATTAAAAAATATTTTATAATAACATAACCCGATACCATAAAAAAATGTTTATTTTCTTACATTTCATCTTCAGGTAAATTAAGGGTGACACTTCCTTGGATATCGTCACCGAATTTCAGATACGACACAATACCTAGACATGTGAAAGCAATAGTGACGAAAACCATGCCAACATTGAGTACGCCAAACGTTTTCTGGAAGGTGTCAGGTTTTTTCATTTCATTTCTCAATGGCAGGACCAAACCGATTCCTTCAAAGGCAAAGAGCGCGGTTCCGAAAAACAACGGGAAATTGCTAGCTGTACCAACATAGTCACGTTCACTGAATGCAGGAAGGTCTTGCGATATATAGTAGAACGTGATGACTAGACCAACAGCCATGAAGATATTTGCAATTGCTGATAGAGGTGCCAAATACTTCAGATTGCGCACAAGGCAGGTTAATATGATTGGGCCAAGAATTAATGCCATATGGATATGGATATCAATTTCAAAGCCATAATAATCAGCCAACTGCAAAGAAAATTTAATCGTAAACATTTTTCTACTAAATATAAAACAATTAAAAGCTGCTATATTGGGTTATGTTGCTACATCTTTAACCTTATAATCCTTAATATCTTACCTGTTTAAAATTACTCGAAACAAATACGAAGTAAACACAACAGAAGCCCAACTGAGTGACACATAAAAATAACTTGACCAACTTCCGCATCGGCTTTGCCAGTCTCTGAGTAGCAGGAGGTCCATTTTCAAAACACAGTTCCACGGTGGTAGCAAAATCGGGTAAAACTTTAACTCCGGTCTTCTGGGCAATTTTTGTCGACGCAGTCAGCTAGAAGCCGAAAAAATTCCAAAGTCAGACAAAAACTTAATTTTTCTACAAATAAACATGCTAAATATGCTGGATATGAACAAAAAACAGCGAAAAACCTTGCGATTAATGGATTATAGTAAAATATTTCCACGACTTGTTGACACAAACAGAAAAATCAACATTGTCGCGTAATAAATTATATTTTACTCTCACACTTATGTTTGTGATACTCATAATTACAATTACAATTGTCATAATCAAGTACGTACACGTTTATTTATTTATTTATGCCTTTTTATTTCAAAATAGGTCAACAGCTAGAAGTACTTAATCACAGGATGGTATTATTGTTGTTAATGTATGTGTACGCAGATATAATTGATTTATAAATATTTATCTAACGCTTTCGTTGTGTGCTTTTATGTATTTACGCAAATTAACCAGCTAATTGCTGCTAGAAACCATGTTAATGTATTAACACATTAACGATTTCTGAATTATCGATAGCTCGAGGTGATTCTAATAAAATAATCGCATGCACACATTGTAATAGTCTTTAATGAAATGAATTCTTAATTGAAAATTTATAAACATGTCTAGGCTTAGGTCTAGACAACTTAAGACATGTTAATAATAATTCAATTTAAGTATTTTTCAATTGACGCGAATTAGTCAACCTTTCAAATGTGTGATTAGTGTAAGAATTTAAATTTAGCTTCTAATTTTGACAGCGCATGAAAAAACTTGAAATTATATTGTGAGTAAAACATTCAAGAGCATTAGAAATGTACATAAATTGCGAATTGTAACATTCCTGTAATTTTTCACTTGATTTTAATGCAAAAATTGTACGTTCTCCACGTGCTTTGAAATTAAGTCATTTAGTTAAAGTTGCTCTTATAATTTAAGTTTAGAAAAACACAAAAACTAATAATTAGTAATTATTTTATGCCTGATAGTATCGAAACGGATCTTAAACTTGCAAAATTACAGTTACACATTTTTTAAATATATAAAAACGAAATAAATTGAATTTACATTAATTATATCAATTATAATTAATCATATTAATAATTAACTAATTATATGCCCAACAATGTATTTTTGCAAATTAGATGTAATAACACTAATTAATTAATTCATTTGTTTGCAAACTGGAATGTAATTCTAGAGTCATGATTTGCGAACGTGCTCATCGTTGAGCCACGTGCGAAAATGTTTATTGTTCGCACAACAATTAAATAAATGATTTCCATGCGATGTGATGTAAACATGGAAAATCTGGAATTTTACTCTCAGGATATACACCTATTTAATTTAGGTACGGTACATAAAATGAAAAATACCAAACTACTCGTACATGAAATTACTATTATATAATACCCGCTATAAAAATTTAATATTGCAAAAGCAATATTGGAACGAAATTAGCTCATTATCGCAATTTGAATTAAGATTAACTGCATAATTAATATCGTACGTATGAGTACAAAAGTTGACGGTCATGACATCAAATTTGAAGTGGACGATTAGCGATTTAAGCGCCACTTTAGATGCAGCGCTGAAGAGAATGGTGTGGCATCTGGTATTCTAGGCCATTGAAAATTGAAATTTATTCTTTAATTATCCGCGATAATTAATGAGGATTGATCAAACATGCAAGCTACGGATTTCATCATTCATTCAAGTTCACAAAACCACCAAAAATTTAATTTATACTAAACTATAAAGATATAAATGCAAATTTGGCAATAATATGTAAATACGTATTACGAAATTCTCGTTCCTCACGGTTTACGTTTAGGTCAAGGTGAACTTTGTTTATTATTTTTGGTGCACTCGGTTCGATTGTTTATATTTTTGTCTAGCTGTACTTCAATTAACATTTTACAATACTCAAACCGCAAATAGCAAATTAATATTTTAGCTAAATTAAAAATGCAACCAAATAAACATTTTAAGGGTTGATGATGTAACCAGTTATACAATTTTCGTTGCTTAGTAATATTATATTTTATTACGTTATGTTTATATTGTAAATAAACACTAGATTACCATTTATCATCATATAATTAATAAAAAATAAGTGATTTTATACACAAGGGCATATTATGCAAATCTATATCAATTACCATTAGGAAAGCAGAATTAATAACTTCCGTGGTTTTAAAAAATTGAAATACTCCTGTTTGCGTGACATTTTGTTGGTTGTAAATTTACACACACACACAAAATGACAGATTTCCTGATAAAAACATTGAGCTATGATCATAAAATTCGCAATAAGTCTTAATTTACCAAACAACACACGAAATTGAATTGTGGGAGTAGGTAGATTGCCTCCCATATCATTTTATTACGATTGAATCCATTAAAATGAGTTCGTAGAAAAACGCCAAATGCGAAAAATTCTCGCGGCGGAAATACGCATAAAACTGAGTTAGTAGTAATGTGGTTAGTGAAACTGCAAGTGTCATTTATTTAATAGGTGTTGATGGTCATGACCAAGATGACACCACGCTTTTTAAAATTTGCTCTATCATTTCGTGAAAAACAGGTTGCAACTATGAATTTTGTTTAAAATTAAAGTGGACTCACCAGTAAATGTTGACAATGAGTACAGATAAGTCCTAGGAAGATAATTGCAGCAGGTCCTAACACTATTCCGCCATTCTTCATGGCGTCACCCATTGCAAACAGACCGGAACCTAAGTTGCCTTTGAATAGATGCATTAACGTTTCACCGTAACTGTAAGAAGTAATTAATATGTAAAAAATAAGTGATAAAATGATAAAAATGAAACTTACGATGTAGGATGCTCAACTTCCGTCATATGTGACATTGGTTTTTCTTGTTTCTCCACTGTACCATTCAATTCGAGCCCATCTTTAGTTTTCCAGTATTTACCATTAGCTCTATAAATTATTACATTAATAATTTATTCTCAAAAAGGGAAATTAAATTAATACTAACCCATTTTCAACATCTGGTAATGATCGAGGATTTAAAGACAACCACGAATTCTTTGTGGTGTCATTATTACTCACAGGTTGCTTTACCTTTGACTCCATTTTATTTTATTATTTATCACAAAATCTGTAACAATTAAACGAAAAAAACGTATAGTAAAAGTACTTTTATTACAGTAGTTATGTTTTATTGATGATTTTTGAAACATACTGTACTAAATTAATTGATTAATAGTTAAATTCCGAGACATAGACTATTAAATCACCGCCCGCTTGAAGCATGACATTGTCCTTGTTATGCGAACAACAATGCAGAATTGAATGATTCAAATCCAAATTGTCGAACGCATAAAAAGTAGACATCGGAATGCGATGTAAAACTATCGATTACTGTTTGGAACTCAATGGATAATAATACTTTATTAGTGGATGCAGGATGTGATCAGGCACAGAACCATCCCATTTGTTATATCACCGTCATTAAATTGATTATTTTGCATAGTTGGCTAATTTTATGAGAGACTTAATGTGAAAATTACTCAAATAATCAAAATCGAAAATTCCACATCTTTTTTTAATTGTTTAAACAATAAAAAAATGGTTTATCCGCCTAGGCATTAAATATTAATTAATTTTAATAATTTTTAAGTTTTTTTGAGTGTTCTTAAACATTAATACTTAAAATTTGACTTTACACACTCAAATGACGTCATAAATGTTATAAATTAAGACCTGTCACCGAATTCTTTTCGCCACGTGTAATGATTGTACTATGTGCTCATAGTAAACATTTTATACACTTAATATACATTGTACCGATTCAATTATTTATTAAACAATATAATGAAATACACCTGGACCGTGCTAATAATGTTAATGAGACATTTAAACGTGGAATAAAAAATGAAATCCTGAAAGCTATTTAATGACAGCGAGCTAACCAAGTAACCAGGTCCGCTTACATAACGCAAACACCTTGTACAGTGGAAACAGCGGTGGAAGTTAATAAGCGCATTGATATTTGCGCAAATTCGTCCTTCGCTGCGCGACTTTCGCAACGTATCTATTCGTCCGCCGCGTTTATCAATCGCTTTTTATTTCTATTTTTAATCGCGCGCGAATAATTACATTTCGAAATAGAAAATCGCATGGCGCGGCAATTCCGCGCCGAATTAATTGGTTACGAATGATAAACGCGTTCAAGCACGATGACGGCATGTTAATAGGCTTGTAACTAATTGTGCTATTGAAGCAGAAAATAAAACTGGACTGTAAAATCATTAGAGGTGTATCTGTATACAAAAGTACTTCACACAAAATTACAATTTAATTGAATAACATTTTAGTTTTATATAGTTTGTGGTCCATTCTGAATAATCTGATAATCAGGTATCTGGTAATCAGGTATTAATTAATGTTCCTATTCATGTGGCTAACAAAATGAAAGTCAAGATGGTTTCGGGGACGTAAACCACAAAACCAGTATAATCCAGAACATACCTAGGTTAGCTTGTTTTGAAACTATTTTTTGCATTGTTTGTTTGGTTCTTTTTTTTATTCATGCAAATTCAAAATACACCTGATTGATTTCTATCGTATTTTGTATACACGGTAATCAAATAAAATATTAGATATGTTGCAATAAAAATAATCTTTACACAAACAAAATATAAGGTTTGATTGTTATAAATCGAGAAACATAATTAAAATGTAAACTGTCGATAAATATTTATTAGTTGTAGATAATTACTAATATATTTGTTAATTGAATAATGTGACACCTTGTAGTTTGCCAAAAACGTAACTCGTAACTCGTCATTATCGTGCAAATCTGATTTACCGCACCGGTTTTGACATTGATTGATAGGTTCAACTTCTTGGAAAATTTAAGCGTGCCACTTTAATAGTTAAACCGATTTGCAAAAAAAAAAAAAACAAGAACATATCAAACAATTTCTTTTTCGACCGTTTAAGAGCGTCTATTAGCACTTATGTCGTATATTAAATGTGTAATATAATTTTATATTCTTAAACGCATAAATTTACCTTAATTCCTATTATTATCGCATTTCATTAGTTGATGGTAAATATATTTTGAAATGGCATACCTAGATTCTTGAAGTTATAATCGCATAATGTATTTTCCATGTATAAGTGAAGAATTTTAGCAAAAAATCGTTAACAAACATTAAAAAATACCTTTATGGATTTTTACATTAATAATCATATTATTATTATACAAAAAATTCTTTTGCGTACTTCAGTACACACCACTTTAAGAAGTTTCCATTTATCAGTTCATTCACACTTGAGTTTTTATTTTAAATCGACAACAAGCTTCAATCTGTTATAATAATAAGTGAATAGGCATTTGTTGTTACTATTATAACGTGATCATTACACGATTGCTGTGCTCACACTTTTCGTTATTTACAACAATGCGTTTAATTTACATGTCGTTGGCACAGGCAGAACCTTGACATTGCAAAAGCCTCTTTATAAAAACAAAACCATTGTAGTTGCCTTCAGAGGCATAGTAAACAATAAATCCAAGTCCAGACGGCATAAATTGCCAACGATTCATAACAATTCACATGGATCTACTATGATAAGCCATGCAGACATGTTTTATAATTTGCATATGAAATGATATCAATGATAAGATTTAATTTTAAGTAATTTACGGAAAAGTTTTGAATAAATTCATTTTTAAATAAAAAAAAACACTAAATAAACTGATAAGACATAAGTCTCAGTAAGGCATTCACCTAGCAATGTTTATTATTGTACACTGCACACTACATCCTTGACTTTTTTTTATTGTAAATGTAGACTACACGCTTAATATGTTGTAAATAAAAGTCTCTTACCTTATTTTTAACGTTGGTAGTTATACAATTAAACAATACACAACAAAGTATCTTCCGATTAAATTTTATTTAATAACGTGTTAATTCATTTATTTATTTTTGATCCAGTTTGTAAATTGTGTATTCATCTCCACAACGACTGTCAATATCACTTGAATATTAAAAATTACTTATTATCGATAAAAATCAACAACGTGCGTTTATTTTGTTTAAGTCTAGTTGGTTGAGTCGTCTTAACATGCGCCTCGTCCGCGGTCGATGATAACTGAATGTGTCGAAGCGGGCGAGTTGTAACAAACTGCGACCGCGCGCACCTTTGCGTCCTGACTTTAAACCAATGTGAACACGCTGTACACACCATCAACACCGTCAAACGCAAATGGTGTTCGAGTGGTGTTCAGCGGTTGTCATGTATTGTACCCGTGAACTGGTGTACCGGTGCCTCCACATGCTTTTATACTATGAAAATCGCACTGGAATCACGTTGATTCGCGCCGAAAACTTCAACGCATGTAAAAGTAAACTTAGGAGGTGTGATAAGCTACTCTTGTTACCATATTATGTATTATTTATTATCATTACTACTTTTTTACTCATTGGGAAGGCATTTTATAAGATATTACACATAAAAATGTGTTAAAATGTAACTAGTAACTTGAATTTGACTGCAACCAATTTTTCAGGGTTGTAAACTATATCATATATTATATTATATTAGGGGTTGCCTATGACTTTGTAATTTTAAAATCTGACGCTGTAAAATCCCGAGATAGTGTTCATCTAGTGCTCATCAAAATCACGTTTACACTCGAAAATTCCAAAAACCGGAAAACATAAGTTCATTGATACATTTTTAAATATTTTTAAAAGATAAGTAGTTTAACACACCTCCTACACTATCATAATCAATACAATTAATAATCAATCAGGCAATACTTGCTTATAATGATGCAATAATAATTTCCATTCTGTTCCAGATTACAAACTGTAACAAATCTGTATCATTGAAGTTTTTATTAATTTTCGTAATTGTTTTCGATTGTTATTCTATGAAACTAAGAGGAATGTGAACATTGATTGTTTCACTATGGAAAAATACAGCAAAATATTAATCTGTCACTTCCAATATGCTCCAAAGTGTAATGATTAACCGTTGTGCTTAGAAAATGAAAAGTGTTCATGTCAATTAGATCTTTAATCGATATTTAATCAGAGTACAATCAGGATATAACAAGTCATCTCGAATGTAAACAGATGATACCCGGTATAAAATTATAAAAACAATTGATACTAAATCAGATCTATTATAAAGAATAAAGTAAATGATAAAACACTTAAAATCCTTGAAATTACTTTAAATCAATGCAAATTTGATTTTGATTGTGATTGAGATTGTTGCGATACAAAGTAAATACCCGGTTGGCATTCCTCAAAAAACTTGACAATATTTGTGATTCATATGATAAAGTGATCTTAATGCGACAAGCATATTTGCTAGGAATTTATAAACGTTTATTTTCCATTATGTGCGCTTCTCAGAAAGCATAAAAGTATTTAAATGTAAATATCAGCCAAAAACTTTCTCACTTGTGGTTTTCTATAAAAATTAAAAATTTTCGTGATTTTTAATTTTTAATTCTTTTTTTGCTTCAATTCATGACAAAAAAAAATTATTTAAGTTAAATTTTTGAATAAATCGAAAGTGAAATTGAAACCAACCTCAAACATTCACAAAATTCCCAGTAAACCAAACAATTAACCATTATTAAGTAGTTATGTACGTGCATAATTACATTTGGCTCATTTTCATCACTGTAAATCAATTGCATTGCATTCGCCGATGTCGTTGCGTTTGTCAATTTATGCAAATCGAAGGTTTACACTTAACACTGGTGTCGGCATTCCGCAGCAACTAATTATGTGCATTTAATTGCACTCGAGACGTTCCGTTCCGAGTCCAGTTCATTAGCGCGTTAACAATTTTCCAACACGTGCTAATATTGTACCTGAACGAGTATACAGAGATCGTTATAAACAATGGAATGCCGGGAAGCTGCTCATGTTGAACAACAACATATTTTTACTGCTCCGAGTAATTTTCGGTTAAACGGTTATTTCCTCTGTTACGAAAACCAACTAAATCATTTTAATCAATCACGACTAATCAGTCATTGTACGCGGATAGAAAATGAAGGAGGTGGTATAAATTATGTAAATGTAATTTACAAAAAGGTTAAAACTCTAACCACAATGTAAAAAGTATTAAAAAATTTCAACGCAGATGCTTGTTGTGTCTGCAAAAAGCAGTGACCTTGTCAAAAATAATTACAATCGTGTGTTGTATTGTTTGCTCTTATTTAAATGTATATTTTTAGAGTGATATAAAGTAATAAATAAATAAAAACTTTCAAAAAATATGTTAATTTGAAAATAATGACTTGTGTTATTAAATTTACACAAACAATACAATTTTAAACGTTGCTAAACATTTCACACAGCTGATTTATTAATAATTGTAATGCGATTTAATCCAAAATCATTAAATCCAGAATGTATGCTGATAAAAAATCAGGAAAACCAATCAAAACTTGTTGAATGCATAATGTTTGCCGTTGGCAATCAGAATGGCTACTATTGAACTATATTAAAACGTTTAGACGTCACAAAATCGTTTTATTTATAACATTGGCTAATAAAGTGCATGTTGAATACAAATTCGATTCATAATTTAATCGCACAAGGCGAAAAGAAACACCAATTTATTTCGCTGATAGAAACTTAAATATTGTGTGTCTATTGATAAATATTGACGTCAATGTTAATAAAAAATACGGTAGTTGAGTTATGACAATACGCAATAGTTAATAGGTTTGTATCTGCGTCTGAGAGTAAAGATGTGATGAATTGTTTGTGCATAACCCATAACCTTTTTTCGGTTCTATAAATATACTCGCACCTGCTACAATTAAATAATAAACATAACATTTATTGAGATATTTTATTGTGTTGAATATGTTTTTGTGATTTTGTGTAAATTGTAGTTTGTTGGTGTATTTTAAATTGAAATATAAAATACGCAAAAGTATGTTGCGTGTGGGATAATTTGAAACGATTAACATTTTTGAACAAACGATCGAATTATTTACGAGCATCAGCAATGCTACATTCTGCTTTATTGTTACTACTGCACGTGTCGAAACACACTGTTGTAGAATTTTGAGCTGTAATTATTTAATTACTGGTTTTAATTAATAGGTTATTTGTTTAAATTAGTTTAATTATGTTGGTATTCTATTCAAAGTGTGATTTTAAATTTCAAGGCTTCGGTAGTTTTGATTTTAAAAGTGATAGGATTAAAGATATAATAAAATTATTAACAACCATCAGGAAAATGAAAGTATAAATTTGAATAATTTATAATTAAAATTTATTAATTTACCATAAAAAATAATTACTGCTCAATAATTTTTTAATCAAACTATAATAAATCAAAATAATTTTATATCGTATTATAATAAAAATGTTGAAATTATTAATTTGTATAAGAAAAATGTAAAAAAATATTTTCTTCTTCAATTACTTTCAATTTTCTTGCCTAAATTGCTTTAAACTTTATTCATTGTCATTTTATAAAAAATAACTATTACGTCTTCATAAAGAATAATGAAGTCACTAGTTTAAAAATACTTGCGCTTAATTTCGGGATTTACAGAGAATTACCGTCGCTGCTTACAAATGAAGCAAAGAGTGTCGAAGGGACGTCCTTGTCGGAATTTACGTAAACTTGGCCGACAAATTACCGGCAGAGAACAACACATTAGGCGCTCGCATGATGTGAATTAATATTTATTTACATTCGCGTTTTCTGGATCTTAACCACTAACTACATACGCTACATCCAACATAATGTCGCATTTAACATAATAATTCAAGCATACATTTTAGTCGATGTTTTTTAGAGGTCACTTTAATGTACAACTATGTGAAAAGCGTTTTAAAATCACTTATGATTCATTGAATAAATATATATTTCATTCTCGTAGCAAATAACGACTGGGAAATAAATTGCGTAAACCCGGATATCTAATCATTGTCAAAAGAAGAAATGAAGAAAAATTAAAGCAAAACTTAAAAAAAAATCAGTGTGTTGTTACCGTTTTTCCGAAATCAATCGCACTGCCGCAGTGAATATCAGAATCGGATCAGCAGTCGATTCAAAATTCGTTCTAGTCGTTTAGCATCCACCAGGAACAAGGCACAAATGCGCCAGACGAAATTCCAGTATAATGCAATAGCAATTGTCTACCAAAAAGGTACAACAGAAAATTTAATCATGAGATTTTAATGAAATGAGTCAATCACTGCTCAGATTTAAACTGGACCTGAACGCGGCTTATCAAAACTGTTATAATTTCCGCATGTATCCTTATATCGACTCATGTCAGCAAAAGTGAATTTTGTACTGAATTTAACGGAAAATTTATCGTTTTTTGTTCAAAGCTGTTAACTTTAGTATAAATTGTAACAACAAACATATTAAAATATTTAAGTGTGTAATATGTACGGTACACAAGTAAAAATACGAATCATGGTTTAGGTATGTAGAAATATTTCAACGCAAAAAATCAACACTAAAAACCTTACACCGCAAAATAAAAAAACAAATTCAAATGTCGCCAATGTCATGACTAACATGAGTAACACACACACATGGTTATTATTTCACCTAGAATGTTACAAACAATACCTGCTCTTACAAATGTCTACTCGTTGATATTATAATAATTAACACCTTAAAATCCAAGTACATATTCATTGTGCTGTGGCATTTTATGTACATATCGGCACATGTACATTTGTTTGGGTTTCTTCGGCGTGAGTTGAAAAAACAAAACATGATCATGTCGTGGTCATTACTGTTTCTTTATCGTCAACATGTGTACTTTCCATATCCATTAAACAACGCATCATAAAAACGTGTTAGTTAGACAATAACATATTTAATGAATGGAAGATTTTTGTTATCACGATGCGCTGGACACTGCACGTAAATCCGACGTTTCTCACCTGTGCTACTACGATTAATCTATTGTAATTATCGCTTTGGATGGGAATCTTTCCATTGTGATGTGATTTACTACCAAATTGAAGCAAATTACTGCAACTACTGCGCATTAACTGTATTAACATATCAAAATCTTGTTTTTGTTTCGCATCAATTCATCTAAATCATTCTGAAATATTAATTACGCGATGTGTAAATTGAGAAGTGAGGAGAAGTAAATTATTTTTTTACAATTTAGTTTTATCTGTAAATCTAAATCAATTTAAAATACAATGCAAATAAATTCTATCATCTGTACAATATGTTGAAATAGATTAGATTTTATCAATGTGATTAATAATTAATTAATAAACAATTTCTTAGAAAACCACTAGGAAGTAGCAGAAAGGTTCTTTATAGCAAAGATTAAAGCAAATTTGCATGTGCTGTGCATGTAACGCGTCGATCACGATGTTTATGCGCACACAAGTGCTATTAAGTCGAGTGCTGATTACGATTACACAATCGCACGCCTCACAAATAAAAAAAAATTATGTGTGGAGTTCAAACTCGGTAGAAGTGAAACCTTCAGAACACTGCACTGCGAGAGTATGAGACGAAAGTAGTATCAGCAGTATCAGAAAAAAATTATCAAGCATCCCCCTTGGCAATTTTTTCTTACGAATAAAAAATTCATCTCTCAGATTTCCGTTTTAACTATCCTATCTTATAGAGAATAATCCGTAGATTAAGATCCTAATTATCTCTTTTAGTTTACGAGATAATCGCAATTGTAAAAAAAAATCATGTGTGCAGTTCACACACGGTAGAATTTAAACCTTCGGAACACTGCCCTGCAAGAATTGCTTTGAATGCTTCAGAATAGAAATACAAATGCAGTGGAAAAGAATTTGATCGACGTGCGAAGAAATGGAGAATTGAGAATATGTATGTCGTAGGCCTTGAATCGAAGCGCTCGCACATGAAGAACAACATAATCCGAGTTCAATCAGCTGTGAAGTTTATTAAGTTTATAATATCAGCTGGTTGTGTTACACTCAACAGCTGTAATTATAAATAATGCGCGTTTGCGTTCGTAACAATCATCACGCCTTTTGAACGTGAACCTGCTACTTGTACCTGATGTTTTTCTGTGTGTTCTGTGTGCATGCATTGATGTAACGTTTGAATGTGAACATACGCAAATGACTACAAAGCGGTATACTGCAACTCAACCACGGTGAAGGTTTCGATTAATTATATAAATTTACTATAGTTATAGGGTAATGAATATTGCATTATGGTAAAATTTGCATAATTTACTTTTTATTTAGTTTTTAAAAATGCAATTTTTCTTTACCTATTAAAACTATGCATTGCAAACTTTTACTTCACTGCCATGACAGTAAATTGCCATTTCAATGCCCTTTATCTAATGAATATAATAGCAGTTTCAATGCGCCACTATATAATTTTATTAATTTATTTTTGACATTAACTCTACTTCTGCAAAAAAAAACTATGTGCGTTTTAAACTGAAGCCGAACTCGTGCGTTATGTGGAATTTTACCTTGTGCTATTTGAACCCGAACCTCATTAATCGGTAATTACTGTCTAGCGTCTAGTACCCGACGAGTTAGTCGCTGCTACATGTCCCAGATGAATAATCTCGATTGGTAAATCAATTATGGCAGCATATACCAACTGCAATACACATTGAAGTAGTCGGCGCTTGACCTAGGATATTTGGTCTGCACCACTACTACACAAACTCCTTCTAAGAGATATGTTAGAGTGAATGTTTATATTGTTTACAATGATTTTATTAGATTGAATGGCGGAATGCCATAAACTATTCCAGGCATTTAAATCACCACCAGTGACATCTGAGACATTGTGAAAGGATGCACACAACTGGAAAGTGTAATTATACCTTATTTACTATGACATAACTTATTTGTTTATTTGTCTAGTTGTTTTTGTTTATTACTCAACTAGTACTACTTTATGGGAAAGGTAGATGTAGTTCAATGTTTTATTTCTTACTTGTTGTTTACATGAAATAGTTGTATAGTTGCAGGATGTGAAATTTATTCATCTCCGGATTCTTCATGTTTAATCAATTCCCTTATACCATCGCTCATTTCTTTAATGGCCATAAATTCAGTCAGACCAAGACGACGTTTATTTGAAATATCATAGACGTTATCCACTGATTCAGTGTGTTCTCCTTCGGTACCACGCACTTGCAGATTATATCGTCCAGCGATTTCCTCTAATTTCGTTCGGTTTGCTGCTAGATGTGGTAGACTAATGTGAACAGAAGCGCGTATAGCCGTTCCTAAAAGAAATCTGATGAAGTATTTGAACTCAAGATATAATTTACGTACCTATGTTAGTGGGACAAGATGTCAAATACCCGTACTTATCATTATGTGCAAATTCCATGCACGTTTCTAAATATTCAGCGCCTTCTTTTAGGCGCTTGTAAACAGCCATAATATCACCACCCTTTTGCATAGAAATTATACGCATGTGATCTTCTTCGTTTATCCATACAATAAAGGTTTTACTAGGATTATAGAAAATGCCTCGACCAGTGGGCCAAAATCGACATATTTTTGCTGCTGTAAGGAAACGATCACCTTCTTTGAACAAGTAATGATCGTCGACTAATTTCTGTTGTTCAGTAGGTACCAAAAGTTTCAATGGATAATAGGTGCCTTGAAGTTCGCCCTGGAAACTGTTTACCGCCATTGAGATCTTCTGCTCCAACTCTTTGTAATCATCTTCGGTCATCTTGGCAGCAAAAGGATAATCCTTGATAGAACGTCCAGTACGTACTCGTGTACTTATAATATACTTATTGGAAGGATCAATGTTAGAAAATGCGACCGGATCGCCCCAACATGATGGCGGATGCTTGCTGTTTTTAAATGAATGATATTCAGCTATTAGAGGATTGAACAGCTCATGAAAAACAGTGTATGCATCTGCATCCGGTGCATATAATCCTACTCCAGAATCCAGATTAGCAGCTCCTAAAAATATAATTTCAGTATCTCAACAAGTGTTTGATTATGTTTTACCTGACTGAATGCAGTCTAGTAAAGTGGAACCCATTGGGGTCGTTATATCCTTTAACTTTTCATATGTTTCTTTTGTTAAATGTTTTTTGACTAACGATTTTGAGTTGCTATTTGATATTGTCTTGTAGGCTTGTTCAATTTTGGCAGCGACTTCAGGTTGAATTCGGCCTTTACCACACCTGAAACGGCAATCATCGCATCCAGCCATAATGAATTTTGCAACTATTTAAACTATTTGAAATTAATGGAGAATTTTGAAAATGGGGCCGAAAATTATTTTGCGTGTGATTTTAGGTACTTAACAATTTTGATTGACATTACATTTTTTCAAAATGTCAAGTAAATAGGTATTAAACAAAAAATAGTTATTGTTTACAACTATTGATGTTATTTTGACTAGACTGGGACAATAACATGATGTTTGAGTAATAATTCATTGTGATCTGTCATTAGTGGTGGTGATGTGAGTATCGATTGCGAAAATTCGAACAATTTGCGATTTTTCTTGCTTTCGATTTGGTTACCTTTGCCATAACATTGCCGTGCGGGAGAACATGATGAAGTGCCGCTAGTATATTATTAAATTAATAATCTCCTAATTTTCCTGTTAATAATAAGAAACATAACGTTTATTCTTACAAAAATAGAACTAATGATTACAAATCAATAAAAATTAAACTATTCGTTTCCATAGTATTTATAATTTTAAATTATTCTTCAAATACTGGAGAATTTGATGTAAAACATCACGATTTCCATGTCCATCGTTCCAGCTCAGCTCAATATTAATATTATTCGCATCTTTAAACATAGAAATCTTAGCGGATAGTAGTAAATTCCTACGTACAATTGGATTTTCATCACTTTCAGCACCGGTCTTAAATCTCTTGTTATTGTAATACCCTTCGTCGTCATCAAGCTCTCGCTTTTTAGGGCTTTTCACTTTCATTTGTTCGATTAATTCTGTTGTTCTTTCTACTCCTGCATTCATGGGAGAATTTTGGTTGCCCAAGGTTTCTATTCCACTATCATCCATTGATGGTGACTTTGATTCGTTAGAATCATTCGAACTGTTGCCAGCTCTTTGGGCAGCCCGTCGCTTTCTACGCTGATGTTGCCAAGTATTTTTCTTCGCTTCAATATCATAGGAATACAGAATTTTCGTTTGTTTAACTCTAAAATCAAACTAGAAAGAAGCAAATTTAGTATGAAACTTCAACAGTAACTTGAATTTAATTATATGTACCTCTAACTCTGTAAATATATCTTGAAGTTTAATATGTACATCATTTAATGTTACAGTTTCTGGCACATTTGTTATTTGATACTGAAATGATGTATTTTCCTTCTTTTGTTTACGTTGTACAGCCAAAGTAGTTTCAGGTACTTTACGCAAATCTATATCACAAAACGTCCACGCTAAGCCCCAGCGTGTTGTATTGCCTTGGCAAAATTCAGTCTGTTTGAAACTAACAACATCTACATCTCTCAAAAGTTTCTTTAACGGCGCTAAACTGGAAGCATGGCCAATCATTGTTGTATAAACTCTGAAATAAGTCAATAATATTATTTTCATATTCACATGAAATAAATGTGTCTCAACTTGCTTGATTTTTGTTTGTATTGTTTGGCTCTCTTTGATCATTCTTGAAATAAATTCAACTTCTCCACCATGTGCAACAATTTCTTGAGGAGCAGCAACGAAAGCATTTTTAGGCCTTGGTCGTGAATGTTTTCTTGATTTAAATTCAAAGATTACTTCTTGGTGAGAGGCAAAAAATGGTGGGTTGCACATTACAAAATCATATTCATTTGTGATGTGATCAAAAAACGCATCTTTTGTAACTTTTTGAACTAAAATATTGCAATTTGAAATAAATGTTACATTTAAACTTAAATTGATATCACTACCTTCAATTAAAACTTCTAATTGGTTTGCCACAACATTATTTCTTGCAAATTCTATAGAATTGTCATCAATTTCAGTTGCTAACATATGCCATTTATTTTTGCTAGCAGCAATTAGAGGATAAACACAAGATGCACCTGTACCAATATCAATACCCTTAATGTCCCTTGTCTCATTTATTGGAATTGATATCTCCATTAAATCTTCAATCCATAGAATGTAATTTAATCTCAAAGGTATAGTTGGAATTAGTTTGTTCAAAGGTATTTGTACATCAAGCCCAAAATCTTTTTTCAGTAATGTGCATGTGAGTGACCTTAGAGCTTCAAGATTTTTGAAATCAATTGAAACTTTACCAGATAATTCCTACAATTAGAATTTAACGTCAATCAGTTAATATTGAACATCATCCCATATTTACCTGTTTTACATGCTGACGAAAATCTGGATAATCTATTGCTAATTGTTTAAAATTCGGTGGAGTTTTATAAATGTTACGCGGATGCATGTACTTAGTCATTGACATTATGAGTGTCTTAAATGTTAAATAAATATTAACTATTAAGAATTTATTATTAAAATAGACCAACTTGAAAAAATAGTAGACTTCTCATTCGAAGTGCACTTGAAAACGCAAAAAGAAACGGACTTCGGCAAGTTTGTGAGGTTAGCTAGCAGGCAACCACAAGTTCTTCATTTGAAATACTCTCAAAAGTATAAAGTACTCTCAATTCAAACATACAACAATAAATAAATAAATTAATATTATATAATGTTCATTTTTCTATTTTATTTACGGGTATGATAAACTGATAAAGTTTTTCTCTAACGTTAACCTTTTTTTAGTATTCAAAAACGCACAATTTCATGTAAAAAACGAAAACAAAATTTCCCGCGCAAGGGGTTGAGCTGCATATTACAAACACACGAATACCCTGAGATAAAGGAGTGGGAACTTAAAAAAGCAATGGTTTCCAAAGGGCTGTGCGCACTTTGCTAATCCAAACGAAGTTGTAATACTGCACCGTTCGTAAAATACCTTCTATTCTTTTCACAAGTCTAATATCTAATTTGCAGCTGTTTAATATCAATAAAATAAATTACATATACACACTTAATGGGACTAAATAAAAATATGCAATTTTCTTATACTAATAAGTTTAAAACACTTATGAAGTTTGTTTGAATACCATTTGTCTTTATAGTAGGCCAATACGTTCGTCGTCTACTCATTCTTCTTTCCATTATTACCATTCTAAAACAAACACACAAGTAAATATCCCAATAGAGTAACAATTAAACGTATATATCAATTTTGTAAATACCTCACGGACTTTCTTCGACAATTGACTAAGAAAATCGAGGATCGAATACTCATTCTTCATCTTCTCCCACTTTTTGCTAGGAATTACCATTAACGTTGTCACCGTATTACCCGTAAATATAATCAAGAAAATAACGCTCAAAACATACACCTACAATATAAATTATTAAGCACAATCATTATTGAACGCAAGTTGAAATAAACTTACATGCCAAGTTGCAGTAGCTTCATAACTTAACTGAAACAAAACGTAAGCATTGTACAATTGGAATAAGTAGCCGCCAAACAAGAACGGAATGAGGAAGCTTAATCCACGCCACATCCAAGAGTGGAAACCTTCGATCGTAATATCCATGTTGTGTCGTTCGCCAAGTGCTTTCAATCGATACAATACACCACTCTGATAAATAAACTGTAAATACTGGACGACGCCTACAATAAAACAATAGTTATACCTTGTTTTAGTACAGAAATTTTAAAGCACTTACTGATATAAGCATTGAAATACATAAATTGAGTCCTAAACTGATTCCAGGTAATCATATCAGGCCAAATGAGTAAGATGCCAGCAGCAACAGTAGAAATAAAGTGATGCATTCTCCACCATCCCTTAATCCTGGATCCATTCACCTTTAATATACTTTCACGGATAGTTAGGGTACAATAGTACCAGACAAGTAGAAAAATATAAATCAGTTCCAACGGTCGAAAATTGAAGATGATGTTTAAAGCAGCCAGAACAAAACTTATTATGCTTATTATAAGTTTGAACTTTTCATATTCATCTTTATATTTAAACCTGCAATACTCAATTGAATCACATTAGTAACTCATATAGAACATTAACTTTATATCTATACTTTTCTTCCTTATTTAGAATGGACACATTTACATTGCCCAAAATAATTTTTAAGTAAACTCCATTCTGTTTTGGCAAAGTCTGCTCAATGTGATATAAATGAGCTGACTGTTTGATTAAATTTTCCTCCAATTCTTTAATCTTCTCTGCATTCTCTGCTGTTCTTGGTACACTATAAAGAAGTTTTTTGTATTAAAATTGTTTAAAAAAGATGTTCCAATTGGACTACCTTTTAAGGTTTTGTTTAATAATGTCCATTCGATATTTTTGGTGATGAATTCCATCTGTACATTTTTTCTGATACCCGGCCAATTCATTTAACTTTTCTTGGTACACTTTATTGGAGTTCTACAACATAAAGTAAAGGATATTTATCATTAAGTTGGTTTTCAATATCTTTAAAATGTCTAACCTCCAATTGCTTGTAATCAGTTGCTAGGTCCTTCCACTCGGCGAAAACGTCCACGGAGTCGCACATTGTTAATCGAATTGAAATGCACTTTGATATGGCAATTAATTAGCTAGTACACGATTCACTTGGCCACGAAATGAAATGAAGCGTACGTTCCAGCTCGGCGTTTATTTAATAGCGGCTCCGCGATATCTGGCGGTGCTAATCATGTATAATCTGCGTGGTGCCTGATGACAATTGATAAACCTTGAACTTAAGCACCTATTTACGCATTTTATCGTCGTGGATCAAAATTGATAGGTTTTGATTGTTCAAACGTTTTTTACAACTTATTTAATTACTACAAAAATGATTACTACACGAAATCGTCATCATGGTTAGTTGAACAACTATTAGGCAACCAACAAGTCAGCGAACCACTTCTTGAATCTTCTGGAATCCTTAAAATTGTGAACAATATATTGAACTCGTTCAGAGTTTATATATTGATAATACTTTAGGAATTTAGACCCCTGGACTGATTAGATAACAGCGTTTGTCACAATATGATCCTTACAATTGTAAATTGTTGTCACTGATGCGTTTAATCACTATGGAAAAACGTGTTGCATAAAAATAGATACATAGATAAATATAGCGTGCGCAAAGTATCTTTCTCCCTTTAATGAATTGTAATTAATAATAGTAAAATAATAATTTTCTAATTTAGTATGTGTAGCATTTTGTATTTATTATTACTCACTTTTCAATCATCTAAACCAAAACATTTCTTTACTTACTATACTATCTTACTTAAATTATTAAGATAAGCTTTAGCGTCTTATGATATAATACATATTTATGGTTTTACGATCTTCCACTGTTGAAGATTATTAACACGCAAAAAGTAGTAAATCCAAAACGGATATCCGTGATTATGCCAACAAACTAAAAATTGCATTCCAAATTAAACACACATTTTATTGTGGCCTGAAAAGCTGTGTAAGTAAAAGTAAACACCAAAATTCTAATCCATTATTAACGAAAACACGCAATAAGTCGGGTTTTTCATAAGCGTGTTTTTTGCGTGTTCTTTGCGTGCTTTGGAAATGTACAAATGAATAGTTTAATACCATTATATGAACAATATAATAATATTCAACTAATATTTTAATTATTATAAAGCAATTTACGAAAGTTTGAGTAATAAATTACTTCGTATAAATACAGTTTTGCTTCATATTTCTATTTCAAAAATTTCACAACCCATCACAACAAAAGAAAATGCTTTAACCATTTTTTACATAAATTCCAATTTTATCTTCACGCAGCAACTGAACAGAATAAATTAATGCACTTTAATTTATATAATAAAAAACACGTAGATATCTTAGTCAGACGCAATACCAGCCAGTACACACCGGCTACACTGTTTAGTTTCTAGTAGATTGAAGTAAAATAAAAGAAAGTGCCCGCTGTACCGTGGATGAGCACATGAGCACTACGGAATATAGCAAACAAAGCGGGCGCGTACTGAATTGTAGAACGAAATGTACAAACAACAAACAGAAGAAGCGCTTAATATGTATATAGAACGAATAAAAATATGAACAACTTTGCGCATTGCTTACTGGCTGGCTGCCTCTCTTTAACACGTTTGGTAGCGAGGCAAATCAGTTAAATTGTAGAATGCGCAATGAATGGGTCTTCTATTAGACTATAGCATAAAAGTGTTTGCGGCTGTGATTGAATAAGTAATGCAATAAAAAAATAATAATATCCCAGCAAAACAGTTTAAAGATCAAACAAAAATATCACAATGTGATTTAATCTCTAAAATTTATGTTATTACATTTTGTTGTGATTTTAAAGTTTTAAGTGCAATGTGTAACAAGTTGAACGCACGTAATTGGATTATAATCATGTCTATATTAATGAAATAACACAGCATATGGAAAAACAGGTATTAAACAAGTTTATATCAATTTGTGTATCAGAACAAAACGTTCAAAGATTTGTACTAAATGTTTACTTTGTAATTGAAAATGGAACTGACAGTAACAGAATTTGATAGTGCAATATTTGTACATAGTTTTGATGTAAAGTTAGATTTCTAAGAATATTTATATTTTTCTTACTTTTTATTTAGTTCTGCATTTTTTACATTAATATTTTTATCGTCTGCTAAAGCCTTCATCAACATACTTGCCAGTTAAAATGAGAACTTTGCCAAAACCAAAATACGATTATGTTGAATTTAGTTGTGCACTTCGCAGCATTCAATTATTATTGCTAAAAACAAACAAGATCATTTCTATTTTAAATTTGCCGCTTCCCTAGAATCGTCTCAGAACGCCGGCGACGCCTAGAAGCGATACAACCAAGTTCGAAACATTCACCTGCACTCCACTCTCCTGATTGGCCCGCCTGCTGCTTGCTTTGCTCTGCCGCCTGCCGGGACTTGTTGTAGTCATTTGTATGTAAACCGTGAATAATGAGACCGACACCGCCGTGATTGCAAATTGGGTGTAATTGCAAGTGTATCGTGTTTACAAATGTGATCGCGACTTCAACTCCAGTGTGAACTGTTAGTGAATCGCAAAATGTTCGATCGGCGGCTGCTGTAATCGGTCGAGATGAGCGTGTTCGGTGATTTTCAGCAGGTTTGGGCGCAGAGATGTCCTGGCAGTGCGCTGCCCAGCGCCTGGGAGGAAGATATCCGAGCCAATCTGGAGAAACACAAGCAGAAAGTGAAGAATCTGCAGGAAGAACTTGTTAAGGAGGAGACCTATGTGGAGTATCTTGAGCGACTATTGTCCGACATCGAGAAACGTAAAGAACCCGAAAATTTGACTGACCAAAATGTTGATACACCCATTTCCCTTATCTCTGAAACCATATCTAAGGTAAATAATACTTGCAGCTGTATTGACAAAAATCCAAGTTGAGAGTAATGCGTCATTTTTGCTTGTTAATTATTAATAGGAAGCACCTAAAACTGAACCAAGTGCACCACCATCAGAGTCACCTCAGGATCAGGAGACTTCTGTTGACAAGTGCATTAGTGAACTATCTGCAACATTGAAGAGCAAGAAGGGAGATGAACTGATTGAGGACTTGCAGGATCCCAGTAGCTTTGTAACTGTCATTGAAATCAATGGACAGAAGAATAACTTGTCTGCATCACCACCTTCTCCAGCAACAAAGCAACAACCACCAATGTAAACATTTCAATGATTGAATATGAATTAACATTAAGCAAATCTATTTTTAGACCACCAGCAAAGCCAAAAGTAAAGCCAGCATTGATGAAAGAAGATTCAACTTCAATTGGTGGAGGCAGTGTTGATTCTATGTTATCTTCAAATGAGAATTTGAATGCAATTGATGAACCCTATTATGATATTGTTGCACCAGAAACTGAAGGGTCTATTCTAAAAAGTATTGTTTCTAAATTTAAATTTAAAACATAGTCCTAATGTTTTGTTAATATTACAGGTGGCAGTTCCAGTACTGAAAATGTATTTTCCAATTCAAGTACGTTGCCGCTTCATGCAAAAAATAGCATTCTGAGTGCAGAGATTGAACCACAATCGCCTGAACCACAAGGAAATTACGTTAACATCGAATATTTTATTCTGTAAGTGTCATTGTTTACTGCAAATTTAACAGCTTATTGTTGTTATCTTTGATTACTAGTTTTTGATAGCAAATTAAACATGTTATAAAAATAGCAATGCATCGCGCTTAATCATGATTCATGCGTCTTTCCTTTTTTTGTGGTAATGCGTAGTAGCTGTAGATTACTTTTAAGTGGCTTATTATTAGTATCTTCTAGATTTTAATTAATGCAGAGATTGTTAATAACACATTTGAAGCAAGTGAATGACTATTATTAAAAAGATATTTCAAACTTTCACAGGAAAAATGGTGGTCATGCAAGTGAAGATGAAGACGAAGCGTTTACAGACGGTGCTCCCATGCGCCAAGGCAATGATAGTGGTTCGTATGCAAGCTCGAGTTCGCTGGAATCATCGACTCCTGCAACACGACGCAAGTTCAGCCAAGTTAGCCAAACTGACAGCGAACGCGGAGAAACAGAACGATCACAAATGTACAAGAGTCTTGTTATGAACATTATTGATAGTGAGACTAATTATGTGGAATGGTTATATGTCCTGATAGTGGTGCGTTGAATTACTTTCAAACTTTTAAAAATTTAACTTGAAAATATGATTTCATGAATATTTTTCTTTCCAGTACATGAAGGCAATTGAAGGGTCTTTGAAATCATCACAGCCGGTGATGTCAAGCACCGAATACGACACAATTTTTTACAAAATACCAGAAATTCACCAAGTGCATACTGCATTTCTAGACGCTTTAAAGAAACATTCCAATAACTGGCATACCAGAGTAGGCGACGCATTTAAATTGATGGCAGCCAATTTGGAGCTATATGGCGCATTCCTATCCAACTATGGTAGGGCGGTTGACACTGCAAAGAAATGTTCCGAAACAAATCTACGTTTCGCGGAGATTTCGAAAAATATTACATGCAAGCAAGTTAGCAAACAGCAATCTGTGTCGCTGGAAGAGCTACTGCACAAGCCGGTCGCACGCATGCAGAAAAACACTTTAGTATTATACGACCTTGTGAAATTGACACCGACTACATCTCCTGATTACATCGTCTTCATGGAGGTGCTGTACGAAGCGCAGAAATTTTTGGATCAGTTCAACATGATTCAAACCAAGTCCATGTTCCCGGCCAACGACCGTGCCCAACGACGTCTAGTCAAAAATTCGTTCATCGTTGAAAACGTCGACGGCGGCAGAAAATTGCGACATTTGTTTCTATTCAACGATGTTATCGCATGTGCCAAGTATAAGGTAAGCGGCATTCTATTCAAATTTAATTACACGTGTTATTGATATGTTTGTTTCGCAGTCCACGGGTCGCAGCGAGAAGTACACTTTTGAACTGAAATGGTTTATTCCAGTCGAGGATATTGTCATTCTCGAGGAGGTAACTGCGAATCCACACGAAGTTCCCGCTTCGGAGTTGGTTTCGTTGAAATCGCAGGCATCAAATGCTCGCGATCAAATACGTCAAGAAGATAAAAATGCGGAAGACAAGAAAGGGCGTGTTAGTCGCGGCGGTGAAAAGGTCCGAAAGCGGTTGTTGGATCTGGAAAGTCAATTGGTTCTCAAGTTTCCCAACTTAATGTTCCGCATTAAGCAAAAGCAAAGTCCGAAGATTTACACGTTCTTCCAGTCATCGGAATTCGAACGCACGCAGTGGATTGAAACGATCAACACACTGCAGAAGACAAGCAGACCACCGACGCCAAACAGCAACTTTACTATGCTGGAATTACAAACGTGGATTACCGCATGTCGGGCATATTTAAAGACTAACATGGGCTCGTATCTTCTACGAAGTGGTCACGACGAGAGTTTACTTGTTGGCGATTTGCATATCACCGTACATGACTTGAAGGGATTACAATTTGCAGCTGGTAATTAGTTGTTTTGCACAGTTTTTCCTTATCACTCATACAATTTCTTGTTTCAGATGTTTTTATATGCATTGAAGTAGACTTCTACGGTCATTTTTGTCGTAAAGCTAAAACTAAGATGATTTGCAATACTAGCACTCCGTCGTGGGATGAAACATTTGTGATTGACTTGGAAGGGTGTGAAAACCTACGCATATTGATTTACCGCGAGAATGGATCGAACGTTACTCTTATTGGCAAATTCACTCAGCAATTGAGTCGCTTCTGGTTGAAGGAAACCCTAGTCGAACGTAAAATCAACGTATCTGGGATTATACTGCGCTATGCTGTCAAGTTTATGCCGTTTGAGGTAACTTTACGCCGCGTGCCCGGTAAAGGTGGGCCATTGTTCGGAGAAAAAATTCAACAAGTTTGCAAGTACGTAAAAACTATCAAAATCTAACTGAAATTAGGTTTCTAACTTATTATTTATTGCAACAGGAGACAAAAACGTGATATTCCGTTTATTGTGACTGCGTGTGTTCGAGAAGTTGAAAGACGTGGCATGTCGGAAGTTGGCATATATCGCGTGTCAGGGTCTGCTTCTGATTTGGCCAAATTGAAGAAATCATTTGAATCAAGTGAGTTTGACATTATCAAATTAGTATTCTGATATACACCGAGTTGTTTTTACAGATTCATATGAGGCTGAACAATTTCTGAAAGAAGTTGACATACATTCCGTAACGGGCATTCTGCGTTCATACTTGCGCGAGTTACCAGAAGCATTATTTACTGACTCATTGTATCCGGTACTGTTGGATACTTTTAACAAATCTAACGAAAATCTAACAAAACGTACTGAACTTTTGCGTGAAAACTTTAAGAAACTGCCAAAGGAAAACCAAGCAACAATTGAGTATATATTAGACCATTTGATAAAGTAAGTTAACTCACTCACCACATAATTAGGACCCGTTGTTAACTAATTTGGTGCGTGTGTTTTTGTTTTCAGGATATTTAAACACGAAAACGAGAACAAAATGTCGTTGCACAATTTGGCCACCGTATTCGGACCGACTTTACTACGTCCAGGCGGTAAGCTCGACAAACAGAAGAGTCAATTGGCTTCCGAAACAATAGACGTGATGGCACAGGCCGGTATTTTGTACTGTTTTTTACAAGATAGAAGGACGGACTGCTAGAACATCGTGCCTTCGTATTTTATTATAATCTAAATATTTATACAGTCACACCTATACACACGCAAATTTGTACAATGAAGAACGCTACCAATCGTAATACTTTATTTCCAGTACTATTATCTTTAAGTAGATCGTTACACTACTGTATTGATATGATAAGTACTATTCCATAGATGATAATTAATTCGCGGGACAACCGTAGTTCGCAATATGAGTAAAACAATGTCTTGTAATATGAGTGTAGTATGTTTAGTCTAAAATAGGTATAATTTATATGTTATTAGACGACGTATCTTTATTTATACATATGTTAATTATGTATCATTTAGTATCGATTTAGAACTGAGCTATACGCGATCAAGCTTTTTTTCTTTTCGTTATCACCGATATTTTTTTCTAATGTTTGATTAAAGAAAAACGATTCAACGCAAGACTGAGAAGTGAAACATAATGGAAACCAACCAAGGAAAATATGATAGCTATTCCCTCCAAATCTATTATTAATCAGTAATACATCTAATGTTTTCTATTTTTCGTTTTGTAATCATTCGACTGTCGAAGCTGCAGCTCTTGGGAATTACGAGGAAAATGCCAGGAGGCTTATTTAATTTGGTTTATAGATTGGATCATGTGAATTGTACTAGTGCATTTTATGTCACATAAATAATTGTAAATTTCTATCATGATTTGTCTGCCAAATAAAGGGAAAATCGCAAAATAAACTATTATTCCATCAGAACTTTCATCAACCACGCAGATCAGTCCTAAAAAAGCAATATTATTTCAAGGTTACACAAATTCAAGCAAACATAATGGGAATTAAAACTGATAAACTTACCGCTGAGTAGAAACCTGCAGTGAGTGAATGAAAATGCAAGACAAATAAATCAAGCAATTATGTTAATAAATATTAATCTAATAAGTAATTTACAGATTTTCACAGACTGAAACCTGTCTATATCATTCCACAGCATGTTTGAACAAATGCAGAGAATAATCGATAATGTTCCGAAAACAAACCTAATTCGATAAGTAAATATGAAAAGAAATCAATTTGCGAACATATTGCATTTATTAATCTATGTTTTAATTCAAGTCTCTATCTTCTAAGTACTTGTATTCAAATGTGAATCCCTCCTTCTTACGTTGTCCCCATTTTTCGTAGTCGAAGTAAATATACGTTCCCTGGAATTTACATATATGGCACAATATGATAAGATTATTGATTCATATTATCTTCAATCACCAACCTGTTCATACTCTTCGTTGATAACCTTCGGCTCTTCGTGTCGCTGAAACCACATCATATACTTGGTGTGAAACCTCCAACTTTGCTTTTTCAAAGCCTTAGCTGCCAAGTACTGGGCTTTTGTGCCCTCCATGTAATAGAACACAAAGAACAGCGTCTCGGTGGCCAGTCGCTGATAGTACTCAAGGGTGTCAGACTGTTGCAGAGGTTGTTGAATGTAGTACGGCGGCGTGTGGCATGGATTGCGCGGCAGATAAGTCCTCAGTCGTTCCGAATCCTGCGGTTGCGGCATATGTAAATACGCAGCTTCCATCATTTGAAATTGAATTTGATGTTCCTTTTGTAACGGAACGGTGCCCAAAGGTGCAACACCCAAGAGCGGAGGAATGCGCGCCTCTGTTTTGGCGGCCGTCTGATTGGATTTGTTCGTTTCCAACATAACTTGGTTCGAATGTACTTGATTGTTGTGCGCTTGGGTGTTCTGCTGCATATCAATGCTGTCTAATCCGGCGCGATCTATTGCTTGCTGTGCAATAGATTTCAGCGTGATGTCAGTCAGCTAAAAACAAACATTTAAATAACGCCTGAACGCCTAATAACATGCCACCAGTACTTTTTCGTCCATGTTCGTCGAACCATTCATCGTCTGCTGCTGCGGATGCTGATTGTTCAGCAAGATGTTCTCCACGCTAGGCAGCGGCGACGTTCGACTACTTATGCTGCTCTCAGGACTGACACAAATATTTTCATTGTTTGACGCCACCTTTTGCGTCAAGTTTGTCAGAGACATCGGCTGATTCACCGTTTGCGTTACAGGTGGATTATGCAAGATTGAATTTTGTGCGTTAATTATCAGTGGTACCGATGGATTGCTTGCGGTGCTTATCACAGGGGCTGGAATAATTTCTGTATTATTAGCTAAAAAAATAACACCAATTAGTATAATGCCCTCGAATGTAAATAAGTTGCTTAGAGCAATCTTACTTTTACTATTAGTAGTAGGCTTACAAACAGAATTCGCCGCAACCGCAGCGAAATTCCCAGTTGGCTGTTGTGAGATCGGTGATGAATTTTCCCGTGTTTTACTCGGTGTACTGCTAACTAGCGTCGGCTTGTTGTTCGGCGTCGACGATGTACTATTCGAACTTGTATTTAACACGGAGTTGGAGCTACTGTTCATAGTTGTACTTGATGCCCTTATTGCCTGTGGTTTTATAGGCTGAGGAACAAAGAATTGCGGTGTTAAATAAATGCGCATTTATACAATTGCCACGCTAGCTTCACCTTTGGTTGTTCTTTACTGGACGTTTTCTTGTCATCATTGGAGCTATCACTGGAATGATTATATGGTGGTATAGTTGGCAGTGGCGATGCCAATGGGGATGAGCTAGAAATAATCGACGTAGGTGTTCCGCCCGTCTCGTTGCTGTCCGTCGTCGCCGACGAAGGCAGTCCGACGCCCGACAGCTCCACTTCATCAAGGCCAATAATGTCATCATATAGAAAATCGTTCTCTTCATATCCTGGCTCAACACCAGCCTCAATGTAGTAATCAACATCATCTTTGATTCCCTTAATTTGTGCAACCTCTACTGACATATTATCCAACATTCTTAATAATGTTTCCAATTTTCGAACGTGGAAGCGATGTTTTTCTAGGTGGGTTTTATGCTCGTCCACCCGCTCCTGTTTATCTTTGTCTAGCTTCTTTTTCTTGTTCACCAGGAGTGATTCAATGTCACATTCAATCTTCTCAACTTGCAGGTTGAGACTGTCTATAGAACTGACCAACCAACTCTGGATTTCCTCACGTTCTTTCTGCGCGGGGTCTAATTTCTGAGCAGCACCAAGTCCTTCTTTGGAATATGCTTTCGTTTTTGTTTCCCGCTCGACCACTTTAAACCTCTCCATTTGCTAAAAGTATCAATCATATTTTTATCATTGAAGTTGATTTGCTTTGCATTTGCATAACTCATAACAATTTAACACAAACAATTAAGTGAAACATAACAAAATAAAGCAAAATAAGAGAAAGCATATACAAAATTGATTCTGTACACTTCTTTCATTGTTAACATAATAAACCATAATGCAAAACTGATAGCATTCATATTACAAAAATCTATTTCTAATATAACTCAACAAACCAACTTACAGTTTCAATCAATTTCCGATTCTCCATTAATAAACTTTTATCCTTGATTTCACCACAGGCTATCCAAGTTTTAATCTGATCCCGTAGCCTTTGCAGCTTCTTGATTTCCTTTTTAAGGTCATTTTCATATTTTTCCTTCTGATTACTGTTGGTGGCATTGTGAACTTTCTGCCAAATATCCTCAAATGTCTCAACACCCTCAGTGACTTTCTTTAAACATCGATCAATTTCACCTAAAGTATTGCAAGAGCAATGTTAGAAACTGTCTACACCATAGTTCTTGAAGCATTTATACGCACAGGAAGTCGAGAATCGGCGATAAACACCAAATCTTACCTTGTAGTTTTCTAGTTGCAGCCATTATTGTAGAATCGTTTTGTCAATATAACCACATACTACGTTTCGGCTGGTTCAGTCAATCTGAACGAACGATCCAATTATAAACAAATTTATAATATTCGCTATTGATAAGCAAACGGACATAGATATTAATATCGCCAAAAAACTTTTTAGAACGACTTATTTTTATCTGTAAAAACAGAATCGCTCCTGTCGCTTTTATTAGTGGTGTCCTCGGTGTCCTCGTAATACCAACTTCAATATGGTGGATGTAAAATTCCTGTAGCGGCAACCAAACGAACCAACCGTAAACGACATCAAACAAAGGATCATACACATAAATTTAATCGATCTTGCGCACCCGGTTGACAGTGCCGCCACTTTAAATTAGCACAGGGTGTGATTCCAGAATATATTTTTTAATATTTAATAGTGAAGGATTAAACTATTAAAAACATTAAAAATTTGGTAACCAGCTTTCTTTCTGTAAAAAAATAAAATAAGAATTTTGTAATATATAACATAACAAGAGGGGAAAATTATGAATTATATATAACTAATTATGAGCAAAATATACACGCAGCAGACATTAGTAATTCTTATTGCTAGACTTAAAATGTAGTTCTTGGTATATTATATTTTATTTTATCCTAAATATACTAATCAACTTCACAAAAGTATAAGAACGCAGATTTAAATATTTAAAGACAACCCTGATTATGCGCAGTACGCATCTGAAAAACACAGTTGTAAACATAATACACACAATCATATTGATGTGTACGTTTACTGGCGAGATCAGAAACATAATAAAAACGATAAGAGATGGAAATGTAATAGTAAATGAGTTCAACCAACGGCTGTGTTCTACGGACTCGACTTCAATTCAACATTTTATGATTAGTAAATCAATTACGAAACCATTGAAATCGATTCATTAGTAACACGTTTTATGGTCAATATTTTTTCATTACAATCACGTTTCAAGGCAACACTGTTTAATCCGGTTCTTTCGTTTCTTCTTTGAACGCTTTGAACAAACAACGCGTGACAACGAGTACAACTCGTAAGACGTGTGATCTGTACAACCGGTACGACAAGCGGCAGAACACAAAACCGTTTTTCGGCCTTTCGGGTCTTGATTGGTTAGTATTGGGGTTATATGGATGAATTGTGATATCAAGATGTACAAGAGCATGCCGTTTCTGTTCTAAAAACTACTCCCTACAATACATAGAAAAAAAAACTAGTTCTTGGATTTTCTATTAATCTAATAATTACGGAGGAAAAATGGCTGGTAATTTCTGGCAAAGTTCACATCAGTAAGTAGTCTAATATCATTATTTTAATGAACAGAAACTATTGACCAATATATTGACCATTTTCATATTTATTTAGCCAACAGTGGTTACTAGACAAGCAGGATTTGGTTAGAGAAAGGCAACATGATTTGGCAATCCTAACTGAAGATGAATACCAGAAGACCTTTATATTTTTCTCTAGCAGTAAGTGTTTTAACTAATCTATCTATTTGCCTTCTAATTCTTTGGTTGCAGTTATTCAAACATTGGGTGAACAATTGAAACTAAGACAACAAGTAATAGCTACAGCTACTGTTTATTTTAAAAGGTTCTATGCAAGGAATTCTTTAAAATGCATTGATCCACTATTATTGGCACCAACATGCATATTTCTAGCTTCTAAAGTAGAAGAATTTGGAGTGATATCCAATTCAAGACTGATTACAACCTGCCAAACAGTTAGTAAGTAGAATTGCAATCACATTTCTTTCACTGGAATATTTTCTAATAAGATACTTTTACGTTTTGCAGTTAAAAATAAATTCTCATACGCTTATAGCATAGAATTTCCGTATCGTACTAATCACATTCTCGAATGCGAGTTTTATTTACTGGAAAACCTAGATTGCTGCCTAATTGTGTATCAACCTTATCGCCCGTTATTGCAATTGGTTCAAGATATGGGACATGAGGAACAGCTTTTAACTCTAGCTTGGCGGATTGTCAATGATTCATTGCGAACCGACGTTTGTCTGCTTTATCCACCATACCAAATAGCAATAGGATGTCTACAAATTGCCTGTGTTATACTGCAAAAGGATCACAAGTCTTGGTTTGCTGAACTGAATGTAGATATTGAGAAAATTCAGGAAATTGCTAGATATATTATTAATTTATTTGATCTTTGGAAACAGTATGATGAAAAGAAAGAAATAAGGGATTTGTTGAATAAAATGCCAAAACCTAAGCCTGCGCCTCAGAGATAATTTATGTGGAAATAAAAATTATGCATGTTTATGCTTTAGAAAACATTTTGTATGATCTGTGTTTATTTGAAAATGTTTTCAATGAGTTGAAATGATGCTATAATGCAATGATCTATTGTCAAAATATAAACTTTCAAGAAATGATATAGAAATTTTTCTTTAATATCACTTTGTCGTTTAAAATATTTGTATGTACTTGAAGTGGTACTTGAACATTAATTGAAATTACCAAATTTTAACCAATTGGTGTATGACTGGTTATCTACCTCGACAGTCTTATGACGTAATCTTACAACAATGAAATATGTAATACATTTGGCTCAAAAGTAGATAAGGATAAGTGATTGTAAACAGGATTTCCCATTTCTACAATTATTTTATCAATTTTTGAGGCTTTTGGAAAATCCTTGAACAAAATCTGCAGTTCAGGCAAGCATGTCATATTTGACAGGAAACAGTTGACATTGAAACTGATGATCTGATGATGTTCTGTTCCTGCCGTTCTTACTCATATGCAGTTTATAATAATTTCGAGTAATCTTTGCGTCATTACTAATACGGGTGAAGAGCCTTCGGAATAAGTGCGAGTGTAATTTTTGTGAAACGGAGTTGTATAGTTTAAACCACTACACCTCATTTCCGGAAGTGTGGTTACAGTATTCCAGTACTTCACAGACCTACATTGTTAGCATTCTATATTTGTGGATAATAAACAATTGGTTAACTGTAGTATAGAATAACCAAAAACATGGCACAAGGTACTACTCTACAAAAAGCCATTGAGCTGGTAACCAAGGCTACTGAAGAAGATAGAAACAAGAATTATGAGGAAGCTCTAAAGTTGTATGAACATAGTGTTGAGTACTTTTTACATGCAATCAAATGTAAGTTGCAACATCATAGGCTAAAGCTGTAAATTATATTGCTGTATTGATTACTTGCAGATGAAGCACAAGGTGAAAAGGCAAAAGAAAGTATTAGAGCAAAGTGTTGTCAATACTTGGAGAGAGCAGAGAAAATAAAGGAATCCCTTAAAAAGGGCAAGAAGAAGCCAGTTAAAGATGGAGAACAAGATTCAAAGTAAGTTAATGAGAAACTTTTTATTTGCTTCTAAATATAAAGTTAATTATGTTTCTAGGGATGATAAAAAGAGTGACAGTGACAGTGATAGTGATGACCCTGAGAAGAAAAAAATGAAGGCTAAACTAGAGGGTGCAATTGTAATAGAAAAGCCCAAGGTGAAATGGTCTGATGTAGCAGGTTTAGATGCAGCAAAGGAAGCTTTAAAAGAAGCCGTCATTCTGCCAATTAAGTTCCCACACTTATTCACAGGAAAACGAATTCCATGGAAGGGAATTCTCCTGTTTGGAGTAAGAAGTTTTAAATTCTGATAATTATATCCTTACAAATTTAATTATAGCCCCCCGGAACAGGCAAATCTTACTTGGCAAAAGCAGTTGCCACTGAAGCAAACAATTCAACTTTCTTCTCAGTTTCGTCATCTGATCTTGTCTCGAAATGGTTGGGCGAGTCTGAGAAACTCGTACGTAATTTATTTGAGCTCGCACGCGCACATAAGCCTAGCATCATCTTTATCGATGAAGTCGATTCGCTTTGCTCTTCGCGTTCGGAGAACGAATCCGAATCGGCAAGACGCATCAAGACAGAGTTTCTTGTTCAAATGCAAGGCGTCGGCAATGATACTGAGGGCATTCTAGTTTTGGGTGCCACTAATATTCCCTGGGTGTTAGATGCAGCTATTCGTCGACGTTTCGAGAAACGTATTTATATTCCGCTACCGGAAGAACACGCCCGACTTGTTATGTTTAAGCTGCATTTAGGAAACACTTCTACTGAGTTAAGTGAGGATGATTTGAAAGAATTGGCGAAGAATACTGATGGGTACGTGAATATTGCTTATTCTAATTGATAAGTTTATTAATTAAGTTGATTATTTAGATATTCTGGTGCTGATATTGGTATAGTTGTAAGAGATGCCTTAATGCAACCTGTACGCAAAGTGCAAACTGCAACCCATTTCAAGCGTGTTCGAGGACCGAGTCCAGGAAATCCGGACGTGATAGTTGATGATTTGCTAACGCCCTGCTCGCCTGGCGAACCAGGCGCTATCGAAATGACCTGGATGGATGTAGCAGGCGATAAACTTTTAGAACCACCAGTTACTAAGGTATTGATTGAGTTTCTCAACTTATTTAAAGAAATAAATCTAAAAAATTATATTTTTTTCAGAGGGACGTCCTTAGATCCTTGTCTACATCTAAACCGACCGTAAACGAAGAGGATCTTGATAAATTGCGAAAGTTTACCGAAGATTTCGGCCAGGAGGGTTAATTTTAAGAAAATGCCTATCGTGTTTTATTGTTATTATGTATTGCGAAACGAAAAAACAGTTTACACCAATCTGATGCCTACGAAATGGGTTTCGAGATTAAATATTTTATGAGTGCGAGTGGAGTAAAGAGTTACGAAAGATGCGAAATACAAATATATTTTTTCTGTATTAATGACACTAAAGATGCATGCATAGTTTATTTTTAGATATTCGCTAACTTAGCCTACTTTAAGAATTATTATTATCATTTGTAAATGTGTACGCATCAAATGGTCCGAATCTGCACTCTGCATACTTTGCTTTTTTAATTAATATATTATTGAAAACATACAATAACCAAGCCCATTATTTTGAAGTTCTGCAAACGGTCGATAGCAACAGTTAAATGTATTACATTTGTGGGTCGGATTAATTAGTGAAACGGTTATATTTGTGCCTGCTTTTTGCGTACGGTTTTTGCTTTGAATACGTGATTGTTTGTTCTATTATTCAACGAACTAGGAGGACACCAATCTATCACGCACTTTTGCGTATAACTGTCTACTTAACCCTTGTCTTACCCCATATAGCTAAGAAAGTGTTCGGAGTCGTTCAATAGTACAATTGGAGGTCTCTAGTGTCCAGTCTTCGAGCCTGTTTGAGTTGATAAGTGATGTCCACCTATGCCAATCCACACGCTCCTTGGTGTTGTAAACATGTCCAGGATCGCCAGCTAAAGATGTTACATAACAGTATTAGAAACATATAATATTTATTCCCATTTTTAAATACCGTGTTGTGTTACAATTGATTTTATATTCGAAACATGTCAGTATTACACGATATTTAAAAATGGAAATAAATATTTCAAGTGATTACGTGAACACAATATAAACGAAGTATTTAATAATTTTAAAAACACCTTGCCATTGCAGTTTCCTAAAACAAATTATAGTTAATGTAACTAATTTAGTTAAGTAAAGGTAGAATGAAAGAATTAAGCAGAGGTAGATATATATTTTCTGAAATTTACAGTTTTCAACCTAAAAGAAGAATTTTATTAGCACATGTTTATATTACAACTTGAGGGGAGGGTGTTAGTGGATTTCGTCTCAGTCACACTCGAAATAAAACGAGGCAACAATATATTACTTATGTGTTTATATTTAAAATATTGTTAATTAATGTAATACGGAAATAGGAAATATAGGAAGGACCTAACACGTTCCTGCCTACACAAGGACTTAAAAACGCGGAGCTAATAATCGCGGTGACTTCTGAAAGCGGAAAAATTGATTAAACATACGATATGTATCAAATGAAGCTGGTTACTTGGTCAAACTATGAATCACAGTTAATTTTAATTATATATAGAGTGCTTATATTAGTTAAAACAACAAAGTTATTTTAACTACTTTAAAAATATTATTAGTTTTGTAATCAACAATTAACCAAGCTTCATTCAAAATCGTTAGTAATATACATACATATAATAATATACGTTTGTAGCTAATACATATATCATTCACACACTAAATGGGTTTGGGAATAGTTGACTTAATTTCTTGACCTGCCTGTTTTCCCTACCTAACAACATATTTAACTAATAATCACAGACCGTTTCGAGTATATTTGTACAACATTAGTTGTTTTGCGCAATATGCCCGCGACCGCGTTTGACGATCTGTGATTAGGGTGGCGAAACGGTTTTCGCCGCGAAATAACAACAAATGCTGTAAATGCCTTGTGACCTGCTGCACCACTGTGTGCAACAGGCTATTGGTACCATGTGCAAGCACATCGTCCAAACATTTAACACACACAAATATAAACAAAATTAAATAAATGCATTCATACCAACAATTAAAATAAAGGTTTCATTCATTAGTCTACTGCATTCATACAATTCTTACGCGCGATGATTTACGATCGCGAATTACGACGGCTCAAATATTGAGAATTATGAGCAAATTACAAATAATTTGTTGTTAATGTTGACATCTTTTGTTTTTCACGTTGGATTATGAAGCGCGCTTGAAATAATCTAGTTGCAACCGCGAAAAACGCGAGTGAATCGAGCGAATGTAAAGAAGTATCCGAACTCCCGGAAATATTTAACAGTTGACCGATTGAATTGCTTTGTTGGTGTCCTTTGGTAGTGCAACGCGCCTGAAATACCGAATTGCAATCGCGAAAGTAAATAGAAATTTATCGGATTGACGCGTATTCTAACGGAATTGTTACGATGATTTGAATGCACGTGCATATGTTTGCGCATAAATATACAAGACAGCCAGTTTGGTGTCAGGTGTACTCACTCAGTGCATATAGACATCCGGCGTTTCTAGCAATGCTGGGTGGACTATCCCTGGGCCAAGGACCTAGCCCCGAGTGGACCTCCCCTTCGGCTGTCGGATACGCAGCAAAATGCTTTGCGCATCCACCAGTCAGGGGCACTCGTGACTACCCTCCGGTCCAAGTCATCACCACACCTACCTTACATCCGGCTCCTAGAAACTGGGATCCTTCGACAAAGTTTCTCAGGAGGATGCGTCGACATATTGCCAAACTTCTGTCCAAAACGCTGGTAGGTTGCTTGTAGCCGACTCATCTTTTTCATCTCCCTCAATGATGGGAACGTCTTGAGTGGAAACCGATTTATAAGACATCTTTGGAAAGCGAGACACGAATAACGCGAAACTTTGACGGATTATTTAATACGACGCGCACTCGATTTTCTTGCAATTCTACAATAAAAACAATATTTTATACTAACTGGAAAATGGAAGTGAATCTATTAAAAGTTGTTTAAAAGCGCGTCGCGACCCGCACTCGATGAGTATTTCGTTACACCTCTCCAGGTCAACCGAACTTATACTTTAACACTATTTGCTGCAAAGGAAGATTAATAAAAGCAAAAAGAAGGAAACATAAATACATAAAGGAACGCGCCCGTGTTAGAAAAAAATCCCAATAAAATTGAATTTGTACCTGAAACACAAGCAGAAAGAACAATTAGTATGTGCAAATTTAAAAAATGCTGCACTTTAATTTATTAATTTACTATTTCCGCGCACTTCACTTCACATTTATTATTGATGTAAATTATGCACCGACATAATTTGAAAATCGCGTCAACTTGTTAGCGACATACGCCCAAAATAGACAGAAGTAATCGTAATGAATATATTAAATTCAAAATAAAGAAATTGTGCAAAATTTCAAACCTGGTGTCAGAAATACTTATATTTATGATATTCGACATTGATGGTGGAGGGTATTCTTGTGGGATTGTGGTCCTGTAGAAATCCAGAACCTATGAATTTAAACAGAAAAATGAAATATTAGAAAATGTAACAATAAAACACAATAAAAGCAGAATAGAATAACAAGGTATCCGCGTTGACTAAGTTGAGTACAAAAACATACAGTGAAAGAGGCAAAGATAAAGAGAGAGAGAGAGAAAGAAATTAAATGTACAACAATATTAAAAGAAGTCATCTTAATAACTATACTAGCTTAGATTGGAATGTTACAATCAAAACAACTCCAATGTGTTTTGCGCAAGTCGCAAGTGAGAAGACAGAACTGATAAGACAGGCACAAACTTGTCCGCGCGTTCGTTACGTGTTGCAAAAGCATCTAGCGTTCACACCTGCCACAAAAAAAGACGATCGAATAGTGCAAAGAGTAAAAACAACTGATAAGACGTCCAAAACAGCATTCTTTTGGTCACGTAGGCACAAAATTTCTTAAATTATTCGTAATTTTACAACTAAATTAATTATTTCCCACAAAATGCAATTTCCCATTTTTGCAGCAATTTAAGTTATCTACAATATGATATAATTTGATATTCATTAGACTAAAAAGTACGTGTGATATGCAAAATCTAATCAAATCCAATGCCAATTTTAATTATTATACAGCGAAAGTTAAGAAAACTGCAAGAGACTTACTTTAGAGGTGTTTGAGTAATGACTTCTAATTGGTAACTTCAGTTTACCACAATATTTCAAGGATTAGTGGCCATTTTTTATAGAGATGATCGTGGTGCTGCACCCCTGCTGAACGTTGCGGGTCGACTGAGCTGTGCAGCGCGCGGCGCTTAAGCGCTGCAGTCAGCGTCGGATGGCGTGATTACAAGGACAAAAGGACGCGAATATCTAATGCAATCCTATCGAGCACTGTATCGAGCGCCTTTTTAAAACAATGCCAAAATTTCAAATTACAGAGAAATCTCCAAAGAACTCTTCTTTTCAAATGAATGAAAAATAAGTTTTACAAATAAAATTCAGATCAAAAAAATATTCGCTCTTTTTTCAGTTAGACATTCAGCATCAGGTCTGAACATTTGTGCATCAAGCAATGAGCTCAGCTGTTTGGAGTACATAAATACAATACAAAACAATGTACAACACAATTGTAAAAACTGTAAAGTAGACAATTGTATTTACGTTCTTGGTGGTTGAGTTGTATTTATAATCGTATTTTATATTCGATTGCATATTCTGCATAGAAAATGAAAAGATTACTTTTTGTTGTACTAAGTTTGTCAATTAGACGCGACGCGGTTGTATTAATATGAATTACAATATTGTAACCAGTATGTTGTTCGCGAAAGATTTGAGCCAATTTTATTTATTTCAGAATGGCGATATCAAAAGGCGATGCGATGCACAGTGTCTTTAGTGTAGTGTGTAAACTTTGTGAAGTTTCGAAGTTAAAGTTTGTGACAGTTTGTTTTGTATATTAGGTTGCCTATGTTGCGAATCTAATTCCCTAGCACACCATGCAAAACACTGATTTATTTTATAGCATGTTGCATTGATTCTTAAAGAATAAAGAGTCAATTAAAATTATGATTTTGTCATAAAGTATTATAAAGTATATATTATGGAAGATGATATTAAAAATCAACTGTATTTTCACTGGAATGTAGCATTTTTCATGACATAACTGCACTTATGCGCATGAGCGTCATTTCCGTAAATAACCCCATGCATCCCGTAACACAATATGCAACCCAAATAAGAAATTACAAGTTTTGTTTATACTCGCGTCTAGTTACACATTTTCTTTATTTTGTTTTAAATACAATAACACACCATGAATACGTGGAAAGAGCATTGTGTAGGCGCATTTAAAGCCGGAATTGCTCTTACTGGCTTCTTGAGTTCATTTTACACTATGGTTGATTTAATGTTTTTCTTATCTAATCCCAATTTTAGTATTGCACCCAACAAAACAGGTATATTAATAAAATAATTAAAATGCAAGTTGAATTAAAAGTGTTACATGTTTTAGAACTATCAAATGTATCATGGACATGGGCATTAATTATGAATACTTTATTAGTTTCAATTTTTGCCCTACAACACTCATTGCTGGCAATGAAGCCTGTAAAAGATTTATTCAAAGAGTATGGTTTAAGAGATATTGAAAGGAGCATTTACATCATCACCACATCACTTGCACTTGAAGTAAATAGGTATAATTTGAAAGGTTTAATCATAAACTTAATTTATTTACTTGTAGTTGCTAATCAAAAACTGGCATTACACTCATAACAATGTCCTGTGGCAATTCTCAACTGATAACCACTCTACTTACTGGTTGTATATTCTTGCACATGCAACTAGTTGGATATTAATTTATATTGGAAGTGTCTGTATGGATATTAATGAACTTCTGGGATTAAAACAAATTTATTATTCACTGAGAGGGTTTCCTGATCCATTAAATTGCAAGTCAATTGAATTGAGAAACTTGTATGCCCACATGAGGCATCCCAGCTTTATTGGATTTATTATTATATTTTGGTTCGTGCCAGTTATGAGGTTTGTATATTTTATAAGTTTATATATTTCTCTTTTTAATTAACTAAATATTTATAAATTTTCAGATTTGACAGAGTTTTACTGGCTGCATTTCTTTCTCTATACATGTACATTGCCTGGAAGACTGATGATATGGATTTAAATTATCAAAAGTGTCAAATTAGTAGAAAGTTTCAATAATATTCTTTATTGAAAAGCAAAATACTGCCTTTATATTTAAACTCATTTGAATCACATATTTCGGTTAATTTTAGTATTTATTTTGTTTTCTATGCGTTTTATCCAAGTTTAATGAATAAAAAATATATAATAACTAATTAAATAAATTATTTCATTAGTTTTTCTACTAGTTGCTACTGCGTTTATTCATTTAGATAATTTTAAGGTTATAATCTAGTGTGGGAGGGACGTAAGTTCGAGAAATTGGAATGAAAATGTTGGATGTGGAAGTATGAACGATTGTAAAGCGATCGTGACAGACGAATATGCATGTCATTCAGTAGAAACAATAATCTATAACAAATTCTAGTATGTAAAATGGTGTATATTGCACCAGGTAAGTTTCCTTTGCATTTATCAACTCTATTTGCCTTTATGTCTCCTATATTTTAATCTACAATCCTATTTATAGATGGTACAGTGCACCAGACACGTCCATGGAGTTTAGGACGTGTTGTGGACGTCTTCTGGGGCACAGTTAATTTCGTAACACAATTGTAAGTTCCTCATAACTACACCAATAATATTTACTTACTATTTTATCCTTTTTATTTAGTTTCCAATCATTACTTGGTTTTAACAATGCTGCCGTTACTGGTGGTAACAGACGTGGGGGCGGCAGCGGAGGAGGAGGTGGTGGAAATGGACCAGGTGGACCTGGAGGGTAAGACTTTAATAATTGTTACTTGATAATATAGTTAATATTAACATTAAAATGAATATTGCAGGAGACCTCCAAGGAGAATAGGAACTATTAAAGAGATTCAAGATTGTTCTATGCCTGCTGGAGGTGGATGAGCTAGGTAAACTCCCCAATAACATTTAGTTTTGTTATAAGGGGAGTTTACTTTATAGCTGAACAAGTTCACTTAACAGTATGACATTGAGTTCTTAAACCTTGCCTTAGAGGAGGAACTTGATTGAAGTAAGTTTACTTGTTTGGCTCTCCAGCACTTAATTATTACAGAAATCATCATTTTGAGATAAAATTTTCATTGTATTAAAGTTTGTTCATAATAATAATAAAGTTATATATTTGTGCTGGACGTAATCACTAAAAATTAATGTATTACTTTTTCCTGTGGATTAATATTCTTTTTTCTTCAAATATTTATTTCTATATACAATATACATTTTACTTTTACACATTTACATAAAACCATTTCTATAGTGCAACAATCAAAACATTTCTAAGAGTATTTAGTCGTGGATGCAAAATTTTACACGCAGATATCAACCAAAGTTTAATTTTTCTCCAGCAAAGGCAAAACCACCAATGGTTTGTTCTTTTTTGGATTATCCGCATACAAACTCCATGTCTTAGCCTTTAAATCAAACAATCCCATTGCAACAGTTTTGACAAACCCATTCGTGAATACTTTATAATTGTTGTGGCTTTCATCACCCAACATATTAACAACATCATCCTGTGAGATTGGCGCTGGGAATTGAGTAAGTACATCCAATCTAGCCTCGCTACTGTCAATAATCAAACCGGACACCTGCGGAACATTAAGCCTCAAATAAGAATTGCAATGAATCAAATGCTCGCCGCAACTAGCAGTGAGCACATTCAATTGCGATTCGTTGTTGTTATCTGCTGGTGCCATTTCCACATTGTGGAAAAGTCGATTACCCTCTTGATTCAAGAATGAGATGTTAATTGAGCAACCATCAGCGGCACCACTGCCTCCGTCACGTAAGATTTTCTGAGCCTGCTCAAAATTTTCAGCCGCAAGAAGAGCTCGTGTTATAAAATGGCGTGCTACAAACAAAAATCCTATAGAACCACTGTAAAATCATGCAGAAATAATGTTTTACGAGTTTTTCCAGGTCGCAAATCGCGTGCACTCAAAGTATTGATGCTGAACACCAAACCATGATGATTGTTATTCATGGTGTAACCAGGCAAATGTCCAGCATAGCAGAGAGAAGTGAATCGCTCTTCTTTGACGCCCCATTTTCCTTGAGGCTGGTCGGAGATAATGTGAGCGGACACAAAGTAGAAGTGGTTCAAAACGGAGGACAATGCGTCTTCCGTGTGACCTAATAACTCCTAAGGATAACGAGAATAATTAAATTGCGATGAAGCACACGTTGCATTACGCAGTTGTTGGCGTGTGGTACTTAATCTAATTATGTCATGTGCTGCAAATGCAAGAATATGTTTGATATCGGCTACACTTGCAAGGTATCTCGGAGAACCTGCCAGTGTGACCTTGGCCTGATAATATAATTTCATTATGTATTAACGATAAAGCAGGCGGTGGCCTAAATCGACAAGTGATACGTGTGCCATTTATCACTCAGAATTTGCATGCATTATGCATGTTAATATAATGATTACGCATGGGAAAGTAACTTACTTCTTCCTCGTTGTTGACGCAGATTGATGAACAGCCAACAGGTTCACATTTCGGGATAACTCCGCTTGCATATGGCGTAATGGCGTCCATATGCAATAAAAATAACTAAAACCATTAAATAAAACATATAAAACCTGTTTTTCTTAAATTTTTTGTATATTTTATATTACTTTATGAAATGGCACTTTTGCACCATCAGCAGTCCCCTCAAGTTCGCGCACATATTGCGGGAAATTCGCCTTGACGTTGGCCAAAGTATTCTCATACGCCTGTCGTCCTTGCGGCGTCTCGTACGCCGGCAAGAACTCTTCGTTCAAATTGTTGGCCTCTTTCAAGAAGCTGTGGATGATATGACCGAACGTGCGCCCCTGAAAAAGGAAAATATTACAATCACACACTTAACATTGTGCCATTAGTCCAATCTAGAAATCCAGTTGAAGAGACTCATTTTCCAATTGAATAGCTGCTCAAAATAGGAAATGTGGATGTCTGTACAAGGTGTGCAAGTTGTTAATTGCACTTGTCATTAGTCGCATTGGAGATCGCGTTCAAGAACTCCTGCTTACTCTCATTTACATTAGCTTCGACGTTGCACTTCTTGTCAATCACACAAATTAATTAAGCTCGTGCACTTGATTGTGAGTGCACGTCGCGTCGGTGTAATTTGTATAAATCAGCGTAAATGCGTGCTCGTAAACATTTCTACTTGTACACACAGAGACTGATTATTTATTCATATGAAAAGAAATATAATCGTAAAAATTTATTTAATCCACTACTGTATTGGTATAATGACTTAATCGTACAGCGGTGAAAATTTGTAGAAAGAATTTATTACACTACGCGAATAAATTTACATTAATTAATTGTTTTCATTGGAAAACATTTTATTGATTTATATATGTGTATCAGCCATGTAATAATCAATTTTCAAAAATCATTAGTTCACACTTGGTCGTTGAAAAGATTTTATGGTATTTTTATCACATCGCCGGCAATAATAATTCAACATTTATAAACTTTATACACATGTTTCAAGTTTTATGACTAATTTCAATGCTAATAAGTAAAAATAATCAGGATCTTTAAGATTACACGATAAATAACAAAATAATGTTATGTTAGGTTGCCATCTTTTCAGTCCTTATCATTATGATTAAAAAGATTTAAGATAGTAGAATAATTTGCACGACGTGAGATTTTTTATTGCAATTATTGTTATAAATGTAATGTAAATAGAATTTGTTATCATAGACCTACAGCAAATACAATAACAATTTTTTTAAACAACGGATTAGTGTAATGTGTGTCTTTTAATGCTTTATGAGGTAACTTGTTATCATTACAGTGAAGGACAACAAACACATATTAAATTTTCAGTTTATTTGTCAATTACAATGTTTATTTTGAATATTAAACGTTTAAAATGTTTTTCTAAAGCAAAAGAAAGAAAATAGTTTAATTTTGAGGTTATGTCAGTGTCAAAGTCACTTAATCTCTCATATCTTAGAATAATTTTGCACTTGACTGCTTGCATCTCTAATTGTCTAATTAGACGAAGGCGAAAATATGAGGAAGTCGGATAATTTGCAAGACGCATTGTAATTCCTGCAACAAAGTCACTTCAATTGCTCATGCATTCATTCGCACGTGTGCTTGTATTCGTACGCGTCGATTAATATATTAACGTGCTAATTGACACCACACGAGATGTTGGAGTGAACATGCACCACATAAACATTGACGCAAACACGCAACCGATGTCAATATTCATGCATTCTTTAGCCTGGCGGACGAAAAAAACGCGAAATGTCTTCGTTGATCAGTTCACATTACACATTATACACTCACTCGCAGCATTACGCAATTAATTTATGCATCATTCGTAAACGATGCTTTGCTTGCATCTTGCAACAACAGGTGACATGTTAATTAATTATGGTTAATCATTACAATAAGATCTGCTTTACATTTTTTACTTACTACTACTCCATACTAAATCAGTATGCAACTATAGGATAGTAGGTAATTGTAATTGTAATTGTAGTGTAGGTAATTGTTAAACGGAGTGCAAGAACAAAAGAAACTTAAAATGCGCATAATGTTTGACAAAATGTACCTACAATTAATCAGGCACTTGAGGAATGTTTTTATTTCCTATTGATTCTATTCATGTGAATAAATGTTTGTAACTTTGATTGCGTGTATTTTGTGGTCCTTTCTAAATTAAAACAAAGAAACAACAACTTAATTGGAGTTTTTTTGACCAAAAAAGAAAAAAATCTTCTTACGAATAAACTGACAGTCATGATATGTTAATAATTATGTAACAATAGTTAAAGTTAAAAATATTAAAAAATATTAAGAAAAGTATTTGTTTTATATATTATAATTTAATTAATTTTAAATTTAAGCTTTTCTTAAAATTGTCGTTAATTCGACGCAGATGTGAAAAATTTTATAAAAATTTTATAATGTGCATGCGCACGGTACTTAACTTTTCGATAAGATAGATAATATAAAATTTATTTATTTATTTAAGGGAATAACTAATACCTTGACATTGCTTTCGAATAGTTATTTACTTTGTTTGTTTATTTATACTGTTTCCTATATACCTATCTACCTACATATTTTTTTTAATTTGACCACAAGTGTCATGTGTCACGACATGGTAAATGAAACGAATCAACTATTGAATAGTTGTGCACGATATGGCCATCGGATAAGCATGACAAACTAGCCACTGCCATTCGTTATCGTGAGATATTTACCATTAGAAACAAACAATTTTGATGGAAAATTGGAAAATCAATAGCAACAGTGGTAAAAACATTAACACGTGCACAAGTGCAAGTGCAAGGTGATTATCAGACACCTATTTATTGATCGATGGTAAAGTCGGTCGAGTTTAAACTTGTTTTGATAATACTTTTTAACGTTGGAAATAAAAGAAAATCGTTAAACTGTCTTCTTCGTGATTTATGTTTTAAAATTCTTGTGTATTTTGTTGTTTTCCAAATAAAACAATATACGAATAAATTAGTTTTGATTTATTATGACTTTTATTTGCTATTAAATTTATTTATTGTTCCTGGAAGCTAATTATTTTGATTTTAGGATTGATTATTGCTTGTATTCCATAAAAAATAATTGACCCTTTGAATATCATCAAGATAAGTACATTGGAATCTATTTATTGATTAAATGCAATATATAAAGACAATAATTAGTAGATTATTGTTAGTTTATGTTTAATTTTCTTTAAATATTTGCATAAAACCATATTGTAGCGGTGCGTTTATGGTATTTACTAATATTATAATAGAAATTGTTAATTTTAACTCAAAAGCAATTTCTTTTGACATATAATTGACAAAAATTTGTATTTGTTTTAATTTAATAGATAAAATTATTTTTAAATTGAATTTTTAATTAAAATTTTGTGGAGAATAAAAATATTAAAATAATAACTTACCACATCAAATCCTACTTCATAATGCGTACCCCTTGTATAAACAATAGGGATGCAATGGCGACGCGCCAATTCTTCGGTAACCGGCATGTTGTCCTCCCGGCGCTTGAAAATGCAAAAGGATAACTGAGTTAAGCAAGCGCACACAACCCTTGTTTGCCGGAGTCGCTTCGTACAGTAAACTGTGACGGCAATCGCATACCCTCAACGCTTTATATAGAAACGCCACAAATCTCCATGGTTCACGAGCGTGGCGGAAAAAAATCAAACATTTTCCCCACCTTTGGCAGGTACGATATACGCTCGATGTTCTAACACACACACATCATCAACACCGGTAAGCGTTGCTCGGGAAAACGAAGGTACCAGCAGTGCACCCGAGCGATTTTTCCTTCAACATACTCAAGGACAGCATTCATACAATTCTTGCATTAAAATATTTAAAAACAATATTTTTGTATATGAAAAATTGACATAACCTCATTTCTAGGTTATTTTTATGTCAAAATATGTTTGTTTTTCTATAGTTGCCATTGACAACGCAAAAAGTGACCATTTGCACACACAATCACAAAATGTTCTTGATAAATATTCACTAATTGGGCGTAGTAATGAAAATAAAAGTGTAATTGTTGTTTTTTACTGCATTTAACACAAAAAAACGTTTAAACTATTTAAGAAACTATGCATAATGAGATGGAATGTCATAACAAAAAATAATCTAAATCTAAACATTTCGTTGTTTGCTACCAAACTTAAACTAAACCAAATAATAACGATCATTACGCGAATAATTAGAAGCTATAATAGACATAAAATCGCACAGAATCTTTTCCTGAATGCTCTCGATAATTCAATCAGACGCGCGCGCGCAATAATCAAGGTCTCCGGTTAGATTCGTTTCGGTTGCTCTGCCCATTCTTTGTTACTCGACACAATTAAAAATCAAATTTGATCTTTTAATTGATTTTGCCTAGCGACGAATGACCGACGGTAATAAAACAATCAGGAAGTCGACAGCACCGAAAGCAAACAAAAATTGTGCGTTGCACAAATCGAATTCAAATCCTTACCAATTTTTTGTTTGCGGTAAAGTGACGCACAAATTGCGGTGCCTGCTTGGTGCTTCTTCGACGTACGAAAATATATAAACGAAACATGTTTTTTGGCAATGTATTCGCAAGAAAATCGATTATTTTAATTCGCTCGCATCTAGATTACGACATGACGTAAACACTTAACTTGTATGGAGTGAAACACGTTAGAGAAGAAAGTGTGGATCGATAATTGTATCCTGAGTGTTTCACAAAACAAATTTATCACCTGATAGTTCACGGGCACCTTGACTCATCCGTTTTTTTAAGGATTTATTTTTTATTATTTAGTAAACCACAAATTGTTTGTTTATGTATTAAGTCATTTTTTAACTACGGGTAAATCTTAATTAAATTCTCGAAAGTAAAAAATAAAATAAATTTGTTTAAATGCTTGCGTAAATGTTTTTATCTCTTTAGAAGTTTTGGAAACCCCAATTAACACATTTCCCCATTGATATTTTGAAAACTAAATGTAAAAAATGTATTGCAACGTAATATATGTAATTGTAATACTTAAGTGGTAATAATTATCACCTAAAAATAACCAGTTGCAACAAGAACTCGTTGAAGCGTTAAATATAACTAATTAATTTCGTTACATCTGATTTGTCTATAAATCATTCATAAAAACTTTAACTCTAGCGTAATAAACTTTAAATTCATTTGAATTTTTTAATGACTTGGCAAATTCTCAATAATGCATCATTATCTTTTATCGAATTTAATGATGAACCTGTGAATGCATAAAAACTTTAATTTTGTGCGATATGCAACCCATTATACACAATATGCGTTAACTAATGTATTATTTGTAGTATTTTGCGGCAAAACAATTTAAATAAACTAAAAATATTTATAGTTTATAAATTGCCTCCGTTAATTAAAGTAAAGTGTTAATTTTTCAATCTTGTGTAGGTAGAATTGTAATAAATGCAAAACAATAATTTTTTCTATTCCGGAAACGCAGTCACGGAATGCATTTCTTTATGACTCGGATAAACTTGACGTTTTCAGATATAATCTGTATTTGCATGTGTACCAGAAGAATACGCACCGATGTCAGAACGCTCGTGCAAATGAATCAATTGAATTCAATTGCATATTACATATTTATGGTAATTATAAAAATAATGCGTTGCGTTAAGCTGCGTGGCGTGGCGTTGAATATCATTGAGCGAAATGTAAAAAGTGGTAATGAGATAATACAAGCCTAGGTAATGCCATCGTAAACAATGTCATATAAGTCGATGTCATTGTAGAATGTGTTGAACACGGGCTTATTCCTGCTAATTAATCGCATCAACAGATAAGAAATGGGTTATATTGGCGTCTTCACAATTCGCAGCATTCCGGCAGTCAGCAGATAGAAAGTGTGATGAAAATGAAAGATTAAAATATTTACTGAGTGTTATGTAGGTGTAAGCAGTAACATAATTTTATTATCTGTTATTATATCTTTAGTAAACAAATATATTCAACAAAAAATCTATAGCTGTAGATTTATTTACATTTTAAAGAAAAATAAAACGCTATTTTTGACATTTATAACCATGATTTTATGAGACATTTGCTCTTCTATGTTACTTCGTTAGTATGTTCTTATTAAAAGATTCGATGTCTAATTTGTACTCTTTTAAAATATTGAAATCTAAAAATAAGTAAGTCCGGTTTTAAAAACGAAATCGTTTATATATTTACTCATCGGGTGCGTATGCGCACTGAACATGTGTTTTTAAAATAAACATTTATGCCACAATTCCAAATCTACGCAGTGATTATCAATTTTTCTTATCTTATATCTCTCATTGTTCTCTACAATATTATACTAACCCATAAATCGAATTATAATCTGCATTTTTCAAAAAATTATATTTATATCCCTAATGCAATTAATTTCTACGTTTAATTATTGTGCTGATATTGCATTTCGTGCGAATAAGTATGTATAATTATTCCTTCAAACACGTTCCTTACTTCGTCTAACTTCAATATTTACTTTTGTCTACACCGTTAAAAAACTAATATTTAATGCATAAAGCAAATTGTTTTAAGTATAAAATCGAATTTTCAGAACTTGAAGTCTCATTGTGTCTACCATTATCATTGAATTTTTGCACCGTAGTTCATTATATTACAATATACAAGTGTAGGTATACTAAAAAGCTTATCGTGCCACACCCATATTTGCCGTAATGTGATGCAATCCTCAAATCGAAATCAGTTTATTATTAAACAAGTAATCTGAAATGCTAAGATGCACTGGTCCAATAATATTATGATGAAATAATATGAAAACCGTGCTTTTGTTTACATTTATTTGTATCGTGGAGTCGACCTTATCAAACATGACTCAACGCCTCATCCGCTCATGCGAAATTTGCAAGCTTCCAGTCAACTTTCCGTCTTAGTACAGTGAAGTTCTTAGCAACAGAAAGTTCTATAAAATCATCCAAATCATCTCGTAAGGTATGGGCACACAGTTTTTCAATTCGTATTCGTTTTATATACATAATAATCTTCTAAGAAACACTAAATACTATTATCAATAAACTTTAACTTTAAACGGTTAAAATAAATGTTAACATTTAATGAATTCTAGACACTTCATTAGTTCGCACTATGGATAATAACAATAAACTGGCTGTCGCCATCAGAAGACGATTCATTCCATATAAATTGACAGATGATCAAATTGCTGAAATTTGCAAAGTAATTAATGCATTTCATAAACACAACAAAAATGCATTCCAAGAAATGGTTAATCAAATGGATGATGACTTACTCTCTCTTAGTGGCAAATATTTACGTGATAATAATAGTCCGATAGAAAGTGACATGGAAAATATCTTTCATCATACTTTATTACGCATGCGGTTTTACACTACGTGCACTTCTGTTGAAAATGCAATAACTAGCAAGGATAAAATAAAAGAGAAAGAAGAACAAAAAAAGATGGAAGAAGAAAAGATATTGGAATATCTTCAGAAACATTTGACTTCAATTTCAACCTGGGAAGGTTCCACAACTTCAATGCTACTATATCACGTAAAACAAGCTACATTTTTTGCATACCAAGTGAAATTCTTCTCTAATTATAAAAAGCTACCATGGAATAAGCTCGTCTTTTACATGCAACAATATTATAAATATTTCACTTCACCAGATAAAATTCATTTACTACAAATTGGATATATTTCAATCAAAAATTTAAAAACCTGCGTTGACTTATTTAAAAATTCTATTGAGAATTTGAAAAACAAAATTCCAATTTCGAAAAAAAAACCATCGTCAAAAAAACCCAACGGACTTCAAAGTAATTTAGATACAAAAGCGGATGCTGAAAACCCAATTAATGATTTATATAACAACATCAGAGATATTTATGTGCTGGAAAAAATGGAGATGATTTTGGAAGGCATTACATTAAAATCTATACATAGTAATTTACGCCAATTGCAAGTACTTGGCGAAAACATCAAAAGCACTGAATTGTCGCCAAATATTTCTCAAACTCTGCTAGGCTATCTCGACGAGTATTTTACGAAGGATTGTATTCAAGGATTAAAGAAGCTAAGAAATACAATATCTCATTTATCCCGTCTTCCACAGTTGAGTGATGAAGTTACTATGGAAATTAAATTACTTCTGTGTGAAATCTCTTTTGTTTTCCATTCTATAATACCGAATTACCGATCAATACTCGCGAATAAAATTAAGAATGTGAATACAATTGATGTTGAATTGCCATGTTGTTATACTTTACTAAATACAGCTAATTTATCATCAGCTTTAGCAAAAGATTTGAATTTCACTTCATATCCATTCAAGGCAAAACCACCTATAGAAAGAATCGACAGAATTCAAGTTGAGTTAGACAAGACTGACACAATTGAATACAGTTATTGTTTGGAAATGTTGGAACATATTTTAAAATGCACTCCAGTTGATCAGAGAGAACTTGAAATAGTACTGTTGATAATGTTGAAGAATTTAGATGAAGAACAACACATATTGAACCAAAATAACGAATGGTTCCTTGATAAATATCCAATTTTGACTGGAAAACAACTCAGAAATCACCTCGCGCATGGTGATCCTATTGTGGAATTGCTAGGCATAGATACAAAGATGGCTGTTAATGATACTGCAAGACTACTCACTGAAAATAATGAACAGAAAGACCAGAGAATTCAAAAAATAACGGAAAGTCTACCAATTAATGATTTACATATCCTGGATACACCAGAGTTAAACAGATTAAGCAAAATGGCGAATTTATTTGAGAGTATTCTCAATGGTACTTTAGAAAAAGTACAAACTGTATTAGACACTATTGATGAAGAGTGGATCGAGTGGCGGAATCCATCCAACTTTAACATGTTGCAGCTTGCTGCACAAAACCGAAATGATGATTTGGAACTGTTTGAGTTCATTTATAATAACACTCATGATCTATTTCTTGTACTTGATGATAGACAATATACAATTGCTCAACTTGGTGAATCAGTGGGAAATGTCAGGATAGTGAAACGCATTTATGAGATTGTCATTTGTTACTTCCTTGCGGAAGCCTGTAATTTACCAATTAATATGGCTGCAACTTTCAGCGATTACAATATCTCCAATGTAAAGGATATTGTCCAATTTCTGGCAAGTAGGAAGAAACGCTACATAATGGAAATGGAATGGAATTTCTGGACGTGTTTGAGTATATATGGAATATGTTGTGATGACGATTCATATCTTCAGAAAATAACACAATTGTTATATTATAAAACATTTAAGGATATTGATGAAACTTCACCTACATGCCATACTGCATGCATTTTTGGAGCTACGAATGTGGTGCAATATCTAATCAATACTGGTTATAATCTAAACCTTGCTACGAATAAAAATGAAACTGCATTAGCAATGGCAATCGAGTACAAAAGAAACGATATTAAATTATTGTTACTTAAAAACGGAGCAGCGGTTTATGATGAACATCTTAACAATGAGGATAAAACATTAATTGCATCTCTGAACAGTGAAAGACATCAGGAATTGTGGGAATGTATTAAACTTGGGGACGTCAATTGCTTTCAGAAGTTTTTAATCAATGGTCGCGAATTATTAGGCCCTACCCGAATGGCTGATGGATGGAATTGTATGCATTTTGCTGTTTTAAGTGATAATCCTGATATGATAAAGGAAATATATCTACAATTCCCTCATTTACTCAACACATCCGATAAAAATAGAAAGACACCATTGGACTTAGCGATCGAGCGAAATTGTTATCCAGTTTTAGATATAATTTTGCAACTGGTATGTCTCCAAATGCTTCAAATTTAAATATAAGTAAAACGGTCCTCATGTAATAATGATTTACAGATTATAACTGATTGTTTTATACGACCTGTATCTTTCCAAATACTTGTCCAAAGCATCGACCAATTAGGCAATGACTACAACATTTCAGAATCTGTATTAAGCAGAACATTATTTGCAATAGAAACGCACGATTGTTTTTATATTCAATATTGGGCAACGTAAGAACAAACATTTTTTTATTGTATTGCACAATTTGTATTAATTATGCATTGATTTTAGAATATTACTCAGAAAATTTTGGAAAAAGAACAACACACCCCAGAACAAATCAAATCTTTATACGTCTTTCTTTCGGTCTACGTTGTCGCCGTTTGATGATGAAATTACTATGCCGATAACATATGAACGCATACATTTATTCATTGACGTCTTCATGTGCAATGATTCCTTGCAGGTGCATTACGAAGATATGCAAAGCAAGTTTCAGCAATTATTGCATATGGTAAGTGTAAATTATATGATTGTTTTACGAAATTTAATTTTGATTATTTATAGATAGACATGTGCCCTCCACTAGGTCCTATTTTTAATGAGATTATAGTGCGATTGGGAAATGCTGATTTTACAATTTTTTACGTTCCAATATTGGCAAGAATTGCTCATTATGCTTTCGAGACCCTTTCCGAGAATCTACCGATTCAACGTTTTGCAATGTAAAACTTGGTATATTAAATAATATAAAGTAACTGAAACATTTAATGTTTTTTTTTAGTAAACTGGTAGATGTAGCAGGTAAAAATGGATTTCGGCCGCCACTAACTGCTGATGAGCTTCGTGCTCCGTTACATAAAACTTTGTCGTTGTCCCAACAGGATGATGCCATTAAATTATGTGCCAAAATATATGTGGAGTACTTTCTCAGTGGTGAACTAGTAAGTTTAGTTAAAATGCAAACAATTTCAAACATTAATTTATAATATTGTGTCAGACTTCAGAAAAGATTGGAAACCAAATACAAAACGACATCAATTGTTGGGGCCTTGAGGAGGATGTGATGAGAAAGTTCCTGACTGGAATTGAAGCATGTGGTACAATTAAAATAGTAACTGTAAATCATTAACAATGTAAGCAATGCATCCACCAATATCGGCTGCCAGTGTTTGGATCCCGTCCCAACCACCAGTATTTACAGGCGCGTAGCAGTGCATCTTCCCCCACTGCTATATTCGGGTAGTGCGTAACTATAAGGGGGCAACCAGCGGTAGTTCTCTGGATTTCTCACTCTTCCTTTTCGTAACTTCAATTTGGATCGCGCATAGGATACGTACACCTTTCCATTTCTACAGCACGGCGTATTTCCCACTGTGGTAAAACAAAACTTGTTAGTAAATATTTGAATCGAAAAATTTTGTATTTTCAAAAAACTTATTTTTCAACATCTATCAAAGTAAATTGCATATTGCGCCTTAATTATTAGTATTAAGAAACTCTATCACAATCTATGTGTCTGGCACAATTGACTTGTACAAACTGTAATTTCATATCTTAATTAGTAAAATGGATTTCGAAACTTAATGCAACTCTTCAATCAACTACAATACCACGATCGGTCGTGTCGAATTATTATTGCGTGACGCAATGCGTGAGCTTCGTCTTAACACCGGACACAACTCGATTGGTTTTTCATCTTTAGAAGCATAGTACCAGCGGCCAACAGTACCATCCCACTGAAAAATAACGCATTAACATTTTTCAACAAAATGTTTGTTCATACTTACTGATGATGTGAAAATTTCATTATAGTGCGGATGCCATGATACATCTCGCACACAATAACTATGTTTACGTTCCTCTCTCGCTATTTTTCCAGTTAAAGCATCATAAACTGCAGAAACATAATTAAATAATGAATATCCAAAGTTTAACTAAGCATTAACTTACTAATTAATCTTCCAGATCCACACCCAGTATAAATATACCGCTGGCCTGTATTTCTCAGCGGTGAAAACCGTGCTCGAATCAACGTTCTCGTGGTAACGTGTCCTTTATATGTCATCACAGAAGTATCACCAGTTATTGTAGGAAGTGATGATACTATGAATACAAAAAAAATTAAAACACACCATATCATAATAATATTAATACGCACATCGTTTTGGAACAGTTTGCCAGCGATAATCCCAGGTCTGTTCATGAATAGATCGCCGTGTTTCCGCCATTGCTTCTTCTGTACTAAACATCCTTACATCCCACAACTTGATACTCTGATCCTTACTATTTGATATCAAATATCTACCATCACCTTTAGCGTCTATATAGGTAATACCATCCTGATGACCGGCAAAAACTCCGACAGGTTTCGATGTGACTTCCTCACCGAATGTACGACGGTCCCATACTTTTATCAATCCGTCATCACTGCCGCTGTAAATGATGTGCGATGAGTGGTCAGCGAATTTCACTGTGTTTACATCAAAATCGTGCGCTGAGATCTTTAACGTGCGTCTGTTTCGTTCCAAATTGTAGATGAACATAACGCCATCATTAGCTCCACCTAAAATTTCCTGTCCATCTGAAGAATATGCCAATGAAAACACGCAAAATCGTCGAGCTGTGTTAACTAATTTGAGTGGCTCCTGCTTTTTTGGATTGCCCCCAACAGAACATAAATGAACTACAACAAATTGTTTATAATACATATTTTAATTAATAGTTGATTTAAATATTTATTACTTGACGTCGACCATGTGGAATAGATGAAGTTTTCGTTATTCGGACTGAATGCAACATCAATAACGCTCCAGCCAACATCACGGGCATTTAAACGTTGAATTAATTCGTAATCGCCATTGTTAGTTTTGTATACCCTGATAACATGCTCTGAAACAAGAAATAGTTGTAAATGTAGGTATTACAGGTAATAGTAAAAACAAAACACAAAAACAGAACAAATGTGACCTCAAAACAAGTTTTTCATCCTCATAATCTTGAAATTAATTAGAGCAAGGACAATGCAGTGATGCAGAGAACGATATCTTTCTTTATTTTAAAATTGTCGTAATTGGCATCTAATTAAAACAATTTATATTTATTTTTTGCCTAATTAACTATTCAAATGAACATAAACATTGAGTAATGACAATAAAATATATTTTACTGGCAGTTTTGGGTAAAAACGTATATATTAAATATGCCTACCTTGTGAAGCTGTAATAAAATATTCACCATCCTCAGAAAACGTACCACAGAATACTTTTCCATCATAATGATCAAAAATCCCCATTTTGTTTGGTATATAATTGTTGGCAATCCTGCATCTCTTGTAATTTGAAAACGTCTCATTCCTAAACTTTCCACACTAGCAACAATCCACAATTCAACTACATACCATAAACAAAAACAAAAAACAATCCACTCACCTCTCTTTCTTTTAATAATGTAGCAACATTCACTCCAGACTTATCAATGCAAGTACCCAAGCCAGCATCCATTTTTGTCATATAGTAAAACTCACTAGCATCTAATTTTGCAGTGTTTGGTTTAAATTTTTTTATTCTGGGCCTCCTTTGGCTCATAACAAATCCCTCTCCAGGTGGGTTGGGAGTCAATGAGCTTTATGATATCATAAAATAATGCACAATTGTTATCAAAATTAGTTTGATTTGCAGAAGTAACTCACCTTCCGTATCTTCTAATTAACCTCTGAAAGATTAGTGCATAATTAGTTTCTGAATCTGACCCATCCTCTGAATCTGATGTAGACAATAGAATTTCGCGCACATCCATGGCCGGACTTGAGTTAAAAGCTCCCATTAAAATTTTAAAGCCTGTTGAACATAAAAACAAAATATTAAACAACTGTTTATACAATGTAAGAAACAACCACACAAATACAACTAACTAATTGTAGTTTTATAGGTATTGAATGTCTCTATAAATAAATAAATACTAAAACTTTCCTACTGCAACAGTATTTAATAATATATTCTTAATTAGCAGTATTTTTCTAGCCAACTAAATTATAAACGTAGAACGATGCACAAACACTTGGGTTGTACACGTCGAAGGGTCAAGGTGGCAAACAACGCAAATGGAATGAAACGATTGTATCGTTCGTTCATTTTTTTTTAATTCCCTAATTTCAATATCTCATGAGAATACTACAATTGCCACTAATTATGTCCTGAACGCGATGCATGACACAACAAGTACGATGACCATTTTAAAGAAGGAACTTAAGCAACTGGTACATGATGAAATACACATGTATATAGAGATAATTATACCTGATCTATAATTAGCACCGAACGTGATCCTGTTACGTTCCGTTCTTCGTGCAATGCATTGAATTCACTGCATTGCACATAATCTCTTGTTTGTTGATTTCACTTACATTTATCGCGATGCAAAAAAAAGCTATCTGCTTTACGTCGGAATATACGTCGTTCTAATGTCTCTCTCTGTGATTTTACGCGTCGCCTTGAGCACTGTTTGTGCAGTATTTATGTTCCTTATGTTCTCGGCGTTTTTATTATGCCACTCAGCTGTTTGACAGCGTTATTATTCGAAATTCTTTCGTTTATGAATGGTAAAGAATAAAAATGCGTGAATTAAGTGCAAAAAAGTTACACTCACACTGATGATGTATTAATACTAGAGACAGAGATCACAAATGTGCTTTGATTCACTTGTTTTTCTAAATAAATGCTGAGAATTCATGTTTTGCATGTAATTTAATATTACATATCAATAAATCACAAGGATTCATTTAATAAGTAAGTCTAAAGTTCGTCGCCCGTATCAAATTGCCATATTTTTGATCTTGCTAAATCTTATATTTCAAGGTGATTCGTATTAAAGTTATTATACTTATTATAATTACCAATTATTGAAAAACTTAAAATGTAATTACCTAGAACAGATGTTTCTTTAGTACTTCTTGAATTGTTAAAAAAATACTAAATTCTATAAATAAAGTTAATGTAACCTAACTACGTACATTTTGCACTATCCTACTGAAAAACTCATCCTTTTAAAACATGTTTTCAAAGCCACCGGTAGATAGCAGCCATATTTTACTTTATACGCCGGTTGCGGCCATTTATGTCAACAAATTTGTCAACATTTTCGGTCGAGTGTACCGGATCGCCAGGTTTTACATTGTCAACATCGTTTCATCGTTCTGAAGATGCAATAACATCATCCTATTTATTTCATATTACTAAAGTACCCTAAACAATCATGCCTTTGCCACTGCAACGCGATTTATTTCAAGTAAGTAATAATCTACACTTATAACCTATGTTTACACACTCTTCAAGTCATTACAAAGTAACAACACTGATTATTTACTTCCACAGAGTGCTGTGGAGCCAATGCAAGTTGATGCTCCACCAGAGGATAATGACAACAATGAAGAGGAAATGTACATTGTTGAGAACTCTACCTTGGATTTGGAGGTGTATGCAAACAGTTACACTGGACTTGCCAAGCTCTATAGACTTATGTTTATTATCAACCACTGTCCATCACTTAGATTAGAGGCTTGCAAAATGGCAATAGCATATGTAATGACAACTTACAATGTGAATTTGTATCAGCTGCTGCATCAGAGGCTGAGCCAAATGATGAGTGATGTTAGTGTACCGGATGTGGCAGTCCAGTCCACTTCACAGGACATCCCTGCTTTGGACAGCATGTGGATGGAAACGCGCTCAAAGAAAGCTGCATTGAAGTTGGAGAAATTGGACAATGACTTGAAGAATTACAGATCTAATTCAATCAAAGAAAGTATCCGACGTGGACACGACGATTTGGGCGATCATTACTTAGATTGTGGTGATCTTTCAAATGCTCTTAAATGTTACTCACGCGCAAGAGATTATTGTACAAGCGGCAAGCATGTGGTCAACATGTGCATGAACGTCATCAAAGTGTCAGTATATCTGCAGAATTGGTCACATGTACTCAGTTATGTTTCAAAAGCAGAGAGCACTCCAGATTTCACTGATTTACAGTCAAAGGATGTGAATCAGGTGATTATTACAAAGTTAAAATGTGCTGCTGGGTTGGCTGAACTTGCAACCAAGAAATACAAATCGGCAGCGAAGCATTTTCTTTGCGCTCAGTTAGATCACTGTGACTTCCCGGAGTTGCTATCGCCGAATAACGTTGCTATGTATGGCGGACTTTGCGCTTTGGCTACTTTCGACCGCCATGAGTTACAAAAGAGCGTCATATTCAGCAGTTCATTCAAATTGTTCTTAGAATTAGAACCGCAACTGCGCGACATTATTTTGAAGTTCTACGAATCGAAATACGCGTCTTGTTTGAAACTCTTGGAAGAAATCAAAGATAATTTACTATTGGATATTTACATCGCTCCGCATGTAAACAATTTGTATACTCAGATTCGTAACCGCGCGTTGATACAATACTTTAGTCCGTATTTGTCGGCGGACATGCATAAAATGGCGACTGCGTTCAATCGCACTGTGAATGCACTCGAAGATGAACTGATGCAGTTGATATTAGACGGACAAATTCAGGCCAGGATTGATTCACATAATAAAATTCTGTTTGCCAAAGATGTTGATCAGCGCAGCACTACGTTTGAGAAGAGTTTAAGTATGGGTAATGATTATCAGCGTCGTACGCGGATGATTATTCTGAGAGCGGCTGTATTGAAGAACAAAATTCATGTTAAGGTATAAAATCTGTTTGGAATTGTTTAAGAATCTTTGTTTATTGTAATTATGATTGTTTAGAGTCCTATACGAGAGAATACTGGGCAGAGCGGTGAGATAACTGTGGCTCCTGGAATGAGTCCAATCATCGTCCACAATGCGTCGAATCAATAATTACGCGAATAAGTTGTATATGGCGATTTCAGTGTTTTCGTTTTCAATAATACACATTCAATTCAATTGTATTGATATATACTATGTATTATTTCGGTTCATTTACTGATTGTTCTTACTTTATATCAATTTAAATTAAAGTTTGCGTTCTAAAAACAAATTGCGTTGTCTGTATACTTGGTTGTCTATCTTGAAATTCCCATCAACCACTCTCGTAAATTTTGACAACCTCACGGAAATTTGACGACACTTGTCGTTTGGTTGTACTGCGAGATTTTCCCAGTCTGCAATTTTCCATCAACTTGTTCAACTTACATAACAATGGCTTCACATATCTCGAAGCTCACTCTGCGTAGCGCCATTCAGGTAATTTCAATCAATATGCACAAATGTGAATTTGTTTCATAACCTTTCAATAGGTGTTATGTAAACCATTTAATGCATTGGATTCTAACATATAATTTGTATTTTAGACTCGCGGTTTTGCTGCACAATGCGTACCGAGTAGCGGCATTCTCAACACTGCCGTGCAGACCTCAACTCTGCCCAACAAACTGATTGTGGCAAGTGCTGATAATAATTCTGCACTTACCAGGGTGTCAGTTCAATTCAAGTAAGCTGACTAAAAATTAATGTTAAACAGTTAATAACGTTAAAATATTTACTAATTTAGGGCTGGCTCAAGGAATGAGAGTCATGACAATGCTGGTGTTACCCACATGATAAGATTGTCTGCTGGTCTTACCACCAAAAATGCATCTCAGTTTGCCATTACCAGAAATGTGCAGCAGTTGGGAGCTAATCTTTACTGCTCCACTGACAGGGAGACAATTTCTTATACTTTGGAGGGCACCCCTGATGTTGTTGAGAAACTTCTGCCCTATTTGGGTGAGGTTGCTACTCAGCAAACTTTCAGACCATGGGAAATTGATGAGAACTTGCAGAGGGCTAGAGTTGAGTTGGCGTCTCGCCCACCACAGGTAATTTACATTTTTTTTAAATTACATGAATGAGGAACTTACTTATAAATTGTATACAGCAAAGGGCAATTGACTTGTTGCACAAAGCTGCCTACAGGAGGGGCTTGGGCAACTCTATCTTCATCTCCAAGAGCCAGCTTGGAAAAATTGAATCTGAGACTTTGCTGCACTATGTAGGCAGCAATTTCTTAGCTGGACGCTGCGCTGTTGTCGGTTTGGGTATCGATCATCAAACTTTGTCCAACTGGGCCGAACAGTTGACTCTTGGCGATGGTGCAGGTGAAACTGTCAAGAGCCCATACAAGGGAGGAGAAATCCGGTAATAATATCAACAAATCACACAAAAAAAACAACATATAAATTTACACGTTGTTTCAAATCTAGTTCCGACAAAGGTGGTGACTTGGCCTTCGTCGCCGTTGGCACCGAGAGCGCTGGTTTATCCTCAAAGGAGGCATTGGCATTCTGCGTGCTTAAGTATGCTTTGGGCGCTCCCCCAGCAGTTAAATACGGTCAGTCCAGCGGTCTGCTTGCCCGTGCAGCTGGCTCCGGTAACTATGGCATCACTGCCATGAATGTCGCCTACTCTGACAGCGGTCTCTTCGGTATCCTTGCCGCTGCCGATTCTGCCAACGCTGGTAAAATTGTTGAAGCCGCTGTAAAGGTCTTGCGTAACCCCGACATCAAAGAAAACGATGTGAAACGTGGCAAAAACGCTAAGAAAATGGAACTTCTTTCAACTTGCGAGGGCGCCAACGCACTTGAATTTATTAGCAACACTGCCTTGTACACTGGCAGCGTTCCTGCTTGTGGAGATATTTTGGCTGCTGTCGATAGCATCACCTTAGACGATGTTCAAAAGGTACGTCTTAGATATAAAATCAATAATAATAATAATGATTCATACCTCACTGTTTGTTTTTCACCATTCACAGGCTGCCCAGAAGGTATGCAAAGGTAAACTTTCCATCGCCGCTGTAGGTAATCTACGAAACGTACCCTTCTTAGATGAACTGCATTAAGAAATAAACAATTAGTCGAACGAAACAGTGATATTCATTTAATTGCTGTCCCAAACATTGGTTAACTTCACCACCGGAGTATAAACTAAACTTATTTGTAAATTAATTTAAAACAATAAACGTTAAAATATATTTCTCTTTTCTGAATAGATACAAATCTAGTTAGAAGATAGTTAGAAGTATAGATAACTTATTATAAACAGCCCCTCACTTGTTCTGTAAAATATATCAGTAAAGCCCGTAACACGTGAGGTATAACGAAACAAGAGAGTAAAATGCATTGGTATTCTATCTACAAGTAAAAAAATGAATGTAAGCAGATTTGTGAATAAAATAGAAAATCACGAAATGTTTTGATTAGATTGTCGCCACAGCGATTATGCTTATAAACAAAAGAATGATAATGACCCAGTACACACAACTTTTGTCTTTACGATCTATCACAGTTACGTTACGCGTTTCCATGTTAACGCGCGCATCAGTTCTTTCCATGTGTTCACCTAAATCATCAATTATATCTGCAAAACAAGAATGCAACCCCCATTGACGTTAAAAACACAATTCTACAATCTATTTAACTTACCATTATGCAAATCCACCTCAGAACTGATTGTTTCTGCAATATTCTTCTGCCTTGCAATAATTTTTGATAAATTATCCAAGCCTTCTTCTTGATCTGCAAAAAAAAACATTCATTAAATCACTAATTTTATGTTTGTGTTATAATAATCTACCTTTCATCATTCTTTGCTTTTGGATCCTTATCTGATCAACACTGGTGGCTTGATTGTCCAGCATATCATCATCATCAAAGTTCCATCCACTACTTGTAGCACCCAGTAAGTCAGTTCTGGTATCTCTTATTGCTGTGGATACTTCATTGTACAATTTGTCCATTTTAACACCCCTTGATCTTAACAATTCAATTTGCTGGCCTCTTCTTTCCACTTCATCATAAGTACTTAAATAAATTACCATAAATAATCATAATATTATATAGAAGTATTGTTGCTTACATTGATCTGCTTCCTATGCTTCTGTCCATTTTTTCTTTCAACTGATTAACTTCATTATGGTATTGTTTTAATCTAATTCGAATATTTGCAGATAATCTGGCATAAGGTTCAGTTGATCGAGATTCCTTTTGCCTGGCCATTAACTGTTCCATAATATCTCTTTGCAATTTTTCACAGGATTCATACTCAAGTACCCTGTTGGTAAAAAATATTTAAGTTGTGATTATCATTGTTCACTAAAAGTGGCAATAAATCCTTACCAAGGATCGTCATCGATATTGAGCAGTGCCATAGTGTGTACTTGATTAAGATTCTTTAGTTTCTCAATAAATTCAGAAACTCTATGTTAGATGTTGTATCGCAGTCAGCTGCTGGTAAGAGAGGTTAAGTAGACTGATTACTCGCGAAAATACATTCACATTTGTATCAACATTTTCAAATTAAGACAATACATAGAGACAATATATTTATTAGATTAATTGCCTGCCCAATAACAGTCGATATGGGTTGTGCACCCAATTATAATGATGATTTATTGTTTTATCAGATACATGATACATAAATATTCTACATATTTACCATCATTAAATAGAAAACTAGTAAGCCACATATCTAGATTATTATTTATTTATTTATCTTATTTTTATATTTTAATAAATAAATCATTTTATTTAGTATCAAACATTTTTGAACTGAACATACCCTCACAGAGGGCGCGAGTGTCGCACGTTTATGTGTGCGTGCGCTCCTTGTTGCCCTTGCATTGCGTGCATTGCGCGTCCTTCACCATTCTCATGAGCTTGTGTCATCCACATCTGGCTTCCACGCGTTTCCCGCTATAATTATCCTGTGGCAACTAATGCAATTGGACGTAACATCTATTAAACTCATATTGAAAGTGCTTCTATCCATTTCGTATTATTGGATTTAAATTACGAAATAAACCATTCACTGGAGGATATCTACAACTGCCCACGCAACAAATTAATCGTATACACCCATCAAAACACATACACAGTGAGTATGTCATTTAACCTAAATTTCTCATGCTTTACGAGCCGATGGCATACATTTTCGGCATTTTAAACCTTTGAAACCCATCAATTTCCATCACACAGCTATGTCCACCAAGAGAAGACGTCCAAGTACAAATCAGGACCGCGAGCGGGGACAGCCGCGTGTAAAAAGAGTCAAATGTAAGCAAATAAATATAAATAATTAATGATAACTATATTCATCTCTGGGCTTTTATTGCAGTCACTTTGGATTCTGTTGCATTGCCATCAATTACAACAAAAGGAGCTGTGTTTGTGACTGGGACAGGTGATGTAGGCCAGCTAGGTCTAGGTCCTGATATAATGGACAGAAGTAGGCCCACATTCCTTAAAATGGAGCATGAAGTAGTTGATATATGTGCTGGTGGAATGCATACTGTGTGTTTAACTAAAGAGGGCAAGGTACAATATTATTTTACAGCTTAATTGGCAAACACATGTTTGACATGTAGATCTTTTAGTTGCTAACATTTGGATGCAATGATGAAGGTGCGCTTGGCAGAGTAATAGAAGAAGATGGAGAATATGAACCAGGTCTTGTGGATTTGCCAGGAAAGGTCATACAAATTTCGGCGGGTGATTCACATACTTGTGCCCTCTTGGATGATGGTAGAGTGTTTACATGGGGCACATTTAGGGTAAATTTATCCACATTAATAATATTTTATGTACTTATCACTATGATTAATTAGGATTCACATGGAAATATGGGTATGACAGTGAATGGTAATGAAAAATTGCCGATTCAGATTCTGAACGACCAGCATGTGATGAAAATCGCGTCGGGCGCTGATCATATTGTATTCCTAACGCGTTTCGGAGAAGTGTACACTTGCGGCTGCGCTGAGCAAGGGCAATTGGGGAGGACAACAGGTCGTGGAAGTGGAAGAACCGCCAGAAATGGTGTGGGTCATGATCAAATTGTTAAACTTCTTACGCCGGGGCTCATAAGTCTGAAACCCAGTTTGAAACTGCATTTTGATGATATCTGGGCCGGCACCTATGCGACTTTCGCGAAAGTAGCGGGATCCAGTGATGTCTATGTGTTTGGTCTGAATAACTATTATCAAATCGGCTTAAAAGCAACAACTCCGCAATATACACCCGTCAAGTCACCAGAATATTCTAAGCACGAATGGAAGAACATTGCATGTGCGGCGCATCACGCAATTGCATTATCAAAGGATGGTAAAGTGTTTGTTATTGGACGAAAGGAGTACGGCAGATTGGGATTAGGTGAAGTTGAAGATGATGCTCAAGTATTAACTCAAGTGCTCAACGATAAAAACATTGTTGCTGTGGGTTGCGGTGCGTCACAATCTTTTGCTGTCACTGAAAGTGGTAAGAAAGAGCTAACGTTGTGTTAAAACAATTAAATATTAATTGTAATTGTCATATTTCAGGTGATTTATATGGTTGGGGTATGGGTACAGGTGGGCAACTTGGTACTGGCAGTGAAGATGACTGCTTGGTACCAACCTTGATTAAAAGTAAGCAAATACAAGATAGGAAAATTATTCGTGTGGTTAGCGGTGGCCAGCATACGGTAATGCTAGCACAACTGCCGGAAAACGAGCAAAAGCCAGCTGCGGAGCCTAGGAAAAATGGAAAGCAGAGCAAAACCGAGGACAAAATGGAAACCGACGAAAAGCCAAGCGCTGCCAATGGCAAAACCGACGACTCTGCCTGATTAAATTACAACAAATTGTACCGGTACAATTAAACAATCATGCAGTATCAATTTGCGCATTTACCCACAAAAAAAGTACAAAACCGTTGCTTTTTAAATATTAAAACTCCACATTGCTTACGCCGCAGGTAAGTAATTGACACGACACGTTGGAATCGTTTCTGTATTTTTAGATAACATGAAGAAATTTGTGCGTTTCTTTGTTCATTGTTAATTTAAGAAGTTTGTATTTTGATCATGTTATTAGTTTATAATTCGATGTGAATGAAATGAATTGTCAAGCATACCTGGATATTGAAATAAAAATGAGAGATCGTAGTTCACTTGGAATTTTATTAATGTCGTCGTGGCTGAGTTCGCACGTGCGAAGTACGTAGAAGATAGTGTAAAGAGAGATTCAGAGTCGAGCAACGATTGAGGTACGTTCAGTACGTTAATAAATATTTTGAGAGCTTAGGGAGGACGTCGACGGGCGCATCTTCATCGTCACTGGCTTCCTCTGAACGCCCGAAGTCGATCTCTGAACTGCCTATGCTATCCTCCCAGTCAGTAGAAGTCGACTCCGAATCTGAGTCACTCTCCACATCTTGTGAAGGCGCTTCGAAGTTGGCACCAGGTAATAATATATTATTAAATTTCTGAAAATATACATTAAACATATTTGGAGTAATATTATCGTTTTTAACTTACAGTTAAAGTTTCCTTGTTTGAGGAAATAGGATTATTCATTAAATTTATCTTGTATAGCTGCTTCATTTTTAGCAGGACGCTTTCGTTGATGGAAAATAATTCGTTGCTTTGAAACAGCAGATATCGCAATTTTTTTAGTTTGCAAAGTGTGTATGGAATTGAATTGAAATGATTGTGTGCTAGATTTAAATGGATTAAACTCTGCAGATTTTCAAATGCAGCTGGCACTGATGTTAATTTATTATTATCCAAAGTTAACCATCTGAAATTAAGCATCTATAGTAACAGAATTGATAATCAACACTATGCATACCTTAATTTGACTAATTTACAAACACCTGGTGATATTTGACTTATAAAATTATTTCTAGCACCAAATGTGTCCAAATGCTCCAAGTTACCAATGGCATTTGGAATGGCTGATAAACAACAGGCATTGCACCACAAATGCTCCAAATTGGTGAGACAGCCAATGTGTTCAGTCAAGTCTTTGATTGGATTGTGGCTAATATTTAAAAACTTTAATTGTGTCAGTTCTTTTAATTCATTTGGAAACCTATCTAAATTGTTGTAATCAATTGCAAGTGTATGGAGATTCTTTAAACTATTAATTTGTAATGAGACTGATTGCAGTTTGTTGTGGGCAAGCAGCAGCTCACCAAGGTGTTCACATTTTAGTACTGACTCTGGAAGCATTTCTAGATCAAAGTCTTCCAGAGTGAGACATGATGATTTTGTCATGATTGCATATTCAATTTTGGCCAGTGCATGATTGTGTTGGAAGTATTCGAATAATGGATTCATTGCTGAAACAAATTAAGGAAGTAACATTTAAATTATTGTTGATATTTAAATGTTTATTTACTTTTCGCAGCTCTTGAAGGTATGAACTGTAGATGATGATCGCGATTGAAACTTGCATGGGCTTGAACTACATCTTCTAGGGGTCGTCAATTTATTTAAATAAAATTTTGCTGCTGTATGCGATGACAATGGGATCGGATATTTTTAGTAAAATTTTATTTGGGATGCAATTAAAATTAATTTACGCAACGAACAGGTGTATGTCAATTTGACGTTACCGTGTTGACATTTGTAGTTACTTTTTTTCTCACTACTCATCTGTAGACCAGGAAGGTTAAAACCTGATTAATAATCATTAAAAACTTTCTTCGAAGTATTAATCGACATTTATAAAATAATATTAAGCTTAAATAGTGTAAAATCGATTTCAAAAATTAATTTTAAATATCTAGTTCACTTATTTCAAGATTTTAATCGTTTTAGTTGAAGATGGCGCTACCGTAGTAACATAACAGAACAAAATGGCGATAAATGTTTTCAGGTGCGCTTTGCAGCCTACTGCGGCTCTTGCGCTCTGTTTTATCGTAATTCTCAAGCCTACTAGCGTAAATTGAATTACCAATTTTAATCGGAATAAAACTAAGTTCGGAGACTTCACAGTTGTGATTTGTGTGGATTTTACATTTTAACAAGACAAATTTGTTTACCATTTTAATCATTCCACATAAACATAACCCCACAAACGGGTTGCCGATTTTATTACTGACTTGTTGATTTTAAAAAGTGTTATATATCCAAAGAAGACAATGGCAGACAGTGATGATGATGATAGTGGCGAGGGAGTGAACCTTACTGGCTTCCTTTTTGGAAATATTGATGAAGCAGGACAGTTAGACAGTGATGTTTTTGATGAAGATACACAAAGACAACTGGGATCACTAGGAAAGTGAGTATTAAGTTTTTGTTTGCTGTTTATGCCATTATTTAAATATGAAATACCAATTGCAGGCTTGGTTTGGGATCAATCCTGAATGATTTAATAGCTGAGGAAAATGACCAAGATAATGGAATTGAAGATGACAATAATGATTCAACTGACAGTGATGCAAAAACTGATCCAAAGTTTTCCTCTGCAGTGGATTTTTCAGACATCAATGAGTTGGCTGATGAGGAAGAAGTTAAAGATGAAAAAACTGAAACAAATTATGATGCTGATGATGAAGGCAAACCAAAAGATCAGGAGCTCATGCCTCCACCACCACCTAAAACAGAAGAATCTAAAACTGCTGAGGAAAAGAAGAAATTGGAAACACCATTAGCTGCTATGTTGCCCTCAAAATATGCTAATGTTAATGTCACAGAGTTATTTCCCGATTTTCGACCAGGACAAGTATGAACTTTATTAAATAAAATAATATACATGGTAAAAACTTATAACAAATGTATTTTAATTGTAGGTGTTGAGATTTTCGAGGCTATTTGGTCCTGGAAAACCTAGCAGTTTACCTAATATTTGGCGCAATGTACGGAAAAAACGCCGCAAGCGTAAAGTTAAAGAAAATGCCACTGAACACGATTCTGATTCGGCATCTGATGAAGATAGGCCAAAGAATCGCGGTTGGCATTTTGACTATGCGCCGGCGCCAGATATTTCCGAATGTATGAGTGATGATGAGGAAAAATTCAAACAAAAGCAAGAAATCGTCGCAATGGATACTAAAAAGGAAATTACCGCCAAAGATGACACTGGTCCAAAGGTGGCTGATTGGCGTTTTGGGCCTGCACAAATTTGGTATGATATGTTAGAAGTGCCTGATAATGCAGATGATTTTAATTATGGTTTCAAAACTAAGGAGGTGAGCACTTTAACACATTTAAGTTACGAATAGAAATTTACTTATTTAATTAATTATAGAAATCTGACCGAATGGAGCTAGTTGAAATAAAACGAGATGTAGAGGATGAGTTTCCCGATGATTCATTTTTAATGGTTACACAATTGCATTGGGAGGATGATGTCGTATGGGATGGGAATGATATTAAACATAAGGTATAATTAAAACTCGTGTGAGCTTGAATAATGATTACTAAACATTTAGGTCCTTCAAAAGCTAAATTCCAAGAGTAACGCAGCCGGCTGGGTGCCCAGCAGTGGAAATCGAACAGCGCAGGCCTTCAGTCAACCTGGGAAAGGCGGAGCGATTGCTGGCCCACCTGGTAGAGTTCCACCATTACCAGCTCCGCCATTACCTGGAGCGAAAGTGTCAAAAGGACAAATGATACTTAGCAAACAGCGCATGGAAGCTGAACAGGACGATACGTGGTACTCAATCTTCCCAGTAGAAAATGAGGATTTAGTTTACGGACTTTGGGAGAACGACGTTATTTGGGACGCTGAAAAAATGACCAGTATCCCGAAACCATCGATTTTAACGCTGGATCCAAATGATGAGAATATAATCCTTGGCATACCGGATGATATAGATCCATCCAAACAAATTGCAGGCCAAACGCCGATGCCAAAAGTTAAAATCCCTCATCCACACGTTAAAAAATCAAAAATTCTGCTTGGTAAAGCAGGTGTGATTAATGTGCTACAGGAAGATACACCACCGCCCGCTCCTAAGTCTCCCGATCGTGATCCGTTTAATATTTCAAATGATATTTACTACATGCCTCGATCAACTGAAACTACATTGCGTCTTAAAGTAGGTGGGGGTAATCTCATCCAACACTCAACTCCTGTTGTGGAATTGCGCGTGCCATTCATACAAACTCACATGGGACCGATGCGTTTGCGGAATTTCCATCGGCCGCTAATGAAACGTTTCTCGCATGGTGCGCTGGCGCATCCCGGACCGCATCCCATTTCAGCGCTAATAAAATACATCAAAAAGAAGGCAAAGCAACGAGAGGCCGAGCGAATGGCGTCGGGAGGTGGAGACGTGTTCTTTATGCGCACGCCTGAAGATCTTACAGGACGAGATGGCGATTTAATATTATTGGAGTTCTGTGAAGAACATCCTCCTTTGATGAATCAAGTGGGAATGTGTTCTAAGATTAAAAATTATTACAAACGCAAAGCTGGGAAGGATCATGGTCCTCCACAGTACAAATATGGTGAGACTGCATATGCGCACACATCTCCATTTTTGGGAATCCTTACCCCGGGACAATCTATTCAAGCCGTGGAGAACAACATGTATCGCGCACCTATTTATGAGCATAAAATGAACAATACTGATTTTGTAATTATCCGAACAAGAAATCAGTATTACGTTCGTGAGGTGGATGCGTTGTTTTTGGCCGGTCAACAGTGCCCGCTTTATGAAGTGCCTGGTCCAAATTCGAAACGAGCGAATAATTTCGTACGTGATTTTCTGCAAGTTTTTATTTACCGACTATTCTGGAAAAGCAAAGATACTCCGCGACGTATTAAAATGGACGACATTAAGCGCGCTTTTCCATCACACTCGGAAAGCAGCATTCGAAAGCGTTTGAAACTGTGTGCAGATTTTAAACGTACGGGTATGGACTCCAATTGGTGGGTGATTAAACCTGAATTTCGTCTGCCATCAGAAGAAGAAATTCGCGCGATGGTGTCACCTGAGCAATGCTGTGCGTATTTCAGTATGATTGCTGCGGAACAACGTCTGAAAGATGCCGGTTATGGGGAGAAATTCTTGTTTACGCCGGCTGAAGATGACGACGAGGAAATGCAGTTAAAGATGGACGATGAAATTAAAGTTGCCCCATGGAATACCACTCGCGCTTATATTCAAGCGATGAAGTCAAAGTGTTTATTGCAATTGACTGGTCCTGCGGACCCTACTGGATGTGGGGAAGGCTTCAGTTATATTCGAGTACCCAATAAACCTACGGTAAGTTGAAGACTTTATTTGTGAAAAAGTTTGTATACTTATTCAATTCCATATCAATAGCAAAGTAAAGAAGAACAAGAATCTCAACCCAAACGTACTGTCACAGGTACAGACGCTGATTTGCGTCGGTTATCATTAAATAATGCCAAAGCCTTGTTGCGTAAGTTTGGTGTGCCTGAAGAGGAAATCAAAAAGTTATCGCGTTGGGAAGTAATCGACGTTGTACGAACTTTATCTACTGAAAAAGCAAAGGCTGGCGAGGAAGGTATGGATAAGTTTTCGAGAGGCAATCGTTTTTCGATAGCGGAACACCAAGAACGGTACAAAGAGGAATGTCAACGAATCTTTGATTTGCAAAATCGTGTGCTTGCAAGTTCCGAAGTTCTCAGTACAGACGAGGGAGAATCTTCGGACGAAGATTCCGATGAAGATATTGAAGAGATGGGCAAAAATATCGAAAATATGTTATCTAATAAAAAGACAAGCACTCAGGTAAATTATTCCAGCAAATAATTTATTATAATTCTTAATGTTTGAGTTTTATTAATAGTTGTCTCTCGAGCGGGAAGAACAAGAACGTCAAGAATTACGCAAAATGATTATGGAAGAAGACAAAAAGGGTAAAGATAAGAAAGATAAAGATGATGATAATCCAGATGGTGGTTATAATCAACAAGGACGCGTGTTGAAAATTTTCCGTACCTTCAGAAATCATGAAGGAAAAGAATTTACGCGTATAGAGTATGTAAGAAAAGCGGCTGTTATAGACGCTTATGTCAAAATTAGAACTACCAAGGATGAACAGTTTATTCGTCAATTTGCTACTCTTGACGAAGCACAGAAGGAAGAGATGAAAAGAGAGAAACGTCGTATTCAAGAACAATTGCGACGCATTAAGCGCAATCAGGAGAGAGAAAGACTTGCCATGGGTCACAGTTCCAACTCCAGTATTAAACATAGAGATCCAACGGCCATTTTGGAGAAGCCGACGACCTTAGAAGAAGCTCCCATTGTTGCACCCTCATCTCCATTGGCAAACATTCCAAAGACGTCTTCTAATTCTCCGCCGAAACACAAAAACAGAAAGGTTAAGCTGAAGCCAGATTTGAAGCTGAAATGTGGCGCGTGTGGTAATGTAGGTCATATGAGGTGCGTAGTTATCTTAATATTAATGATAGTTGCGTACAATAATCAGTTAAATAATATAGAACCAACAAAGCTTGTCCATTATATCAAAATTCAATGGCTGGTGGCGGATCCATGAACACATCACTATCGGAGGACCAAGACGATGACATGGAAAAACAAGTACACACTACGGATGACGAGGATTTGGTAAACGTTGATGGGACGAAAGTCAAGCTATCGAAACGTTTGCTTTCTGTAAGGGTCATTTCTTTAACTACCTTTTAGTACAAATGCATGTGGTTTCTAGCGTAAGAAGCGTGGTAAGCATGGTAAAAGAAAATCATTATCATTGAAGGTTTCCAAGGACGCATTCGGGAAGAAGCGCAAACGCCCGCCAACGGACATCCACTGCGATTATCTGAAGAAGCATAGCAAGCCCGCAAATCGAAGACGTACGGATCCTGTGGTTGTGTTATCTACTATCCTCGAGAATATTCTGAACGAATTGCGCGATATGCCAGATGTACAACCATTCCTGTTTCCTGTGAATCCTAAGCTCGTTCCTGATTACAATCGAATCATTCAGAGGCCAATGGACTTGCAAAGTATAAGGGAAAATTTGAGACAGAAACGATACCAGAGCAGAGAAGAATTCCTTGCGGATGTAAATCAAATTGTTGAAAATTCAACGCTCTACAACGGCCCGAAGAGCAGCTTGACTATAATCGCGCAGCGAATGCTCCAGAAATGTGTGGAGCGGCTCGGTGAGAAGGAAGAAAGATTGATGAGGCTAGAGAAAGTAATTAATCCATTGCTGGACGATAATGATCAAGTTGCTCTTACGTTTATTTTGGATAATGTGGTAAACGCTAAGTTGAAGACCATGTCCGAATCGTGGCCGTTCTTGAAACCTGTTAATAAGAAGCAAGTCAAGGATTATTACAATGTTATCAAGAGGCCAATGGATTTAGATACTATTTCACAGAAAGTTGCAGGTAATTTTTGTTAGAATTATTATAAATCTTAACTGATTTTAATTTTGGTGTTTTCGTGTTTAATTCAGCTCATAAATATCACAGTCGTCATGAGTTTCTGGTGGATGTAACACAAATTTTGGAAAATTGTACGTTGTACAATGGAAAGGACTCGTCATTTACGCAGAAGGCCGAACAATTGGTGGCTGTGTGTAAAGCTACATTAGATGAGGTAAGTCTTTATTTGTTTTGGAATAAATATTGTTTTTATACAAGTAAATTTCTAGTATGATGAACATCTAACTCAATTGGAGAACAAAATTTCACTGGCACAAGAACGCGCACACGAGGATGATGATTTAGCGTGGATGGGCGTTGATGAAGAAAATTATACAATTGCTGAACCGGATAGACAGGTATTTTTCGAATTTGCACTGTGGTATTGTTGCATGGTTACATTACACAATTTTAAATTTCAGAGTTATGCCAGTTCGCCGGATCGCAGCTTCCAAAACAAAACATACGAAGAATTGGATTATGTGGACGTGGAAGGTGGTATGAATTCAGGTATGCATGATGATGCGCATCCATTTAGAAAGATTGGAAAGTCGCCTCGTACCAAAAAGCGTTCCGGAGAAGTTGGCACACTTGAGCAGGATCTGCAATTCTCCAGTGAAGAAGAACTGGATGAAGTGCCGCTACACGAGTTCGAAGACAATAAACAGGGCATTCTGATTTCGGCGGAGATGCCTGTGGAAGGAACGGCTGATGATGACAGCCAACAAGTTGCCGAGGCAATGGTGCAACTTGGTACAATGGGTTATTACCAGACTGAAAATGAAGCCGATGGAACCGCTGAGCACCTAATGTTCAAAGGTAAATGTTTGATTTTTTTTCATTGGTATCGTTTAATTTATTATTCTGTAATCTTGCAGAAGAGAGTATGGATGTGGATCCGGATTACGACCCTTCAGAATTCTTACTATCCGGTTACAATCCGATGAGAATCAAGGAAGAGCCAGATCCACAACAGAAAGAACTCAAAATCGACGATGATCTCGCAATCAGTGAAAGCGACGATGAGTTGCAAAACATTGATAATCCTAGCAACATTCAACAACAATTCACATCGCAAGCGCCTGATGACGGTGATGACGACGGCATTTGGTTCTAATTGAAATCTTAACTCTGTTTCATGTATATTCATTTATTGATATTTTAAAGAAAATATATCGCATAGCTAGTTATACCGAAGTCAGTCCTATGGTTGCATTCGGAGGGCGCCGTCCAAACGAATGGTTTCACCATTGAGTAGCGGATTTTCAATTATGTTTTGTACAAGCATTGCATATTCCGTTGGATTGCCAAGACGTTGCGGGAATGGCACTGATTTTGCTAAGAAGGCGCGTACTTTATCAGGCAGCGAGGCAAGCAATGGCGTTTCAAATAGACCCGGCGCAATAGTGCAGACGCGAATGCCGTGTGATGATAAGTCGCGAGCCATTGGCAGCGTTAAACCTATAATGGCTGCTTTCGACGATGCGTATGCCGTTTGACCCATCTGGCCTTCATAGCCCGCTATACTTGCGGTATTGATGATCACGCCGCGCTGCCCATCTTGGTTTGGATCATTATCACCGATCAGGCCCACGGATAAACGGGCTACATTGAAGGTACCAATCACATTCACCTGCAAAATTTGTATGATGTTTTAAAATGTTCTATTTCTATTTGATCTAAGCCCTTACATTGATAACTTTGGCAAAATCTTCCAATTTGTGTGGCAATTTCTTGTTAAAGTTATATGTTTTGAAAGCAACAGCAATTCCAGCACAGTTTACAACACTATCCAGTTTACCAAATTGCTTCTTGGTGGCATCTAATGCAGCTTGGACATCACTTTCAGAAGTTACCTGTTGATTTGCGTTTTTATTAAAAAATTCAACATCAGCTAGATAAATTGATACATACATCTACAGGACAGAACAAGGTGTTACTTTCACCAATACTTTTAGACAACTCAGAGCCTTTGGAGTTTGGCAAGTCACATATAACTACTTTGCTTCCTTGTTGAACTAGCCTCTCCACAGTAGCTCTACCTAAGCCAGAGGCTCCACCAGTAACCAAAGTAACTGTATTCTAGAAATGAATACATAAGGTTATTGAGTATATTTTTTAAAGTTAAGCTAATATGAGATTTGCTTACTTTCAACATTTTGATCCCAAAAAGATATCTGCAGTAGGAATGTGATTTTATAAGTGATCAAAGGTCACTTTCTAGAGCTGTGAACAACGGCAAAGTAGTGGAACGAACGAGTTTTTCATTCAAGTTTAGGACCTTTGAAACTCGATAAAAGTTGAAAAAGTGAGGTTGTCACTTGAAATCACCGCGTGCACTCACGTGCAATACCGTTCGTAAATTATGTTGTTTTTATTTATGAATACTTATTCAAAGCTATTTAAAGTTAAATTTGGTTAAATATGGTTCGAGCCATTAACCCTTATTTTATACAGAAACGTTGCGTTCATTTCATCATTCGAAAATTACTTCTATTTTATATTTTATGGGTACCTGTCAATTGTTAATGGTGTGAATAGGCCATAAAAAAGTTTTGCGACCCTAGGGCGGTAAATCATCAATAACAATCATAGCATATATTTTTGCCGACAGAAGGCGTCACTACCTTTTGCTTACGTCCCCTACTCCACGATGAGAATAGCTCAGCCCACACACATGCAAATTGTATCTGTGTGAATTAGGCGTCAACAAATTTTCAAGTTGGGTGCGATTTTACTCATCATCTAATTCTCTCACCTTTATAAAAGTCGGCGCTTTCAAACCCCAAGTTATAATTCGTGTTGACTGCCCAGAGTCCGCGAATTAGTCGTCATAATGGCAGAGCAACATCGTTTCGGCAACGTAATTTGCCCCATTACTTGCCATGCATGGAATAAGGATCGGAGTTGTAAGTTTCATTTGTGAGTCATGTTTCATAAAGTTAAATTAAATGTACCTTCGTAGTGATCGCGCAAAGTCCCAACAACAATGAAGTTCATATTTATAAAAGAATTGGGCAAGACTGGAAGAAAGAAGATGTGCTCAATCAGCACGATCTTCGCGTTATGGGCATTGACTGGGCTCCAAACAGCAATAGAATTGTTACATGTGCAATGGATAGAAATGCTTATGTATGGACCCAGGGTGAAGACAAGAAGTGGAAGCCTACATTAGTGCTCCTCCGCATTAATCGTGCTGCAACGTGCGTTAAATGGAGTCCGCAAGAGAATAAGTTTGCAGTTGGATCTGGCGCACGACTGATTTCCGTTTGCTATTTTGAGTCTGAAAATGACTGGTGGGTGTCTAAGCACATCAAGAAGCCAATCCGGTCGACTATCACAGCAATTGATTGGCATCCCAACAATGTTCTGCTGGTGGCTGGCTCAGCAGACTTCAAAATTCGCGTTTTCTCTGCATACATTAAAGATATTGAAGGCGCCATGCAGCCAACACCCTGGGGTCAGAAAACTACATTAGGACATCTACTCGCCGAATTTCCCAACTCTAGTGCTGGTGGCGGTTGGGTGCATAGCGTCGCCTTTTCACCAGATGGTAATAAAATATGCTGGGTGGCTCATGATTCGTCAATTAACGTCGCGGACGCAACGCGAGGAAATGCTGTATTCAAGCTACGAACCGAATACTTGCCATTCCTGAGCTGTATTTGGATTAGTAATGCTGCAATTGTCGCAGCCGGCCATAGCTGCATTCCAGTAATGTATAATTACAATGCAGATGGACAGGTTGTCTTCGGTGCCAAGTTAGACGCATCGCAGAAACGTGAGGCAAGCGGTATATCAGCAATGAAGAAGTTCCAGAGTTTGGACAAACAAGCAAGGACTGAAATGAACGATACCAACTTGGATTCGATTCATCAAAACGCGATCACTTCATTGGTGCCATACACCCGAAACAACTCTTCTATCCAGAAGTTCAGCACTACTGGTTTGGATGGGCAGATGGTGATTTGGGATATGGTATCCTTAGAGAAAGCTATCCAGGGGCTTAAAATTGCCTGAACTTGCAAAGACGTATAACTTTTACAATTCAACATTTTCTTTTACATATTTTTTTATACCACAATTGCATCTGATATGACTTGTTAATAGGTAAAAACATTATAAACAATTAAAGCTTTGATGCTGATCTTAATGTTGAAACTTTCACATGAAGAAAACTAAAAGATGACACAAAATTAAGTAAAATCAATGGCTCAATACAAACTATTCATGCCGAACTATCTTTGCGTTTTAAAGCAGATGCTGATTCATTTTATTGGTTCATTTAGGATAATATTTACTTTAGTAAATACTGATATGAGGTGATAAGTAATCTTTGCTTATATCTTTAAAATTGATATTTATTTTCGCTTAGTTATTAAAACAACATTTTCAACAACCGTATTAAATTGCATCACCACTTAGGTACACTTTCCACAACACATATTGGGTTTAATTGGATCGCCAGGTTTATGATTAGGCGTCCAAGGCCCTAAACTGTCATTTGCATAAAAGTCCATCGGATAACTCTTACATTTCTTTTCTTTGGAACCGTCAGCTGGCCCGTTTTCTTCGATCCATTTACTGTCGCCAATGCACACGGCAAGTTCATAGGGCGTCAGTAAGGGTTTTTGAAATGCGGTACCCCAGTCGATCGACAATCGCGGACAAGCAATCTGCACAAAAGCATCGATGTTGTCGAATAAACGCAACTTATCCGGGAATATTTCCGATAACATGATTGTTACTGTCTCTTTGCCACAAGCTTTCAAACGTTGTTCTATGTGCTCCACTACTTTCGGACTTCCTTGCCGACCCAATGTGCCCATAATAATCCCGAATACTTTAGCAGATTTCGCTGTATCTATAAAGTTCTTCCGCGTGCTAATCATTAACTCATGATCATAATACTCGCGGGTAAATTTCTTGTCGTATGGATCGTAGCGATAAGCCTGTACTTTTGGATTCGCTATCATTGCAGCTTCTAGATGAAACCGTCCATCTCCCAAATAAATGATAACGTCGACGCATTTTACTTCAGGGGCTGTGCAGCCTAGAATTTCTCCAGGAGATAATGGCTTGAATTGGGGTATTGAAATATCATACCCAGCTTCAATCAGAACCTTTTTCACCGATTGCAATGTTGTGATGAACTGTATTGTGCTAACTAGGCCAATTTTAGAACTTGTTTGGAAGTTGAGTTTAATAGTTTCTAACAAATGCATTGGATCAATTTGTATATCTACAAATATGTATAGTACCTTGAATGCAGCTTTAGGATCCATAGGTATAAGGCAACTGTGGCCATAATGCACTAATAATTCTACTCCTAAGGCCTTTGCAGTTAGATCATCAACACAACAAGCTCCATATGTGACATCACCCATGATAAGCACTTCAGCACCAGTAAAATCAGTTATAATATCTGCAATTGTTGTGGAATACATGAGCAATCCTTCTGGCATTTGAAGTGCAACCATTTTTGCTTTGAGTTCTTCAATTCTCCATATTGTTTTAGGGATTTCAAAGTTATAATTTTTGGGAAGAGCTTCAACAGCTGCTTGCAGTTTTTTGTCATTTAATATTCTCTCTGGTATTTTAGTTACCTTAGTAGCTCGAACCACTTTTCTCTGTTCCTTTGCTTTTATGATAACAACAGTTTCCTCCATTTCTATTCACAAGTATCTGAAAAATTATCCATTCAAGCCGTCAATTGAATAACTTTTAATAACTTTTCTTACCACAAATACTTGCTGGAAGCACTAATCTCACTAATCACAGATGATAATCACTAATCGCTAATTACTGATACTGCTGGTGTGCTGAGTGATTCGGATTCTTGCACTGTAGGCAACAAATATAATTTTAGAGCTGCCCGTAAAGTTGCCTATGTTTTAGTTTTTTGAACAAATACGATTCCGACAGTCATGGTTGGTCATGGTTAATTATCAATCAAATTTGTCCAAGAGAAAGAATACCAATTGCAATCAATTATCTCAGAAAATGTGCATTTATCCATCTGGTAGATTAAGGCTGTTTTGATTTGTTTTTTCTTTATCTATTAATTGAAATGAGAACTTATTGTTTGGATTTCAGAGATTCCTGCTATGGCTGTGCCAAAACGAACTTATCAGCGAGGGGGGATAATAACTTGTAAGATTTCATTAATTTTTAAAACGACAATGAATTTAAAGTATTACTTTTAAGTTTGGCGCAATCTGATCCTGATCTTCTGCTGTTTATTTGGGGGTAAGGTTTAACAAGTTCATACAGCTAAAATTGTATTTGCTTATAATTTTCCTTTTTATAGTGTGGCGTTATCAGCGACTTTGGCGGGGCACGGATCTCAACAATATCAGCGATGATTTAATCGAAACAATTAATGAAGTAATTCAGGAAATACAAAATATAAATGAACAGTTGGCATTAGTGCAAAACAGTATTGAAAAAATTAATGCTGACCATCAACAGCTCAATGAAAGGTAAGTTATTTTGGTCTATTTTAATCACATTACTTTCATTATTATTTTCGATTATAGATTCTATACCGAGAAGCAGTTTTCGGAAAAACTTGTTGAAGAACAAATTAAATTTGCTTTGAATAAATACGATGCAGACAAAACCGGTTTAATAGGTAAGTTAATTTTGTGCTTAATTTATTTATTATATATGATATATACTTGCTTAATTTCTCAACTATAGATTACGCTCTGGAATCAGGTGGCGGACGTATCATAGCTTTGCCGGGCACCACCAACTATGTGAAAACCTGGACAGTGCCGTTATTGGGTGAACTGGGTTTCGGGGCTTACAATCCGCCTGAAATTATTTTACGCCCGGGAAATCAACCTGGCGAGTGTTTCGCTTTTGCAGGTAGCGAGGGTCGCTTCCGTATACGGTTATCAGCCTCCATCCAGATAACCGCAGTTACCTTGGAACATGTTCCATCCGACATAGTGTCCGACATTAGTAGTGCACCTCGTGATTTTATTATTTATGTAAGTGTATTGACATTGTAAATTTTTACAGAGTTAACAGAAAATTTATTGTTTAGGGACTCAACAACAAACATGCAAACACGGGCGTTTTCTTGGGCAATTTCCAGTATGACCTTCGCAGTTCAATTCAGACGTTTTACATTTCGACAGTCTCAAAGAAGTACAAAGATGAAGCATTCTATCAAATAATTGAATTACATGTTAAATCTAATCAAGGACACCCTGTTTATACGTGTTTATATCGCATACGTGTACATGGAACTGAATAAAATATTTTTTATTGACATATGATACTTTTCTTTAATTTTTTACATCCCGCATACTTTTCTCATTTTCTAAGATTACAGTGCGCTAGTGGGCGTGTGACGAAGCTTTTTTTTGTTAAATTGGAAAATGGAACATAGAAAATGTAAGTATTCAACGATTTTCTTTCTGGAAGCTTTCAGGAAGTCCTAAAACGTTTACTAATTGTCTAAATGTGTCATCTTATTCACACTTTGATTCTACAGTACTCGTAAATGTCTTAAAATGTCAATCAAAAGTGGATGTTTTCCTAATATATTCCAGTTTTTAACAAAAAAGTAAATTTTGTAGGGAACATACCACTGGTAATTGATTTTGGCAGGGTTACAGAGACGTATTCCATGGGTGAAGGCACCGTCTTGACGTGTTCTGCAACTTTGGTGGAGGTGCCGGACACGATATTTAGCAATTGTACTAGTTATTAAAAGCTGATAATACCAACGTGTAGAGAGGCTTTTAATTGCCTTGTATACACAACTTGGTACCTAATGGTTGTAATGATTTACCCTACAGATGCATTAAAGTAAAAAATGTACTTCCAGCACAACTTAATTACCAATTATCTCCGAAACTAATAAAGTTATGCAAAAACAGAAAACGGATTTACGTTCAATGTCCATTTCTCCATATCATAAGATTTTAAAATTTATATTTTTAAGATATTGAAAAACAATTTTCCGGTGCAATTTCCTCGGAAACTATAAAAGTTCGAGTAAAACTTTTTACACTTTTTTCATGTCACGATAGGGGTCTATTAAATGGCAGATTTAGTTTTTTGATATTATGAAGTTGATCAAAGACCACTAGAAAACAGTCAAGAGGTTACACTTGACTATTCTATGGTCTAAAAAATAAATTTAAAGCTAGAGAAAAATAAAAAACGCCAATCGATAGAGAATTGCAAGGGGATGAAAGATATCTAGTCAGTTTTTCCTTAACAGCAATACTTCCAAAATAAACTCTGAAAATCGAAACGGGTCTATTTGAACCACCTTCCCGATTTTCTCGAAACTTTCTGGTCAGACGTAGAATGATGCAAGGAATCCATTAGTGAAGGTTTGGTTTCGATGACGTAATTAGTTTTCAAGTTATTGATCATTTTCATTTATTACATAACTGTCGATAATTGAAAATATTAAAGTGTTATTTGATGTAAAATTTTATCGTCTATTCAAATGTGAAAACCGTTTGTCTTTAACTCCATTAATTTTCAAATTAAGTGCGAGAAACTGAATTATTCGTTGCATCCATCATTTCTAAGGCAAAAAATAAAAATTGGAAATTTAAATTTTTTTATTGCGGAATATTTAAGAAAACGTCATTTGGAACTCTTTATTTTAATAAAATTTTCTTCTAAGATGCACGGTTTTATTAATAATCGGCATAATAGAATTTGTTTTTGTGCAAAGTCAAGTTTTTCTTTAAAATTGCCAATAGGGCCTAAATGGCTAGTGCTACATAAAAATTGTACTTAAATAAATGAATTAGAATTAAGCAAGCTACCCGAATCCGAAATCAGAACATAAAAATTCCAATTTTTATTTTGTGATAAAAAATGAAAAAGTTTTGCCTTTTTTATGACGAAATCTTTTCACGGTTTCATGTTTTTATAACAAAAATTAAATTTTTGAATTTTGAAATTGTTTTTTCTGATTATAATAAAACAGAACAATAGAAATCATTTATTTTAGTAAACTTTTCTTCAACAACCATTATTTAAGGCCCTATTGACGCCGGTACTGATAAAATTGTATTCAATGGTTTTATGTGTATATCTTTTAAACTAAACGTTTAATTAAAATATTGTACTAAAATATTTCTTTGAGATAATTGTCCTCTTGTATAATGTGCAATAAAAACTTTATTTTTTTAATTTTTTTAAATAATGCATATAATTAATTAAAATATGGCGGAGGCGCCTGACATTATATTGCGTGATTTTATTAAAAAAAATTAATAATATTATTGTGTAGACAGGCTCTTAATACACATATGAATAAAACTTTTTGTCATTAGCACTAACAGTTGGCCCTATATAAGCATTTAAGTGGAACTTCCACCAATATTTAAGTACCGATTATCTCAGGAACTAATTAAGATCTACAAAAACGGAAAACGGCATTGTGTTCAGCAAACAATTCTACATGTGATAAAACTTTAAAATTTGTACTTTTGAGTTGGAAAAATTGATTTTCCGACGCGATTTTCTCTGAAAGTAATAAAGATGGAAACAAACTTCTTGCAGTTTCTTCATGCCACGATAAGGATCTATAAGATGGCAGATTTAGTTACTTGATTTTCCGAAGTTTCCAAAAACCTCTCAAAAGTAGTCAAGAGGTTACACTTGACTACTTTTTACTTCAAAAATTATTTTTTAAGCTAGGAAAAAATGAGAAACGTCAATCGGTAGAGAATTGAAATGCGATGAAAAGTATCCAGTCAGTTTTCCGATATCACCATTATTTCAAAAATAACTGGTGAAAATCGAAACCGGCTGAAATGAACCACCTTTCCGATTTCCATGAAACTTTGCAACTTGATGTAGAATAATGCGAGAAATTCATTAATCTTATTTTCATTGAGGTATTTTAATTGGTTTTCAAGATATTGACGATTTTCATTTATTACATAAGTGTAGATAAGAACAAATTTTAAAATGCTAAATAATATAAAATTATGCACTGAATAAGAATCTGAAAACGATTTTCTTTTAGAATAAATAGTTTGCAAGATAAGTACAATAAACTGGATTATTCATCTTGTCTATCATTTTTTATGCCAAAAATTAATTTAAAAAAATACATGTTTTATTGCAGATTCTAAAAGAAAACGTGATTCTGAATACTTTATCCTAGTAACATTTTGTTATCAGACTGATTTTTTGTACAATAATCAACCCTTATATTTGCATACATATTTCTTATCATACAATAAATATCATTTTACATTGCAAGTATGTGGCTGATATGGTTTTAAAAATATAGTGTTGATTTATATTTCCTATTTAGTTGATTTCAATTTTTGTCTTTCGACCGAAAATATTTAAAAAGAAAAGTTCGACCCTGTCTTTCGACCGAAAATATTTTTTAAAAAATGTTCGTCCCTGTCTTTTGACCGAAAATATTTTTTAAAAAAAGTTCGACCCTGTCTTTCGACCGAAAATACTTTTTAAAAAAAGTTCGACCCTGTCTTTCGACCAAAAATATATTTTTTTAAAAAGTTTGACCCTGTCCTTCAGCACAAAATAAACTTTTCAGTCAAAACTTTGGATCTGTTTCTCGACATAAATTGCCTATCTTTGACAAACATTTTAGACCACTTTTTAAAAATTTACAGGATATAAAAGATATGCTTTTTATTAAAGGATATTTATTCTACTATAAGACAGTCTAAAATCTTAAATTTCTATATTGGCATAGGAAATATAAGGCGTTTTCCACGTCAAGTTTTCGTGCCATTTTAGGACACTTGCTAAACATTTAAAGGATGTAAAACATGTGCATCTTATAAAAGTTTCAAATTACAATTTATTTGAAGGAAATGCAAAATTACTTTATTTGTACTTAAAATATAGGGTATTTTCCACACAAAGTATGAAGAGTTTGCAAATAATAGCTACTTTTAGGACTGATTTTAGAACATTATCTAGGATTTAGGAGATTCAAAAATTTATATGTATTTTATGAAGGATTTCATAGACTACAACATGACATTAAGAAACCCCAAAAAACTTTATTGGTACAGCAAATACAGAGTGAAATAAGCAAAAAAAGTTTTAAAAATTTGAACATTTGAGTAACTTATATTTGCTAATAGAGGGCATTACAAATACTAATCTTCAGCTGTTTGATTCATTCTGTTATGATTGAAGAATGTAAATGTCAACAAAGTAAAAAAAGTTGTGCATAAAACAATTAAAGTAAAGCTACAGTGCTTATAATGGAAAGAGATACAGCTGCTTTAGTTGATAACACTACATATTTACACCAAAATGAAGTTAGAAGCTATGAGTCTGTTGTAGGTTACAACCATTCAACCAATACTCCACCTACAACCTTGATTTAATGTTGTTCTACTTTTCTAGGAAGCATTGCCAGGCAATGATTCTGGACCCAGAAAGTTACCACAATATGCTGCAGCAATATCTGCTACATTAGCTGCCTTGGGTGCTGGTATCATCCTTGGATGGACATCTCCAATAAAATCTGAAATTGAAAATGGAGAATACAACAACATTACTGTCAACGATAATCAAATGGGTTGGATTGGCTCATTGACTAATGTAGGGGCTTTGTTGGCATGTATTCCCACAGGTTTTGTTTGTGATATAATTGGAAGAAAGACCACCTTATTGTTATTATTATTACCATTTACTCTGGGATGGGTATTGATTATATTTGCTATGAACTTGGCTATGTTGTACAGTGGCAGATTTATTATGGGTATTGCAATTGGGGCTTGCTGTGTAGCAGCACCAATGTACACTAGTGAGGTATCACACAAAGATATTAGAGGTAGTATTGGCAGCTATTTTCAATTGATGGTTACAGTAGGTGTACTGTATGCTTATTTCTTTGGAGCATTTATGACTCCTCTACATTACACTATAATTTGTGCATCAGAGCTTTTTTTGTTTGCACTCACATTTGCATTCCAACCAGAAAGTCCACTATATTATTTAAAGTCTAGTCAGTATGAGAAAGCAAGGATGTCATTGCAAAAATTGCGTGGTTCTCACTATAATGTAGATGAAGAACTAAATGAAATGGCACAAAGCTTGCAAGAAGGTGAAGCTTCTGTTACACTTCTACATGCATTCCAACGTCGAGCGTGCAAGAAATCTGTCTTGATTTCATTGAGTTTAATGTTTTTCCAACAGTTTTCTGGCATTAACGCGATCATTTTTTATACCAGTGACATATTCATAAATGCAGGAGTAAAATTAAATCCACGCTACTGCTCGATCATTGTAGGTGCATGTCAAGTGGTAACAACTTTTGCCTCATCCCTCATTGTTGATAAATTAGGGCGTAGATTGCTTTTAATTACTTCTGCTCTATTGATGAGCATTTCTATGATTCTACTGGCTACATTCTTTGTAATAAAAGATCACAAACTGGTACCAGATGATACTTTGAAAACATTCAGCTTTGCGCCGATTATATTTTTAGTTTTATACATCATTGCATTTTCGCTGGGTTTCGGCCCAATTCCATGGCTGCTAAATGGAGAAATATTTGCACCGGAAATTAAAGCAGTTGCCAGTTCAGTTGCCGGTTCATTCAATTGGTTCCTTGCGTTTATAATAACCAAATTTTACTTACAATTAGATAAATCCTTTGGCGATGATAATATGTTCTACACATTTGGCTTTGTGCTCCTTTTTGCTGCATCATTTGTATGGCTAATTGTACCTGAAACGAAAGGGAAGACAATGGCCGAGATACAAGACGAATTGCAACATTATTAATTCCAGTAACTAGCTTAGGCGTCATAGAAAAATTGTAGGATATTAATTTCATTAGTGTTGTAGTGGAGTTATGAGGCATTTTACTTATTTAATATTGTGATATTCAACATGATGTAAATTAATGTAATATTGTATGTTTATTTACAAGAAATTTGTGTACATTTTGAATCTCTTATAATAAAATATATTTTTAATGTTGTAAATATTTCACTTTTATTTTTATGGCCACATTTGAAATTCCTCAAAAGTCTTGTGATGATTTTCTAGGAATTCTAATTTTCACATGCAGTGTTCAACAAGAATGTATTTATATGTTTTAACTACGATATCTACAATGTTTAGATATAACAATACCATATTAACAATAGGTACATATATGTACCTTATAAAATCGAAGTTTTGCAGGCGCATTTCTCTATAATGCAAATATGGCGAACTATTTCATTGATTTAAAACATAGTTTTTTTTTGTATAAAATAATATTGAACAGTAAATTGAAAACATATATAAAGAATGTATTGTAAATGTGTTGGAGTACATTAGTTTACATTAATGTAGTGATAAGTGTATTGAAGTATAGTATATACTAAACATAAAGAATCAACATTCTAAACATAAATTTCAGATACGTCGTAATAATTCGACAAGCCAGTGTTTAATAAAAAAAAAGTCAAAGCTTCGTCATAACGAATTAATGCTTAGATTCCTAACTTGTCACTAGGGCCTCACAGATGTGATTTATATTTCCTTTACGCGCGTGACGTGACCCACCCGATGCTAAGTAAAGTTATACATTGAACGAATCTCGAAGTTTGTTTAAGTTTTTACTAATGGTCTTCACATAATGCATACGATGCAGTTCTGAGAATTTAATGTAATAAACTTATTAGGATACTTTAGATCTATATATCGATGCTTATTTGAATTTTAAGCACGCCTAGTAACGCTGAGTAACTTCTTTTTACTGAAAGTGGACAAGTAATAGTCATGTTTTCTTTCACATTCCATGTAATACTAAAAATATTACTTAAAACAACTAAATATAAGAGAAAGCCATAAACGATATTTGATAGTTGCCAATGGCAACTTATTATTAAATACACAGCTAACAGTAAACGGTCTAATACGCGTATTATCAGACAAAAACATTAAAAACTCTTCCAAACGGATATGAAATATCATTAAATTCATTATCGCAAAGCAGTTCCGCGATGCTGTGTGCCTATGGCGTCGATGACTATGAAATATTTCAGTACACGCGTGAGCGTGTATGCTACCAGGAGCGTAGTTATCCTGGCGTGCAACCAGCCGGCAGCTTTCGTTTTGCAACGGCGCCGTTGCGCGAGTGGCGAGCCTGCGCTTTTCGTCTGCGGCTCGCAGGAAAACGCTCACTCATACCGGGCGAAAGCGCCATTCGGCCGCCGCACGACGTTTTCGTGAAGACGCTAGCGACGCTGACTTGAAACCGAGGGCCTCCTCGCATTTCTCGTCCTAAATCAATCCCGAACTAAACGCTGAAAGCTCATCGTTGCAAGTGGTCGCGGTGTGCGCGCACCGAACACCCATGATACACGCAGTGCCTTTTTGTAAATGAATTGTGTTTGTTTTTAATGCGGTTTCTCCGTAGTTGTGTGAAGTTGTGGAACTGAAAGTCGGATTAATTTGCAGCACCGAGGTACGTGGTTGTTTTATTTCAGCAGGGTGCAACGCCGAGCTATTGATTGCGGCTGAAATTTTGGCCCTGAAAGGTTTTTTTGTTGGTTTATATGCTGCTGACCTTCGCATCCCAAATATTTTGTTGCGTGCTGTTTTCGTTTTGGAAATTGTCATGTGTCCTTCGCGTTATTGATAACAGTAATTTTTGCGAAGGTTTATCATTGTACAATTTAAAATATTCATTAGCAAGAAAAGAAATTAATCGGAACATAACAAAAACATTTTTTAAATCATCATCATCATACCATTTTCATTTATAGTATAATATTTAAATCAATGCTGTATCCCATGTTTATTTATTAAAATTGGTTTGCAATAATTAATTTTGAAAATGGCACTTCCGAGAATTTAGCGCGTTAGTGGTGTAGGTTATATCGGTCCGAATTTGAGCGGAAAGTAGGTCAGACCAACACTCCGACCTCCAGCTCTTTGTATGCTCAACGGGCGCATCACACCGATAAGTATACGCATCTTGCGTATCATTTCAACTGATTGATCATCGCATAAAAATTATACTTTAAACGAATTATTTTCCGGAAAGCAAGCGGAATCATCAATTAATAATAGATGTAAGACGAAATCTTTTATTTTTAGTTAAGCGCTATGAAACTTTGCAGTATTGCGCTTTTTAGTGTTAATATATTAAGCAATTAAAACAACAACTGCAGAAACAAAATCAATAAGATAAGAATCTAGAGATAACATTTATGGAATCATCTTTATTTGAACAACTGGTAATATTTATAGTTTATCAAAGTTCTGCCATCAGAAGCACTTTTATCACTTGATACAGGAAATAGGCCACGAGCAAATATTGGGATCTATTTTTGATGTTGAGTGGGATGGCGAAAAAGAAACATAAGTCTTAACGTTAGCATATTCAGTTTAAAAACATGCTTGTTAAAAATAGACTACCGCGAATATTCATAAGTATTTACCTATGATAATAAATATTATAATTAGCTTAAAACTATTCGAAAATTGAAATTATTTCCTAGTTGCACAAGTTTTGCGTTGTTTGCATGTTTTTAACATACCAAGTCTGAATTTTTTCATGTTATTGTAAATAAAATTCTTTTGGGAATTATGAAATACCGTATCATGAGTATATTTGTTATGTTTCTATGTGGAACTTTACGTCGCTAGATTATTTTGATATTTGGTATTTGTATTTTAAAGCAAGCACATTTTAATTTTTTAGAATTATTTATATAGACTAAAGATTAAAATTTAAGGCAATATATACACTTGCAGCGGGCGTGTATTGCAATGTAAGTACGAGTACCAAACGTCCAAAACAAGGCATTTGTACAGCGACTGGAAAATCAATACTACGCCGGGTTGCACAGGAAAATCAAGGACACGAGTAATATCCCTTTCGCTTTATACGCACTGAGACAGGCAGACTCCTACATTTTTATTCCAATATTTAATCATCCGGATGTGCATATTTATACAAGAGCCTATCTAATCAGGTCATGAAGCAGTTTATGCTGCGGTTAGCGAAAAGTTTAAGGAAGCTCATGATAACGCGTATTCTGTACCGCACGTTATCTTTGTGCAATATAAACTCGTGAAGAGGTGAATCATTATTTATTGTAGGAGACTAAAGAATTAAAATTAATATTATTCTTGAAGACCTAAAGTAAATACCGTTTTCAGTCTGATTAAATGCAATAGTACGCATAATTTTTATTCTAAGAGCATAAAACTCACAAAAATCAAATTTCTTGACCCAATTTTTGCAACTCAGAAAAATATTTTCTTTGCCTAAATTTTTCACCACAACTTTAATAACACGACATTTTAAAACCACAGTCTAAAAAAAGTTTAAGTAACATTACTATAGATTATGTCGACATCCGAAATGTAAACACACTTCTGTTCACGAATGCATTCCATTGGCAGACGTGTGTTAGCTGCAGTTATTTGTAGAAAGATTTGGCACGCATATATTCTCAATCGCTCGCGTATTTTAACGCTGCCGTTGCAACCATAAAAGCTGAGCTTGTTATGAGCTTAAAATTTCCACTCTGGAGTAAAATTTTGCAAGAAAAACCAAATCAAAGTGATATACAACAGTTTGACCGCATCAATCATTTTAATTAATTACATTAAATGTAATTTACGTCTTATCCAATTGCATTCGGCGGATATGCGCTCGAGCATACGGGCACTTAAAACTATTAGCATTGAAATATTAGAATGAATGAATTAATTATTGGCTGTTTAAAAATGTGGTTCATGGTTGCGACGAATTGCGTGCTCAAGTTCAAGCTGTTCAATGCTTGACTGGCTAAAATTTTATAATATTTAATTTGTTTTTTCTTTCTTCGATATAATTTACATGTCATACACTTCATACGCGTACGTTTTACATGTGTAATTTTTTCGAATATTATTCCATCACGAGAAAAAATTAGTTTTACATGCATTCCTCAACGTATCAATTTGTTTCATCACAATATATAAGGTTATCTTATCAAAAATAAGCAAAGACGTGAAAGATCAAGTTTCATAACAGAAAAAAAATCAAAGAGATTTGTTTACTTTTTAGTTATGTGTTTTTGTTTAGTTAAATTATATTGAATGTATTTCCCTCTCATTGATTTTAATTTTCTTTATAGTTTGTTTATATTGCTGAGAACTGCAATTAGCGCAAGTGCGGCAAGGTGTGTTACGAAATTGAAATTTGCAATCACGATGTATAATACATTATACAGTTTACATTAACCTTGTGTGTCAGGAAGTTCGATAGCATAACATTTCTTCTTTTTAATTATTGAATAATTGTAAATTTTATGGATTACATGTTTATTAATTATGCCTATCTTGATTTGTCCGATTACTTTGTTAATAACCTACGTTTCACAATATCACAATTAAAATGATTGTATTCAAGTGCAAAATATTCAATGTTACTTGAGTTGAATTAAACAAATGGAAATCCATTCGAACTGTTACTCATATGTAACTAATATTTATATTATCAATATTATAGGTTCAAAACAGTCACAGTTTCAAGTTTAATTAAATTATTTGATGTTTTAAAACAAAAATATCAAGGATTCCAGGAAGCAAGATGCGATGCTTATTTCTTTATTTGTTATATGTTGTTGCACCCTCGAAGGACAATTTTATTGTTTTACTTTAAGAATATCCGTTGTGTTATTTTTTTTTTATAATAATGACTCATATAGTTTTGACCCAGACAAACAATTTTAATTAGCGTTAAATTATTGAAGTCTAGTTTAACAAATAAATAACAAATTGACAATGTTCTAATGATAAATTATACTTGTATATCGTATTTTGAACTAAGACCTTAAATTAACTAATTTAATCTATGAATGTAAATAACACTACTAATTTTGTAGTGGAAAACAAAAAAAAACTGCAAATATTAATGCTATCATTTATAAAATTATTAGTTTTACTTCCCTTCGTTTACAATCAGCATATCTTTTTACACGTTGGTCCGCTCAAACATTTTATGCAATTATCAGTCAATTTTATGTGTATTTAAACTAATTTAGAGTATTTTAACTATGATGAAAATTATGCACATGAAAATCTAATAACTGACAAATTATACAAAAAAATGTACAAATTGCATATGTCATAAGTCAATGTGAAGTTAAATTTTATAGTGATATTTAAAATTCATTGTTTTAAAATTTTCATTTTACACATCTTTACTGAAACTGATTTGTTATACTTGATGGCTGCTTTCAGACCAAGCACAATGGTTATCGTCAGCAATAATCCTGAAGTCGAGCCAATGTTGGAGGCTCGTCATCCGACAATTAAGAGAAACCCACTGACAGAAGAAGCGTATCGAAATATAACTGGGTAATTATTCACTTGTTTTTGTATTGACAAACATTTAAACTACTGTTTTTGTTATTTAAATCAGCGCAACTATTATAACTGCGTCAAATATATATCAAATTTCTTTTAAAAAAATATATCAATTTACGTTTTATTATCAAGAACATCATATCGTTAACAGATGTATAGCTAAATTTAGAAGTTACTTCTGCGAGAAGAATTTTTATCGCCAATGTTTTTAGGATATTTAATTAAATAAACAAAACTGAACCCAAACATAATAAATAGGATAGCGTGACACGTCGATATTTTCGTCACTAAACTATAAATAAATAAACAATAATAAAGTCAGTTGAGAGCTTGGTTTGTTTAGTTAAATACAAATCTGCAGCAAAAACAACGACCTAAATATGAAAAACAACGACTGCTAATTATACTTCTTTGTTTTAGCACATACACTTATCCATACACTAACACAACATGGCCAACCATGTAAGTTGTGTGCTAACCGCAATCCGACTGCACATAATATCCGACTTACCGACACATAAGTGAATCTAATCTATTTCATATTTAAACATACAATAACTTAACTACAAGCAAACGAAGCTCATGCGCTGTGTGCTTCTATCTGCATGCGTTCCTCACATAACACCACACAAACATATACATTACGTACGCGATAGGTCCCGGTGGTAATGGTGGTGGTTGGAGCGATATCAAACCTTGGTCGAATTTACAATCGATTTGCTACCGCGAAGAGAAGAAAAAACAACATTGAATTGTTACACTTGTTCGCGAAGCGCGCTCCGCACACGTTCATTACGCTTGCAACGATCAAGACGGTTACAAAATATTTCAAATGAGTCATTACGCGCTCGATTAGTAATATAGTTTCCGAATTGCATTGGTATATCAGTATTGATGCGAAACTTACTTCGTTTGCGCGGATTGCGATCGAGTGATACCAGTGCAAAGTGCAATGTGGGACTGAGTGGATCGGCAGAGATTATATTTTTGGTGTTCTTTACTTGACCCTGCTGATAATTTGGAATTTTTATTAGTTTATATGATATTTGATATCAACAAACCACGATGGTTATTACTACGGGTAAACACAAAATCAGGTAATCGTACTTATGGGCAGTTTTACGCTCGGTTCGAGAATTTATTTCAGTGAATCATGTTATAAGTAAGATCAGTTAATGTTTAGTCTGGAAATGTTTTCGAGTGGTTTTTCTGCGGGGAACGTTGAAATATTCAGCCATTAATTTTATTTTTAGATTAAAGACAGTGCAAAACTTGAATAAATACAAAGAATTTAAGATGGAAAATTTTCCATGAAACATATAATAAAATGAAACAAAAATCACAAAATGCCTAAACTTTAAAAAATCGATTTAATCACGTTTAATCAATTAAATTAATTGATCAATGTTGTCGCTCCTGAATGTTAATCAGAATGAATTAAATTTCAGTTCGATGCGGGCCGAACCCCTCCAAATCGACTCGCCAAAAACAGCACTCGAACTCCTCTTCACCGCGACCCAATTACAGAACATGCCCCTAGTGAACGAATGCATAAAGAACCTCGACGAGCACCTGGACAAAGACACCGTCCTAATGATTCTCTCACATCTGTCCAAATGCAAACTACCGAGCAACAATAAAAACGAATTCGAGCCGTCGGCGCCGCCGATCATAGAGAACGAAAACCAGCGCGGCACCGACTGGGTGTCCGACCTAGTGAACAATCTACGCCACAATTGCCTGCTGGTGATCGACAAGGACGCCGACTACATCCTCAAAAAGAAAGAAATCGTCGATTTAAGCTACGCCGACCTAATGAGTATCCTAGAACGCGACACGCTAGAAGTATCCGACGAGATGTTCGTCTACATCGCCGTGTACAACTGGGGCATCGCCGAGTGCAATCGCATGAAACTAAACACACAGCATCATCAAGGAGTGCTGCGTCAACTCAGATTCACACCACGTTACGGTCTCATGTGTCGCAGAGAATTCACATCGCGTAATGTGGGTTTAATCAAAGGTCCTACGAAGAGCGGAATATTGGATGAAAATGAATGGCGACAGATACGATTTTACATTGAGCAACGCGCGAGAAACAGGTGCGTCAACGAGCTGGATTACAAAATGTCACGACGTCGAATCATCGGCGTCGAAAAGCCAAAGATATTAAGCTGCAAAAGTCTTCAGCGGTTCGAGCAAGCAGTCAGTCGGCGGGACAGCGAGGCAGGAAAACAAAAGAGTGATCGATGCATTATCAATCTGCTGGCGTGCTGGACGGCATTTTTCGACTAAGACTGTTTAAAAACCTTTTTTCCCAAATCTAAAGCATGTATGTGATCTATTTATTATTGTTATGCACATGATTGCAAGAGATAATCGATGTCGATTCGATCGTCATTCATTTGCTGATAATTCAAGATTTACACTGGTCCATCAGAAAAAAAAAACACACAATTTTACACTAGGAAGGACCAAAGATGGCGAAATACTTTACGTTTTATGCATATCGCTCATAAAGAGGTACTAAAGTGTGTTCCCTTTTTAAAAATGAATTCAGAATTCAATCGATGATTTTAAACGTATTTTAATATACATTTTGGATGGTATAGGCCAGTGTAATACGCCACAACTTAAATTCTACTGTTACCATCTGATTGGACAAATATTATATATTTTTATAGTTTTGTTCCCTCAGTTAATATTAATTGTTATTCACTGGAAGCGTTTTTACTTGCAAATTTTAAAACTAGATAAGAACTGGATGTGTTTAACACATAAATGTTTAACAGTTTAACCAACATCAAATGTTTCTATACTCTTTTAAAGCGATAAGTGACAAAATGACTAAATAGAAAACGATCCGGATTTTAGATTTTATCGTTGCGCGATTTTAACTTAAAATAAGTTTACTGTGTTCTGCGTATTTAATGTTTCACAAATTCATTAATTGTTGATCTCTTTCATTCGAAACTTGTTTAATCTGAGTATAACTCTAATATTTGATTTATTGAAGTTACTAAATCTGTGTTTAATTGTTATTTGTTCAATTTGCTTCAAGTATTCTACTATATTACGCGTTTTATAACATTTTACCATGTTACTTATGTTTTCTACGAACATTAAATCTAGGTTATGTCTGTGATTTCTTCTTGAATCAAGAAAAATGTATTCTTTCTTTGTGCAACGATGTATTTTAATGAAAAATTGATGCATTCGCTCGAAGGGTTATTAAATTGAATGAAATGATGGATGAAATCCTCGAAATTTGTAACCAAATTGATATTTTCGAAATTAAGCATAACATCAAAAGCAATACATGATTAATAGGCTGGGTCTATATAATCTATGTTTTGTAGCAAAGAAGTATTTATATTCATACATAAACATGTATTTAAATATAAATCTGAGAACCAAACTATATTATTGTTGAAATTGCAAAGAAAGTATAGAATCGGAATAGGATGGAATATATTAAAAGCAGAAGAAAAAAAAATTATATTATAATGTGTAAATATTAAAATGATATAGGCAATGAAAGAAATATATTTAAATTATATTCGACATTGGACACGGAGAGATAGAATCATCACTGAGCAGGCTTGAAAATGATCAAATGTGTAACAACATCAGTCGAGCGTAATGTTAGCGACAGGAAAGGCTTGTTTGTTGAGGTAGGTTCGGAAAGCATCATGCAAATGTGCAGCTTTCTGAGCTTACCTTTAGAATGATTTATTGTTTGTATTTATAGAGATCGTAGGAGATTTTTGTCATTCATTTCATGCATGCATATTCAGCAGAAGGATATAAAATGATGTATTTAATGCATAAATGTATACATTACAATGTTATTTGTCCGTATCAAATATGCCACACAAATTACCAATATTACAACTATTAAAGTTAATTATTTCGTAATGGATACAAATTACTCTGACAAAAATCACTGATATGTATTTTCAATATACACTAAATAACATAATACATATATGTCTTTCAAACTACATACATATGTATAAATAAAACAATGTCTTTCGTAATTTGGTCTTTTTTGTACTTCCAATTTGACTCTATGTATGATAAAATCGCAAATTTTAGAATTTTGAAGCATAATTTACAGAATTTGAACATTTAAAGGTTATGTAAAACAACTTCATTGCTACTATTGAGGTTATAATCACGCGTTATACAAAAAATGCTTCAATACCAAGTTGCATATAATATGCAATATAATATTTGTACCGAAATCATATAAACTTAGAAAAAACAATACCTGTTTTAATTTATAGCTGCGATCATCAGGTAGATAAGCACGTTTCACTAAAGTTAGGTTACTGCACAAGACGCTGTATAATTCAAAAGCAGACGAGCATCTTATATTTTGTACCGCGCAAGTATGTAAATAATAATAATAATAATTGAATAAAAAATTGTGCGCATTTGGTTGCATAGTTAAATGGAATGAATCAATAGGATTTCCGAGGATTTCCTGCGTACATCATCCTACAATGAACACGTTCAACCAAGTGAGGGGAGCGAGGTGGTGACCTGCTGAAGTTTGACGTGCAGTCAGAAATTGCTTGAATTGCTCTAGATAAACATTAATAATCATCGACATGGAGCAGATTTTAGGGAAACTCTTGGTAGCGGACAGCAAAGTTGTGCAAGAGGTGTGTTTTCCTGTAGAAATAATTAATTAAATTATCATTTTAATTAAACTTTGTTAACCTAAAAGCGGCACGTGTTGAATTTCCCATGTTTTACCCGCTTTTACAATAGTATTTTCTAATGTTATGTGTGATTTTATTTAGGGCACGAAAGAATTAAAGGAAGCGTTTAAAAGTGTGGAGGCAGTTCCTGCCTTGTGTGTTATTCTGGTGTCATCTGCTAGTCCACAAATAAGACAGACAGCTGCAGTAGTCTTGCGAAGAAGACTGGGAAAAAAGAATTATTGGTCAAGGATTAATACACAAACGCGAACACAGTATGTTATAAAATAATTATTGGAAAGCATGATAATGATTATAATTTATAGGATTAAACAAGGAATGCTTGAAGCTCTTGTTAAAGAACAAGAAAAATTGGTAAAGAATTCAATTGCACAATTAATTGGTTTACTAGGAAAGCATGAGTTCCCACAAAACACATGGCCAGAGATTTTACAATTCATTCATCAAATGTGCACCAGTAGCAATATACTGGACAAGGAGGTAAATTTGCTATGATACATTTCTGACTCATTGGTACTCACTCAGTATTTTTAATAGCTTGGGATGTACACTTTGTCCATTATGACTGAAATATCCAAGAGCTCATACTTGGAACATGCTCAAGTCCTGGGTGACTTGTTCACTAGCCTTCTAAACAATTTGCCAGATTTGAGCTCAAACTTGGCTTATTACACAGTCATCACTATGAAAAACATTGTATCTGTGATTGGAGGTCACCAACAGGTAAGACAACAATTAGTCATGATATTGGAGAATGTTGTAAACAATTAAGATTTTCAGATGATTAACGTTTATCACGCATTGCTGCCACGAGTATTAGAGATAATTGGTCAATTCGCTCCCAATGACTCAAAAAAAGCCAATGACATGCTGGAGATGTTTGATGATTTGGTTGAATATGCTGTAGGTGCGGCGGTTCCTCATATTCGCGTGATTGTTGAATCTTGTCTTACATTAGCTTGCACTGATACATTGGATACTAGTGTCCAAATCAAGGCACTCGGTATCGTAGGATGGCTTATTCGCTCTAAAAGCAAGTTGATTCAAAAGAATAAGCTGATAGAACCAATTGTTGATGTTATCATGAAATTGATGGCTCAGCGACCAGTCGATGAAATCAACGAAGAATATTTCCAAGGCGATCCGGATCAGTTTACATCCACTACTATTGCTGCACAAACACTCGATGTTATCGCTATAAATGTCCCACCAGAGAAAGTGGTTCCGTTGATTCTCTCACGCATTGAGCCTGCTTTACTTACGAATGATATTTACGCACAGAAAGCAGCATATTTATCTTTGGCTGTTTTGGCTGAAGGATGCGCGGATCATATCAGGGCGAATTATTTGGAAGCTTTCCTGAAATGTATCTACGATGGTATTCGAAATCCTAATGTTGTTGTGAGAAACGCGGCCTTTTTTGCTCTTGGTCAATTCTCTGAGCATCTGCAGCCGGAAATCAGTCAGTATGCAGCTACTCTACTACCAGTCTTCTTTGATTATCTCTCACAAATTTATGTTGAGATGGAGAAAACGAAAACGGAACCGCCAGGTCTCGATCGCATGTTCTACGCGTTGCAAACATTTTCCATGCACTTGGACGACGGTTTATTGCCCTATTTACCGACATTAATGGAAAGACTATTCGTGGGTTTGGATCCAGCCGGTTGGTCCTTGCAATTGAAGCGTGTTGCTTTAAGTACGTTGGATTCTGTCGCTTGTGCGGTGAAAAACGAATTGGTTCCGTATTTTCCAAAAATATTCGAAATACTCAATGTGTACATCAACTCCGACCCGAATGCAGAGCTTTTTGAGCTTCAGTCGTATGCGCTCGAATGCCTGTCTAGTATTATCGATAATATCGATGGAGATAATTTCAAGCCTTTGGCACAGGAGACATTACAAATGGCTATGAAGATTTTAGGCGAGACCGATGATCCTGACGTCCGCAAAAGTTTATTCGCATTGTTCGCTGCGTTATCGAATATAATGAAGTTGGATGTAATGCCGGTGATGCCGAAAGTGATTGATCGAATGGTGGAGTCCATTAAAAGTAGCGAAGGCATAAATGTAAGTCCACAAATAAATGAAAATGTACAGAATTTCATGTGTATTGATTTCAGGTTCAATATGAGGATGACGATAAAGATGATGCAAATCCTTATGAATCCGAGTCTGATGAAGCGGATGAAGAAGACTTGGAATCCGAAGCTGAAAGCGACGATTCCCAGTGTCGTTTTACAGTTGAAAATTCCTACAATGATGAGAAAGAACAAGCGTGTTTGTCGCTGACGGAAATGTGCAAACATTTAGGACCAGCGTTTATTCCTTTCTTACAGCCTACGTTCCAGGAGGTTTTCAAACTCCTTGACTATCCACATGAAGATATCCGCGAGGCAGCTGTGTTAACACTTGAGCAATTCTGCATCACTTTAAACAAGCTACCAACTCCAGAAAATAAAACCGCATTGCAAGGAGCATTGCGAACGTTGATACCAAAATGCGTTGAAATGATTCACGCCGAAGAAGAACAAAATATCGTCACCACTTCTATCACTATACTAGGAAATCTACTCGACGAACTTGGCAGTGAGATGTTCGTAGGAAACGGTCACAAGGAGGCTATTATCAATTGCATTGTTGATATTTTAACACACAAAACAGTCTGTCAGGATCAAGATGCTGGAGACGATACTGGGCTGGATGAGGAAGGCGAGTCTGAACAAACGGAACTCTTGTTGGAAAGCACAGGAGAAGTAATTCCTAAATTTGGAAAGGCGTTGCCGAATGCTGAATTTGCTCTGTATTTCCCCAACATCATGCAATTGATGAGCATACGTGCTGTAAGTAATCGCGGTGCAGGTGTTTTATCGATTTTACAAGGTAATTGTTACAGAAAAACAAAAACAGTGTCAGTCAGCGATCGTTTGCATACGGAACATTGGCCGAGTGTATGCAGCCGTTAGGCCAATACATTGAGAAATATGTTTCGCCTTTGTTACAATTATGGCATGCTGGTACCAAAGATCGTAACGATGAAGTACGAAACAATGCGGTCTATGGTTTAGGAGAAATGATTTTACATGGGAAAACGTCTATGTTTCCGTATCCTTTTTTAACAACGTAAAAAATGAACCCTATAGGTCATGTTTCTTATCATAATGTTCCTTAATTTAAATAATAGTCTCTATTCAGACATTCTCCAAGAGTTATCCGCCATGATGGGCAAAGAATCGAACGCGGGTGTTCTCGACAACATTAGTGGTGCAGTCGCCAAGTTAATTATTAATAATTCATCAATTATTCCACTTGAAGAGGTAATATTAGGTAAAATCCAAGTAAAATTAAAAGATATTAATTTTCTTATGTCAAATTTAGGTTTTCCCTGCACTTCTTCAGCGCTTACCGCTAAAACAAGATTTTGCTGAGAACGATGCTATCGTCAAATGTTTCATTGTCTTATATCAACAAGGAAACGAAGTGATTCGCACCTACTTGAACCAAGTGATTGAGATTGTAATACATATTCATTACAAGAAACAAATAAGTGAAGACCGTAAGTTTTCGATTGTTCTTTTAAAAAACTTCTTTATATCTATTTATGTAATTATTCAGAAGTGGCGAACACAGTATCAGAATTCATACGTAAGGTGAATCAAGATTTCCCTCAAGAGTTTCTGAGTGTTGCCTCTAAGATGGGTCCAGAAGCAACTCAGAGTATGCAGACATTGTTATCACCGTGATTCGTTTCATCATTTTGTTATATTAAAGTTATATTGAAATGAAAATTACAAATGCGATTAATTCTCATAGACATGGTCATTTTGTATGCCTAATATGTTATCGAATGTTAATATTAAATAATTATGTAACTATCTAGGTCGATGTATACGAAATGCTTTGTTGAAGTGAATAAAATGTTTAACATCGATTTTTAAATTTTTTAATGTCTAGAAAAGCTATGAATGAATTCTTGTCTGCATTAAAATAATCTTAAAAATAAAATAAAGAACTATGATTGAAACATGAAAACTGGCAGTGCTACAACTTATCCGTGCTTACAAATAATTGAAAAATGTTGAAAACAATTGATACGAAATAATTACCTACAAAAACTCCATCTCTCTTTCAATTCCAACAAATTTCAATTGTTCAGTAGGCCCATATCTATAATCGAAGAACAGTTCCTCACCTGGTTGTATGGCCCTCTTGGCAAAAATGCCAATGCGGTGGTCACCGTTCACCATCATAACCTTCGCGTAGCAATTCGGATTGATCGAATGATTTGCAAAACGAATCTTGTTGCCTTTGCGTGTGGCGTCAACAACAAAATCTGTAATGTAATTTCGTTGTTAGAAACCACCAAAAAGTAAAGAAACAATATTAACATACCATTGTTAAGATTGAAAAGAAAACTGCACATATATTTATCGTACACTTTTCCCCTTCGGTCCGCCTCTTCTTGGGAAATAATTTCGCCGCAATACTCGGAGATGAATTCGTTTTTCTGTGCACTATCCTTTAAAAAGATGCCCCAGCCAGCAACGTCTGATGGTGCCATTAACAAATGCTTATCTAATAATTATAAACAAAAAATTTGCTATTATTACATTCAGCAGATAATAAAATCTGAATACGTACGTTGACCACGTTGTACGCTCACATTTTTGCATGTGATCTTAGTTAAGTCAAATTGATCAGCACCACATGTTTGACATAGATCAGGATCGCACTCCCTAACAGCCAAATAACACGGACATTGTTTTGTGTTGCATTGTGCTTTACATCGACATCCCGGAAAGCGATTTTGGCCTATAAAGATATTATAATTTAAGATAAGAAATGAAGGAACGGAAGATTGTGTAAACGTACAGTCCGAACTACATTGGCAAAACTTCTCGCAGAAGTTTTGCGCTCCTATACAAGGACACATGGCGTCGCAACTTTGCCCGGGGTGATCACATGGCGTGAAGTTATTCACATGATTGCTACTGGAGTCTTTTTCAGTTGAATCTTGCGACAATGCACCGACCAAAGCCTGTGCTTCTTCTTCTTCTTCCTAGGTGGTGTATAATCTTTGAATGAGTCCTCCGTTGGCAAATCCGCGGCTTCTTTTTGGGCGAATTGATAAACCTTTAAAAGATCACTTAAAATTCCGCATAACATTACAAAGTATGAATAAATTACCTGTTGACAGGTCTTTGTGAGAATGATTTGTGCAATTGCACAGTAATTATTGAGAAAAACTTTGACAAGAGCTCGAAAAAGACTCTGATCGGAGCCAGTCCATTCGCAATGGTCGTCTTTACCCATCAGTCCAAGTAAACTGAAGGCCGTCGTCGTGGATACATCATTTGCAGTTTCGTCTACAATACATGTAAATGTTGTAAATTGATACATAAACATTCAACAACTGCGGTATTTTACAGGCGTACCTTTGTTATACTTATTGGAATCATTCGAGTCTTCAGAACTTGCTTCATTACCAGAATCGACGGATTCTTGCTTATAAACTTTTTGAGGCAAATTAGGAATGTATTTTGATTCGGAATTATCCTTAGATTTGTCTTTACCTTTGTCCTGTTCATCCTGTTCATCTTGCTTTGCCTTTTCGGCGAGCTTTTCCTTCACACCCTCCTAAAATGACATAAATTATAACCATCGAAGAAATAATTCCGGAAAAAACCGCAAGTGAATAAATATAGTATAAAGTTTACCAAATGCATGTAACAATCAGATCCACATGCTTCCGTAAACGGTTTCAAGTCTGGACCTCTGCGCTTTTGTAAGTTTGGACCAGGATGACATGCTTGAAGACCTTGAGAAGAGATTATTTATGTATTAGAATCAATTTTAAATAATTTTTTTCTAATAGCCAGCATATTGTAACCAAGAAATGCATTTTTCTTTAATATTAATACATTTCCTGTGTTATATTAATACTGGTTTACTATTATAACATACATATGATAATTCTATTCACAAGATGCAAACGAACTTAATATTATGGGTATTATGATTATGATGAAAATGATTTTAGTGTTTCTTGGACATTCTTCCATGTAATTATTCTAACAGCTGTACAAAATGCTTCAAACACTTAAATTAGTTGAATAATGTGGTATGAGATCATTGCACATTAACTTCAGCACAATATTTATGATACCCATATAATGTGCAATGATTTAAAATGCATATGTAATCTATTGATCTCATGTAAGCATTAAACTAGTTATGTTATGCTGAATTATGGATGAAGCTATGAGATGCACATGGAATCATTTTACCTGGTGGTCCTAAAGGGCAGCAAAACAAAGTAAACAACCTGTGCATCAATACAACAGGATGCATATTTTGACGCTCATTGACTTCCGCTTACAGTTATCTCGGTCACACTTCAAATTCAAACGGGCACTAGTGGCTAGAACACAACCATACTTACGATGTAGGAAGCAGTCGTATTTGAAGCAGCGGCGACAAAACAACGTGTGAAACGAATGTAATGTTTGTTCACGATGCACTGATTCAGCAATCGGTCCATCTATGTTTGGCGTGCACTCCGGAGGCAACGCATTGGGATCCATTCGCTCTGTCAATTCAATATATCTGCAAAGTCATATAATTGAATATGAATGGAACATTTTTGATAATAGAATACCGTACTTTTCACGAAGTTCGTCTGCTTGACCCTTGTCTGGGAACTGAGATGCAATTGCTTGGAATATGACAAAAGCTGGAAATTCTCCAGTTTTTGTTGAAGCAGTTGCCACAGGTGTTTCCTCAATTTTCTTCTCTTTATCAATGCCAACATCTTTTTTCTTTTCCTCATCTTTCTTATCAGTATCTTTTGTATCTTTATCTTGATGAGTCATTAATGCATGCACAAGTTCAACAAATAGTTGATCATCAATGAAACCTGATTCTCTGTCACCATGCACTTTGCCATCATAATTCTTTATCAGTTCTTCAATGAAAGTGCCATCTTGGTCTAATATTTCATCCCCCATGTATGGAATATTGTGTAAAACAGTCTCATCTTCAACCATGAAGTTCTGTTGAATTGGTGCCCATGTATACATGGTGGGAATTGGAGTAACAGCATTTATAATTTTAATTGGAATGACTTGGATATCACCTATCATAATAATAATAAATCATGAAATAAGATAGGCAACACCTTAATATGAATAAAGTTACCTTCATTCCCAATTACTTCAGCTTTTTTCATGCATGGAACATGTGGTGGAGGATCTGGTGTCATAACCCAAGTGGCTTTACATTCAGTCCACTTCTTTTGCTCTGCAATAATCACCTCTGCCATTTTATTCCTGTTTTGATTCCAATTTATTTTCACTTCATCTGCTCTCTTATAGCGTTTTGCTTGGCGTAGTTTGAGATATTCGGTCTTCACTCGCTTCTTCCAGTCAAGAGATGCCTTTGTTTTGGACGACATTGTGGATTGTTGGTTAGACGAATTCGTAATTTAATTGTAAATTGTTCACATTGTTTTGATCGCCTGAACACTATTATTTTTAAATTGTTTGTGTTATCAAATACTCAAAGAGTATTCAGTAAACACGGAACAATGAAGCGGTAACCTACGCCAACAACTGCACAAACAAACAAAATGAAGCAGAACGAAAACAGAGCTTCGCGCAGAGAACATGCTCTTTCGCGGTCTTTCTTCAGCCCCTCTACGAATGTTACAATGTATTGTTGGTTGCATATTGCGGAATACATTTTCATACATTTTGTAAAGTCAATAAGCGCACGAATAAATAATTCATACAAGTTAGATTTCTATACTTGACAGTGAACTTGAATTAACGTAAGTTTAATCATTTATAAAACAAATTACTGCTCAAGCTACTTGTGTAGGAATATACACAAAATTGCTTGTAACGCATGCGCATCTGGATTTTACTCTTAAGTAGGGTTCTTGTAATTCAATCAAAATTTTAAAACATAGCAACCAGATAAAACTTGCAATTGTCGTTAAATTTAAAAAATTGTGGAAATATACTTACATTTTCAGTTTTTCTCTGCTATTTGCTCATTTTTATGAATTAATTTTCGTTGTATAGTTTTAATATGTATGTATTTCTTACTAAGTAGGTATTCCATTAATTCCTTCATGCGAATATTACAGATATAAAGTAAAAATAACCAGAAACGGGAGATCAAAGAACCCAAATTGATATTTTTAAAATTTCATATAAATTGCCATTTAACTGTCAACTTATCTATCACACATCCATAATTAAAGAAATATTCATCACTTAACTTGAAATAGTAATATTTACAATATGTATGTATAAGTTTTCAATAAAGCATTAGTTTCGCTACATATTGCGGCCAAAAATTCGCAATTTTATCAAACCATCGAAAAATGTAATATCTGATCCAATAATATTTTTAATACTATTTATATCAGCGATGCTGTAACAGATGTTCCAAAATTTTATAGAAAGCTTTGCATATACTCGCCTGAACAAACACAATATCAACTGGAATTTATATTAATTAAATTTTATATTGATATATGTGCAAGTAAAGTAAATCATCGATTCGGAATAAATTTATTTCAATTATTTATTTAGGTTTCAGATGGCAGTGGGTTGTAGTTGCGTTGATAAAAAGATTCCATAGTATCATTAAAATCGTTCATGTTGATTTTTCACGCAGACGATACGTGTAGTCTCCGTGTGTAATCAAATTGTCACATTCTGGAGTCGCCAACACATCGTGTCCTCCTCACGCTCCTCACGATTTCCACCAGTTGCATTCTGACTGGCGGCGCTCGAGGGCGGCATCGGGCTCGGATATCGCGCGTCCGTCGTTTCGAATGTCTCCGCGTGCTTTGCATTCCTGTGTATATTCATCACATCGGTTCAAAAATCCGGAAGGATAACTCAAAATGGTTGAAGGTAAGAATATTTTAAACAAAATTCCCAGTTATTTCCCAGGTTTTAGTCGAATTTTAATTTGGTTATGCCAAAGAATGATAAAAATGTGAATGTTTATAATGTATTTTTAGTCTCGTCAGGTTTATGTTAATGTATCTTGACTTATTTGTTATGTTAATGTTAATAATAATGATTGGTCGCGAATTGTCATCGTACGTTCGTTTATTCTAGCAGTACTTTCTTACTTCAATTGAAACAATCACTTCATTGTTTTAAGTCACGTGGACAATATTAACAGGAGTAATATTTGCTTTTATCTTCAGTTACAAAATAAACATTAAAAAACTGTTGATGAAGAGTGAAGGATTGTGTATGATAAGTTGCATACTTATAATTGCATAGGGTTGTTTCATTAACCTTAAAATGAAAGAAATACCACTAAATACTTTAAGATGACGTTTAATATTTTATTCTAATAATAATAATTAATAATAAGTTAATTCACAATCATTTACTGCAATAATTTGGTTAGTTTAAGATGAATATGTAGAAAGATCTGTAATTTTCAGTAAATGATGCTTTTGTTTAACTGTTTCACAAGTTTAGGTCAATATTAATGTGTTTCGGCGTCTTATGCGATGTGATGTTTTGAATTAATTTACAACTGTAATACGTTGCGATGTGCAATGTGTTTCGGATAGGTTCGGCATGGGCTGGAAATAGCCGAGGCTCATAAAGTGACCCATAAATTCGTTTATCGAATTAATTACGCGCGATTAGAAACAGGTGACTAGATTTTCGAGCGCCTAATGGCTGCGCAGGAGCGTCTTCTGCGTAGCCGTCGGTAGTGAACAGGACGTCCGGAAACAAGCCGGCGATCGTTACGGACGTCACATGTTTGATTATAATATGTTTACACCTTGGCCTTAAAATAGCTGCGAAATAAATGTCAACTAAGACTCCAACTTTGATATCAAGTTATTTATAATCAAATAATATTCCATTCTGGACCAGATACCATAAAACGCAAACAGTTTCTTTTGCACAGCAAAGAAAATGGAATTTTTTGAATCAGAGTGATGCAAGAGGTCAAAGGTAGAAAATAATCACGCAAAAATGCAATTTCAATCAAGCAGAGTTTAATTAAAATTTACTCTTGAAAGAAAAATTTACTTTTTTATGTTTTACTGCAAAAGAAACAGAAAAAATTATTAATTATTAAAATTTAATGAAGTAAATAGTAAAAATAACTAAAATTAGATGCAAAAATATGAATAAATTCAAGTTTTTAAGCGTAAAATATAATTTTTCAATAATTATAATGAATCAAATGTTTTTCTAAAGATTTTAATGATTCCTGATGTGTTTATTCATTTAAAATAAACGATATTAATGGCTAAATAACGTTTAACACCTTTAAAGCAGTAAATTACTTAATGTCGTAAATTCCCGAGTAATTAATTTCAATTCTATGTGAATAATTTCGATCCAGGTATTGCGTTTAATCAACTGACCACGCAAAATGCGTATTTATGAACTAAATTATTGCTGTATTAATTAATTAGAGCGATTCTCCATGTTTTCGTTACCGTCCTTCCGTCCTGCGTGTGTCTTGCATATCCAGATACCTAAATCCACACCGGGCGATCGTATAAATTTAAATTTTATTATAACCACAAATTGATCCGCAACGGAGTGTCACGACGTCTAAAAATAAATCGACGTTATTCATTCATCCCATCATCAGCTTTTATTTTTCGACGTCGTGCGCTCCACACCAAACAAAGCAATCCAATACTTCACCCGGCATCCATAGATAGAGTTAATTAGTTTAGCTCCGAATACGCGGAGATCCCCGCATATATTCGTATTAGACATACTCATTACGCTGTAATACCGTAGACGTATAATTAAAAAATTAATTAAAACGAAAGCGACGGAAGTAGTTTACTCGTGTTACAGATTTGTGCTGTTATCGCACACGCCGTGCGGAATTGCACTCTTGGGATTATCTCCTAATGAAATCGCGCCAACAAACAAAACCGATATTTTTGCATTAATTGAAACGTATTTGTAGACGAAGGCTATTATAGCTTTAAAATTAAAATCTCATACAGAGTTGTATGTAACAATTGAACAACGGTTTCAGTTTAGTGGTTACCGTCGTTTGTTTTCAATTGCGCTCGATAGATTATATTGATTCCGTGGGGAACAACAGAAGTGCAATCACAAATGTCACCCAGGAACCGAATGTGCTCCATTGGGTCGATGCGATATTAATGTGCAATTCAATCATTGGAGTATATTCAATCATTCCAATTTAAAATACAGTGGAAGCATTTTAGGAACAAGTTAGGAACAGAATTGCTTACATTTTATGTTTTCCATGTAAACAAAACTAAATTGTAGTGTTATATGTGTTTAGGTTCACTTGTAGGCACCAAATTGTTTCGTAAAGCTTTTATCGGGGCTTTTAAAGCTTTTGATCTGGGTGGCGACATGTTAGGTTGCAATTACAGTTGTCCAATATTGTCAACCAGTATTTAGGTACGTTTAGGTTTAATTAAATTTATTTTCTAATTGTATTTTATTTAGATATTCTTTTTTAAGACAAATAAAAGGGTAAAATCAATAGAAATTCAAAAAATTTAATATTTAACACTTTTAATCACATTTTTATCTATTAGATTACCAATTAAATAGCTTATTTGATAGAGAATTGTCCGTAGATTAAGACTCTGCAATTCGTCCCTTTCTATCTCTTTTAGTTTACGAGATATTCGCAATTGTAAAAATTTATCAAAATTTGAAAAACTTAATTTTTAGCACTTTTAATCACATTTTTCGCTCTTTTACCATATGATATTTAATTACTTTATATATTATTCTAATAGAGAATTTTCCAATTTATCATAATCTGCGATTCGTTGGATTCTAACGCTTTTCGTTTAGAAGATATTCACGATCAAAAAACGTCGAAAAAAATTATCAAATTATTTTATTCAGTGGCGTATTATGCTTCAGTGCAGGCGCAAATCAGGTTTAGGGCCCCTAAATCCAAAAATTTTCAAAAACGGTTATGTAAACATTGTAAATTATGCGTTTTAGAACAGGTATTATTATAAGAAAGACAAAAAAAATTTAAAAATATATTCTAATACTACCACAATAAAATAAAAGACAATACAAATTGAAATACAAATTAAAAATTTACTTTTCTTGCCTACTCTTGGGCAAAGATTTCAATAATTTTGTCGTACTCTAGTTTTTAAAAATATCATTTTCTATGAACATTAATGCCAAGTCATTTAAGTGCTCTTATGATAGACTATTGCGCAGATAGTTTTTGACTCGTTTTAAAACTGAAAATGTCCTTTCTCCACTTGCATTAAAACGGGCAAGGTCAAAAAAAATTGCAGTATTGTGTGTATATTTGGAAAAGTTGATTTTAGACCATGTTGCATACATTTCATGTGGATCTCTAATATTTTCTTCTGGTATGTATTTTAGAATATGAGTTAACTCATCAGTGAAATATTCTGGCTCAATAACTTTTTCATACTTAGACAATAATCGCTCTACACAATTATTAGTCTCAACACGGCTAAATTTTAAATCAAAGAAAATTTTAAAATTGTTAAGAACATTGATATAGATCGCCCCTTCGAGTAATTTCTGTTGTTAATTTCTGTTGTAAAATTTTTATTGGTTGCATACCACTAGTTTTCCCATAATACTGAAACAAATAATATTTCCATATTCTTTTGCATTGTACATTTGAAATTGTTGCAGCCGATGATGTGGAACTAGAGAATATGTTCCGCAAGTACTGCGCCCGATTGAAACACTCCCTTTTCCTGTCGTGCGTGAGCGTCGCCACCCTGGCATGCGTCGCCTCTTTGATCACAGAATGTGCACTGCACACAAAGGTAACTCGCATCAATTGCTGCCCGACTGATGTCAAACATTTACTCATCCAGTGAATGTTTCTGGTTAAATTTCAGGACATCCAAAACCAGCTGCTATCCATCTGTTTCCTCTCCGTCGTGAGCACTGTACTTATAGTCATTCTAGTAGCGTCTCAGATTCCGCAGCTAAGGAATCAAAAGGCATGGACGCTGTCTGTATCTACGCTGATTATGGGTTTGATGTTTGCAACTGCGTTGTTCCTGGCGGATCGACATGGATACATGCCATTGTTTGCACTTTTTCTGGCACTACACACAATGTTACCGATTTCACATTTGCTGGCTGTCGTTATGTCGACGATTATTACGATTATTCATTTATCATTGTCAGTTACCACAAGATATAATGTTAATGAACCGTATGCCAAAGAGGTAATTTGAATATTTTTCATTTTTATACAAATTTTACGAAAAAAAACTTTAAATTTTAACAAAACTGAATAAACTTAAACTTTAACATTTTTTAATTTAATATCAAAATAATACATAATAAAATATTGATGGTCCGTCAAAAAACAGAAAAATATCCGACAATTTCATAAAAAATATTAAAAATTTATTTTCTGATTTAAATTCATTAAAAAATTTATCACGGCAATTAAAACACGTCAAAAATAAAGCAAAAAATCAATTGTCGCTTTCGTAAATTTAGTCGCACGTCCGAATACTAAATACTGCGATGCACTCTATCAGTACATTAAGGTTGAGGCCGTAATTTCAGGACATAACTCAATTTCAGCTTCGATTATTAGGTATCGCTTTCAAAAGGTCATTTAGTTATACTAACGGATATCGAACCGAACACGATGAACACAATAATTACATACTAACCTTGGATATGCATACTAATTCACGTTGACACTCTTTTTTTTTCTTAAGTGCTTCCTATTTATTTTTATATAATAATATATTATTAATTTATTTGTGGACATTTTGCAGCTTCTCTCTGAAATATTAGTATTGATCACCGCCAGTTGCACTGGCATGTATTATCGTTTCATGACAGAAAGCGCGCATCGACGAATGTTTGAAACGACATTGAAAAGTGTCGAGTCTCGACTTCAACGTGAATGCGAAACTGAACAACAGGAGAGTTTAGTTTTGAGTGTGCTACCGGCAAATATTACTGAAGAAGTAAGTTATTCAGCGTTTTATGGATGAAATACGAGATTTTTTGATAATTTGATTCTAAAAGCTTAAAATTTAGGTTAAGTTACATCTTATAACCTCAATTTTTCAAAGGAATTGCAAGTTTTTTTCCTAAATAATTTTACAAGACTTTTTAATAAAAATTAGATGGTTTTAATCACATTTCTATACTTTTTCTCTATTTTTCTTAAAATGAATATTTATTTTATACTGATTTATATTTTTACTCCAAAATTTATGGTCAGAAATAATATTAATCAATAAATTACATTTACAGAAATATATATTTCACAGAAAGCAAATTTACTTAATGAATTAAGCACGAATTTAGCTCCAGCGGCATTCATTCAAACTTGGTAATCGATACCATTCATATGAACAGACTGAAAAAAAAACGACATGACTTTCAATAATCTCTCAATTCAACATATTGGATTTGTAATCCCCGAAAACCTTTTTTATTGTCTGCCCCACTCGACAAAATTTAATCTTATTGCATTGATTCCCTAGATTCGTTTCAACCGAATTAAATATTATAAAAATGTGCAGGTCAAGCGGAAAATGTTCGACGACCACGGGCATCAGTGCTTCCACGAAATGCACGTGCAGCGCCACAACAACGTGTCGATTCTGTATGCGGATATCGTCAATTTTACTCCATTATCGGAGCAACTTAGCGCATCCGAACTGGTCGAAACACTGAACGAGCTCTTCAGCCGCTTCGATAAACTAGCGCAAGTAAGTTCGTTACCGTCTCCGACCATTAATAAAATACGCGCATGTCGCGCACAGCCTATTTGCGCCAGGAAATAACGTTTTTCTCCGCGTGCATTAAACTTAAACACATCGATCTAGGAAAGTCTGGCAACCGGAAATTGAAAAATGTTGCTAAATCAAATGTATTTGTATTCATATGTATTCAAAAGTGTATTTTGTTTCGTTACTGAGTGTTTTTCGTCTGTTTTACAGGATAATCAATGCATGAGGATTAAAATTCTTGGAGATTGCTATTATTGTGTGTCCGGATTGCCAATTTCACGGCCTAATCATGCCTACAACTGCGTCAACATGGGTCTTCAAATGATTGACGCCATCAGGTAAAAATACACCACACATAACCTATTTTCAAACATCACATAACCTAACATTAATATTTTTACACTGATTAAATCTAAAGAAAATTTTTGTCAATATCAAAATGTTGCACCCTCCTTTTGACATGAAAACCAACAGAATGGAAACTTAAACTGAGTTTCTGGCGATTGATTTCATTGCATTCACATCCCCGCACACGCACACTGACGATATAGATAGTAAATTGAATTTCGTTTAACTCGATTTTCAAAGATTCGTGCGCGACGTAACAGGAATCAAGGTTGACATGCGAATAGGCATTCACAGTGGAAACGTGTTGTGCGGCTTGCTGGGACTACGGAAATGGCAGTACGATGTGTGGAGTGACGATGTTACACTTGCCAATCACATGGAGTCTGGCGGCATCGCCGGGTAAATACCAGTTGATGTTTATTTATTTCTCGCCATTCGTAAATTGGCGCACACATTCAGACGGCACCTAAGGACTTTGTCGTATTCTTTGATATCTACCATTCCATTCGGATGAGTTTATTCAAAAGATCAGATTTTCATTGTTTGATTTCAAAAAGAACAGAAAAAATGCATTTTACTAAAATATTACCAAATTATAATAAATTTTTAATACACATTTACATCATAAACATATTCTGCTCCAATTTCAAATGGCTTGACGTATTTCATTGAAATTGAAATGAATTTACTGTTTAATTTCAAAAACAAAAACAAAAAAATATATTTAACTAAAATATTACCAAATTATAATAAATTTATAACACGCATTTACATCATGAACATATTCTGCTCCAATTGCAAAGGGCTTGACGTATATTTACATAATTATTTTGCTATATTTTAATTAATAATTCCCTCCGCTTTGCGTTTATAATAATTTTGCTGGCAGGCGAGTTCACATCACGAAAGCCACACTATTAGAGCTGGATAATCGATTTGAATGCGAACCGGGTGACGGAATGAAGAGAGACACTTATCTTGCTGATCATAAAATTGAAACATATCTTATTATACCACCAAAAGTAAGTTTTTTACAATTTTTACTGAGTCAAACATTAAAATCACCAATTTAACACTTAAAATTGAAGAAATTAGATGCTGAATCAAATGCGGGTAGCAGAACACAATTGTGCGCTGATTCCGATCGAAGTCGGAGTCGGAGTCACTCCTTCTGCAGTGATATGCAACAGGATATAACACCCACGCGTCCAACGCGTCCTTTGATGAAACACGTTGAGTGTTGGGGCGCGGAGAAACCTTTTGCTAACTTTGTCGGACCACAGACAAGTGTAAGTAATTTTAGTTTAACCAAATATTTGTTTAAATAACTCAATAAATTGTCTTCTTTTTTTTCGATTCTCTAGAAATTTCAAAGTCTAGTTGAGTCTACATTATTTCCTGATAAAGTAACACGTTTTGAACTACGGTATGTTGTTATAAATGATTTATGTTATCTACATCGATTTCTCGTTGTATTTAATTTTTTATAGTGGTGATTTAAATCCAATCCTTTTGTGGTTTAATGATAGTCAGCATGAAAAGCAGTATGAATCTCAAGCGGACACCGAGTTTCATTATTACATGTTTTACGCGTGGATGATCTTTGTGGTGATGGGATGCACGCAAATTACTATTCTGCCAGCGTAAGTTTTATAAAGCAAATATTTACTTTATTACATTGTTATACAGTGTGCATCCATGCAGAATAGCTTATTTAATGTTGTAAAAATACACTGGAAGATGGCAGCAGCAAAACTAACCTCAAAACTTCATTATTTAACCTACAATTCGTATTCTACTGCATAAATAAACATTTTCTAGGAGTGTGTTATTGTATGGAACATTAATACCAACATTCTCTGTGCTCCTAATGTTTGTCTACCTGACATGGACGAAAAGTTGCTGCTTCATGCGGAAACTAGAAAGCGAAGTTGCGATGCCCTGCGTGGAACTGACGCCGGCTGAAATAGTATCAAACTCTCGCGGAATTCGTCTGACGATTTTCATGCTGTCGGTGATGTTGATATCGACCACTGCAGTTATAACACTGGTACGTATACATTTTTAATGCGCGCAAATACAATCATAAGTCCTGTTTTAATCTTCCGGTTTAGGCGGATTACACTCCTGCCTCGCTGGAATCGCTGCACTCGTACCAAGCGAGATTCTTTCGCAATCTGAATATCAGTCGGAGCAATTTTACAAAGCCGTTGATGATTGGCAATCGAGATCGGTGGAACTCCCGCATTAATAATACGGGCGTTAATGGATATGGAAATTCAGACGCCGTCAGCGGAGATACGATAATCGAATACTTACCGGTAATAAATCCATCACAATTTTTTTTTATTTCTGCGGATTTAAGCAAGATTTCTTGAAAGATTTAAATTCAATCATGTAAACACTTTTTGTTGAATTTATTTCAAGTGGAAATCTCATTGTTTGTTAATTGAATACTGCTTAAATCTAATTTGTATTTTTCAGACCTACTTACAAAGTTCGATGTTATCAGTGTCAGCCATTGCTGTGTTTCTGCGTCGATCATTTTTATTAAAGTTAATATTAATGGTAATTACCATTTCTGTGCACATTATTGTTTACAGTTACTTTAATATGTTTCAAGATGAAGAAACTGAAAATGACAAGTATGTAATCAATACTATTCCCCGCTTCATTTATAACTAATTAAAACATGAATTCTAATTTACCAGATTTGTTGGAATGCCGTTTGTGCTCAAATGCAGCGTGGGATTAAGCGTTGTGGTAATTTTATACCACATTCTGGATCGGCAATTAGAGTACACATCCCGCACAGACTATCTCACAAAGTCAAAACTTAACGAGGAGCAGAATGCGATTGAACAAGCCAGAAGTAAAAATAAGGTATGTCGGCGCAAACTCAAAATTAAATTACTGCCGCGTTATAGAACGACGAATAATTACGAAACTATAACTTTTGCATCTACTCGTACAAGTTCTGAAATTCTCTCTCTATCTGATAACTTATATACGTCTCAAATGAATTTGCATTAAATGCAAACTAATCTGAGAACTGCAAATGTCAGAATTATAAAATTGTAAAAACTATAATTTTGCTTGATTGTAGATTATTCTTGAAAAGATACTTCCCGCTCACGTGGCTGAACATTATCTGACAACACGGACAACACAAGAATTATACCATGAGCGCTACTATTGCATTGCTGTAATGTTCGCATCGATCCCAAACTATCAAGATTTCTATGGTGAGAGTGACATAAATAAGCAGGGTTTGGAATGTCTCCGGCTGCTGAATGAAATAATATGTGAATTCGATAAAGTAATAACAATTGATATGGTTACTTTTGCAATATTTAAGTTGATGACTATTACAGATTCTGGACAAGCCCAAATTTAGTTGTATTGACAGAATTAAGACGATTGGAAGCACTTATATGTTAGCATCGGGTCTACAACCCGGAAAAGAGGATTGCGAAGTAAATTATTAGCATTTTGAAGTCATTTTGAAGCAAATATTGATTTTTTATGTTTAATAGGAAAATATGAAGAAAACTGAACATTTGGTTGTGTCGTTAGTGGAATTTGCAATTGCGCTTATGACAAGACTCGAACAAATCAACAAAGATTCATTCCAACGCTTCAAATTACGCTTTGGTACAATTTTATAATTTTTAATGTTAAATTATAAATATTTATATTATAATCTTTAGGAATCAATCATGGACCCGTTATTGCTGGTGTTGTGGGCGCACAAAAACCACAATATGATATCTGGGGGAACACTGTAAATGTCGCATCACGAATGGATTCCTGCGGCGTGATGGGACGAATTCAAGTCACGGATAAAACGGCGGAAGTACTTACACAAGCTGGATACTCCCTGGAATGCCGAGGCGCAATAGAAGTTAAAGGAAAAGGAACGTTAACAACTTATTTAGTTAATACCCCTTTTGATGATCCTAAGGGCAAAGATAAAGAGAGTAATTCTAGTCATTGAATTCCACGGAGATTATTTTTTCAATGTTGACGTAAATGAACCAATTTATTTATTTGTGTTAGTTTTAATCAAATTTTAAATAAACTTGAGAAAATCTTAAAGGATGAGATCCTGAGTAATCAATACATATTCCTATGTGATTGTGAGTATACCATGATTAAAGTACAACTTGTAAAATAGATCAGGAGCAAAATGCGTGCGAATGGCACGGCTCTCCAGAATAGGAAATTATTATAATCATGATATGTAATATTTATTAATAAATAGTATTAAGATCAATTTGTAGTATTTGTATGGAAGAGGTGTTTAATTTACCTTTAGTACATATGAATTTGTTCCTGTTTCTGGAACAAAAGGATCTGGATTCTACATTTGAGTTTTCGGCTGCGCAGCGCCCTCTAGTTGTGGCTGGTCTTACTTGAACTAGGGTGGTGAGTTAAAATTCCAAGGAGTCACTTGATGCAGTAAAAGGCTTGTTTGTTACTCGTGAAAACTTGGAAATATTTGTTAAACTAATAAAATAAGTATATTAATGAACTTCAAGTAGTAAAATACTTTGCTAACATAATTGTTTAAGTGATATTTTATTACATTTCCTCATCATCCTCCCTTTTTCTTTTCAAATCATTAATACCATTATTAGATATTCCTTTCCCAGTCTGAATATTCTGTGTTATCTGAATTTTGGGTTTAAGCACAGTTTTCTGAACTTGAACATTTGCATTTGAGATCTTTGCAGATGCCTTTGGAATGGTCACAGTTTGCTTGCTGATTCCAAAGTTAGCGCGTTTCATAGCATTTTGCTTGGCATTGAAATTTTGTTTTACTTTCTTTGCATTTGTTTTTAGCAGGTAGTTTGGAGATGATAAACAATGACGATCGGGTGGCAATCGTAATCCACAAGGTGGTTTGATCAATGGAAGTGGTATGTTGTTTTTATTTCTTGCTACTTCAATAGCAATCTCTCTTGGAGGTGGCATTGTAAATGTGCTCTCATTCTGAAGTTGCAATGCCAGTTTAACATGATCCAACTCAAGTGTTCTTTTATTTGAATTGTTGGCAAATTGGCGTGCTTCTTCCAATATTGTAGAACCATATCGATATACAAATTCAGTCAACTGAATAACAGTTCGAGGCTCATACTCAGTTATGCCCATTTCTTTCATAATTGCCATTATGACTTGCCCATCTTTGGGCATATTCTTTGTTTGCGACATTGTTGCTTAAAGCAGTATGCAGGAAACTAAAATTTAGTAACAAGAGACATTATTATGCGCTTTGCATAACAAAATTACGAACCTATGGTTTAGTATTGAAGGTTATAATAAATTCTAGTACTAAAATTTGATAAACACTTACCAATCACTTGCTTAGGAAAACATTTCTTTTTAATAGTAGCTATAAATCTTATTTTGTTAGATGTAATAGGCCAAAACAAAAGTAGTTAAAACCGTAGAGGTTGTGAACGCCGACAGCAGGCACAAGTAGCAATTATGCGCAGTGTTGTAAAATGTTAAATCTTGCATTCATACTTTATAGTTCAAAGCAAAAAAATCTTATTTATATCTATAAATATTACAATGATTGGTTCCATCATTTTCAGCATGATTTAATACTTGAAAGCTACAATTTAAACATTTTTTTAACTTTAAAAGTTCAAATAAAATCTATCTGAAGGCAACGTCGTAAATTTACATGCGCAAACGAAACAAAATAAATGCGCGTCTACAATAAACACTCTAAACATGTAACAAATGTTCGGGTTATGTAGGAACAAATCCAAATTACAAACCAATGTAAACGAGAGAGTAGCAAAGACGGAACGAGAATGGATACAATCGTCGATCCTGTCAGTTGTGATTCTACTCTGTTGTGATTGCGTAGCGGAGCGAATTACGAGTCAAGTTTGAAATGATGTACACAACTGAAGAACGAATACAAATAAGAACATGGTACTATTCGAGCGATTCAAACAACAGTCATCGTGCTGTTCGGAAATTATTCTCCACTCATTATCCTCATCGACCAATCCCAAGCTTAAGTACAATTCACAACATTATTCATGAATTTAATAAACAGGAAAAGCCTCCTAGACCTGGTCAAAGATTAGCCAAAGTTTCGGAAGAGATGAAGTCTCAGATAATTCGCTTTGCAGAAGAGAAACCAAACTCTTCCACACATGAAATAGCTACAGTCTTTGGCATTTCACAAAGCACAGTATTCAAACTCCTAAAGAGAAGTAAATTCAAAGTATTTAAATTTCCCAAACATCAAGGGCTCTCAAATGGTGATATCGAAAAAAGAACACAATTTTGTGAAACTATGATGGATTTAATAAATGTAGATGGTGGACTTTTATATAAAATTTTGTTCACTGATGAAGCGTCATTTACAATTGATGGAGATGTAAATTCACATAATTATAGGTATTTCCTGCCCAACACTTATTAAAATTTGCTTATTATTCAATTATTTTTACAGATATTGGTCAAATCCGAATGAAGATGAGCAACATTTACCTGCAAAACTTAATGTATGGGTTGGCATAATAAACAGCCATTTACTTGGTCCGTTTTTCTTTGATGGCAATCTAAATGCTCCAAAATTTATTAATCTTCTGCAGGATCATGTGTTTCCAGCTTTGGATGAGCTAGATATTAAATCACCATGGTTTCAAATGGACGAAGCGCCTGCACATTGCACGCAGACAATTTCATCAATGTTGTCAAACAAATTTAGTAAGAATTGGATTGGGAGATTCGGGCCTATGACTTGGCCTGCACGCTCACCGGATCTCTCACCCAGTGTTTTCTTTGTTTGGGATTATTTGAAAACAAACGTGTATGATGAAGTGCCGATAAGAACAATTGAAGAATTGCGTGAGCGAATATGTGCCGCGTGTAACACGTTAAAATATGATGTGTTTTCTATTCATAGTGCAATTCAAGGGTTTTATAATCGACTGGCTTATTGTTTGGAAGCTCGAGGAGATCATTTTGAGAATCTGCTTTAATTTAGAGTAATTTATTCGATGATGTTTTCAACAACGCCAGAAATACGCGTGTTTTTATCTAACAATAAAACCAAAGAAGCACAAATGATCCATGTGCAATAGTTGACAGATAACTCTTTGTTACAACTGTCAAAAATGTAAATATTAAAGAAATTATTGCTGAAGTCAGCTTTAAAAGCCATAACTAAGGCGCGTGCGCGTGTATTTGTATTAAATTACTGCAAGTTTATGTTACGATGGAAATAAACTGCCATTGTTCTCGCATCTGTAAACAAATCTTAAACATTTGATAACAAGTGCCTCTAAATGAGTAATCTTGATAATTTAAACTTATACATGGTGCATGTTAACAATATATATTTTATGTATGTACATATCATATTGTATTTCTGCTTAAGCTGTCACTCTTTGTTGTCAACATTATAAACACACATTAATTTGATTATTTTTCATCATCCGCGAAAAAGCAACAAACGAAAAACGTTAAGGTGTACTGAATCAATTCCGTTGAGTTGTGTATTTTATATTTCAAGAATATTAACAAAACATTTATAACATGAATGACAAAAATAAACAAATAAATATTCGAATTGAAGTGACAATCAACAAACACAGATTTCAGTTCGTGTTATCAAGACAAGTAGTTCATTTATGGTGTATTACTTTAGTATTATATGATAATGCAATCTGCATGTACATATACAATGTTACAGATACGGCATATAAGTGTCTTACACAAACTTCTCGATATTAGGCACATTACATTTCTTAACACCAATTTGTGTCTGTCCAAGTACTGAGACTACGATAACGGCGCAAATTAAGTAAACAAATAAATAATAGCCTTACTCAATTAGAAACAATCGTAATTATCATTTCACTGCAATAGTATTATTGCACTATATTTACCTTTCATAAATTCTACATAAATCATTTATGCTTAAAGTTACTTAGAATACAACGTTTTTGCATTACCGTTCTTCTTCCTATTTTATACAATCTATTTGTGTTCGCCTTGCCGGCAACTTACAGCTTACAATATCATCTCGAAACGATTCGAATTTAAATTTATACCAATATAGTAATCAGTTTAGTTAATAATACTCATAATTCTCATCATTTAAGATCAATTTTTATCACCAAACGTAAAAAAGTAACCGTATTATACGTCGTGATGCTCATCATTCATGTCAAGTCCCTGAAAAATATATCACATTGGGACGCATTGCAACTATCGTAGACATGAATGATTCGCAAAGTAAATGGCTTCATGCTTATTAAGTAATTCTCAATAATTTAACACAAAGAAAATCAGTAGTAATAACTTAGAATACGTCGATGATAAGATAATTACATAAATACGACTAATGTGATTTTTTTCAGCTATTTGTATGATTGTGATATTGTACTTGGGAATTATGCGAGTTTGTGTAATCGAGCATCATCGACGATCCTTCATGCTGAGAGTGTGAGTCGACGTTGAGGTCAGTGGAGTCGGAATCGTACTTGGCACCCCGTTTGAATCGGCCGTACAGTGATGAATAAGGAAGGTTGTAGTGAATCGCGGCTTGGTTGATGGACATGTGACCTAGGCGCACTGCTTCCAGTGCTTCGCCCATAGCATCTTCCGACCAAGGCGTGGGATTCGACCGGGATAACTCAATACCTTCACGTTTGCACCTACCATACAATGTACCCGTGGGAATACCGTACTCCGTGCTAGCCCGTTGCACGGATGTTTGTCCTGAGCGTATCGACTCTAAAGCCTTTTCTAAATCTTCCGGTGTCCACGTCGTGGGCGCGGCGTTGAAAGGTGCTGCCAATCGAATACCTTCACGTCTTGCAATTTTGTACAACGTGCTCGATGGTATACCGTACGCTTTGCTCGCTTTGTTCGCAGATATTGTCCCGGTGCGTAATGCATCCAGTGCACAATTCAGACTTTCTTCCGTCCAGGACTTTGTAGGACCTTCTTTCTTTGGTGTGTCAATACCTAGCCGATGCGCACGCTGCCAGAGAGTGGTGGATGGAATGCCGTAAGTTGATGACGCCTACAATAACAAACAATATAGTTTTGCATATTTATTTCATACGGAAGTTGCGTACCTTTGTAAGGCTCATGTTGTGATTCCTGAGAGCATCCAACGCCCGCTCCATATCCTCTTGTGTCCATGTTTTCGGCCCCGCACTGTGCCGCGAACTGTGAGAATGTTCTGAATGCCCGTTTGATTTCATACTGTGATCGCTGATTGTTCCAAGTGGCATCAAACTGGTCAACTCGGGTGTTATCATCATTGTTGTGTGGCTATTTGGATCATGCCCGTCATGGCTGTCCATTGAGTGCGCCGACATGTGGCTATCAATGTCCAGCAGAGATTCGGATGAGTACGACGAGTGGAGCGTTTCAAATTTTATTTCTCGTTTAATGTCTTTAAGGTGAGTGTCTGAAAGGAGCGCGAAATTGAAACTACGTACTTGCGGAAAACGATAAAATCGCTTACGTGATAAATCCGTGCGATGCAAGGACGAATTGGTTAGCAACGTCCGCGTTGGTGAATGCTCCTGCATCTCGACATGTCCTACGGGGATGGCCATTGGGGCCGGAGGGTCGGGTGAAAAATCTTCATTATCCACTCCAAATTGCGAAAATAGCAACTGAAACACGCGCGTTGTTGAGTGATAATTTTGAATGTGCAGAATTTTTACTTACTTGACCAGTCAGCAGAGCATTACTGCTCATGTTCAGAAGATTCTGTTCCGCGTTCAATCGCTTCCTTCCCTTATCATCATCTCTTGCAGTCAATGTTCTGTCATTCTCTTTGGTTTGTTCAGTATGCAGGTGTAAGTCGTCGTCATTGGCAGTTGTCGTTGTTGTCGTCGTGGAGGTACCAGCATCTGGTTCCTTGCCGGCGGGCGCTTTGTCGTTCTTCTTGCCTTTGGTTTTCTTGTGGTCACAGTAATCCGGCCGATGCTTCGGTGAGGAGAGCCGTCGCAACTTGGGATATTCACCAGTGACGGTCGACGCCGATGTGTTGCCAATGTAGACTTGTTCGTCTGGCGTATCGCAGAGCCCCTTGATTTTTAATTGGTCTGCCGTTTTCAGGAGCGACTGTAATGGTAATTGAATTTTCAGTCATCGACCAGCGGAATAAATCTATAAAGGTGTACAGTGACGAATAAGTCGGCACGATATTACGCGGCGACGCGCCGCGCGCCATTCTCGCACGTAGTTTTCATAATGCGAATGCAAAACAAAAACGAAACGGAGCAACTAATAAAAAAACATCGAAACGTCGCGTGTTTATTACGAATTGTGTGAAAGGAGAATGAGCGCGCGTAAGGAAATGGAAGATACGTAGTTAGGAGCGTCCTTGAACCCGTATTGATTGGAGCAGACACCGCATCACTTTCCCCCAGTGCGTGCCCCAGAGCCGCCGCTTTGCCAGGCAACCCCCCAGATTAGACCCGGAATTGTCTGTACGGCGGGCGGGTGGAAGCGTCGCGAAAAACTTAGCCGCACGCAACCGAGCGCAAACATCCCAGCCTTCGCCCGCCAATAATACGGCGCGGAACAAGGACGGCGAGCGAAGGCGCGTTCGAAGAAACCAACGCTCCACGATGCAAATATGCTCGCGCAAAAATAATTTCTACAAGAGCGCCGGAAGACACCGAATGCACGAATAATATTCTCTATGTTATGTAGTAACGCATTCGCAACCTGCCGCAGTTTGAATCGAATCGAAAACGTACGAAAGAAATACCAGAAATGCACCATACTCGACGGACGGACGACGTGAAAGAGGCAGGGGCATGAGGCAGTCACACAACAAAGACGTTGCTAATGCACCTGCCGCCCGTGAAGAGGTAGGTGCGTGGCGAGCGAAGAACGCGCCGCGGCGAAGGTTGATCGGCCGGTTTCTCTTTCGCTTCGTTCGCATCGCCACATGCACGCTCACGTACTCTTCCACGATTATCCGCCCACACATGCAAACGGCGCAATGCACAGAAGCGTCCACGTACTCACGTCTACACACGGCCGGCGCTGGCACAGGCGGATCCGCTCGCTCTCTCCCACACGGGAACTAGCACAGCTCAAAAGTGACTTCCGCGTACAACCAAAACTATTTCCGAATGAAAGTGCAAGCATGCATCGCACAAACACGCTGCACAGGCTGCACACTCCCGCACTCCACGCACACCGCGTACTTACTCGTTGACCTCGGCGACCTTCAGCACTGAGCGCGAACTAAGACTGGACCCTTTTCCACAGCCTACAACGGGGATGCTGCGAGCCGCGATAGATCGAGAAATGCTCGGCGCACGCACTACTACTTCGGCTTAATTGGGGTTTTTGCGCGGCGTACACACGTATTCACATCCTTATAAACTACGCGGAAAGTTCACCGAACTTCCGGGCCACTCAACGCTTAAACAATAGCGCCAGCCATTTATTTAAACATTAAAAACACTCGAAATACAATCATTTGTATTCCGCCACCGCTGGATACTAAAACAAGTGAAGAAACACAAAACAAAAAATGCACCAAAGAAATATAAACAGTTTTCCCTTATCCCTCCTTCCGGCTTTTTTTTTGGTCTACTTGCTTTTGCTTAAGATTACTTTGTTCATACTCCTTCCTCTTTGCGCTCAACTATTTTCTTTTCTCCGTTTCGGTTTAGTTCGTAAAATCTTGACCTACATTCATTCTTCGTCACTTTACGATTTCACATTTTCCTTTCATGCACTGCACATCAAAGTTATGAAATTCGCTCTTTAAACTTGGCCCATAAAATAAATTCCTCCGTTACACCAGTGTATACCGTTAGAATTGAAATATACAGGCGCAAAACATGCCATTTTACAAAATGAATTTCCGAAACCAGAAATCACAAAAATATTCCAATCGATTCGCGGCGCGAAGAATGTCTTAACGAGGCGTTGCTCGGAGGCCACCCGCTTATTCCCTGTTCTAAAAACATCTGCCCGTGCCGTGGGAGCAGGGAGTAACGATTGATTTTTATTGTCGACGAAATACCGAACGCATCGGGAGCGAAATTTTATCCTTTTCTCGCCATTAAAGCGACGCGAAATGACAGAAGCGCGTACGAACTTCTTAACTTCAGCGTAAGGTCAAGTTAAATATAAAATAAAACAACATTACCATTCAAAATCGCCCTCCATGCTTCTAGCGTTAATATATAGGAATAAAAACGTGTAATGAACAACAACGAAAATAAAACACCGTATTGCCACAAATAAGATTTAATTAATACAACATGTAAGTCAGTCTTCTGAGCTACGGTAACAAACATAAATTTAACAATGGCCGACTGCGAGCGTGCGGTGTATGGAACGGTCGGCGCATCTAATCAATTCGCCTCTCCAACTCCGACCGAACCGCGCTGCGATTGCAGCATATTAATTACATGTTTTTGTAAGCTGGCAAAGTATTGATTTTAGTATACCGCGCGCCATCAGTGAGCTGCTTTACGAGAGATATACTCTTGCTTTCAATCGACACTAGATGGCGCTGTGTGTATCAAAATTTAAAAATTGCAACATGTATTGCTAAATTTGTAAAATAAATATTGCACGTATTACGAACGATAAGATAAAAAGTATTACAAAGCAAAAAAGCAGTTGTATTAAAATTTCGAATAAATTTAGAATAATTTTATACTTAAGCCAGGTTTATTTATAAATATTCCTAATTCAAGCAAAGTATTTAGCGATAAATAATTTTCTAGATTGTGTACTTTAGTACTCTCCAGTACAGATAAGTAGCGTCATAAATAATGTCAAGAAATGCATAAGCAGGAATGAACTTCCATTAAGTAATTATTATTAATTAAATTATTACGTTAATAGGTTTATATATTTTCCAATTCACGTTAAAAGTTGATAGGCTTTAAAATCTGGCGTATAGATGTGAATTTATCAATTTTTGCAAAAAAAATTGAGCAAAAAACAAAATTTCTCGGCCATCTTTAATGTTTTATTCGCGTTCAGTGCCTCACCATGTTACAATTCCACATTATAAACATACAATACAATAAAAAATAAAATAAAAAGACATAAAAAATAAAATTACCTTAAAAATAATATTCGTGTAATAGAATTTGAGTTTTTTGAATGGTTAGATTGGATGATTTTCTAAAAAAATATTCCAACTTTAACACATCTGCTGCACCTGGCTCCCTCATAGGTGCGCAATGCGGGTCCGCTCCGAAGATGTCAGCAAACGCGTTAAACTCGCGAGAGTAGTTGTTATTAATTAATTTTTAGAATTTTAACTAGCTTTAAAGGTCTCACCTGTAGCTCCGCTTGCGTGACGTCAATCTCGCCTTTGTAGACGAATTCAATGATGAACTTCAAATCGGCATAGCACACGTCTTGTGGCATTATGATCGTCGGGTGTTTGCATGGGTTTTCCATAAGAAGTTTTTGGAAAAAAGACGAGCATGCTGACAGCACAACCTGCAATAATAACATAGATTAGACAGAATCAGAAATGATTACTATTACATTTTCTCCATCGTAATCAAATCATCAATAAAAATATCTAGAAAAGTACATACATGATTTCTAAATTTTAAATTTTAAATTAAAAAGGTTTTAAAACAGCTTCTTTTGCGTGAGGCAACTGCGAGACTTTCATAGACGTACGACAAACCCAAAAATTTGAGATAGGTCGCAAACTGGTTTTCTGCACTTTCTATTTTTCGTTGCGTTTGAATTCAAAGGTTTTAATCAAACACGCGAAACATCAAGCAGCGTTCAAATCGTGCGTTTTTTATTGACCTCATGTTTTCACTGGCAACAATTTTAATAATTTTGTTACAACGTAACATACAAAGAGGCGAGAAAAAAAAAGAGAAAAAACCCGACTTTATAAAAAATATTAAAATAGCAGAGTAAATAATTAATTAACTTTTAGAGGAATTTTCTAATGGAATTTTATGAATTTTATTTTCCACTCCGTGCTAAGAACTATAAATCTTCCATAAAATTGACTAACTTATCAGTAGTTTTCTTGTTGATTGAACAACTATATGAACAAACAACGACGAGCTTATCACAAATGATGATAGCTTATTAGTTTTCACAATTTCATCTAAAATACTACAAATTTGTAATAAATTCTCAACTTTTGCTGTTATTTTATGTTATTTTACGCCAATTATAGAAATAAATTTTTATGATATTATTTTTCTGCTTACTCAATAAAGTAAAAGTAAAAACGTGTAGCTCAGCGCAATATTTTTCTTATTTATTACGTAATTGCATACTGCTCCTGAAAAATATTTATTTACAAAGCAGTTGCAGTAGAGATTAATCATGGAAAATTTCGACAAATCCATCGCATTGTAACTGGTGCGGCAGTGTCGAATAACAAAAAACCCGCCGTCGGATGTGAAGCATCATTCTAGAAACACCCCGAACGGGAGTGTATAAGTGGCATTTCCCGCGTGTTTCTAAAACCTGAGGGTACGTTCGTATTCTGCCTGCGTGATGCAGGCCAACAAAATTTTACCGCTCGCTCGCTGACCTACCAAACGAAAAATTGTGCAGGGGGCTCAATGGAAATTATAGAGTTTGCTCGCACCCGAGGGGTGGTGTAGCGCTACACAAAGGAAGCTCATCGTTGGGGGGTCACGGCTTGCGGAGGGTCGGGGCAGACGCAGGCCACAAGTGAGGCAGCGAATGCTATAGGCGATTGCACTAATTGAACAAAGACGATCGCAATACTTACTTTGTGCGCTTTCAGCGATAAGTCGTTGCATGCCAGCGTCACGTCGACGAACGCTTCGTTCTGCAGCAGCTGGTGGAACACCGATGTCATGTTCGTCTGGTAGTTGTTCCATCGCAGAACGTAATGTTGACCAGACATTCTGGAAATGAAAGCCAGCGTTTTCAAAATAGCCACCCCACGCGGGACCAATTTGATGATCGTTTTCGAAATCATCCAAATCAATTTTTGCGGAAATTACGAATTTTCTTTCAGATAACCTACCTCAGCGAGCTTCGACGGCGGCTGCAATAAGGAAGCCGGTACGAAACGTCGTACTTACGAACATTGAACTAAAAAGAAGTCCAAGTTAAGAGAGGTATATAAGAAGAGAAAATTGCAATGGCATGGACCGGCGGCAGCGCGTTCCACATCTAGAAAAGACTTGCTTCTCTAAGTCCGCTCTTCGCTTAGCACTTTTTTCCTCTTCCATCTCGTTCGTATTGATTTTATTCTTTTTTGTCTGCATCTTTTCTTTCTTTATACGCGTATACACTCGAAAAGAAAGAACAACCAACGGACGAGCCAACTCAACTACAAGTTCGTGCTTTCGTTTTACGATCGCATTTGCTTTTTGAGCAGCTTTGGTCAGAGTATTCGTCCTTCCCGCTCCTTCTGCTCCCTTTGAGCCAGCGTTCACACTTTGCACTTGCAAGTTCGCGGCATAAAAGGTTTTCAACAAAATGTGCGCATAAGAAGTTTATTTTATTCCTGCCAATGAAAAACCAAATCGCGGCGAATGGCAAGCGTTTACAATTATTGCGAAATTCACATTTGGCGATACCAAAATTTCAAATTTACAAATAAAGAAAATCTGCCACCTTTCACCGGCCGTTGACACATTTTTCCAAAACGAATTCGCTGCGTTTAGTTTGAGAACCGTCTGTATGCGAGTGCCGGCTCGTAATACTAGCCGAACAAAATAGAAAAGTTGAAATGGTGAAATCTTACTCAACGAATAACAAAAATACGCGGAATAAGTAGAAAGAAGGAGAAAGGATGCGAACAAAAAAAAAGCTACATTTTTCTGCTCGTATTTCGCATTGCAGTTCGCCGTCGAGTTCCGCACTAAACCGCATTTTCTTTTTTGTGCCTTCCCTTCTGTGCTCTTTCGTTTCTGCTTCGTCGTCTCGTTATGTTTCTCGACTCTTTTGTCTGTTTTTCTGCCAGGCGAAAACCTTATAGATTTTTATATCCTAGCATAAATGCGTAGAATTTTTGATATTTATTACAATCTTACAGAATAAATAAATACTAATTTAGCAAACAAAATAAACGAAAAGAGTAACCTGAGAAGTATATGATACTTTTATTTACATCAATAAAAAAAATAATAATATACAAACACTGATCAGATTTATTTGAATTGGCGCCTACTGCAATTACGCACGCTCCAAACAGAAGGCTCGTTAAGTGCGTGGGAGAACGGCGCGAATTTAAATTTGAAATTTCCTATTCGGCCGATAAAGCTGCGCGTATAATTGTATAGGTTATGTTACATAAACGAGGGGAGTTTATTTGCGCGAAAAAAACGCGAATGCAAGCGGTAAAAAGGCATCAAACGATGTAAGCACATGCAGGGGGCAGTGACGCGGCGCCTGTCCATGCGATTGTCAATTTTTTATTTATTTACAAGGACAAAATTGTGTCGCTGCGTTGCAATGTGTAAGTGGTGTGTGAGTCCAGTCGATCGTGTATGTTTTTAACGTGTTAAGATACATCTTACCTGAACTCTGAGCGATTACAAGGAAACGGTCATTTGAGTATTAAACACGCAATATTGGGGGCCGAGAAACGGATGCAAATATAAGAGGCGACCGTGGAAAACGGACCGTACGATTTCGAGAGACGGGCTCACTATTTTGTTGTGGATCAAATTCATTCTCTCCTCTCTTAATCGTCCGTGCTCTCTCTTTTAAGTTTTCACCGACTTCTCGCTCTTCAGGTACACGGTCTGCTCGCAGCGCCGAGCGCGCCGGCAGAGGTGGCTTGGGCGAAGCAGCATGCATTCCCCTTGCGTCTCGTAAAGTTTAGCGTCGAAAGCTCGCACGCTGATTGGTCAAGCTTGCCGCTAGCTGCGCCAAAACGAACAGCGCAATGCGCGTGACGTCACTTCAGCTTCGCTCCAGCCAACTGCGGGCGCTCGGCTGCTGCCAGCGACGACGACTACTGCCGGTCGCTTTTAGTCAAGCAAAACCATTCCTCGATTTAACAACATTTATGTTCGTCTCGCAAAAATACGAAATTATAAGTGAAATTAATTGTGATATTGATTGAAATTGTGCCAAAATAGGTAATTATTACGTGCATTTATTATCGCTCTTTGTTTACGCGTTTTTTGCATGCTAATTTTAATATTTATACCGATAAACGAACATCCGGCGTGCTCGTCGTGCACGAGCTTTCGTGCCGCAATATGCCATATTCCGCAACTGGCCATAAATCATTTTTCTCGTGTAAAATTCCGTCATTGTGCCGCGGATGTTGTTTGTGTGATCATTTGTAGTGTGTAAATGTGCCGCGCGGTGAACGGCATCGTCGGATCGCCATTTTTCACAAATTTGTCGGAAAAGCGGCCATTGTTGCACCGTTCCAACGCTTGGCTTTCCCCTGCCCCACCCTGAAGTGACGAATTTACAGTTGTTGGCCTCCGGCTTCGCCACATAAGAGTTCCACTTTTCTAAAGTTTATTTACCTCAATACAATTAATCTGGAAATATACGCCGTGTCAAAGCTGCGCGTGTGACTTTCATTCAGCGTTCGCGGTCGGTTTTTTTTTTCATCGCGGTACGGCCATTTCCATGTTTGTAAGGATTTACGCGCACAAATATTAAAACCACATGTTCTTTTTAGGGACAGAATGGATGATGATCAACAGTTCTGCCTGCGATGGAATAACCATCAGTCCACACTTATTGCTGTTTTTGACACACTCCTAGAAAATGGGACACTGGTTGATTGTACACTTGCAGCAGAAGGAAAATTTCTGAATGCGCACAAGGTGGTTTTGTCAGCATGTAGTCCATACTTTGAAGTGAGTATTAGTACTTTACTATAGTTTTCGTACAAAAGAGAAACTGTCTTGTAACATGAAATGTAATTGCTGTTTTTTTTTCTTTTATCATTTTAGTCATTGCTGTCACAAAACTATGACAAGCACCCAATTTTTATATTAAAAGACATCAAGTATCAAGAACTGAAAGCAATGATGGACTACATGTACAGAGGAGAGGTGAACATCTCACAAGATCAATTAGGAGCATTATTAAAAGCAGCAGAGTCCCTACAAATTAAAGGCCTATCAGACAACAGAAAAGGCGAGACAGAAACAAAGAAATCAGTGCTACCACCTCCACCAGCCAAGAGTCCACCCCCTACGGCATCATTACCAAAGGTGCAGGGTTTGACAATAGAACATCGTAGGAAAGATTCCGACGAGAATTCAAGAGACGGCTCACAGTCACCTGGTCCACGACGAAGAAAGCGAGCTCGTAGAAGAAGCGAGGAAATCGAGAACAATCATGATGCTTCAAATTCCTCAGAATCTCATCACAGTGTACCCCCTCAAAACATTCCAATCACACCTCCAACAAAAGTAACCGATGTGCCTGAAGCGTTAGAGAAACAAGAAATCTTGACAAGGCATAAAGTTAGTGAGTCAGAGATTCCTCCCCAAGTTCCTAAAGAAAACATAGAAACCCATTCTGAACTGATGCTTGAACCAAAGGCTGAATATATGGACGAAATGAATGAAGATAGTATTGAAGATTTGACACTTGACGACGAAGAATTGAGTAATATGGAACAAATGGACGAAGGAGCAGGGCCTAGTCATGGCAATGTTGGTGAAGCATCTGGTCAAGGTGAAATAAGAGATAATTTTTTTCTTGAATATTCCTCAATAACGGTATATTTTTTGCTTAATTAGGTTTCGGATGGCACATGGGCAACCAAAGTCAAGACGAAGTGTTTTTGGCCGCACAAGAAGCCGTTGGAGCGCACCGCGACTCACAAGGTAGGATTTCCAAACGTTTTAATAGGCACTCGCGTACTATTGTACAACAAAATATTGTAAGACGTTTCAAATGCCGAATTTTGCCAACCTCATTACTTCGTGAGGTTATGCAAGGTTTAGGTCATATATTTAAAAGTAATCAACTAGGTTTTGTTGTAAAATGGTATTAGAGTTACTAGAATTGGCATATGCGGTGGCAACATCATGTTAACACACGACTTTTCATCCTCTGAAGTATTTAGTGGTTGCTTGTTGCTTTTCCCAGTGCTTGTGTAGGTAGTAGAAAACAAAAACAAACCAGCTCGCCCATGTATATGTGTCAGTATTTATTTTCAATGTTCAAGCGTCGCGCCAACTAAGTTTTGCTAAAATCACATTTCTGCCTTGAAAATAAGTACAATATTGAATGGATTACAAAATACTGCAAAGGTAGGAGAAGGGGGAGTTGGTTCACTGAATCAAAATGTAGTCACAACTGATACCAAATGTTGATATACATTTTGGTTCAACTCAAAGGATGATTATCGCTGTGTTATGTCACTCGTTCTATTTTAATTTCATGCGATGATGTGAGCTTATTCAATCAAACGAGTGAAGCTTGATTTTGTCATTATATGCCAATACTTGATATTTGGGTTTTGAAGTGATAAGTAATTAACAAGTCTAACGGGAGATATGAATTGACAAACGAGAGGAAAATGGCTTGTTTGTTAGTTACATTTGTATAATACTGTTGGCCTTCTATCTAAATCCTCTCTTCTCTAACTGGTTCTTTGAACAAGACTTGCATGCTTTGTAATAATATACATTCTACTAAGCCTTACTTAAGGCCAATCAAACTGCAATGCATACTTTTGCATCATTTATTTTATTTTTGCAATTAGTACGTTATTAATTGCAAATTTGTGCTTCGAACCTTGAAAATTACTTTATATTTTCATGGTTCAAATTTTGAATTTTGATATCAGTGATTATTGCCGGATAGCAATTACTCTGTTGCTATTCACAATTTTCATTGGTATTTTTAAGTGAAGTGCGTCGCGAAAGTGATTGAGTGCTCCAGTTTTGCAACTATGCTTTTTATTTGATTCATGACAGTTTCATGATCAGATAAAATAAAAATATTTGCTGCTATGATGAGTGTTTTTTTTTTTAATAAGTTTCCATCATTTTGGAAACTTGTTTACTATCTTTTCTTTATCGCATCCAATTGGTTGAGATAAAAACGTGAATTTAAGTGAAGTGAAGTGTTTCCTCGGAATTTTTCCTGAATTGAAGTTTCGTTTTTCAAATTCAATTGAGTTTGAGAAATAATTTTGTTTCAATTTAGATATAATATTTACAAATTGCCTTGTAAGTGACTTTACTTGCTTTACTTTATCAGCAAGTTCTATAAATTCCTTGCCTACCTTTACTTTTGGGTAGCGTTGGAGAAAAAAGAAATTCTGTTTATTATTAACTATTGTATACTTTTATCTCCAGAGCAGGTAACCTACGAGAAACAGCGTAAGGAACGTATTGCTAATGTTTTGTTGTTTTCCGAATAATTTTTATAACACAGTCTTGCTGTTTTCGCAGTGACGCTTCGAGTACTTCATATACGTAAGTTATAACCAGCAATTTCTTCTACGATCGAGTTTTAAAGACGACCATTCGATTTTATGTTCCAGATTTCCGCGTCCTGCCACGGGTCACTACCAGTTTGTTTTGTATAAATGATGTGAATATAATAATTTTCCAATTTATAATATAAATTTTGTGTACTGTGTTTTATTACCCATTCAACATTCATCAGCAATGTATCTTCTCATTTCATCAATTAATGCACTCATTTTGCAAACAAATTTAACCAAAGATACATCGTTTATGATTGTTTATCACAAATAATGCTAGGTGGTGGTATTTATGATTAATATTGAATTTTTAGAATCGCCAGTTATGATTTGGCTGTCAATACGATATCATTAATACACCACCTTCCAACTAGGATCGTTAGCATGAGTGTCGTGTGAAAAGGCTAGAAGTTCCATGAAAACAAAGGCCCCCTAATTTCGAAGTCAATTACCAAAGTTAAGGATCGTGGTTGCTAGAGTATAGCGCTATTTATTTGTAGGCAAATCGAACTGGCACCTGAGATATACACCTGACCTCTTTCCTTGTGGAACATGCGAAAAGGTCTACAAACATCGGGGCAACATGCGTAGACACATGGCGTATGAATGTGGAAAGTCTGCTCAATTTCAATGTTCCTATTGCCCAAGAAAATTTCATCAGTACTCCAATTTAAAGCGACATTACGATACTAAGCATGATGCGGTTTTCTAAATTTTAATTACGTAACATTCAAAGAACAGTCTAGTCAATCAACTTACAAAGTTTAAAGCGATGCCAAAATAGAATTTATCCACTATACATACCAATTCAAAACTCACCACCTAGTCGGTCATATCGAGTCATTAGCATTAATAATGTAAAATACTAATTTGTCATACAACTACGTCGTTTCTTCACGTAGAATATAGACCTTCAAGAAGGTAGGTTTGAAGAAATACCAAACGCGAAGAGAAATAACAAAATAATAACTAATACTTGGCACTGCAAATAAACAACCTAATCTTGGAATTTAACGAGTATAAATATAGGAATGTTTTATGTAGAATTGAGGTAGTTTATTTGTCTTGATTGGTAGTTGGTTACAAACAGTGTAGCCTTGGAGGTCTTCTAATATGATAAAGTTTTTCAGAAAATTTACGTAAAATTGTTGAGAACCAATACACGGAGTTGAAATGTACCATAAATAGTTCCGGTAGAGTTATGAAAGAAAATACCTTACAATACGATAAGCAGGAAGGATCCGAGGTACAGGACATGCGTTTCCATTGCTCAAAATGCACAAAAAGCTATAAAAATAAGCGCCATCTTTACAGGCACGAGAAGGAAGAATGTATAGACACTCTTCCTCGATTCAAGTGTCCATTTTGTTTGCATCTTTTCCGAAGGAAATATCATTTATCCAGACACATTGAGGCCAGGCATCGAGCAGATGGAAATAATGTAGATTTCGGTATGGAGTTCCTAACAACTTAATGATTATTATTCTAGTTTTTTTGTGCACATTGAGAAATGACGACTGATTATCATAAGAAATAGGAAATAATTTAAAACTTTGTAAAACAATTAATTTTTTATTGAAATAAATCTTATAAAAGTACGAGTTAATATTGATTTTTGAACGTAATTGCTTCTTTTTTCTGGGGAAAGGTACGATTTGTTTACGTAGCTTAGAGCATTCCTTATCAATATCCAGCTTAAATAAATAATTAGGTAATAAACAATTTTAGGCACACATTTACAAACAATATGCTTCATAGATATTTTCTTGTAGGATCTGATTCAAGCAATTCAAACAAAAGTACTGATCGAGAATCGAACAAGGAGCAGCAAGAAGGTAAAGTGTTAAATAAGTTTTTGAAATTTAAAATATTAAGTTGTATTATCAATAATCCGACAAAATCGGCAGAAAATATCAATGAAAAAACGGCGTCAGACTTTTTGAATACTTGTCATCAATGCGGAAAGGTTTATAAATGGAAATCCACGTTAGCAAGACATTTGAATGTAGAGTGTGGCGGAAAGGAGCCTAATTTTCAATGCAAATATTGCGTTTATAAAGCGAAACAGTTAGGAAATCTTAAAGTACATATCCGAAAACATCATAATGAGAAGTAGATTCATGGTAATTTATTAATTATTTCAATTTATAAACCTCTGTGCACACTGATACATGCGAACGTAACATTAACGAAAAAATGTAAACGTTTGGTAATAATTTGAACTTTTAAATAACGTCTAACATGAACAATAAGTTTAAGTGCTAGTGTTCATAAATTATTAGTCAGTCGGAAAGCAAGATTTCTAAAGTATTGTTCTGATTATTTGAATTAAACATTTAATGTGTGGGAATAAAACAATTGTGTTGAATATTACTTTTTCCTATAATTTACATTTTATAACCAAAAGTAAAATAACAATCACGAAGTTACTGATATTAATATAATCTATTTTTGTAATGTAAGTAGTTACTTGGTGGTAGAATAGGATCAATCATTTATTATATTTACAAATGAATTGCCAGCTTATATTGGAAGGAAACTAATAATCTATATTTTCAGCGTTACCAATGGCAATCCAATTGACCGAGTACGAACCGTTGGAAATAGAGTTTACAAATAGTCCTTGGTTTTTAGTGGCGGACAAACCGCCAAAGAAGCAAGTGTATAATAGAATTAGGGGCAATTTTAAGTGCTCACAATGTGATCGGACTTATATACGCAAAGACTCTCTGCAAAGACATTTGAATTACGAGTGCGGGAAGGAGCCCCAATTCCAGTGTCCGTTTTGTCCGCAAAAGTGTAAGCGGAAGTCACATCAGATCCGACATATCAAACGTCAGCATAAAGACAAGATCGGCATTTTAGAGGAGAACAATCCTGGCCTAAACATTTCAAAAGACATTAAGAATGAACTGGACGCAATGGACGACTATAACTCAGACATTAAGCAAGAAGCGGCAGAATACTAAAACTGACACCAACCAACCAGTACTTTATGAATGCAGATATAGTTTGTATATATAGTTCATATATTACATACGTATAATCTTTTGATTTGTAATTTCTTTTTCTATTAACTTTATGTTAGTGTTTAATCAAAAGCCAAATAATGTTTTAGCCTAAAGGTTATTATTCTTTCACTTATCAGTCTTTTTATATATGTTTAGATTACACATTTTCACGGAATAAGATTTATTAATAATTTGCGATTGCAATCTTCAACTTTGTATTTTTATTTGCGCATATTTAATATTTTAGTTTGTTCTTGGTGGAGGAAATAAAAATATCAAGGCGATTTATGATTTGCCAAATTATACCAACTAGGTATTGTTTTAAAAAATTTGCTCATTATTGTTCAATTTCATTAATTCATTTATATGCGTTGCACCCGTATGTGTGCTTTATTGGATTCATTACATTGCCGCATCATATTATTAACGCATTATTGTACATATTTCCTATATCATTATATCGTTTTATTTTTATAAATCAAACCCCCGCTTTTTATTATTTATATAGTACTCTAAGACAGTTTACTCTTTACATATACTTTTATAATTAAGATGTTGGAATATAATAAACATTTTCTTTGTATTAAAAAATTGTACTAATTAATATGTTTTTTTCAGCTCAAGATTTACGTGTTTCAAGACCATGGGAACATTGGCCCGCACATTTGGCATTACCGATGATTCTAATGCGCGAGAGCATGAAGAAATCCATGATACAGTCTATAACGTCCTCTCCTCCATTAAAATCCCCCAAGTCAGCAGCTCAGCGCGATAAGGGGGAGGTAGGCGGAGTTGTGTATACTTGTAGCGTGTGCGGCCGAATTTACAAGCTAAAGAGTTCGCTGAGGAACCATCAGAAATGGGAGTGCGGAAAAGAACCGCAATTCAAGTGCCCCTATTGCGTCTACAAGGCGAAACAAAAGATGCATATGGCAAGGCACATGGAACGTATGCATAAAGAAATAGATTATTCCGTGATAAAGGCCGAGGTGGAGATGAAAGCTGAGGCAGCTGGGGAGGCGGAGGACAATTGACGATGGGCTAAAATGTGATTTATAAAACGACACAGCACTTTATTATTTCTTTCAATTCTCTCTTTTTATTTTGTGAATAACGGTTCGGCTATTCTGATCAGGAGGGTGATGAGATGGGCAAATCTAGATATTTAACTGTTGAGTGCAAGTTGACCAGTTGACCATTCAATTTTGTACCGCAAGAAACTTGTCAAGTGCCTTAACTAGAAAAAGACAACCACATAATATTTAACTCCGACTGATTTATAAAATCATACTGCCGATCTTTAATGACGTATTACATACCTATTTACTGCTGCAGGACCTAAATAACATCGCTGATGTTTTTCGTACATACATACCGTAATTAATCGTAAGCATTTTCAACCACAAGGTTTACCCATTCAGCCTATACATAAAGTAATAAAATAATGAAATGTGATATATGGGTGGTAAACATAAAAATGAAAAAATACCACATGACAGAACAAGACAATATTTTTATAGATTTTAAACTGATATAGTGATATTTTTATACACGTTTACCTATACATGTGCCTCACAGTGTTAATTGTTCCTTTACATAACTTTGGTATCAGATGTGTTACCTTTTCTGTTTGCGAAAACACCGCAAACGATAAAAAAATAAGTTTTACTACTATGCTATACATATATTTACAGTGCGAGTATGATAGTTGAACAAACTGTAACTTGGTTGCACTTGCTATGAGGATTTGATACGTGAAGCTTTTGGTCAGGTAGAGTTATCGGACATATTAATATAGAACGATGAAGAAAAGAAAATTGCGCTATAAATATTTAATTGGAGGTAATGGTTATTTCTATTTTTATATGAATAATATATCAAGTTAAACTGAAATGCACATAAAAATGAGGCAACAGGCGGCTTTTAGCTCATAAGAAAAGTTACTATTATTTACATTTAGTTGATTACTTTCAAAAAGTAGATTCTTATATATGGGTTATTCTTTCATTTTGTGTATTATAAAGAAATTATTAATTTTATTTTCGCTTGATCACGAATTCGCTTGATTATTAACTGTTTTGGTGGGCGCGTGTTTTCGCGCGCGACGGATACATTCAATTGCTTTACTAGTTGTTAAGAATTCAAAATTATAAAAGGTGTGGGGGAATCTTTAATAGCGCAAACAATGCAGCTTTCATTTGGATTAAATAGAACAAAATAAGTTATTTGCTGCAGGCAGAATAGCATGTTATAAACCTAAACAGGACACTCAATATTATAATACTCAAACTACGAACAATAATTGTGATTTACCATAACTTGTAATAGTATATAGAAATGATGCCAAGTTCCTGATTTCCATAATATGCATACTATTTTATTTAATCATAGTGTTTTCTACATATTACGAACCCGAACAATATTTTTGTAACATCAAATGATGCATTTATCATTTTTTGTACAATATTTCTGAAGATTTACAAAGTTGACATTGTTACATACCTTTTATATTATTGCTATTGTATTAAAATTCAATATAAATTCTTACCTCGTGTAAAGAAAACTGTGTTTAATTTATAGTCAATTAATTGTTTATGTAATACATAGAACATGTACTAATTATGTTTTGTTTTAGGTGCGGGTGACACAATTTGGACATTATTGTATTTACATAGGAGTCACTTTCACATATTCAACATATTCACGTTTGTATTTATCAGAATTTATACTAACACTGTTTGGTTTCATTTTAGATATTATTCTCTTGAGAGATATATTGTTAAAGAAACCGAAAGATGAGGATTCAGCGGATGGTATTACGGAAAATTCTGTATCAGCGGTGGAAAAACCCTCAGATAAAACTGAAACTGAGATAAAACCTGCCGATAAAACAGGCAAGGATTCGAAAATACTGAAAATCAAAGAAGAGTTGAGTTCGCATGTACTGTTTCCCAAGCCGAATGTGAAGAATGTTATAACTTTAAATAATTTAACGAATGTGAAATTGAGTTCACCAAAAATTATAGTTACAAAACCGCTGCAGGGTCGTGGATTTGGTAGCCGTGTTATTTCCAATGAACGAATGAAACTGTTTTTAAATATGAAGCCAACGGACGTACCAGTGCGGAATAAAGTCACACTGGCATGCGAGAAACCGGTGTTGAAAGTGCCTCGGGACACAATTAGATGTTCGGAGTGTCCGATGCTAATTAATCCTTTGCAAAAAGTTGAACATGCTAAAGTGTGCACAAAGGTCCTTCATGAGTCTCACCGCTTCGGATGTACTAGTTGCAGTTTCAAACATGCAGATAAGAGTGAAATGGAAAAGCATATCAAACAAATGCATAAATCTTAAGAATATTTTCTCATTTTTATTCCTTTATTATGTTTATTTGTTTTACCTTTTGGTTATATTCGTTGATTATAAATTAGTTTATGGTATAGTTTCTGTTTACATTGGTTTATTTTATACAGTAGTGTTTTATTTCAAATTCGAGTAGTGGAGTACAATTTTATTTAATTTTGAATTATATGTTACGTAGTATTGTTTCAGTAGACTTGTGGTTCGATAATAAAATGCGTTGTACTAAAAACAGAGGGTTTTTTAGGGCCGTCCATATTAGATCTAATTGAGTTTGATCAGGAAAATCGCATTCACATTCGCCATCCGAATATTCAGGTAAAACAAGAGTTTGTGGCACCGAAAACTGAATCTCCCGCGACGAAATTGAAAAAAATTGCAAAACCCAGGAAAATTAAAAGTGATGTTGGACCCAATGCATCTCCTTTGACTGAATTATTTATGTGCACTAATTGTACAAAATCGTATCGTTTGAAGCATTCCTTGACTAGACATATTAAATACGAGTGCGGCAAAGATCCGAAATATCCTTGCCCGGCATGCGATCGTAAATTTAAACATAAGTACGATTTGACTATTCATATAAAGACTAAACATTGTTTTCCAATGTTGCAAACAATTTTAACTGAAACATAAGTCAATTGGGCGTGCGCCAAACTGACCTGACATTTAACTTAAGGCTGATTTTGCTAGTTTAATTATTTAACGCATTATTTTACGTCTAATTTATAATTTGGTTAGTTATAAGTCTGTTACCATTTTATCTCATTCATTTACATAATTGTAATAATCATTTTCTTAAATAAATTATCAATTAATCCAATTAGATCTTTTATATTTATTTATTTATTATCAAATGTGCACGTTTTTTGCAGGCAGTGATTTCTCCGAAGAGACTACATATGGTATTGTTAAAACAGAGTTCACATTTCTTAAGATGTATTGCAATAGTGCTTGATTATTGATTTAAGAATTAGAGGCCGTTTAAGCGTTAGTAGCATTCAACTGTTCGATCGGAGATTAATGCATTTAATTGGGTAATTTTTGTTTTAGGTGCTCGCAAATCTTATGTGTGCCTCAAATGTCGGAAAAGTTACACACTGAAAAGCAATTTGAGGCGCCACGTCTTCTATGAATGCAACGTGGAACCAAAATATCAGTGCGAAATATGTTTGAAGAAATTTCGGTATCATTTCAGTTGGCGCAAGCATAATCTCGGCTGTAAAGATCGTTTTCAGTACACGAAATGATTCAATGCTTAGTTGCGCTTTTCGTTTAATTTCTTTTCTGTGATATCTTCATTGCAGTGTGTGTCATTAACTTGTACTTAATAACAATAAACAGGTTCTTAATTTATATATTGTATTCATTCCAGACCATTTACGACATTTTTGGATTAACTGCAATTTTTCTTTTAGTGATTCTCTGCGCGGGCCCTATTTTGTAGCCACGATTTTGGTATCTTAATAATTGTAAAAAACGATGAAACGATTGCCAATCCAATAAACACATTCATAGAATTAAAATTGATCAATTGAGTAAACAAAGTTTGCGATTAAGTAATAAGTTTTTGGTTTATATTAGAACTGACTTTAATTTACAAATTATTTTACCAACAATTATTAAATATATTTTTACAATTGATTTGTTGGATGGTTTTGCACTACTAAGCGATTCATTACTGCAATCGTCAAGGTTAATTTATATTTCGAATGCAGGAACCGCCGACTTTTTGTTATCTCAAGATTATATACAAAGTTTAATTAATTACATTACGAAACTATACATTACATTATTTTTATTACATAATACATTAAATTACTATATTCTCTGCGGTCCTATGTCATTTTGTGTTTAATATGCATGTTTTAAGCAGTAAGCTGACTTCTATATATTTTTTTAACCAGACATGTTTGTTGTAGGATTATTTGAGGGGGTGGACAAATGGTATGCTTGCGATAAGTGCGATAAAAGATACAAGTACAATCCTTCGTTGAATAGACACAAAAAATATGAGTGCGGGAATACCCGAATGTTTCCGTGCGATTTGGCAGGTTGTACTTACGCATCTAAACGAAAGGACAATTTGGCTGTGCATGTGCGAAACCATTGGAGGGTTCCACAACGACAATACCAATTACCGGCCGATTTTAAGATCAAGGAGGAAAAATATTTCTAAACCTGAACCTTTATCCTGAAAATTCAGAAGTTGTTATATGGACATGTGTTATTATTTTATTTGTACTCTTTTTTAAATAAAGCGGGAGACTGATTTATCTAGCTCATATGTACAAACAAAATCATGCAGCTGAATTTCTCTGTAGCATTGCGATATTATTTTCATATAATGTATTTTATATTATCCTAGAAAGTGGCAAAAGTTCCTACTTTTCAAAGTTTATTGGTAAGTTGCTGCCCAATGCGTGTTCCCTAACAAATTCATTGTGTTGCATCCTTAAATGTAAACTGCGACGACTTTTAACAATTAAGGCCATTACATAAAACTTTTCTGTTTTAGGGTACAGGCCGTGTTTTATGTGTAATCAGTGCGGAAAGACTTATAGTTTCTTGGCGACGTTGAAGCGACACATGAAATACGAGTGCGGTAAAACACCAGAGTTTTCCTGTCCGATGACGGGGTGCTCATATGTGACAAAGCACAAATTTTCGATGAAAGCACATCTGAAAGCACGACATTTTAGAAAAGACTAGTTTTGTGTTTCAGTTTAATGTTACCCAATTTTACCGAAAGTATGATGAAAATAATTAAGCACGGAAGTTTTTTTTTGTCGTGCGAGTCAAATTAAAGCACAATATTGAGTGTACACTGTTTAACTAATGTAGTAGTTTAGTTAAAATTTGTTAATAACAACACAACGGTGTTTAATGTGTTGAGAATGTAAAATATGTAATTTTGTAAATAGAGTCGTCGATGTTTCTCAGGAATTTTACATAAACTGATGATAAAAAACCTACCGGACCAAAATATTCTTTTGAAAAGTTTAATCTATTGAAATTTCAAAATTAGTAAGTACTATTCTTTTTATTGGATTACTACTATTTTTCTGTAATGTTATTTTTGCACATATGTCTAAGATAAATTAATATGCAATTTTGCGGTTGTTTGCAGGAGAAGAAATCGAGAGGAAAATAACGTTTTTTCAATTTTCGTATTTTTGGCTTTGTTAACTGTGAAACATGCTCTGCAATAATTAAATAGTTGATTTTTTTAATCTAAATGTAAGCTGCGACGACTTATAACAATGATGCCAATACATAAAACTTTTCTGTTTTAGGTCGCAGGCGGTGGTTTATGTGTAATCAGTGCAGAAAGACTTATAGATCCTTGGCGTCGTTGAACCGACACATAAAATACGAATGCGGTAAAATACCAGAGTTTTCCTGCCCAATGACAGGGTGCTCATATGTGACAAAGCACAACTTTTCAATGAAGAAACATCTTAGAGCACGACATTTTAAAAATAACTAGCTTTGTGTTTCCCCATTTTACCCAAAGTATTTTGAAAATAATGTTTATATGTAATATGTAATTTTGTGCATAGAGTCGTGATGTTAAAAATTCGACTGGACCAAAAAATACCTTAAAACAGTTTAATCTTGAATGAAATTTCATATTGTGTAAGTAATATTTCTTTTATAGGGATACTATTATTTACATCTTTTATTTACAAATTTTATTTTTGCAGGCAGGTTTAAATTGATATGCAATTTTGTGCTTGTTTACAAGAAAAGAAATTGCTGGGAAAACTATGTTTCCTCAATTTTGGGATTTATTTATTTTGTTACGTGTGAAACAAGCTCTGCTATAAATAAATAGTTGATTTGTTTATTATTTACCTACTTATTAAACAAATCACAATGGTGTTAAGTTTAAGCCAATGTAAATATGTGAATTTCTTTTTCTTAACTCAAGTTGGTTGGGGTTTACTATTGTGATGATAAAACTTCAATGCATTACATTGGAATTCTCACATTTTAGATTCATTCACGTGCAAGACATGCCAACGTGAATACAAACGCAAGTCGTCTTTGTACAACCACAAACGATGGGAGTGTGGAAAAGAACCGCAATTTCGATGCGCCTATTGTCCGTACAAAGGAAGGCAGAAAATTCACTTTTCCATGCATCTTTTAGCGAAGCACAAAGAACACAAACATGAGTTTGCTTCTTATATTAACAA